GGTTTCCCGACTCGTCCACTAACACGTTCTCCTTTTCTTCAATCGGTGTGGTTGGGACAGAAGCTTCATCCTCGACAAGGGAAACACGCTTGCCCTTCTTAGCTTTCTTCTTATCCTTCTTGGACAAGGGCGCTGTGTCATCTTCCTGTGTCTCGCGCTGTGTAGCTCCCTCAGCGACAGGGTCAACAACAGGAGCGATAGGCTCGATGGCAGTAGCGACAGGCTCACTGACTGAAGCAACAGGTTCGATAACAGAGGCAGGAGCTTCAGTAGGATGGGTTTCCGCTACCGGCTCTGCAATGACCGGAGGTGATGAGAGTGGCTGCTGCTCGAGAAGTGGGACCTCTTCCTTCTCTTCGACGGGTGTAGCTGGAATGGAAGTGGGCTCCTCAGTAATGGAAACCTGCTTGTTCTTTTTAGCTTTCTTCTTGTCCTTCTTGGACAAGGAAGCCCCATCATCTGTCCCAGCCGGCTCTATCGTAGCCGGTTCTTCGGTGGCGGTGGGAGTAGGGAGTGTTTGTTCCTCAGGCAGAACATCGGCGGACCGATCTTTCGGTTCCTCGGATGGTTGAGCAATGGAGAGGGACGGATCATCTAGAGGGGCGTCTTTGAGCTCTAGCGTTGGTGTCTCTAGCGGGGTAGATGGCTCGCTCTCAGCGGTGGAAACGCCTTTACCTTTCTTTCCCTTCTTTTTGCTCTTCTTAGCTGTGGTGACTTCCGTATCGATTTCCTGTTTCTGCTCTAGAGCAACGGGTGGGCTCTCAATTTGCGAGATGGGGGCTGGCAGGTCGGTAGCGATGGGCACAGTCTCCAAATCGATGGTAGTCGACAAAGCTGTGTTGGCGTCCAAGGATGCGGTAGGTAGCACGACTTCCGGCTCGATGGCGTCGATCGGGGTGGTCTTTGGCGAAGTAGGCTCAGGTACAATTTGATTATCAAGAACGGGCTCTTGCGTAGGAGCATTTTCAGCGTCAGGTACAGCTTGCGACTCGCTAGCTGGCTGTTCAAGCGTCTTCGTGACCTCCTCAATAGGTGTAGATGGAACGTCGGGCGTCTCGCTCCCGGTGAGACCCTTCTTCGTAGCTTTCTTGGCCTTCTTTTTGTCCTTCTTGGATAGCGTTGTAGTCGAAATTTGCTCCTCAAGCTGATCGGGAACTGGCTCTACAATAGTAGATCGACTAGCAGTTTCCAGCGATGTGTCTTCAGGCAACAGGACAGACTCTACGGGAACTGTTGTAACCCGTTCCATTGTCTGGACTTCGTTTGGCTCTGATATCGCTAGAGGAACAGCTTCGGAAGAAGCGTCTTGAGTAGTAGGATCCTCTGGAAGAGCAGAAACAGGCTCGATATGCTCTTGAACGACTGCATCAGGGGTAATTGGCTCGGCTTCAGTAGTTGGAGTCTGAGGCTCAGAGATTGATGTCCCCTTCTTGCCTTTCTTCTTCTTGCTCTTCTTGGAAGTAGGTGTCGCCTCTTCGATCTCAGTTGGCTTCTCAGGCTGCGGTGTCTCCAGCTGCGGTGTCTCCGGCACGAGCTGATCATCGAGAGTAGTATTTTCAAGCGGTACTTCGAGGGTAACAGGCTCTGCTAGCTGATCAATCTCAAGCGGAAGCTCCTTTTCGACAGGTAGCTCTGCGGTGGGCCCCGGCACTGGCTCGTCAACTATAACGGTGTTTTCGGCTGTTGTCTCCAGTGGAGGAGTATCGCTAGGCTGCGCACTGACTTCGAGTGTCTTCGCTTCAGGTAGGGTGTCAGTGACAGTATCAGAAGGGACCGCTTCGGGAAGTTGCTCGGGCTCGATATCCTGACTAGCCTTTCCCTTCTTTCCCTTCTTCTTCTTGCTTTTCTTCGAAGTCTGTTCAGCCGGTTCGTCATCAGCAGGCTGTTCGATGGGAGAAGCAGTTGGCGCAGTAACTTGACTGGGTTCGTCCTGCGCAAGTGCTGGAGCATCAACCACTTTCGTCTCGGTTGAAGTGGGTTCAAGTGAGGATTGAAGATCAGTCGAAATGTTAGACGCGTCCTGTAGAGGCTGTACGATATCATCAATGCTCTTCTCGACCTGGGCTGACTCTAAAGGAACGTCAAGCTGGGCTGGAGGCTCCTCACTGATAGGTGTGCTTGGCTCGGTGTCCATGGCTTTGCCCTTCTTGCCCTTCTTCTTTTTACCTTTCTTGGACGCAGGTTCAGCGGATGCTTCATCTGCAGCTGCTTCGGCAGGCGCGGATGGGGAATTGCTGTCTTGGACGGACTCATTCTGCACAGTTGCGGACTCGTCGTGCACAGCCTTGTCTGCCTCGACCTGAGGGAGGGCTTGGGGGTCGGCAGGTGGCCTTGTTTCCTCCTTTGAAGACGTATCTTGCACGGGTAGTGAAGTGTCATCCAATTCCGTGCCGGTTGTAGCCTCGGGAAGGATTTGAGTTTCAATTACGGGTGCCAAAGGGTCGGCTTTACTAGGCTCTTCCTGCACGGGCAACAGAGTGTCGTCCACGGCCATGGCGCTAGCCTCGGGAAGAGTTTGAGATGCAGCAGGCAGCTCTGTCCCCGCTTTGATTGTCTCATCTTGCACAGGCAGTGAGATGTTATCCAGTTCCTTATTAACTGTGACGTCGGGAAGGAGTGCAGCTTCATCGGATACTACCGGGACGTTTGCGACACTGGGCTCGGTTTGTCCGGATAGTGTAGCCTCGTTCGCACTTGTTATGGTCTCGGTGGGTGCAGAGCCAGGTTCAAAGTTGATCGCAGGCTCCTCGTTTACAGGCGTACTTGGCTCCGTGTCAATAGCTTTACCCTTCTTGCCCTTCTTCTTTTTGCTCTTTTTGGGAGTCACAGAAGGCTCATCTTGCGTCGTCGGGTCCGGGTTGACGGATACTGGCTCGACTGAGGTGGATGTTGCCTCGTACTTGATGTCCTTTTCCTCTGGCACAGACTCAGGAGGAATTTCCTCAACTGGTACCGGTTGCATGGCAATCTCCTGAACAGCTTCGATGGGTACTATAGGCGTAACATCAGCCTCGGGCTCAGCTTGGATGCGCTCAGTAGAATGTTCAGGCTCAGTGGTGGCGTCGAGAGCGTCCGCGATGCTTGGCTGAATGTCAACGGACTTGTCCTTCTTGTTTTTCTTCTTCTTTGCCTTCTTTGATGAAGATGTCGTGGGTTCCTCTTCCATCGGCGTGGAGGGCTGTGATGGCTCTTCAACCAATACATCTTGCGCAGGAACAGCGCTTGTGACGAAAGGATCGAGTTGGACGGGCTTCTGTAATGGCTGCTCCTCGACGGGAAGTACAGTATCAGTCACGCGCTCAGATTGGGCTGCTATTTCGACAGGCTTGACTTCCGGCAGCTGCTCTTGAGTAGGAGCGGCGGTGTCGGCTTCAAGCTCGGGCTGTACGGTCTCAGCAGGGATCTCCAATTCACGTTGTACTTCGGAAACAGGGGTGCTTGGCTCCTCCACGGACGCCTTGCCCTTCTTGCCCTTCTTCTTTTTCTTGTCTTTCTTCGACGAAGTAGGCAATGACCCCTCATCTTCAGCTACTGGTGCTGCGGTTTGGGTTGGCTCCAGCGATGGCTGCTCGTCGGCTAGAGTAGGGACAGCAACCCGTGGCTCGGTTTCTAGAGGTTCAGAAGGCAGTGAAGGTTCAATCGTTGTCTCGATGACATCTTTGGTGGATGGCTCAATTGGGAGGGCATCAGGCTGTGGTTGGACTTGTACATCTCCAAGAGAAGTCTCGCTGGTCTTCTCGTTGACCACGTCGTGCGTGCGCGAATCAGGTTCGACAGGCTTCTCGTCTTCAACGACTTCCTGGGGCTTGATATCAGCCTGCGCAATGCTCTCAATGTCGACAGGCTTCTCTCCCTGTAAACTCTCTTCCACTGGCGTCTCAGTGCCCTTGCCCTTCTTCCCCTTCTTTTTCTTCTTATCCTTCTTCGAGATCGGCGCGGCCTGCACATCTTCAGCAGTCTGCTCCACTGGGGTCGAGACCTCTCCTAGCAGCTTCTCCTGGTCTTGAACTATCGAGATATCTTCGTCGGGCATCTCCTTTGGCAAAGGAATATCAGCAGCATCGAGTGGCGTGGATGTGATTTGTTCATCGATATCTTTCGCTAGATCAGAGACGTTTTGTTCAAGTACCAAGGGTTCTGCACTTGGCTCGTCATCGGGAAGAGGAACATCAGCAGCATCAAGCTGAGTTGGCTGGAGAGGTTCATGAACATCTTTCGATATCTCGGAAACTTTCTGTTCCACCTCAAAAACTTCGGCATTTGGCTCATCCACCGGAAGAGGAACATTAGCAGCATCGAGCTGGGTTGGCTGAACCGATTGATCAGGAGCATTCGATCGTGTATCGGAGGCATCCCGAGGCGTTGTCAAAGGCTCAGTGATGGGCGTAGAAGACTCAGCAACTATTTCAGCTTCAGGTAGGGGCGTCGAAGTACCACTCTTTCTCTTGTTCTTCTTACCCTTCTTCGTCTTGGGTGTGACTCCTCCATCATCCGTCGTAACTGAAGCTGTAGGCTCAGAAGGCTGCTGCTGCTCGGCAACAGGTGGCTCAGATGGGATCTCCTGAACGATGGCAAGATCCTCATGCTGGGCATCATCTCGAGCGGTAGATGAGATTTCAGGCAGAACAGTTTGCGCAGCGGACGACGTTTCGGATAAGATCTCAGGGACTTCCTGTATCTTCTCTGCAGTCTCGGTCGGCTGAGGCTCACTGGCGCTGACCTCCTCAACGATGTTGTCGCGCTCCGTGACAGGGAAGTCCAGTTCGCGTTCAACCACAGGCGTGTTGGGCTCCGTATCGACTGGTGTTTCTAGCTGAGTACTTCCGCGCTTAGCCTTCTTGCCCTTCTTACCCTTCTTCTTGCTTACAGATGGTGTCGCATCCTCCTGAGCGGGCGTGGATAGCGCGATAGCTTCTTGTTCAATGACGATAGGTTCTTCAACGACTGCGCTCTCCTGTGGCAATTCCGTTACCGGTTGATTGATTTGTTCTTCAGGTAAAGCGACGTCTTGAGGTTTGACGGAAGTGTCTGCTTCGAGAACAGGCACAGTAGGCTCTTGAACAATGGTTGCATCTTTGGAGATATCGTCGACCAGCTGTTCTCCCCATGCTTCAGTTGCTACCTCAAGTGGTGTATCGATGGTGCGTTCAGCCTCAAGCTCGCGTTCAGCTAGCTCAGAAACTTGAACACTGCCTCGCTTGGCCTTCTTGTCTTTCTTGCCCTTCTTCTTCTTTGAAGACGATGGCTGAGACACATCGTCCTCGTGGGTGGGGATAGAGCTTTCAAGCGCGGCAGGTACGATAGCTTCTTCGATAGGCTCCAGCTTGTCGACGGCAGAGATGTCCTGAGAGACTTCTTCCACGTTGAGTGAGGTAGGCTTCGAAATCCCAACTTCCTTGTTGACTTCAGACAGGGGAATGTCCTTAGAGACATCAGCGTGCTCCTCTCTCGGTGCGAATGATACTGGTGGGAATACAAAGGAAGGTTTCCCATCATCAGTGAAGAATGCGGTGTGGGGCGTAACGTCTGCGGAGCTCTTCTTTTCCTCAGTTACAGGAATATTGTCGCTCAACCTCTCAGTCGTGTGTGATAGCTCTTCCTTGTCTTCGGTCTCGAGCTGCAACTGTGGCTTCAGCTGCGACTCCTCTTCTGGTCCCTCAGTTGGTTCGCTGACTTCGATGGGCTTGATATCGGTTGTCATGGGGATTTCAAGCTCAGGGTCTACGCTCTTCTCCTCAATGGATGAGATTGGAGGATGCGGCACAAACTTCTCTTCGACCACTGGTGCAGAGGTAGGTGCTTGGAGCTCAGGTATAGGCGTCGGCGAGGGAGCCCTCTTCTTTCCCCAGCCGATGGCACCCAATAGGCTCGTGCCCCAACCTGACTTGGCTGACTCGGATTCTGATGCGGAGGGTGCTTCTTCGGCCATGTTCTTGGGTGCGTCTGATATTTTTGCAATACTTGAGGATTCCTCTTGCACGACTTCCGTGGGTTGCGCAACAATTTCTTCTAGCACCAACTCCCTGGGCTCATCAACAGCTGGAACGGTGGCGGCCTCTGGCACAGAATCTTGCGAGTGTTCCTCCCGGATAGCGGCAGGTGAGTCATTGTCCTTGACCAAGAAGTCCATAACGTCGACCGTCTTCTCATCACGAGCATCCGTGAAAGCTGGCTCGAGGATCTCACGTTCGATCTGTGCTTCTTGCGACTCTGGCGGCGGCAGGATTTTCTCTTCGTGAGCTGGGACTTCAGGGAGAGTAGATGGCTCGGCCTCGAGCTGTTGATTACCTCGTTTGCCTTTCTTACCCTTTTTGGCCTTCTTGCCCTTTGGACCAAGTTCCAGTTCTGACTCCGCGACGGGTTTGGGGGTTTGAGCTTCGAGTATAGCGTCGACAGCGGGTGTCTGCTGAATCGTGGTAGACTTGGGCGTCGTAGCAGCCCAGAGATCAACAGGTCTCTCCGCCTCTTGCTTTGGCTCCTCCAAGTTCCCTAGCTTCCTCTCCATGAGATCCTGAAGCTCATTGCTACCCTCTGTCTCGAATATGGCACGCCTGACCTCGGCATCCTGGTCACCCTGTGGCGCCGTGCTCTCAAGAATCTTTTCTCGCTGCAGCTCCTTCGAAGCGGATGGACCAGCAGCTGGCTCACCGACAAGTGTAGCGTCGTCCGTAACAATTGACTCCGACTTGTTCTTCGCCCAATCCTCTTCGTTCTCAACGAATGTGGGAATATACTGCGTGGGCTCAGACTGCTCCTCGGTCGCAGTAGGAAGCATGGATCCGGATATAGAGTCCTTCTTGCCCTTGGCTTTCTTCTTCGCTTTACTTTTGCCCTTGCTATCGCGACGAAGGAGACTTGGATCAGGTTCGGCTGGTGTCTGGATAATCTCGGACTTGGTCTTCTCCTCATCAACGACAGGTTTGGGCTCTTCCATGGGGTCTTCGAACCATCCTTCAACAGCCATTGCGGTGTCCTTTTCTTGTCTTCTCTGAAGCTCCTCGGGGGTGACATCTTTTGAAGATTCGCCAATCAAGTCAAGACTCTGATCCTTAGAACCCTTCTTGCCTTTTTTGCCCTTCTTTGTACTTATAGAGGGAGCGCGATTGAGGTTTGGTTGTTCGGGCTCAGCATCTAGGTTTGGCAATGACTGTGCAGCAGATTTGATAGTGTCTTTGTCGAGATCACCACCCATAAAGTCGTCGGACTTGTAGCCAGCAGGAGATGGAGATCGGCGTCGTAGTGCGGCAGCCATAAGGCCTCCTACTGCTGTGCCCAGAGCAGCGTCTTGAAGTCGTGAAGATGTCCTGGAAGGCGACGAGTCTCCACTGCGAGCAGCGCCAATGTTGAGCATTTTCGAATCATCAAGAGGTGCACTTGGGGCAAGAGGACTAGCAAGCTGTGGTGTTGTCGACCTTGGCACAGAGGTTGCGTCCCTAGCCGCGTCCGATCCTTCTGCCTTTGCATGCTCAAGAGCTGCCGCAAGTACATCACGATCCGGACCACCAAACTGGACATGAGCTTGCGGAATACCAGCAGGGAAATCAGAAGCCTTCGGTGTCGCTTGTCCAGAATCATCGGCATCCTCCATCTCCTGGTCTGCAAACTCGGGATGTTGCAGCTCATGTCTAGGTAGCGGTGACACGAGATCGGAAAGGCTGCTTAGAGGATCGAAGAAAGGGTCGTCAGACACTAGACTGGCACTCATCTGAGGCGATTCGAGCGCAGACTCATACTCCGCGTCCGTCTCGGTCGTAGACGAAGCATATGAGGGGCTGCCGCTGGATGGCAAAGCTGGCAATTCTTCCTCGATTTCATCGGACTTGCGGTTTCGTTCCACGAGGTACAGTGGCCGAAACTCGCGAGAATTCTTGAACTCAGCAGAGTTGGACACAGAATGACGAGGACGTAGAGGCGAGCTTCCAACAAGGGGGCTTGATACCGGCTCTGGTTCAGCAGCAAGATCACGCTGCACGTTGGGAGAGCCAGGTGGTTTGCGGAAGCGTATTGGCACCGCAGTCGAAGATAATCGGCGTTGGGTGAGTTGCGATGTAGGGCGACTGACCTCTGGCGTTCGCAAAGGAGAGCTTGGCCTTGATAGGGGAAGAGGAGGGAGCTCGTCTGGGAAAGCTTCCAGCTGCCATGGCTGCAATCCCGTGAGGCGTGTCAACAACGCACGGCTGTCCCCAAAGGACAACTCAGGTGGCGTCCTCGGACGCTCAGGTCCTCCAGGTGTTGTAAGGAAACCATGATTATTGTCGAGGGTCGGAAGGGGAAAATCAGGGCGATCTCCCGGGATGATGCCACTACCCTCATGGGCCTGATCGACAGGCTCACTTGCGGGCAGTGGAGCTGGAGTGGCTGCGGCCACTGCCCGATCGCCTAAAAAAGACTGTTGTTCTTGGCTTTGTTGATCATCGGCATGCGAGGGCGGGGTTCGAGGGTATGAACGGTCCTATAAACACAACATCAACATTCATTCTAATTACATGCAGACAACGATGCTATCGCGAATAGGAAGAGCGATGTACCTTGTCATCGTATGATTCCCTCCTGTCTCCGTCCCCTCTGTCGGAGCGACTACTCCGCTTCTCGCGGCGACTACTAGATGAGATGGTAGAACGCGTGTCATCGTCATCTGAGCCATATGTTGAACCGTGATCTGACCGGTGTTTCCTTCTACGATGCTTCCTTTCTTCATCGTCACCGTCCTTTGATTTGGAAGACTTGCTTGAAGTATCGACCAAGCTCTCCTTTGACTTGCTAAACAGCCCAAACAGTCCACTTGACCGCTTCTCTTTCTCCTTCTCCTTCTCCTTTTTGGAGCTCCTATCCTCGTCGTAGCGCGAAGAAGAGGAGATCATGGAAGCATTGTCGTCATCTCCATCTCGCTTTGATCGTCTCCGGGAGGACTTTCGCTCGTCGTAGAGATCGCCTGGTTCAGATGCTGCGGACGAACGAGACCTAACCTTGCTGTCAGGCGAGCCATCTCTTTCGCTCTCCCGTCGTCTGTGCTTGTGCCTTCGCTCGCCATTAGCTTCGGAGCGAGCTTCCGAGATTGTAGACCTTGTATCCCAGTCGTCGGAGCGCTCATCAGTCCCACGGCGACGATGATGCCTTCTCTTCCGTTCACCACCTTCGTCGAGATCATAGCCTCGATCACGGCTTTGCTCGCGGCTCCCAGACTTCGCTTCGTGACGTCGACGGCGTCTTTCTTCGCGCTCTGGGTCGTCGTATTTGCTGCTAGAGGATACGACTGATCTCGTGTCGTCGTCGTCGTACTTATTCCGCGATTTTGTGTCATCATCATCGTATTTCGTTTGTGGCTTCGCATCGTCGTCATTGTGTTTGGGCGATTCGGGGAGTTTTCCTTTCAACTTCTCTCTCTCTTCTGAACCCGCCGAAAAGAACTCGTCAGAGTCTCGCTCAGCAGGTTCCTTGCGCGGCAAATCATCGGGTGCGTAGTAACCCGAGTCATATACATCTCGAGACATCGACGATTCGGGAGCAGTCGTGAAGGAGGACTGGGTAGGCACCTTCGGAGCCTCGACAGGTGGTTGCTCATCAAATGCAAGGTTCCTGTTCTTGGCTCCCATATAATCCTCCTGCTTCATCTCAGTCCGAAGCGGTGATCCAATGGTTGGCGACCAATTGCCACTACTATGTCTTGTCTCCTTCTTCCGCTTGGGCGTCTTCACATCGCCGAGTTCATCGGCATCCTGAAATGCTGCGCTAAGGTTCGAATACGCCTTTTCGCTATCATCGAGCGTGCGGGTGCCGTTTGGCGGAGATTTTGGGGCGTCGCGAATGCGATACTTTTCCGTAGAAGCCAAGTTCTGTCGAGCGTGTTCAAGATCCGACGCCATTCTGTCTTGATCCTGCTTCATAGCGCTGCCTACAAGAGCAGCGAAACCGCCAGCCATGGTAGCAGCCGCTACGTTGCTATTGCTGGTACTCTGACTAGATCGAGGGTCACTTTTAGCAACAGTGCTATCGCGAGGAAGTTCGGAGGGTCGCGAAGGTTCGATGTCCCTAATATCGCGCTCGACAGTCGGGCTAGACAGCGAACTTATAGTACTCTCCTCCCAGCTATCCACACTACCTCGCTTCGCCGCCTTCGCCTTCTTCTTGTTCTTCTTGCTCAGTTTGGCTTCTGGCTCGGGCAATATTTCTTTGATGGTCTCAGGAACATAGGCAGGAGCAGAGGGTGGTTCGACGCGCCTCGGAGCATCTTGGGCTACTATGTAATCATCAGTAATCTCAGACTTCTTACCTTTGTTGCCCTTCTTTGTTGGAACTTCCCAATCCTCCTTGGTAGGTTTGTCAACCGAAGGCAGTTCGTCGAAGCTCCCAGGTATATGCATCGATGATGGCTCTGCAGTGACCTCACTCTCCACAAAGCCCGGACGCTTCGTCTGATCTGTTCCCTTCCGTAGGTCAGGATCCGACGTAGATTGATAGTGGGGCGACTGGTAGACGGTGCTTGTTGAAGGGACAGAAGACGCTACTGTTGATGATGCAATTGTTGAAGCCGCGGCATGAGAATCGGAGAACGGATTACTTATGGTCGACGCAGTATCTCGCCTATAGTCTCGGTCGATTTCATCATCTCGGGAAAGAGCAGCAGCGGCAGCGGCAGCGGTAGCGGCAGCGGCAGCCTTCTTCTTTTCCTTCTTGCTACTCTTCTTCGAAGCAGCACCAACGACACTATCCCAAGATGAGTCATCCTCGTCTCGGACGTACTGCGTGCTGGAAGCGATTTCCTTTGGCTCGGGTGCTTTGGACGTCTCCTCTAAACGATAAGGCTGGTAGACCGAAGTCTTTTGGCCAGACTTGGGCGAATCATGCTCCACTGTGACTGCATCGTTCGAGTACTTCTTCTCTTGATCCCGCATGTCACCGTCGGAGACGAACTGTTCCCGGTAAGACTCAGGGGTCGGTACCTCAAAATGATGGAACTGGTTCTCGCCCCAGCTGACTCTGGATCTTGCCCGATTCGCATCTTCCTGCCTTGGCTCCTCCTTCGGCCCTTCCTTGACTGGTTCAATGTGTGGCGATGGAGGTAGGGATACGCTACGAACAGAAGGTGCACGACTTCCAGGAGGCGTAGGCTGAATGAGGTTCAGAGAAGGAACAGGCCAAATTTGATCTGACATAGAACGGCCATCTTTGGTGGCGGTGAATGAGTAGGAACGAGGATATGGTGGGGCCATCGGTTGACTGATACCAAAATCATCATGAGCTTGGTAAACATGGAGGTCCGTGGCACCTTCATTGGGGTCTACCGGATGAACCTTGGGCAGGTTGTCGTTTTTCAGGAGTTCCTTGGGCGCAAAGAATTCAGCTTGAGATACTGGCTTTTCGTTGTATCTATCTTCCCAGTCTTGGTATACTTCGGTCGTCTTCTTAAAGATGTCGGGGTTGAAGATCTCATCGTCGAAATAGTCCTGTTCGATCTTGCTTGGCTCGAAGGTTACAACGCTACTTGGCTCGTAAGTTTTGACTTTGCTAGGCTCGTAGGTCTTGGTAGTGTTGGGCTCGTAAGTCTTAACAGTGCTGGGTCCGTAGGTCTTGACAGTGCTGGGTTCGTATGTTTTAACGCCGGCTGGGGCATATGACTGGATGTAGCTTGGTTGAACAGGCTTCACGATGCTTGGCTCGACCGGCTTCACTGAAGAGGAATCACGCTTGCGGTCACGGTCCTTGCCTTTTCCCTTGTCCTTGCTTTTGCTTTTGTCTTTGTCTTGGTAAGACGAGATCGCTGCGCTCGTAATTGCTGCGGCCGCACCGGCTGCGGCAGCACCAGCAATGGTGGACTTCCGGGTATCCGGTTGAAGGATATTACGCTCGCGTTCCTCCAGTTCCTTCTCCTTGCGATGCACAACAGTAGCAACGGAGCTGGCTGAGTCTCCCGTCCGCTGACGCTCCAGCTTATGGTGGGTCTCGTGTCGATCGGTATACTCTTGCGCCTCACGTTCCCTTCGTCGGCGCTCGGTGTCTTCGCGAATCTCTGTTTCACGCCTTGCGGCTTCCATACGTTCGACATACTCTTGCGCCTCATGTTTTCGTCGGCGCTCGGTGTCTTCTCTGATCTCTGCTTCGCGCCTTGCGGTTTCAATGCGTTCGGCTTCTCGCCGCTCGGTCTCACGACGCTCCCGTCGCATCTGCTCAGCGTCCGCCTCGAGATCTGCTCTGCGCTTAGCTTCCACTCGAGCTTCGCGCTGTTGACGCTCATGCTCTTCCGCCTCTCGAGCCTCGCGGATACGCATCTCTTCTTGCTGACGGCGCCGCTCATCCATGCGTCGATCGGCCTCAATCTTGGCCAGGCGCTCAGCCTCCATGCGTCGATCGATATCAATCTTGGCTAGGCGTTCCGCCTCCATGCGTTGTTCGGTCTCAATCTTAGCCAGACGCTCGGCATCCATGTACTTGCGAGCCTCTTCCTGTTGGCGTTGTAGCTCCCATCGGCGACGGTCGTCTTCCTGGCGGGCTTCAATTTCACGGCGAAGCTGCTCTCGGCGACGGTCGTCTTCTGCTTTCTGGGCTTCTTCATCTCGCCGTTGCTGCTCCTGTCGGGCATGCTCCTCTTCTGCTTTCCGTGCCTCGTCGTCTCGCCGTTGCTGCTCTCGTCGGACAAGCTCCTCCTCCTCCCTACGAGCATCGTCATCTCGCCTCTGCTGATCACGCCTGCGACGATCTTCCTCGTCTTGTCGGTCTTGCTCCTTTAGCCGGTCGCGCTCAACCTTGGCGACTTGCTCCTTGGTCAGGTCAAAGCGTACGTTGCTCGGACTGTCTCGGCCTTTGGTAGCAGCGATAGCAGCGGCGCCGGCTGTGGCTGCAAGCCCTAGGAGGGCTGCATCACGCCTGAAAGAGCTCTGGATAGGTGACGAATTTGTGCGACGAAGTGCTGAGGGAATTGCAGGATGATGAGGAGCCTGCACAACGACGTTCTGAGTTTGGTATTGTGCTTGGCTAGGAGGCTGGATAGGTACTTGTGAGAAGACGGGAGGTCCTGCGGGTGCAACGTAACTGGGTTGGGATGACGGCTGGGTGGAGTAGATTGCTCCAGGAACCTGATACTTTGGCTGGGGTTGTTGTATGCTGATCGTGCCTGGTCCTGAGGTGAGAAGAGGTTGGGGCGTCGGAACGGAGCTCGTTCGCCTGGCATCAATGACTGCGTTGGGGTCATATGAAGCGACAGGGTAAACTGTTTGCAGCGTGTGCACACTACTCGATTCGCTTTCGGGGCGTACAAGGACGCCAGTTCCAGTAGCTGCCCCAGTAAGTGCTCCTCCAGCTGCAACAGGCCCGATGAGCGAGGTGCTAGCAATGTTGTCGTAGAGGTTTTCCGATGACCTTCTCTTCTTCTTGCCAAAGCCCCAACGCCAGCCCCATTTGTTCGTGCCGGAGCCATTAGAGGCTAGAGACTCCTGGCTCTTGCCCTTCCGCCAATCGTAGTCGCCATAGACAAGGCCAGCGTCACTCGACGAATCCGAAGTTCCATCATCAGGCAGGTCCTCCCACTCATCGTCGCCGTATCGGGAGCCATGTCGGGAGCCGGGTCGGGGACGGTCGCTGCTCTTCCGGCCATGGCGATGCTCTTTTACTGCCACCACCTCACTATGGCGCTTGCTTGCAGACTTTCCAGCTCTGGCGGCTGCAATGGCTGCTGCGGTAGCGCCTAACCCAGCGAGAGTAGCCTTGATGTGGTCATCCGAGTTCCTTCTCTTGGGTGATGTTCGCCTGCGCCTCCTCACATATCCTGTGCCGAAAGCCATCTCAGAGTCAGATGAGGATGTCGAGGCATTGCCGAAGTTGAAGAAACCCTTCTTCTTCTTCTTGTGACTGATTGGCTTTGGTCGCTTCTCCTTCGGTGGAGGTGCAGCAAAAAAGCCTCCTAAGAAGCCGCCCTGGGACTGGTGGTTTTGTCCAATCTCAACAACGGAAGCTCCAGAGACCGAGCTTCGAGAAGACTTGCGACGTAATTGCTGAGATCGTCTCCTCCTGAGCTCATCGGCACTACTATCCCTTCGAGGATGCTGCATGACGACCTTCTTTGCAGATCTAGAGCTGCTGCGACTTCGATGCTTCTTCTTGGTCGCGGCTCCAAATACAGCTCCGGCTAGACCTGCACCAATTGCTGTGCCAATCAAGCCTGGCCTTCCGTCCCGAGAGCTGGAGCTGGAGCTTGATCGTGATTGTGACCGCGGGCGTCGAATGATCTTGTAGTCCTTCTTGTCCTTCATTACCCCCACAGACATCTGAGATGTTCGATCCCGTGAGCGACTCCGACGGCGGATGTCAGTATGGCCGTAACTATAGCTCTTCCGGTCGCGGGAGTGAGACCGGCTCCGGCTTCGTCGAGAAATTCTTGAGCGAGCGTCACGCCCAGATTTGATGCTATAGGTATCATCAAAATCGTCCCGCCCTGCGGCCCACACGGCTTTGCCAGCTTTTGCGAGACCAATGCCTCCAAGCCCTGCAGCAACCCAACCTGCAGCACTGGTGCTGTTTCTCTTACGCCTCTCATCACCGGATGATAACGAGCTGTGAGATTTCTTCTCTTTCAACGAATATCGAGACTGTTTCTCGATACCGCCAGAGGGCCGCATGTATTCGCTAGATCGCCTCTTATTGTAGTGGTGCTTGCGTGGCGCATCGTAGACGGAGGATCGAGGGTCAAAGCAGCCTTTGCAGACGCCGATATACTCGCTGTACTCCTCCATCTTTTGGATATCTTCATGATCCTTCCACCAGTCAACTAACCGGGATACAGGGCCTGTGTGCTGGTGTCTCTGGGTCATGCCACCAGCCGTGAAGGGGATGGAGGAGGGATCCACACCGTTGCCATTATAGTGTTGGATAGGAAAGGCCCCGGGTGTTGAAGAAGAGTAGTTGTGCGAGGTGTGATGAGAGTGTGAGTGTGAATTATGTTCATGCAGGCCATAAGCTGCGAGGCCAGCAGCTCCAGCGGCATAGAGTCCGGCATTGCTGCCAGACGATTGCTTCTCAGGCTTCCCGGGGCGGGGGGGCTTTGGAGGGGGCACACCTTCTGGGCCATAGGCAGCTCCAGAGTAAGGTGGCGGGTAGTTGCTACCGTCAGTAGCAGTATTAGAGGGAATTTCACCCTGGTAGTACAAGGGCGCGGATGCACTTGGACCACCATTGGTATAGGATGTCGGATTATAACTATTCGAAGCACCCGGGGTGCCGTTATTATAGGATGTAGAATGTTGGATATTAGAAGAGCTATAGCTTGTAGAGGTGTGTTGTGCGCTAGGCGAGCTGTGGCCCATGGCATATCCAAGAGCAGCTCCGCCAGCCAGAGTAGCAGCAGGGCCAAACTTGCTTGGCTTACTGGTTGAACTGGGCTTCGACGAGGGTCGCGGTGGTTTCTGCGGCGCGGGACCCTCTTCAATAAAAGTGCCAGGCATAGTCGAGCTTGAGGGTCGTGAGGGCTTTGGGGGCTTCGACGAAGGCTTGGAGGTGGAGGTGTTTATGCTGCCACCGTAAAAGTCAGCAGCAGCGCCCGACCCAGTGTCGGCGACAGGCATGGGTTGTGGTGCGGCAGGCATGAGGTGAGGGGTGTCTTGGCCTATGATAACAGAGGGTGCTTGAGGCCTAATACCAGGCTGCTGGTAAACAGAGGCACCTTGGTCGTTGTAGTAATCGGCTGCTGCGCCAAACGGATTCCCGCCAGGCAACGTACTCGGGGCATACTGTGCCGGGTCCTGGCCAGGGAACTGGTCCTGGACATGGCTCGACATGTTGCTTGTATGCGGGGGCAGGCTTCCTGCTGGCAGAGCACCAGACATCATGGGCGCTCCTGCTTGGCCTGGAAACTGCGAGAAGCCCTCGCCGGCAATCTGGCCGCTGAAGCTGCGCTGGACTGGCTTTGGGGTTTCGACAATGTCGCCCTTGTAGCCGCCAGCCTGCGACAAGCTCCCCGACCGCTCTGAGCGCGTCGGCCGTCGCCACTCGCCCTTCCTGTCCTTTTCCTTGTCCTTGGTCTTTTTCCGGTCCTTGTCGTCACGGTCTCTGCTGCGTGATCGGTCGCGCCGTGTTGTTGATGCCGAGGAGGCTGCATAGCTGATGGGCCGGTCATCGCGCCTGCGGGCACTGCGTTCATCGCTGGGGCCGTCGTACAGGTCCTCGTTGGCCCGCGAGCGTGGCATTTCGTCAAAGGCCGTCGCAAACGAGGCAATCGAGGAAGGCGCAGTGTCGCGTCGTGAGGGCCTGCGTGTAGAAGTTGAAGAAACGACTGATCGTGTGTCGGAATCTCTATCGCGCCTCGAACGCGTGGATTCGCTGGTGCGGCGGCGGCGGGCCTCGTCGTCTCTGTCTCTGCTGGAGACGGCCGAGCCGCTGTCGCTCTTGCCCGTAAGCCTGCTCCACATGATGACTGCTGGATCGAGGTGGGCGGGGGCAGGGAAGTATTAGGTGGTGGTGTTGGCAATGGGGTGGGCGCAAATGAAGTGATGGATGGACGTGCGAGATGCTGGGTATATCGCTGCAAGTAATGCAAGTAATACAAGAGAGAGAGAGAAAGCGGTTCAAGTCGTCATATCGTGATGATGCTGTGTACAGTAGCTTGATGCAGTGTAGCTAGGGAAGAAGTGCGCGCAATGCCAAAGGACGGAGATGGAGCAGCCTCTCAGCGGTCCTCGTCGCAACAATTGGTGTGTAGATGGATGGATGGAAGCTGTTTCTACTACTACCACTATACGGTGCTCGGGCTGGGCTGGGCTGGGCTTGCAGGTGGACCAGCAGCCGAACAACTCACTCGTCCCATGTCGCTAGCGCAGCCAACATGGGGACGGGGGGTTGGGTGGCTGGGCCAATGGCTACCTAGCTGACGCTGCCCAAACATCGCCTCCAAGATCCATGCTCAGCTGAAGCGGGAAAAAAATAATACATACAACGACACGACTCATCAGTGAGCAGGGCCAGCAGGAAGCCCGTGTTATGGGTCTTTTTGTTTTGCTACGACACGTCTTGGTCTGTTTACCCAAGCTCTCCACTGTTACCCGGCAACCTTGGATCCAGGGTCTTTCTCCCACGCACCCCCCTGACAGATTAACTGAGACGCTTATGTAATACAATTTTGTGCCAAGCTGTGGCACAGTCACTAAGCCACAGTAAACTACCTATTCCTATTGGCCCGCTTATTGATGGATTACGTCACTGTCTCATTCTTTTTGTCAGGGGGGTGCACGCTGTTCCCGGAACTAGGGTCGCATTCCAACTGTCAAAGTGCTTGATGAGCAAATTAAAACTAGTAGTAGACGTAGTAGCGGTTGCAATGATGATGTTTATATTTGCTTCAGTGCCATGTGACACCAAGGACGTGAGGGTGTAGATCTAAATCCTCAGCCAAGTAGCCACCCGCCAAGCTCCAGTATGATTGCAGCCCTCCCTCAACCTTATTCCACCTCCACTAGTCTACACAGTATCCTCCTCCGACTCAGCTGCTTCATCCTCGGCCGCGGTATCCTGCTCCAAATGCAAATCCGCCAGCCATTGCCAAATCTCCGCCTCCTCTGGGAAACAGGTTGGACTCGTGAGGCCCGCATCCCACATGAATACTTTTACAAAGTGCGCTCTGTCCTTGTGGCAAAGTAGCCACAAGGCCTTCAGGACCCTATCCGCAACATACTTGTAGTGTGGGTCATAGTTGCGCCTCTCAGATAGCATGTGCTCAAGCAGCCAGTTGCACCTCTTCTGGAAATTGCCGTCTCTGATCTGTACATGGAGGCAACCACGTATGCGCCTCCATCCCCTGGGACCACACTACGGCCGTCCGCCAGACATTAACATCTGTCGAATCTGCATAATCTGCGCGCGGTACTCGGGCGTCAACTGGTCAATCTGCTGGGGCGTCAAAGCCATGACCTGGGCATACAAAGCTGACTGGTCCATAGCAGGCGGCTGCTGTTGCTGTTGTGGAGGAGCTTGTGCGTATGGCTGCGGTGTGGATTGTTGGACCTGCTGCGGTGTAGGGACAGGCTGCGGTGGGTATACGGGGTAGTTTACCGGCGGTCGGGCAACTGGCGGAAGTTGCTGTTGTACCGGCGGGGCTTGCGCGACCGGAGCAGGAGCAGCCGATGTCTCGACGAGCGAACCGAGAATCTGCGGGTCGACAAGCTGCAGAAGAAGGAGCGACTGAAAGATGGCGTAGGCAAGCTGGGGGGCCTGTCGCAGCAGCTCCGTGGCCTTGGAGGGATCCGTCATGACCAGGCCCTTCATCTGGGAGAGAATGTCGAGGAGCTGCTCTGGAGGCAGTGTAGAGAGCGTGCGCGAAATGGCGTCGGGGCAGGTGAGCGTGGGTGGCAGTTCGACGCCAGGCGGGAGAGGGCCCAGGGCACTCGACTGTTGCGCCGGTGCTGGGGCTGGTGCTTGTCCGTTCATGGGTGGTTGGGCGTCTCGAGTCGAGGGCGCGTTGTCACCAGAACCGCTCTCGTTTGACCAGTCGACCCTCAGTTTCCTTCCCATCAGATCATAATCGTTAAGGTTGCGCACGGCGGAGGCTGCTGCGTCGGCATCGGCGAATTCTGCGAAACCAAAGCCCTTGGGTCGGCCTGTTTCCTTGTCGTAGACCAAGCGAAAGTTATTGACCTGTCCGACGCGCCCCAGTGTTTCGATAATGAGCTCCTCAGTGCCGCCTAAGTAAATGTATTAGCAATGCGCCTGGCGCAGGGAAAGACGTCGCATACCGTAGGGAATGTTCCCGATGAAAACAACCCGGCCCGCTTTGTCGTTGGGCGCCATAATGGACAATGTAGATGACACGGGGAGCCTTGTGGAAGGGGAAACCGTGAGAGAAAGGTTGGAGAGGAGGAGGTTGGTTGGGGACGATGTCTCTCTTTGAGCTTTGAGCTCTGAACTTCGGAAAGGGCACGCGAGGCTTGGCGCCAGTGTCCTTCATTGATAGGCAACGTCTCGCAGCAGCTTCACTACCTGACATCAAAAAATCTCGACTTTGTAATTACAATGATTTCCTTCCTAAACTGGTCTTTCATTGCATCTCTGGTATATCTCGCAAACCACTGTTCTTCGTTACTCCAAGACCACTCCCTCACAGCTTCGGCACACAACACGTCCCATCCTCGCCAACGACCGCCTCAACACTAGGCTGCTGGTGCTGCTCGCTCAGTAAGCTGCTCTTGTTGAAGCTCTGCTCGGATGGTGGTACATCAAGTGCCGGGTTCTTGTCAAAGAAATTGACTGGTTTCATGTGGATCTTCAGGATCTCGCATGGCATGACCGGAAAGTCTACACCAAGTCAGCCAAGGCTCGCAATAGTTTCTCATTGGCATGCTTCTCACCTTCAAGTCTCGGGACATGGTTGATACCCGCCTGGATATAGACCACAAAATCGTCGTCCTTGACATTCTCATTCCTCTCGGCCCACGACCTGACACCAGTCCCACCTCGCGACTGATTCGTATACAGCCCACCCGCGAACAGCTCGCCATCCCTGTGCTTGACCACATAGATATTGTGGTCCGAGAACTCTGCACGCTTGTAGTTGAAGCTGTCCTTGTCTGATAATATCTTTTGAAACGGCGGTGCCTGAATCTTGTATGACACAGGCTTGCCATTCACTGGGTTCCTCACATTTGGGTTTTGAATCTTGAAAGTCCGGTTGTTCTCGTAGGCAATGTCGTAGCCGCCGGATTTCTCAACGATGGTTTCTTGCACATAGTAGCCTGTACCGTGTGGGTTCCAGTCTGATCGTGGCATGGGGAAGGCTTCGTCGTAGACGAGGCGGTTGGAGTAGCCATCGAGCATGGGATCGACACGCAGACTGAAAATATGCTGGTGGTGGACTGCGAGGACGCCAGGATGTACAACAGTCCCAAAGGGTACTTCAACGCCTTCATCCACAGGCTGTGTGCTTAGGATACCGGTAGCGCGAATCTCGTAGTCGATTTCTCCGGCCTGATTGAAAATGAAGGCAAGGATGTATTCGTAGTTCGACACTGTGATGATCGATTGCAAGACTAGCTCTCGAGATCGTACGACTGCTGCGCGGCCAGTTCGGTAGTTGGTGTGTTTCCAGCCAATCCCGGCGTCTTGCTCATGTATACAGACGACGTTGGGCATATCAACCACCCCGCCCTTGTCGTCCGAGAGTACCGCGCTCAGGTAGTAAATCGAGCCCAAGCAATCACAGCCCAACTTCAAATTGTTCGCCATGATACCTGCACCAACATCGCCGAGATCGAAGGCGGACTTCTTGTGGAACGGGTGCCTAGGGTCAGCATACGGAATGTTCATATCGCTCAAACTCAGGCGGTAGAACAGACTGCGGTTGTCGTACCGCACATCATACAGCACCATACCCTCACGCTGATTGAAGCCGACCCTGAACTTCCACTTCTGCCAAGACAGCACGCTCGATGTGCCTTGTTGCTGGACTTGGAAGCTAGCACCCTCCGGCTGAACAACATTCAATGGCTTCAAGTCTGTTCGTAGAGTCTGCGCTTCTGGGATGTACTCGTTCGGCGGCTGAATCTTATACTTCTCAACAGGCTTGATCGTGTTATCAGCGCCGGTAGGAAGGAGGTCCACTCGAATAACCGTCATAGTCTCGCTACTGATGACCGGTGATATCGGTAGTGGCAGGGCATAATGATTCGAGTCAGCTTCCGATTGGTTCATGGGGTCTCTGAGGTAGAGGAAACACTGGAATAGTCGGTCCTCGTCGCCAATGCCATCGGAGCCGTAGATCCAGGGGTCGCTGATGATTACCGTGCCTTCGGGGAGCTGTAACTTGGCAATCTCAGCTTGGACTTTCTCGTCAGCGAGTGCGATCTTCTCGATGGCGACAATTTCATCGGCGTCTCCATTTGCGTGGACGAATGGGCCAAGTAGAACATTGTGTTCTACCCGCCCTGACGTCACATCAACGATTGCTTCGTGGAATTTGTTCTGGAGTTTACAATCAGCTCTAGCCACGTCTCGCTGACAGAAATGCAAACTCACGGTGTTTCTGATATAGTAGTTGATGAAAGCCTTCCTACTGAGCGCTGGCAATGGCTTCTGGCTATGCTCGGCCTCCAGATACTTCAACACCTCGACCTTGGGTGGCTCCTCCAAAGTGACGACTTTGAAGTGCAAGTCCGTGTGCGCTGGCCATGAAGCTTTGATTATAGCTGCTGCAGCTTGAAGTTCCGAGGCTGATAGTGGCGCAAGTGGATGCGAAGACCCTGTTTTTGCGTTCTGCGGCGTTGGGTCGGTAGCGAGTTCTGTCGACATATTTACGAACTTTGATAAGACACCAGGATGAAATCTCGATCGCAAGTGGGAGTAAGGATCTCGAGATGGTAGATGGTTTTAAGGGCACCCGGGAGCTCACGTCCGTTACCTGGCTCGTCCTTTTGTGTGATTCAACCTTCGCCGCCTCGATAAGAAAGTGGGACTACCGTATCTTCGGACTTGGAGTCGTCGCAAGGACCTACCGCGTTCGAGTTAGCGGCTTTCGACTTGGTGAATGTGCCGCATCTCGGCGTGAGGGGTGGGATGCAGTCACGTGATGCTGATGCAAGAGTACCCCGCTCTTTTGCTGGCTTTGTCACCACACTCTACATATGTCGTGTACAAAACGATACCATGTCAGCATATCTTGAGACACTACAATATTTTCATAGATGCTCAGGCACATCCGGCCATGTGCTGACCCTGCCTAAAATGCCTGTAGGCTCATAGGAAGCACAACCACGAAAGCGATTCATGAATTTGCCAGGACTTACTGCCTCTCAACTCCGCCCGGGCAAATAGCTTCAAATCACCTCTTTGGCTCTCTACTGTCGTCTCCTTCAAGGTTTTAGCCATCGCCCATTGTTTGCGCAGGCCATTATCCTTATTTTATCTTTTAGATATGACGAGTGAACAACTCTAGCCGCTCTTTAGCCGCTACGAATTTTCGAATGTTCAAAACTTCGTCGGGAATCCAGGCTATGCGCTCCTGACAATCTGTCACGAAGCTGTCTGTCGTGTTTCGAGGAAGGTTGTTGATGACGGTCATTGCTGCGTTGTCATGTTTCCAGCTTATCCCGGCCAAGGCTGGAACTTCTGTACTTGACCGATGCATTCCTCCGCAATCATTTGCGAACCCTCCTCTCATTTTACCGCAGCTTATGACCCTAGTAGAGTATGAGACCTAGTCTTGTTTCCACTTCTCTTCGAAAACTCCGTGTTCCGCCTTAGTCTTCCGCAAGGCAATTTACTATATTGCCACAGATATTAATCTACCTGTCGCGAATCCTGTTCCACCAGGCACCAACCTTACAGTGCCCACTGTAAGCGCACGGCGAATACCCTACTCTTGCATTGTTTCCGGCTCCTTGATCGCCATAGGAGAATGTTTTCAACTCCTCTGATCACGCTTGGGGCACAAAAGGCCATTCGCGGAGGGTAAACATCGCACGTCTCGATATTACCTATCCTATCATAGTACGCGAACCTTGCCTCTTGGGCACCACATCAATTCCAGAGCCGATACTCAATTAAACACACTAGCAAAGGGTATATGCAGTTTGTCTCATGATCCGGTTCGTCTACCGACATGGAGACCCCAGAGTACCCAATGTGACGTGCTTTCATTTCAATATTCATGCCTAGCCCAATCAAGGCCGGACGTTTAGTTTACTTGGAGAAGCACTAGGTGCCGTAATATGGGAATGGATGCGTCCCTCGGCCGTCAAGTCATGGAGAAAGGATATAAAGGTTGCGGAACGCCTCTCGTATTGTGTACTACGATCTTCAGCACTCTTAAAATCCAAACATCAGTATCAGCACTCTCTCACTCATCAGTAATCATGAGGTGTGTCGCTGTCGCCACTGTCGCTTTTGCGGCCCTCGCTGAGGTTGCGCAAGCTCATTGTATGTTCACTCATCCACGATCTACATGCCCAATACTAACAGTCTCTAAGATATGTTCCAGTTCTTAACCGCGAACGGCGCAAAAGGATCCCAATATCAGAACATAAGGCCCGTACCGAACAACTCTCCGGTGACCAGCCTTTCCAGCAACGACCTACGCTGCAATGTAAATGGTGGAAGCGGAGGTTCGACCACCACCGTCGCAGTAGCTGCTGGATCAACCGTCTCCTTCACCGCCGATCAAGCCGTTTATCATCAAGGCCCCGTGTCCTTCTACATGAGCAAAGCCGCAACGGCAGCGACATCTGATGGCTCTGGTGACTGGTTCAAGATCAAGGAGATCGGCCCTACCTTCTCCGGTGGTCAGGCGAAGTGGGATATGAGTGGTAAGTGCGATCTCACACATTGCTATGAACAATCAATTAACGTTCTTCTCGCAGCCACCTACTCCGTTCCCATCCCATCCCAAATTCCCGCTGGAGAATACCTTCTGCGCATCGAGCAGCTAGGCATCCACAACCCCGGCAGCCCACCTCAGTTCTACATCTCCTGCGCTCAGCTTAAGGTCACTGGCGGCGGCAGCGGTAACCCCTCTCCTACCGTCAAGATCCCCGGACACGTCAAATCGACCGATTCTGGATACACCGCCAACATCTACAATAACTTCAACAGCTATGTTGTTCCCGGGCCCAAGGTTGCGACATACTAAATGCTCCTGAACTGACGGTGAGCGATTCATCGATCAAAGTCGCTTTTCGAAAGTAGTATCCAGCACCGCGTTCAAGTCTTTCTCTTTTCTTTGTACATACCTCTATATTGCATACCAATTTCAACATTTGATACAGCTGCGTTCAACTTCGGTTTTCATTTTCAGGTTTGTCTATTGAATGCATGCATCACCCACTGTTGTCTCACTTTGAGCCTGCCATGAAGCTTCGTGTGAGTAGAATGCACTAGTCAAACGAACAGCATTGCTTAGCTAGGTTGGATGGCCCTGTCGTTAACTACTACCACTAGTTATCGGTGTCATACTCGACATCGCAATTCCAAGTAGGCACCCTTATGTGAACATTTTAGGGATTCACTAACGTATGACAGGTGCCTTCTAGTGTTCCTCTGTTACGCTCCTTATCTTTAACGAAGGCACTTCAATGCTTCGACCTGCCGTTTGCCTAGCCTGAACGGATTCGACACATTGACGTGTTCGTCCTTCAAACATCGCCTTCATTCTACTAACGCTTCGCCTTGAATTATCAATTTATGAACTTCTGCTGTTCGTATTGGCATATCTTCATACCAACACCCTCAGCCTTCACGCTTCGTAATTATGGCCAACGCCTCTCCACTGCTGTCCCACAGAGATAAAGGGCGAGTCGTCCACTGTTCTGCATACACATCATTATCCTCGTCTTCTTTCGCCCTTTCATATTTATTGATAATCAGAAGCTCTTGCGTACAAGTCACAGCAATCCTTGCGTCAGCTACTACGCCCTACTCCTGAAAATCAACCCTTCTTCTCCCGTCTCCCACTCTCCGTCTTCCCCACGATCAATGGCTGGCGGTCCTCCACTAGGTCAACCCTGGCTCGCAAACGTCGGCAACAACCCCAACATCAACCGCGAGCCTCCACCCCCTCCCCTTAACGCTATCCCGGGCGCTCAAGCACCTCCTCCCCCTGGTGCCGGTGGTCAGCACCAAGTCGTCGTCGAGCAGCATCAAGCACCAGTCTACGGTCCTCCAGTCCCCATCGGCATCGGAGGCCCGCCAATCGGCTTTGGTGCTCCACCATTCGGTGTTGGCCTAGGCATAGGTGCGTTCCCACCTTTCGTTCCACCCATTGGCGTCGGCATGATGGACCCTTTCATGTTCGGTGGCTACTATGGTGGGGGTGGGGGTCCTCTCGCGCCTATCCGCGCTGGCAACTTTTTACCTGGCGCTCATAGCGGAATAGGCTTCGGGCTGCATGCTGCCGGCGTGCCGTTTCCGCCCCCGCCTCCGGGTACTATTGCAGGCGTAGTCCCTCCTTTCGCTCCTGCTGCACCGCTGTGGGCGCCGGGCGGCGGTCTTGCATTCGGGAATGTGCCTGCTATGGGCGTTGGAGGTGTGTATGCGGGAGGAATGATGGCTCCCATGATGGGTGTTGGTGGTATGGGTGCTGCGGCGCCGATGCATGCTCGACCTGCCCCCATGGTGATTGACGGCAACATGGGCTTTCCAGCGCAGCCTGAACAGCAGGAAATCACGCAGATTGCGGGTGGAATACCGCCTGGCGTCGCGCTCATTGAGCCCAATGAGCATACCATCATCATTCAGATCAAGGGGAACGTCTGTCCTTGGCTTTCTCCTGGCGCGCAGTTCCAGGTCGAGCCGCTGGCCATGGCAAGTACGACTGGTCTGAATCGTTTAATCCAGATCTGCAGCAATGGTGCGAGTCCAGAGGATTGCGAGAATATGGCCGTCACCGAGTGTATTGAGCTGGGCAATGGACTCTGGGAGAAGGGCCAGACGTTTAAGTTCAATGATGCGGTGTCGAGGGTGCTGACTATGAAAGATGCTGGTTGGGACAATACCAGGAACAGGACCAACGGGAACAGTCTGCACCTGTGGGCTCATCAACTCTAGATAATATTTGTAGTTATCTTGGTAGTTATTTCCAGGTGTTCGTGTGATTTGCGTATTGGGCTGGATAACGAGGTGGTCGGCGTTGTGCGGCCAATGATGTATATTAAAGCGTCATGAGGGTATCTAGAGTCTAAAACAATAACGACATGCCTGTGCTTCATCAACGAACGAATATCTAGAAATTTTGTTACAAATACGTCTTGCTCCTTTCACCCGTTTTCAGCTGCTGTTGCATTCAATGTCTGGGATGTCACCTTCGCCTTCTCCCCGCCTCCCACTTTCTTCCACAATCTTCCCAGCCATCTCTCCTTTACCGCCTTCAAGACAACATAGGCGAAAAAGCGATACGCTATAGCACATATTCCCAAAGCCATGAGATTCATCTCCGGATTCTTATTGAGTTTGTAGAGGTTTAGCGCTTCCTCGCCAGTAGTGATCGGACACCGCCCGTTGATCTTCTGCCAGTCTTCGCAGGTGAAGTGGAGGCCGCGAAGGGTATATGGTGCCAAATTTCCAATGGCCCATTTGATAGGAGATAGATGATTCCAGGCTTGCAGAAACTTTGGAACATCGAGGGACAATACGCCACCCATGACTTGCGCAACACTGAGAAAGACCGACATGCAGTTGACCGAGAAGCCAGTATGCGTGAAGAGGGTATTGAAGGCAATACCCAGACTCTCGCCACAACTGGTGATGCAGAACGCGTTGAAGGTGACAATGAAGAACGTCGTCGCGTCGCGCTCTAGGCCGCAAGCTAGAACGGCGAGAATAGAGAAGATGATGCAACTAATAATTTCGAATGGTGTTGTAATGGAGATATAGGTGAGGTAAAAGGCTTCAACTCCGTAGATGCGGTCATCGTAGTCGCGGTAGAACACGTCTCTCTCAACGGGGTATACGGCGATGTTGTTTAGCACTGTTGCTGATTAGTACAGGTATTCCAAGTTGCACAAAGAACAGAACTTACTGCCAACGAAGTAAAGTGGCGCAATCTCAACTATAAATCCTAGCCTGTTTTGAATCGCAAAATAATTGTTCTTGAGCGGTGCAAAATACAAGGCTAGAACAAGACCCAGGCCTACGACTTGCATAATCCTCGCAATGAGGATCTCTGGCTGACGAAACATATTCTTTGTAGCACGTCTGATCAGGATCGAGTACGCAGAAGAAAACGAGGCTGGCTCTCTCGCCAAACTTCCAAGTTCGGCTGGTGTAGCTATAGAGCCAGTTTGCGCGAGAGGAAACATGTCAGAGCTCCATGATTCGATCAATTTGAGCACTTTCGCTCGGCTGGCTGCTTCGCGCGTTTCGTGCTGAAGGTCGACAGTGATGAGATCGAGAGCAAAGTCAGCGGGATTGACATGCTGAGGGCATGCGTAGTCTTGGGTGGCAAAATGGCGGAGCATGTTGGCTGCGGGGCCAGCATACACAGGATAGCCACCACGGGCCAGGAGTAATATGCTGCCGAAGTGAGCGAAAAGATCCGATCGTGGTTGGTGGATGGTCACGATCAGTGTGCGTCCCTCACTAGCTAAACCTCTCAGCACGTCCATGATTGATAGAGCTGTAAAGGCATCCAGCCCAGACAACGGCTCATCTAGCAGTAAAATGCGCGGTTCGGTGAGAATTTGTACCGCAATGGTTACTCTTCGCTTCTCACCCCCACTGATACCCTTAACGATGTCATTTCCAATCAGGTTGTCCGCGCAGTCTTTGAGGCCCATTTTCAGGAGGATCTCTTCAGCTCGCTGAACTTTTTGCTCCTTGGACATCCATTTCGGTAGCCGAAGACCCGCAGCATAACGTAGAGTTTCGCGGACTGTTAGAGAAGCCAGAAGCGCGTCATCGTCCTGAGTAACAAAGGAACAGATGGAGTGAACAACATCCAGAGAGGGCGCAAGCCCGTTGTAGCTCATTGTACCATACTGCTTATATCTCGTTGACATGTCGTCTTTGAGTCTTCCGGCCATACTGTTCAACAAAGACGTCTTCCCAGATCCAGAGGGACCCATGATTACGTTCAGCGATCCGGGCTGAAATTCCGTAGTGAGTGGCTTGAGAATAGCTTTGGTCCACTGTTTGCGCAAAGACCGCTTTTCAATGTCCATACCATAGCCCTCGAGCCTGATATTGATTGTTCTGACATCGCCCGCAGCACGCTCGCCCATTTTCTCCTTGCCAGCTGAGGCATCCATATTCGAAGGTCTTGCGCGAGCCATTGCGATCTCAGCAGCCCGAAAGTTGAGCAAAATGCCTGCACCGATATAGAAGGCAATGACAAAGCCGAGGAGCGCGAGGATGGGTCTCCAAACCCAGTTGTCGGGGAAACCAAGCGAATCCAGAATGAACTCTCCCGTGTACTCCTTGCAAGCTGGATTCGAAGGACCACCCTCAAGTGGACAGTCATAAAATTTACCGGTAAACTCGTTGGCGCACAAGGCCCCGAAAGCATAGAATACGTAGGCGATCCACTTGGTCCAGCGAACATAAATCGGTATAGTGTTGGACTGGATGAAGTAACCACACGCCATCGACTGCAACGTATATGCAAGATTGGCGACCAAGCTCGCCCCGGCAAAGTTTCTGGAGACAGCGATGCAGGTCATAGCAAAGCATACGGCGATATACTGATGTAATAAAATTATTCCGAAGAAAGTAAGGAACTGGCCTCCGTCCGCGCGGAAGCCGCAAAAGAAATAGTAGATGAGCGAAAAGACCAACGGTACCGGAATATCTTCGATGAATACTCGAGCTAATCTCCTTGATATTAGGAATGCCGGAATGCTGACCACACCTTGGCGTGCTTCTTCATCGAACAATTGTATATCGGTAGTAAGTCGATACGTCTCGTAAAGAAGGATGAGATAGCCTTGGAGCGCGGCTGCGTTGTAGAGTGCGCCTTGCCGAGAGCGGATGCCTGAGAGTGAGCCGTCAAGCTGCAGGAAGATCCAGCCTGTGATGATCGCCATCCCAATCGCCTCAACGAGACTGCCAAACATACCCATAGGGTCTCTTATTGTTACTGTCCAAGTCCGCGCGGTGAGTACCCGGATCTGTTGCACGAGCGAGGTGTGTCTCCGTCCTTGATTCGATTTTGACTGAGCCCTCGTGACTGGGGCGAGAGGTGAGCCTGATCCATCCTTTTCGTCAACAGTGCCGTTGACGTGTGCTCTCCATGCTTCGATGATGTGGCCAACACGTTCTTGAGCAGCGCTCTCGGCCTCTTCGCTCCTGTTGTCCACGCTGACCAAGTCGATTAGATATTCTGCAGGATTTGTGAACAATGGCATGTCATGGCCAAGCTTTGCAAAATGTGGGAGGCAGTCTTTGGCGCTGCCAGCGTAAGCAGGATTGCCCCTCGTCAAGAGGATGACGTTGTCGAAAAGATTCCATATTTCCGATCGTGGCTGGTGGATGGTGACGATGATTGTCCGCCCTTTTCGGGCGAGGGTTTGCAAGGTTTTGACGACCTGATAGGCGCTGGTAGAGTCCAGACCTGTTGTAGGTTCATCCAGGTATAGAAGACTTGGGTTCGACAGGAGTTGAACACCAATGCTTGTCCGTCTCTTTTCACCACCACTACATCCTTTATGTGCGTGGTTCCCAATCCGAGTTTCTGCTGCTTCCTTGAGACCCAGCTCTAATATAACTTCTTCCACTAGTTGCTTCCTCTCTATTTGGCTGACGGATGACGGCAGTCGTAACTGCGCAGCGTATGTCAATGTCTCGCGGACTGTTAGAGTGGGAAGAAGGATGTCTTGTTGGATGACATAAGCGCTGCGTGACTTTGACGTATCTTGGGTGCCGTTGAACAGCGTGCGACCAGAGGTAGCAAGGCGTTTTCCTTTCATGCGGCCGCTCATTTGATTCAGCAACGACGTCTTGCCACTTCCACTCCCGCCTATGATGGCTGTAAGAGTCCCACATGGCATATCCGCCGAGATGTCATCGAGGATAGACTTCACATGGCTGCCGCTGGGGGGTGTTTTTCGCTTTGAGAAAGCTCGCGCAAAAGCATTTGGCGATTCGTCGACAGACACGGAGAGATGTTCGAGTCGCACTGAAACAGGGTCGACTTCGCGCAAGGAGATGGCATTTCGGTGGTCGTGGGACGTGTTGGTCGCAAAGCGGAGCATGGAAGCTGGAGGTGTGGGCTGCTCGCGGTCGTGATCCTTCAGCCTCGGCGCAGCTGCCTCTTCCGACCCATGCCTTTCGTCGCGTCCCACGACGCCTGCTTCGGCCTGGCGCTGCTCTGGCGACTCCATGGTGGATGATTTCACAATGGCAAGTCCATGTCCGGGTGATTGAGAAGAGGAAACGCCAACAAAGAGCTGCCTCGCCATCGGCAAGTCATCTTACGGGCGGCTCTGTCCCCTTTCACGCGTATGCGCAATTTGGTGTTAGCAGCCCGCCGCCTCGCTTACCAGCCGAAGTGGGTTGCAGGCTCGGCTGGGGGAGATCAGCGAGGGCAGCTGTTGGAAGCGCGTTAATGAACAGGACCATCGTCAAACTTCGTGACGTTTTACCACGAGGATCCAAGACAGGACAACAACAACAATGCTATTGTCCAACTAGCCACGGCGGCTGAGAGGATAGCAAGAGTCAGTGGTTAAAGCCAGACACTACAGCCGTTGCGCTTCCAAGCTGTCGGGCGGAAGCGAAACCCAGCACCCTCCCGCCACAACTCTTCCACCTGCCCAACTGGGCCCGTCGTGACAAGGCTAACGGCTCGCGTAAGGTTCGGATTGCGTCTTGTCCGACTTGTGCTTCTTCGTTGCTGCATGCCAATTGAGGGGGTGCGGCCCCGCATAGATCGTTTGGCTGGGGGTTGAGATTTGTACCAAAATACGGGACAACGACAACGACTCCTCGAGGATTGTATATTCAGCAGAAGCAAACGCGAGCACTCCATCTCCTACACGGTAAATCGAATTACCGTCGCTTCTTTCGTCCTTGATGCTATACTTGGAGAGGCTGCGATTCAGTCTCTACGAGACTACCAAGCGAGACTTTGACGCTGCGTCTTCTATTGAACGCACTGTCAACTGTCGTTAATAGCACAGTATCATCCCAACGAAGCAAATCGCCACTTCACGATGACCTCGACCACCTGCAAACTACTAGGAGAGTATTGGCCAATTTATATACATGTTCTGCTCGCTCCTGGTCAGAACAATTAGCCATAGAAGCAAGGCTTTCGGCCCTTCAAAGAGCGGAAAAGTCCAACCGATGGAGCACGCACTTGAGCCGGGAATTATGCTACCTGAAATCTGAAATCTATACTACAGCACGTGTCATCGGACAATGTCCCCTGTGTACATTTCGAGAACTATTTCTAGAAAGATTCCTGGCCGATAGGTCGGGAACACTTCCCCGTGTCTCAACTCTAAGAACTCGGCCAACCACCGAAAACATCAAGTCTTGACAACATGATTTAATGACCTGCCAAAGCCTAGCCGGTAGTGTATGCAAGATGGAAATAAAGTTATGTTTGACAGCCTTGGTCCTTGCATTAGCAGCACATGGGAACGCGGGAGAATGTGCAACCTGATAGATCTTGCAGTTTGCATATGCACTAAGGTTGAGACTACGGCCTTGAAAGCCGGACCGTAGGACTGAGTACCCATCATATGCTGCTAGATCTCAGACTCCAAGATCCTCACGCTGCAATCCTCTACGCTGAACTCGTCTAGACATTCACCGAACAGCATTCCACGGTCTTCCCACAATTTACCGTCCTTCTGATTAAGCATATGGTCGTCCAAGGCAGCATGCTAGTGCTTCACTACTTACTATCTCATGCAAGTGAAGCACACCGCACTCTGCTATGGCGCTTTTGTGGCTGAACAAGCGCACCGCCATGATCATCTTTCACCCTGGACCTCGTCCCCGGTATACAGCTTTCGCAATGCTCATACTTTACATACCACCACACTTCCACATCGATTGACCTCGACGCCAGGGTCAGCCCTACTATGTATCTGACACCGTTCATCGACGGCTAATCAAAGCGAAAAGCCACTTACCCTACCCTAGACCGCTGACAAGTGCCTTGAATCTTGAGTCAGCTGCAGGTCCATTAGAGCATCAGCCCAACAGCGTGCCCTGCTTCATCACATCAAACGCCTCCACTTGGCCCTTAGGGCCTACCGTTCGCATTAACAACTGATCACGTTTGCACCGAGGTAGGGTTAGGGGGACTGGGCTGGACTGGGGTCCTTTGCTTGCGCCTTTCTCTCGTGGACCTAAGCGATTTAGCCTTGTGCTGACATCGGTGTGATACTTCGTATGGCCACCACACACACACACCGTAAGGTTCCCACTATCGATTTGGCGTCATGACCTGCGTTAACCTGGTAGACCGTCCTTCTTGCGACAGCCATTCCATGCAGACTGAATATGCAGGCACCGCAGGCAGATCGATCGGTACGTACTGCTGGAGTTTTGAGGGCGGACTGCTCCCTCTTTCGGATGATGACCATGCACGGCACTACTTTTGGAAAGTATCACAACAGATACGGGTAGGCATATGGCGAAGCATGTGGTGCGTGTGGTTGCGGGAATAATTACTAATTAGGTCATGGTAGTGTATATGCGAACGGTGTGATGGTTCGAGGCCCTTAGTTCGATGATTGCTGCTGCCTTGTAAGCCTTCTTATCGGGTCATCCGGAAACTACGAACATCTCTACGACCGACAGGATGAGGGACTGGAACGGTCGGAGATATGGCACCGGATACTCATTTCTAACGAGGACGCGTACATTTGCGATCTGCTGAACTAGCGAAAGGTGTCGGATGGTGGTGTGACGACAACGTCATATGGGAGATGATGGACCTAGCGACTGATGCCTGCGATAATGTTTCGGAATTATGTGTAGGATTATGCTCCTCTTATCGCCAATTCACTAGCTAGTGCTAGGTACGCGATGTACCCAAGTACTTTCAGGCTATATGTACCCTTTCACCGGGACATATAACCCCCAAATTGCCTCATGCGTGGGGGGAGCCTCTTCAAATGGCCAAAAGCTATCCTGAAAGTCCTTCCATCATTCCTGTCCGACGAAAGCTTGTAACTCGCTGACAATGAGCCCATCAATCTAAGGGGCAACTCTTCCGAGCGCATCAAGGATAGCCGCGAGAGCCAAGCCATGTCCCGTCCAATGCGACGACCGTGCAACAAACTTGGAACACCCCACGCTCGCCGGAACCTCAACCATGGGCCGATCTCCAGTCGGCACATCTCGCTCGGTGCTCCTGACGAGCATTGCCCGGGTGATGTCCACGAGTCTTGACGCGCACGTATGCTCTGCTGGCCGCTGCATGAAGTTGTTCGCAACTGTCGCCGGCTGAATGCAAAAAGAACGGATTCAGACGCGGCTGCATGAGACTTGCCAAGCGCAGCCCACGCCTCCCACGCTATGGAATCTTCCAACGGGATTTGCAACCGTTGCGACACGAGCTGGCTGGATGGTCTGGACGACTAGGATTGGGATTGGAGGAAACGTCTGCCCCGGACGAGGCAGAGTCGAGACGCGGGAGCACGGGCGGGCTAACTAATGGTAGTGCACGCTGCTCCTCACCTGTCGCCGAGGCATTGTGGTAGATCGCTATGCAGTGCATTCTCAGGAGTTGGATTTAAAGCGAGCAGAGTGGAGACTAGCATGCATTTCCGTCTGCACCATGAGCTACCGCCTAATGCGTACATACGTGTCGTCAGAATAAGATGCTAGCCAACCGTTGTGCTGTCATTCCACGCGTCCACAACTGCCGCCATGCCATGTGTACGAGCATGCCTCGCCAATGCAAGTGTTATGTGCTGTCGGATCGACGCATACAGCCCAGGAACCCAAGCGCTGCATGTGCGGAACGGCGGAACGCAGCATCGCGACTCAAAACATGCATGAGAAGGAAGCGAAGTAAAGCGAAGCAAAGGAAATGCCACCAAGAGCAGAACTCAACCCCAATCCTTTTCCGAACACAGTATACCGACTGTGACAGGATGTGTGCCCACCCAATGCAGTCCACGGCCGTAGCGAATCGTTGCTAAAGAAATCACAAATGTCAACCCAAACAAGACTCCTTATTTGCACCCCATGTAAAAACCGCTCAACGAAATATGAAAGAGGCAAAGTACAGAACCGAAAGTGGCGTTTCGCGTTACTCGGTGGGCCAGCGTTTACTGTAGCCAGGGGAAGACCCTCACGTTACCAAGAAATCCCAACCTCGGGCGTATACCCTTTTCTCCCAATCCCATGACTCTGGATCCCCAGCATCCATGAGCATCCAAATCTCGTCGACCACCTCTTTTGCAAACCCAATGTTGCCTAGCCCAGTGCAGGCCATCAGGCCATTGAATGCTCTGTTGATCTCGACACGTTGCTCCTCTTCGAACGCTGCGCAACCGATGAGAAACAAGGGAAGTAGAACATTGCTCTGAATCCAGCCTTCTGCAGGTAGCTCGTTGATGTAGCGTATGCCCGCATCAACGGCGCTTTTAATGAAAGGATGAGGTTGGGAATCCTTCGTCGTGCGATATAGATACACCCACGTTGCTTGGCGATATAGCATGGAGATTGTGTAGCGAGGTGATCCGGGTTCCTGTGGACATACCCACCCGCGCAAGCCAGTGTCGATAGCGTGGGCAGCAAGCAGAGCCTCGTAGTCCATGGTCGGCTCTTGCTTGTTGTCTATTCGCGTACGAAGCCTTCGTCGTAGGTTGCTGGTCTTGGAAATGAAACCGAACAGGCCGTCCGATACACCAATCAGTGCAGCTGTCTCTGGATTTATTTCGAAGGGAAGATTGAAGTTGTCCATCATAGGCACTTCAGCGCCATCAAGGGACGTGATTTGACTTGCGATCCAGTGATAGTAGAAGAACTCGTCGAAGAGCGACTGAAACTCCGGGTTGGCGGACTTTTGGTTCATCGCAATCTGCTTGGCAGCAATCATGTGCATTCTATACTCGCCGGACGTGTTGCCATCGCAGATGGAATGAAGAAGATGTATCAAGATCTGGGCAACGTTAGAGTCCTCATAGACCATAACGCCGCCTTCCCCAGCCTTTTGCCGTTCGAGATCGTGCTTGAGCAGTTGTAGCGCTTTGCCTCGATGGAAGGCTTGTCTGTCTTCATACTCTTGTGACGGATGCACAGAGTACATGTGCGACGCTGATAAGCACAGCACAGAGTGCATCAGGCCCTCATGTTGTAGAGCCATCGGCAACAATATTCTAGTGAAAGGGTTCGTTGATTTCTCTCCGTGCAAAGTCAGGACAGCGCTGGCCCTGCTGGCGAAGTGTTGCAAGAGATCGCGATCAAGGTCGTTTTCGACGCCTTCCATGAGGGGTGGAAGCTCGAACTTGATGTCTAGGCTGCGTTTTCGGGCTACGTCTGGCTTAGCTTGACCCGGATTTAAAAAGCAAATAAGATGTTTACCTTCTGCTGCCCTCTCTTTTCCACTCTTCCATATTTCAACAGGCTTGTAGCCTTCACAATGAATATTGTTCTTCTGACACGACAGACCTGGAGTACGTTAGTCGTTGTTTAGTCAGAGGAAGTTAGAGGCGCAAATACAAAAAGGCTTAGTCTCGTCACACTTCTTTTTTCGTTTTCTACATGTTGTGCAACCTGTCTTCGATCTTTTGGCCCCCGCGGCCCCCGCGGTCGGAGAGCGAGGCGGATGTATTCGCGGCCGGCCACGAGCGCGTCGTATCCGTACAGGTTCTGTTGGGGAGATTGGTTCGTCTTCTGCCAACGGCTCTTCCTTCACGTCTGCTAATTGGAGCTCCGCTTCCTCAACCTTTGGTATTATCTCATTAGAGCCTGTTCGTTTCTCTGACCACTCTTCCGGTTGTGTTTCTGAGGGACTGAATATATTCGTGTCAAAGTTGGGCGTAGTCAAAGGAGATTCGCTGGTGGACGACATGGAGGGTTGTGGAGAAGAGCTGGTACTCAAACGAACGTGCGCACCGGGCGGCGGTTGGCCGAAGGAGACGGTCGAGATCATTCGGGCAAGCGATGAAGCAACCTGGGGGACTATTGGCGGGGAGAAGTATGCATTGGACGTACAATCCGTCCTAGGTATAAATGATGGTAACAGCGAAGAGATATGCTTCTAACACGTCTAAACCGTGCACAAATGACGCACAAGGGTGCAGACAGGGGCTGTCCTGTACTCTTGTTGCTCAATGCTAAGCAGAACTGAACCGGTCGTGGAACGAGGCCGTCGGACTTCCAACGGGGGAATCGGTTGGAATGTCACAAGAGGGTCCAGGCGGTCCGCTTCTAAAGCCTCGAGCGATCGCACGGTACGTTGCGCGAGAGCGGGGGAATGCGACTTTAGCGAGTCGTGGGCGCCGAGCAACGTCCAATAAGACTTGGTGGAACTAACGGCAAAACTACGTCTCCCGAGATGAACGCTTGAGCTGAACACAGACTCGAAGCAGACAGGGGCGGGCGATAACCAGTTATGCGGGTCGATAGTGGTTGCGGTTGGTGAGTGGAAGATGTTGATGATAGAAGAGAGAAGAAGGATTTGAGCAGCGCGACCGTGCGGAGAAGACAGAGGTAGAGGTGTGGGAGGGTGATCTACTGGGCGGGGATGTATTTATCGACTAGGTCCAGGATTAAAGGGTGTTGCAGAAAAGCGCCAGGTCGCACAACAAGGTAGAGGAGAGGATATTGTGAGTTAAAGTAGCGTCGCAGCAATAACGACCAATTCGCCTCCAATACAGGGATGCGGATAACCCTGGAACAGTGGTTCCCCTCTGACGGGCCGCGGGCTACTTAAAGCAGGGAGCAGGCCGAAGCTTGCAGGAAAGCACTGAGCACGCAAAGGACTGTGTTGACGATAGCTTGATGGCTTCGTAAAGAGTTGCCGGCGTGAGCGCTAGGTAGTAGGGAGGCTGCAAACCCTCGTGGAGAATCGAAACATGCAGGTCGTACTGTATGCGTTCGAGCGGTGTCGTATCTTGGGCTGCATAGTAGTCCGCTTCTCTAATACCGTTGGGTGGACAAACCTCAGCGCCGATGCCAGAGTCCAGGATAAACAGCGGGGACGGATGCTGCTGTGTGAACGCCGCGGCAGCTCTTTGCAGCATCGGGGAACCTGATTAGCCAGTGATGACGGCCAAGGTCGGCTCACGAAGATTGATCGCTGCTGCTTATTATCATAACATAAACGCCATTCACGGCCGCGCACGCAAATGGTTAGTGACTGCGTGATCCTCCTGTCGGTTTCGAAGCGTCCTTAGTCGACAATCAGCCCCACATCAGAACGAGAGCCAGCAACTCGTGCCACACCTCCGTTCAATTACTCGTGTATAACCTGACGACAATCTACCCGTGATCGATCTGGTCAAATGGTATGAAGTGTTCTACTACGCTTGAGCGGGCGTCGGGGCCATGGTTTAAAACAAGTGTAACGTATTAAGAGATGACGAAGCTCGGTAATAACTAGGCCGTGCTGAGCGTTTCCAGCATCAAGCCACAGTACAAGGGTAGCAGGGCCTGTAGATCCTAACAATGTCCACTGGCCCTGGTCGGTGCAGCGAACGGCCGGCCAAAGTTTGTTTGAAGAGGCATAGGCATCCCCGCAACTCGCTTGCACTCCGTCAGCAAGAAGCAATAAAAGTCGTATTTGTAGAGTCTGACGGGCAAATTTTATCCATAAAGGGTGTCTTGTTGTGTAAATCAGGCCTTAGCATGTCTAGATGTCGAGAATGGTGTGCGATGCGAAAACCAAATTTGATCTCCACAGTCAGTGTCGGAGCTCTCGGTTCCAGCCGAAATCAGGGTGCTTTGGAGACTCGTCTGGAGCCAGCTCCCCGTCTTCCCGTTTCCGCTCCGCCCGCACCGAACCAGAATCTCATTTCACAATGGAAATGCTCCACCCAGCGCAACAGGAGCGGTCGTTAACATGCCAAACGTGCGTGTTCGAAAAGCTGTTCGAAAAGCCGATGTCTTCCGCGTTGTCAGACACGTGTCCCTGAAGGGCAATTTCTTATGATGGGCAGCAATTGGAGCCCACCAGCTGACCGTGAATCAGACCATCAAGGCCAACGATCTATGATGATTCGGTAGGTGGCATCACCTCTGGGTCCCGTCTCATCGCGATGTGGAGCTAGCTGCGCTATCTCGACCAGGGCCGACTCCATTAGTAGTGCCACGGCTCCCGTCATCGATAGCAAACGTGAAAATCTTTGAAGGTATCCAGAAGGCTCCCGTAATTCAGATAGGTACCACCACATGTGCCCTACTACACTGTAGGTTTCTCAGCACGCAGTGGATGACCGATTACTTTGGAATGTGTTTTTACTAGCTGTGGGACATCGTGACGCATTTGATATTGATATAGAGGCTTTGCTCAATGCCTAAAATGTGATAATATGGAGAAACCTGACCGAGTGTCCCTGCAGCGTATTGACGGTGGCTGGTGGCATCATCATCGGTGGATGACGGGCATTAGCTCGTTATTGTGTATGGAACCCAACGGACAAATGCAGCCGAAAGTGGAGAGCACAGACGAAGCGGAAGTGTGACTTGCATATTTTAGCGGCACAGGCTAGCTGCGGGGTTGCCTAGGGGTTTAGATCTTTCTTATTCGTCAACATGCGACGCCAGGTGCAGTCGCCTGCATGAGTAGTTTGTTGAGCGGTTCCGAAAGATGCCTCTAGAAAAGCTGCTCTTGAGCCTTAGAAGCCTTGAAGTCGACAGTTCACCGGAAAATGGACCGCCAAATCGATTCGAGGCCTTTGCCTCAGAACGAGCTAGGGGGGGAATGGCGTTTCGTCGTTCTGAGCCAGCCGTGTCTATTACGCACGGGGCAGGGATGGACATTGTTGAGTCCGTAGCACGAGTGCTGCATGTCTGTGGCGGGGTAGAAAGCTTGTTGTGCGATGTCCTGCTTTCTCCGGCATCCTACCTTTGAGCACAAGCAACCTATTCAAATGGAAGGTATCCCCACTCTTACTTTGGCACTTGTAAATGAACAAGTCAATAATACTATGCTCGTGTATATTCAGTCGCAATTGTTGGATCTTAACTTGGTGGAAGCCTCAAGTCGTTGCGCAAGCTGACGGATGTGGGCCATCACGTGCTCGAAGTCCTCTAGGCTTGAGTTGATGCATACTGCATACACGAATGGACGATCTTCTTCAGACGATCGGACGGAGAGATGCAAAAGTACTTCCAGATGCAGGGAGTGATAGCCCGGCCCCTACAGTGGCTGGCGAAGTAGCAGCAATCCTACGGTTAGGTTTGAGGATGACAAAATCTCGTCTATCCTCAATAAGTCTAGCAAAGGCGGTAATGTAGCCAATAGCCCGGGGGCTGGCGTATCCAGGGTTCGAATCACATACGCCCCGTGCGGTGAGGTTGCTGCTTGTCGTGTTATGAGTAATGCTGTGAATTGCAAGGGTATATGACGTTAGCTCCGGATCAATATTCCGCCAAAGCTCCGGCGCTTTGACGGTTTGGTTCACCTCTCCATCAAAGAGTTCCATCAAGAGGTTACTCGACTCTATCCGTAAATACCATGCGCTCACAACCGACGTGTCGCCTCTACTAGATTGACTAGCGATTACCGTAATGTTCAACTTCACGCCTCTGCTAGGCGCACAGTCATCGTCACCCGCGTCTCAGTCGCTCTTAGAGTTCGATGGAGGGATCCAAGTACTCATAGATGTCGGTTGGGACGAGAGCTTTGATGTTGAGAAGCTAAAAGAGATTGAGAGGTAGGTTTCGAATTGGAGAGCCGAATGGACTCGCGCGGTACTGGACTGTCTGGCCCATACATCGTCTTGCGCCGCAATGTTAGCAAGCAATCGATACTTTATAGACACGCGCTTTATATAGAATACAAGCTGATATTGACCTCCCAGACATGTCCCAACGCTCTCATTCATCCTACTCACTCATGCCACAACGGCGCATCTCGGCGCTTACGTGCATTGCTGCAAGAACTTCCCTTTGTTCTCTCGAATACCCGTCTACGCGACAAACCCGGTGATATCGCTCGGCCGGACCCTATTGCAAGATTTATACGCGTCTACACCTCTTGCATCCTCCATAATACCTACGGAAGCTCTCAATGAGTCCGCATACTCGTTTCCCTCTACGCTGAAGGGCGGCAACAACCCTAGCATACTGCTACAAGCGCCGACTCCAGAGGAAATCGCCGACTATTTTGCCCGCATAAATCCTCTCAGATACTCGCAACCACATCAGCCTATCCCATCGCCCCATTCCCCCCCGCTTAATGGCCTTACGATCACGGCATACAGCGCTGGACACACATTAGGAGGTTCGATATGGCATATTCAGCATGGCATGGAGTCAGTGGTATATGCTGTCGATTGGAATCAAGCTAGAGAACATGTGCTTTCAGGAGCTGCCTGGCTTGGTGGGCCTGGTACTGGCGGCTCCGAGGTCCTGGAGCAGCTGCGTCGCCCTACAGCTTTGATTTGCAGCAGTAAAGGCACGGGCTTGGTCAAAGTTGCTAGGTCACCCAACAAACGAGATGAAGCTCTCCTCGCGATTGTTCGAGAAACAGTAGCCAACGGTGGATCTGTCTTGATTCCGACCGATTCTAGTGCTCGCATCTTAGAATTAGCATATCTCCTGGAAGAGACATGGCAACGTGAGACTTCAAAAGCGGATAGCAACAGCCCCTTGAAGAGCGCAAAGATCTACCTTGCTAGCCGAACTGGAGGGGCTACGATGCGATATGTACGAAGCATGCTTGAGTGGATGGAGGAGGGTATTGTGAAGAAGTTCGAAGCCGCAAGCGGCGCAGCAGATCCGGATCGAAGAAACCGAAATGGAAAAGACGACGACAAAGGCCCTAGAGTACCCTTCGACTTCAAGCACATCACACTACTTGAACGCAAAACACGCGTAGCTCGCATGCTTAGCGCTACCGGGCCGCGCGTGATATTAGCAAGTGACGCGACTCTCGAATGGGGTTTTTCAAAGGATGCTATCAAGAGTTTGGCAGCAGATGAGAAGAATCTGATCATCCTCACCGAAAGAGTTGGCGAGCTCGGTGCGCACGGAAAGGGCCTTGGAAGATATCTTTGGGACCTATGGAACGAGCGCATCACGTCTCCTGTGGATGCACCTTCTGCTGCTATAGTAGACGCTTCTGGTGATCAAGCCCCTCTACGCAGTATACGAGCAGTGGCCCTCGAGGGCGATGAGGTTCCACTATACCAGCAATTCCTCGCTAGCCAACGACAGCGACAAACTACTATTGGTGGAGATGCGGCTGCAATGCTGGAGACCTCTGCGGACATAGTCGACGATCGATCGTCCACAGAATCCGAAAGTTCAGAAGGCTCAGGCGATGGATATCGAGGAAAAGCCCTGAATGCAACTGTCGCCCTACAACATGCACGGAATAAGCTTGGTATGACAGACGCAGAACTGGGTGTGAACGTGCTCATTCGTCGCAAAAACGTGTACGATTATGAGGTCCAAGGGAAGAAGGGTAAAGAGAAGGTCTTCCCCTTCCAATTCAAGAAAAGGCGAGCAGATGATTTTGGAGACCTCATTCGACCCGAGGATTTCGCTCGAGCGGAAGAAGAGGACAACGTCGCTGGAGAGGCTCTTCGCGGCGAGGGGTCGAAAAAGGAGAATGCTGTTGGTCAGAAGAGGAGATGGGATGGTTTGATCGACGTAGCCGACAGCTCCAAGGCAAAAGGCAACGAGAAGCGGCGGAGAGCTGACGGAGAAGATGGAGGACGTGCTGATGGAGCAGAGTCAGACAGCGAGGCAGAGGAAGACGCGGACAAGGTGGAGGGTCCATCAAAAGTCATCATCGAGTGGGAAACTTTAGAAGTTCAGTGCCGGATAGCATTTGTCGACTTCTCGGGCCTACACGACCGTCGCACCATCCAGCAACTCCTGCCTCTCATTAAGCCCCGAAAACTCATCTTCGTAGGCGGAGAAGAAGTCGAAACCACGGAGCTCGCAGACGCCATCCGAGAATCACTCAACGCAAACACCGACTCGGCGAACGCCATCGACGTCTTCACTCCTGCAGTCGGCATGATGATTGACGCCAGCGTAGACACAAACGCCTGGACTGTCAAGCTTAGCCGCAACATGGTGCGCAACCTTCGCTGGCAGAATGTGCGCGGCATGGGCGTTGTGGCCATCACTGGCCGACTCGCAGCTGCGACTCTTAACTCTTCACCCGAAGTCGAACTCGAAGAAGCCCCGGCAAAGAAAAAGGCACGCCTCGACGCCCCCGCCGTCCCCGTCTCCTCTCTCGACAAGTCAGATACCACACCCATCCTCGATGTTGTGCCAGCGAATATGGCTACGGCGGTGCGCTCCGTTGCCCAACCTTTCCATGTCGGTGACTTGAGGCTTGCTGATCTTAGAAAACTCATGAACAACATGGCTGGTATGCAAGCAGAGTTTAGGGGTGAGGGTGTGCTGGTCGTCAATGGGACGGTAGCAGTGCGGAAGACGGCTACAGGGCAGATTGAGGTGGATGGCGGTGCGTATGGAAATGTAGATTCAAGAAATAGTGATGCGGCGACATTTTACAAGGTTAAGAGGCAAATCTATGAAGGGTTGGCGGTGGTGGCTGAAGGATAAGTGGGCGACATGGGCTGTATGGCATTTCAAGGGGAGTTTGGTGCGAGTGGTTTCCTTTTTCATATAAGTGGTTGTCTCCTACGAGAGGCAGTAGCTCAGGGCATCTTTAACCTCGACAAAGTATATCGTGCTATCTAATAACTGTACAACAATAACAACAACATGGGACACTATTTTGCACGTTATTTTCCTGATCTTGCTCACCTTCTAGGACTGTCGATGTGGACTGGGAGTATAGTGAGATGTGACCAATGAGGATGCGCCTTTGAGCCAGTAATCCAGAAATGCAGTCGTCAATGCCGTAGCCAATAAGGCCACTCCCTTTGGACAGGAAGAGCAGAAAAGAGCAACATGTGCCGATTTCGACGGTTTTCACGATAGTTGCCTAATAGAGTAAGCTAGAAATTGACCAATAAGGCCGCTCCCTTTGGACAGGAAAAGCAGAAACTGAGCAGGTGTGCAGTTTTCGACGGTTTTTCACAATAGTTGCCCGATAAGGGAGGCCAAGATGTGACCAATAAGGGTGCTCATTTGGGACGTGGTTTCCAGAAAAGACAGGCTTCAATTCTTCTCACGGATAGTTACTCGATAGGGTATGTTGAGCTCGGACCCGCGCTACCCACGCCGCGGCGATGTCGAAAGTTTTGGGACCAGTATTGTCAGGCTCGAGCCTCCTTTTTCCCACTTCATTCTTTATTTACTTAACTATATCGATTGTTTCAAACTCGTCGTCTTGTGCGTAGCCTGGGCCGTCTCTGTCCATGTCTATATGCTCGTCTACAATCCGAGCAATATCGCGCTCCCGCATCCAATCTAAGACGCTTCTCCCATTCCTATACCAAACAACTACTATCCAGCAATGGAGACCACTTGCTCGCCGCAACATTGCCTCGCGATCGAACAACGGAGATGACATCCCCTTCGAAGACGAGAGTCTGCCCCCAGCTATCGATCAACCAGAGCCAGCGCGTAAGACTACCATAACAGGATCAGAGCGCGCAGCTTTCGAGAAACTCTACAGGACCTTCAACACCGAAGGACGGCCGAAAAATGACAAGGAGCATGTCGTGGAGCTCGATCAGATAGCTGACGAGTACTATGAGGACGAAGAAGAGGGTCCATCGCAGTCGCTGGACAAGGTCTTCGACGAAGTTTTCAAGGGCCAGCCGCGTTTGCGCGGGTCGCGTAACAGCCATGTGAGGCCAAAGTTGGAGAAGACAAAATTGGGACAGGAGGTGCAAGCCTCAACCGAGGATGCGTCAAGCAAGAGGACAAGCAAGGCGCAAGATAAGGAGGATGCCAAAGCGGAAGTAGCAAGGCTCAGAGAGCTCAAACTCACCGAGCGAGCGAGGATCGACAAGCTCCTCAAGGATTCACAGACTGACCGAGAGCTCTGGCAAATCCTCAAACGCGAAGTACTTAGCCAGGTTCGCAAGCTAAATCTAGACGGGACGATAAAGGGCAAAGAAACTCAAGGCAGCAAGAACGGCGGCACTTCTGACCTACGCATCCTGTTCCAGAACTACCCGCACCACCTTATTACCGCCGTCCAGACCCTCCGCAAAACGTTCCCTTCTTCGCCCCTCCCCCTCTCCATCCTACCTACCATCAAGTCCCTCGGGCGCTCGGCCTACGCCCTCGGTGCCACCACAACTCTATACAAACACCTCCTCCGCACAGCATGGCTCCAACAATCATCATACACATACATCGACACGCTGCTCGTGGACATGGACAACGGCGCCATCGAATTTGATAGCGACATTCTCACTCTTCTCGATTCCGTCATCAAAGAGCACGAAATGGCACGGGGTGGCAGATTAGGCAGGGAGATGCAGATGGTGTATGGCATGGAGCAGTTCCTAGGGGGTATCAGAAAACTCCAACAGTGGAGGGATGTGGTAGCAGATCGATTAGGCGTAGCGCCTGAGGAGAGGAGGGTGCCACAGCAAAGAATTGTCAGGAAGGTGGATTACGAGAACAAAGGCGTGGATGCGGAGAGGTTTAGAAGACCAGGACCTAACTCAGGTATCACTGACGGGAGCTTAGCAACGAACCGTGTCCAGGAAGATATACCGCTTGTCGAGGGACTCGATGATGCGGATCAAGGCGCGCAGGAATCTCAGGTGGAACACGTCCACACACAAGAGCTGCGTGATGCGGAACTCCTCATTCAAGACATGGGCCTGGCCGATGCGAAACAGGGCAGAATAAACGAGCCGCTCCACAAGCACCACCAGCATACTGAGAAGGACACCAGGGATACCGACAAGGCCGCAAAGATCTTTCTCTAGATAGCCACTACTTCCAACTACGTCGTGGTCTATCATATACCTCATTGTACCCTACTGCGGGGCTGTACGGCACACATACCGCAGGAGTTTTATCACATTGGAACTTTTAAGCATTTCCACTCCGCGTCGAAACCATACTGTAAACATATAGTGCAGCATTAAGCACAATTGTATCAAATACGTGAACACATATAGCCTTAACTCGTATCCTTTCATCCACCTCACGCCAAAAACAAGGAGTCGCCAAATCAAAACAAAAAGAAAGCTCAATACACGTTCAAGATTTCGTACATGGCCCTGAAGCACACGCTCAATGTGATAGAATATGAAAAGAGAAGAATCATTACTTGATACGCTCTCAAATCATACACCTGTACCGTGGTCGCCCGTTGCAATGCACTTAGTTAGGCCTACTTGCAATCCATTCGCTCGATACCCCGCGTGAAACTAAAAGGCTACATGGCTCTACAAACTCTCCCAACCCCCGTTGTTGAGGTCTCCCTCCAACCTTCTTGCAATCAGGCTTTGAATCCCGCCCTCAAGCCACACCTTCCTCAGTAGCGCATCATATCTCTTCTGATTCAAGAATAGCTGATGATGTCTTCTGAGCGCTGGATCAACCTCACCATGCTTATCAAGGTACGGAGCTACGGCCCAGGTACCGTGGTCGAGGTTCAGGAAGAGGACCATGCATTTCCGGATGTGGATGAAGAGGCCAACGTTGCCGCCACACCTAATAATTGTTAGCAGAGACACGTTAGAGTGGGAAAATGGGAAAGTGAGATATTCAACGGCATCATGGTAAGCGAGGAGCAACTTACTTCGCCAAATGCTGACTGCAACCACCTCGATGTCTGTCCGTCATACAGCACACCGCCTGAGAGCACATAATCTCTCCGCAGAACAAACACAGTGCCGGATCTGTCAACTCCTTCCCCGTCGTCGGACACCTCCGTCTAATCGCCTCATCAGTCAATGTATCGTAGTTCTTTGGCAACCCCACTAGCTCAAAGATAGCCGGGTGGCTCAACGAGATGGTAGGCTTCAAGGGCACGTTGCCGGCCTGCACCCAGAGTAGGTGACGGATCCAGCCACCGACTACGGAGCGCGTGGTATGTCCTGATGATGAGCGAGCTGAGAACGACGCGAAGATTTCGTCAAGGGAAGGAAGTTTGAGGAGCGAGGAGAGGCGTGTGAGTTCTGGTTCGTCGACGCACTCGAAGGCTGTGTGTGACAATTCGACGCCATACGTGACATGCATTAGGATAGCAGCTTTTCGGACGAATGGCAAAGCGTAGGTGGATACCATGGTGTAAATGAAGTAGAGGAATTTTGGATCCTTGAAGCGTGCAGGGATAGGCATGTTGTCTATGTCTAGCGAAGCGGGAGAGTCGCCCATGTTTGCTACGTTAAACACGACGCAGATTGAGAAGAGAAGATTGTTCAGCTGGTCTGGTGAGGATAAGCCGTTGTTCACTTTATCGGCGTTGATGAATTGCTCGGGGTGTTGGAAACGGAGCTGAGAGTTGAGCGCCATGTCTTCTGGTGCTTGTCCTCTAACGGCCGATGCGAATGTAAACACCACGCGAACAATCTCCGCTAGGTAGCACAAGCGTAGGATGTGATGGATGTCGAGGTTCATTGCTGGCACAACGCCTACTGCACACTCAGACAGGAAGATGAAAGGGTCCTGGCAAAGTAGAGGGGTAATGCCCTTCAGATCAAAGCTTAAAATCTCGGGGTCGAAGATCCCTGGATGACCAACGAACAGCTGGCGAAATTGGCGGCGCTGACTCTGAGAGAATTCCTCCATAGTTTTGTTTGAACTCTGATTGCGAAGGCTTCCGATCGCGATATATGAAGAAACGGTCTCTGAAAACACGCGAAGGTGGGTTATCGTCTGCGGTGAGATCTTTTCTATCAGGGTGCCTTTCACAAGGATGGATTGTACCCCACGTTGGGCGATCTCAGCAGCCGCGATGGAGTAGCCAAGTGCTTGTGCAAGCACATCGGTATGCGTGAGGTCCTCAACAGCCGTTGCTGGCGAATGTTGATAGGCGAAGGTGGAGTGAATGCCGTTTACATGTAGAGTTTCGTTAAGTCTTTGATATATCTTGATCAGCTCTGCCATTGGGAAGTTCTGAGTCAAAGCTGGACTGTTCTCGGAAGACAGAATGACAGCTTCGCCTGGTTCGGGGGGCTGTACACCTAGAAAAGCCGGGATCTGAAATCGGGGTGGGAGCTGCGTTGACGGTTGAGGAATCGGCATGCTCAACGGGGGTGGCGGTGGCTTGAGGAGATCTGGAAGATGGCTTGCTACCGGCTGAATGAAGTCTCGCTCCGCATAGTCGTAAAGTACCCTTTGATCCTGAGAAAGATCTGCAGGAGCCTTGCCAGTACTCCGCTCCGCACTTTTGTAGGCGGCGACAAGCTGTAATTCGAGCCAGTCGTCAAAAGCTGACTCTGTCTCCAACACGCCTGGGTTAGAGACCTTCTTCGGCTTCCAAATGATTGGTAAAAACATGTTACCCAAGGCTTTGCATAGTGGACACATGAACTCCTTATAATCGGGTCGCTCAGGGTGGTTCCTAGCAATCTGACTGACGTGCCGCCTCTGCGTAGCTTGAAGATAGACCTCGAAACAAGCATAATGCGTGATGTGACCGCAGCCAGTAGTGACTGGACCTGGCTTCACTTGAAGGCGAGGATACCCTTTGCCTAGATCTTGCCTCTCACTGGCGATACGATCGCCTGTGGAGGCGAACTTCTCAACCATTCGTCGATTTTTGCCCGCCACACCAAAAGGTCGAAGCTCGTCCGCCGACCTATCAAGGCTGACTGGAGTTTGTGCGACCTCGTCCACCCAGTCGTCCTCCTGTAGATCAGTTTGCCGAAGTATCCTGCTCTCAGAGACATACCCAAACGATCCATAAAGCCGCTGTTCGTTGCAGTCTTCTTGGCACAATATGCAAGTACCGGCCGGATACTTTAATGTCCTCTCTTGCTCAACCAGCCCACCGGTCTCATCTTCCAGATCGCTGAAGTCATCCTCACCCCAGTCGAAATCCTGGTTAGCCATGAACTTTTCCTGCTCTCCCTTGAACGCTGCCATGACCCTTGCTTGTCGCTCTAACGCCTGCTTCTTCTTCAACTCTTTGTCTTGGAGTGCAAAACTCGCCGGTGAAGCATTGTCTATCCTGTCGGTTGGTATATTGAGTGCTGCCGCAGCGATTATGAAGGTGTTCTGCTGTCGTTGTTTGAGCCTGTGCAGTATCAAATTGATCTTCGGCTCGCAAGCTTTGAAGGCTTCCTTCTCTTGCAGGGCTTTCAAAAGAGAGAGAACAGTGGGATAATCACGTATGCCCATATTTGCATGTTTGGTCAGCACTGATGTGACAAAAGAGTCGGGGGCATCCTGAGACCATTCGTGCTCTTCCGTCTTATCCTCAAGAATAGCGACTAGAAGGAGCTGCAGGACAAATTGTATGTATGTCTCCACGCGCGTGACGGGAATATTCGGCGTGGCCACTGTCGCTCTTAAACCATAGCCCAGGAGATAGTATATGATCTGTGTAAAGAGGGCTGTTCGGGTAAAGGCCGACAGGTTCTGGAAAAGGCCTGACGGGATTGGTCGTAGCTTCGGCTCATACACGATGTCGTTGGCTTGTTTTCCAGTATTCTTAGCCATGTAGGCCTTGAACGTATTCTCCGCCTCTTCTCTCTGGTTGCGATTGTATTGATGGAGATAGGGGTCAATCAAATCCAAATACTGTTCCTTAAGCTCGAATGTTCCGCTATCGGACAATCCTTCAGGTGCCCTGAAACTTGTCATTTCCGAAAGAATTGCAGGGAACTCATCCATATTCTGTATCCTGTCTGATAGACGTGCGGTCATGTCGGAGAAAGAGAGTGGCTTGAAACATAATACGTGGGCGATGTCTCTGCGCATCGAAGCAAGATGGGACTCCTTGTTGTCTTCAGCTGGCACCAGCGATGTGCGTTCGCTCAAGATGATAATGAGAAGGTGCACAAAATCTTCAACCACATCAATCGCTTGACTATCCTCAAATCCATGTTGGCTAGCTTCGTACTTTCCCGTCATCCAGCCAGTCAGTCCAAAACGGTCGATCATTGACGCAAGGAAAACCGAAGGGTTGCATAAGACGAGGGCGGTCTGAAGTAGGAATACATCCCTTTGATGAGAGACATCCCTTTGAGACACGCTTCGATACTGCGTCATCTGATGTCGCAGTGTGATGCCATTCCTGACCCATATGCCGGCTCGCATTTGGGCCAGCCATGCGGAGACTCGGAGAGGGAAATCAAACATTGCTAGTAGATATTCTTCAGGTTGGTGGGAAGGGATTGACCCTACGGTCGGATTGAAATCCTCTTGTAATTCGTCGTGGGAAAACAAAAGCAGCTGAAGCAGGACTTCCCGAGGCATACTTCGCGCTCGATCGATGAGCCAGGACAAGGTGTAGTGAAGGGCGTGGTGAAAACTCATCGGTTCTTTCGCGACCACGTAGTCGACAATTTTATATGAGGGTCCGAAGAAAGTAGAAGGCTCGGCATCAAACTCGAGAACTTCTAAAGTCTTGAACTTCGTCTCATTTTTGAGCTCGGCTTGATCGAAGCGTTTCCGCTCAGCACCAAGGGAGTTTACGGTTACTACCTTTGCCGCCGCTCGTATCGCACGGCGAATGGTCGTAGGATCATCATCACGGTTCCACGTGAAAGATTCAGCGAAATGTCTGCAGAGCTTGTTGATCTCGCGAGTGATTAACGAAGCGCTGATCCAGGCTTCGGATTCAAATTCCAGATGCTCGCCAACCGCACGAACGTTGGGACAGATGCCTTGATGGAGTTTGACAAGATCCAAGAATTGTAACAAATACCGCTCCTCTTCACGAATCCTCTCCTGGACAAAGTCTGAGCCCAAAAGATACTTCATGTCAAGGAAGAAGTGGTACATGCGTCTATTGGTTACAGCACCTTGCTCGAAGGCTAGAGTCGCCTTCGGGTCGACATTGGATGGATAGCCGACTTGACGGGTGGTCAAAAACGTATAGAGGATGGCCATGAGGTTTGTGAGGAAGTTGCCACGCTCAACGACCTCGGAAGTGATGGACGGTGTTGTCAGCATCTGAAGAGAGAGATTGATGATCGAATGATCTGGTTCACGATCCGCAATGAGGTACAGCTGGGCTAGAGCGGTGTATACTCCCGCGAAGCGAAGGCCCAATAAACGCTTGAATTGTGGTATCGTGACCACTGTGCTGATGAAGACGTCACGTACACCGATGCGTAGTTGCTTCCACATGCGCAAGTCATACAGTATCAGATGGTCAAGACGTAGGCGTTGCCAGAGGTCCTCGTGAGCAGGCGTCCCAGGCTTTCTGCCATAGCTTTCCGGTTTCTCTAGCCAATACTTGGCTGGCCGCGATGGTCGCAGCGGCAGGGATCGTGTCAAAGGAGTCTCTGGAACTGGCATAAAGGGTTCAGCATGAGTGAGGGACGGTGCGCCCACCATAGGCTCACTGTCTGATTCAGCTGGTGTGACACTTTGCTCTGTGTGCCCTCGTTGGGGAGGCGGCGGCGGTGGCGGCGGTGGAGGAGGGGGATATCCTGCAATGGTCGCCTCTGATACTTCGAGTGCTTCGTCGGCGCTCTCGTAAGCCTCCATTTCAACGTCGCCGTCATTGTCTTGTGCACCAACTTCATCGATATCCATGTCATCTCCAGCATTTGCTGCACCTTCGCCCTCTTCCTCGTCATCGTCGTCCGAAGCTGTGGTATCATCATTCGCATCGGCCGCTCGTCGTCGCTGAATCCTGACTATTCGAGTCTGCCGCTGGATAGGTAAGAGTCCATGATAGAAGCCATCGATCTCAGCCTCCCTGTCCTCCATCTCATGATCATCAAGACCACTCTTTCCAATGTTTTGATTCGATGCCTCGCTTCCAACACGCCACGGCTTCAGAAGCTCCTCACAAACAGTATGTCGGAGTATTTGGTTGTCTTCGCCCACACTACAGCCAGCAATGTCTGAGATCCACTCGATAATAGCACCGGCCATGTACTCGCGAAACGTGTCTCGCGCTGATCGGATAGTCACCGTCAACTTGATTTCCTCAATGATCTTGGCCATTCGAAGGAGTTCCTTGAGCTCTGTTCTGTACACAACAGCGCTACGGCCGACGTCGGAGATCTCGTAGGCTTTCGCTAGACCAAATGCCAATTTTTGTTTGCATGCGCGCGCGACTTGGTCCCTGACGTCGTTGACGGTATGCTTCTCGTCGTTCCATAGCACTAAGCAATACTCCTGGCACTCTTCTGGTTGATCTCCTGGGTCATACCATCTGGATGTGAGGCGCGAGTTCCGCTCGTCTTGGGTGATGGATTCTTCGGTTTTGGGCAGCCGGAGCTGTTCGGGCGAGCAGGAAAAGACATCAATGAGGTAGTCTAGAGTCCTGGAAACCGTGATACGTATGCTCTCCAACAACTCATCTGGCAGCATAGACCCTTCTTTTGCTTTGCCTGACGCCTTGGACTCGGGCTCTGGGTCCGCTGAGTGAATGTTGCAATGTACCGGCCGTACCCAGGCCTCGTCGTCTCCGCAATCACAGCATCCTGAATTGCCAGGTGATACGCTGACAAAGACTTGGTGTCCGTCATGGTCCGATGCATCGAAGCAGCGCGCGCAAAGAACGCATGTGTCGTCGGCCGTACACGTCTTGCACCGGTACGTAGCTTCGCCATTCTTGAATATGTGTCCGCACGGCTTTCCTCGTGCCGCAGCTGTATATTCTGCGCCCTCTACTGCGCCCTGGGCGTTGCGTAGGCTCCATGGCTTGTCCGCATCGGTTGGTGGTCCACGCGGGAAGAGGAGCGGAAGGTAATCGCCACGGCAAGCGAGGGAGCGGAACAGGATCTCGCGCAGCTCTCGGTCAGCTGCGAGCTCGAATCTATAGTTGTGTCGCCGTGGTAGTTCGCGGAGGTGCCGGCATAACTCCTGCTCTAACAGGGATATGTACATGGTGTAGCTTGTTTGGTGGGATGGCGGGGTCGATTCGTGGATGAGAAAGAGGGGTGGAAACGGTGATGTTTGTCGTGAGTTGTTATGTGGGCCAGCCACCTGTGGGTGACATGGAACGTTTGCTGGTGGTGGTTGAGGGGCAGTGGTGATGATGTTGGAGGACAGGGTTAGAGCTATGTCATATATCACTTGCGAGTGGGTGGAAGTCCGAACCCAAGCAAGTGCAACACGATGGGAAGTAATCACCCCCAACGCCTCGAGGTGGACTTCACAGTATTTACAGAACATAATTGTAGATGGTATAATCAGTTGCATGGCTTTATGAGTCACTTTACAGAACATGATCTAGATGGTATAATGCGTTGTATGCCCTCAAGGGGTCGCTGTTAAAACGACGAAACCAACAAACCACCGAGCCTAGAATTGGCCGTGAAAGACCGACTAATGTAGAGTTTCATGCAGGTGAGATTGTTTGCGAGCATCAAGTCAACACACAGAACGTGAAAGAAGCATTCAAAGGTCAGCACTTCGCCTTGATATTCCGCATGCTGTAGATTACACCTCAATGTACAGTACACTGTCCGCCTCCAAAAACCGTAAAAAATTGCCTATATCATGTTTGCTCGCTTGCCCCGTGGCGTCCCTACTCGTCATCCTCGGCCTGCTCCAAGTATCGCGTTTTGATGTCCTTCCATTGTCGCTGCCAATCAGATTAGCCCCTATCATCGTGAGGGTTCCATATGTACGTACGCCCCTGTTTACAGCGTCCCAGATCTTGTCTGATGAGGAGTCGAAAGCCCTGGTTCCTTGTTCAGTATACTGCTAATCCGGGGACGGACTCGAGCTGGGGTTCGGCGTAACATACAGCTGCAGACCAAAGGCGGCGCCGAAGACGGTGAACAACAAAGTGGTGTTCCTGCGGAAGACCGCGCTGAAGTCGATGGTCAGTGGTGCTCGATCGTAGGGCTTGCGCGCAGGAAGGGTTACTTGTAGAGGTTGGAGGCCAGCTGCGTAGAGCCGTTAGCAAAGTTCTCTGATATGCGAGCCGACCAATTGACCTACAGAAGACATTTCGAGGAGTATGGGTGGCGTGGGAACTGCGGCGGCGGACGTGGTGGTGCTGTCGCTGGGATGTCGAAAGGTTGAGGTTCGTCGACAGAATCGAAGCTGCCCGGGTCACGGCGATCATGAAAGCCGTGATTGGCCAGTCGCGCCTTCCGCTTTGACTGTGACATGTCCCACGTTACTTTGGAACCCCCACCACAACATTTCGTACACACATAACGACCCTGCATACCGACTCAACGCCGGTCAATCGATGCTTAGGCGCTGTATCCTGAGGGAAGCCACTTATACGCCCTAATTGGCGGACAATCCACCCTCGCGACAGCCTACATCGATCTGGCGCAGTCCTAGCGAGCGCAGCAGGCACCATGCCCACCGTAGAAACTCCTACTATCTCAAAAGCTGGCATCACAACCTCTGCAACTGGCGAGCGCCACATCCCGTCATCCGTTCGATCCGATGGCTCTGTGCGCAAACAGATCCGAGTCCGCCCAGGCTACCGCCCACCCGAAGATGTCGAAGTCTACAAGAACAGGACTGCCGAGGGCTTTCGAAATCGAGGCAAAGCAGGCGTGCCTGGAGCGGAAGGACTAAACGCCAAAGACGACACTACTAAAGCGAGTGTGGCAGCGAACAAGAACGCCAAACGGAGAGAAGCTAGGAAGAAGGCGGCAGCGGCAGCGGGCGACGAGAAAGAGGAGGATAAGACTGTTGAGAGCCAGCAGGACACCAAGGAGGGCATCAAGGCTGCTGAGCCGGAGAAAATTGTGGATCCCGAAGCGGAGAAAGAGAAGGAAGCGAAGAAGCTGACGAAGAAGCTAAGACAGGCTCGGGAATTGAAGGACAAGAAAGAAAAGGGCGATAAGCTGCTGCCGGAGCAGTTCGAGAAGGTCATCAAGATCAATGAGCTTATCCGTCAGTTGGAGACGCTTGGTTTCGATCCACAGGGCGAGAAGAAAACTGAGACCTGAAGTGCAGGCTTAAAGTGTTTTTACGACAACATTACACGACTAGAGACCGAGCGCGCATGTGTCTCAAGGCATCACCATGATACCAAGCGACAGTCTGCTGCCAAGTCACGCACCCAGCGACGAGTGTACAACACATCTCATCATGACTTTTAGCACCTTCTCAAACGTCTTAATCGATTCGGGGCTTCCACACGTCAACACCCGTCCCTCAGTACCAGTGGGCAGCTTATGCGACCCCGCCTACAAGTGTTGGAGTTCACGCGCTTCCTGGTGTCGCTGCATCCATGGTATTCAAGACCAGCGCCAAAAACGGAGTCCTATAGCCGAAGAGTATCCTTTGGATTTAGTTCCTCAATTTAATAGCCTATGACGAATGCAAAAGATTGCATCCAACCCTGGACCTCAATGTGCTCTCCGTGACTGCCAAAGATATACATACATTCAGCTTGGACCCAGCGTCTATGGGCTCCTTCCAAGGTCCTTCGTTCAGTGGAAGCAAAAACAATAGCAAAAACATACAACAGCGGGGATTCGCTAGTGGTCACCCACCTAACTACTAATCCGCCGGTATCCTGCTTAAGTACCGCTGAGCGAACGGGAAGCGCTGAATTCAGGATCCTATGGTCGTATGTATCGGTTTGTTTGCGTTGTCAATATTGTATAGACGTGTTAAATAGACTTACACACAACTTGGGTTCTAGGGGCGGCAAATATCGTTCTTAGTAGGTAAATAAACGCAGATCAGTATTATAACAGACGGCGGATTGGACGAAAGATTCCGTCAACTCCTGACTGTTTACTACAAGAGTCTATATTCTACTATCTAGTACTGACTTTTGGGCGTGTCACTGTCATTTGCTTAGTTAAATCATAACGCTAACTTCTTGCTGCCTAGATTAGCTACCAGTCAACTTGTACCGTCGACATCACCCCATCTTCTTTCTCCCCCTGTTCCAAGTGTCTCTTTTCAGTGAAAACACCAATTGTTCCTACGATGCAGAGGATCCGATGCATTCTTAAACGGCCTTGTTCCCTTTCGTTCCCCTTATTTAGCCTTCGGCAAGATCTTTCAACAACCCGGCACTTGGCTTCCTCGGCAACACATACACCAGTGGACATCAAAGCGTCAACGAACATCAGCAATCCAGACCATCCATTCTATAACTACACATCTGGTAGATGGCTGTAAGTTTTTCCTGGGTGGCTCTAAAACGTAAATACTCTCGTTCCAGACTAATAGCATTACTCCACTGTAGGTACAATGAATATTTGCGCCTTTCCGAAAGACGACGTTATTTCAACATCCATGAGCTGTGCCAGGTCGTTGCCAAGTCTGTCGGCCATTCTACGGACGATATCACTACCTTCACAAAAGTTGCTGAAGGCGGTTCTTATCGTGTCTTTGAAGCTACATTCCAAGATGGGATGAAGGTGATTGTGCGCCTTCCATACCCGTCGACGATACCTCGAAAATATGGTATCGTCAGCGAGGTTGCTACGATGCAATTCCTACGACTGCATGGAATTCCAATTCCGAAGGTCTTCGATTGGAGCTCCTCAACATCTAATCAAGTTGGGTCTGAATATATCATCATGGAGAGAGTTCCGGGTAAAGAGTTGGAACATACTTGGTATACCATGACATTAGAAGAGAGGAAGGATGTGGTGGAAAAGATCGTGAATATTGAAAAGATACTCTTTGCTATCCGATTCCCTGCTAGTGGCAGCCTATATTTCAAAGAGTCCTTGAGCGACAATATCACGACAGTAGATATGTCACCGGATGTCAGTTGCGGGGAAACTGATAAGTTTTGCATCGGTCCTTCAACTGAACTACTCTGGTGGTATCAAAGGCGAGATGAATTAACCGTCAATCGAGGACCCTGTAAGAGACCCGTACTTCACACCATCTAGAGATGTCTAACCGGTGAGATGCAGGGGAAACTTCTGAAGACCTATTGACAGCGGTCGGTCAGAGAGAGTTGATCTGGCTTCAAAGATTCGGCGAGCGACGTTTTCCCCGTGAACCACTTTACAGAGAGTTCTATGGACGTCAAAAGGTGGACCCGCAGGTACAAATAGACAACTTGTTGGACTATCTGAAAGCCGCTCCGCACATCGTTCCCGAAAGAGAGGAATTGAATCGACCTACCATCCGTCACCCAGATCTCTCACCTAACAACGTCTTCATCTCTGAATCTGGCGACATCACGGGTGTCATCGACTGGCAGCACAGCACGATTCTCCCCATTTTCCTGCAAGCCAAGATTCTGAAGCATTTTCAGAACTATGGCGACGATGATTCGGAGAATTTTCGACCTCCAAAGCTTCCCGAGAATTTCGACTCATTGACAGAGAGTGAGAAGGAAAGGGAGGAGGAACTCTACCGCCGACGACAGCTCCACTATTTCTATCTGGGGTTTACCAGTCGCAACAACAAGCCTCATTTTAACGCGATGGGAACATATGACCTTTTTGTAAAGAATCGGCTCTATGATACTGTTGGCAGGCCGTGGGAAGGCGATAATACTTCACTTAAGGCGGAACTGGTACATACATCGATCTACTGGTCTGACGTTGCCACTTCGGTGATGAAACAAGCTGGGTTCCCTGCTAAATTCTCCGAAACAGAAGTTACAAAATGCGTCGACATTGATGCGAAGCAGAAGAACGTAGATGCACAAATGCAGCGACTGCGCGACTTCATTGGCGTCAACATCGAGGGTTGGGTGCCGACTGAATCATATGAAGAAGCGAGGGAGAAAGAACGATATATCAAACATCAAATGCTGGAAGCTGCTGAAACAGAGGATGAAAGGAGGGAGCTGGACGAAAATTGGCCATTCCAGGATCACGAGGAGTTAGACTAGCTTATTCATGGGCATAGAGGCTAGGCCCGGGGACTTGAAAATCTTTATGTCAAAATTATGAACTTAGGAGCTCTGGCAAGAGGTTTTAAAAGTGTGATATAGTCGTACGGATTTATTATGTTTCGTTGGTATTACATAAACGCTCAAAGTCCTTTTCTATCGGTATCCAATTAATCTAGCGCGAAGATACCACCTCCCAGACTGTACGAGGGAAACTAATAGGTTTTGTTGATGATGTCGAACATATGGCATTAGCTGATGAGGGGCTCTTGTTTGAAGTGATTTGTTCGTCGTTTCTTCTAACCTCATGTCGGCTGCCTTCGTGGGTGCCAGACCTACGCCATCAGAGTGTATTTGCTACGGGTTACATGTGCTTTGCTCGTCGCGGAATTACAGAATATTTCAATAATGGGGAGTCTTGGAAGTAGCTCAAAACCTAATGTGGTCGGGAAACAGTCGCGAACGCACTCTCATTTCGAGGCAAAATACTCGATGAAGTTCTTTTTATAAACTCCGAAGTTCTCCAGCTCAACGATAGCGTTGAATATTATAAGGAAGATGATGTGTACGAACACTGGTTCATTAGCCTGGTCCAATGGTAGGACAAGGTGGCGAGTGCCGTTCTACGCGACTAGGCTGGCGAAGACAGGGTCTGCGAGAGCAACAGTCTAGAGGACTGTCTTCTTCAGTTAAAATCAGATCGTGCTAATTTTTAAAACTCCTAGATTAGCTGCGAAGGTCTCTGGGTCCGGCTCGGTGATATGGTCTGCGTCTTCAACGGTGCACCAGAGCCCCACGCTTTGAGGAGGGCGGAGGATCAAGAGAACGAGGCCATCAGGCTAGCTAGGGATGAATATGTACAGGACCGAATGCACGAAGAAGCGGATGCCTTGAATATTGAGGAACAGGAATTTATTATTGTGTGAATTCCGAATGTAGACGTTCCACTGAGATGGGATTAGTTTTGAATTTGTGCGGAAGGCAGCATGAGAGCAGATTGCTGCCGTCTAAGATCGACGCCAGACAATAGGGGGTATAAGCCCTCATCATTCTTATTAGGTCCACTTTGAATCACTCCCGGAATATAAAGTGGAAGGTGGAGGGAAATAGATTCAGTCTAGTAGTCTATTGAAGTAAAGGCAAAATAAGTAACGTACACAGTTGTGAAGAACAATTATAGACAATGACAAACGACCACAAACGCCCGTCATATGGTCATCGCTTGGGTATTGGAAACTAGTGATGCAAATATAGGAAACGTTTGAGTCATTCAAAGGCCACCGATTGTAACCTCCCCATCCACCTCCACGTCAGTCGATCCGTCGACACTGTTGCTGCAAATTACTTACGAAGAGACGTCGCTCCCATTCCTCAACTGAAACTTCTTCATATCAACATTCTCCTGCTGCGGCATCTGCGCCAACCATGTGGGCGGTGACATGCCTGTCTGATCATGAATAGTGCTAAGAAGAGGCGGTAGAGATTGGAACAAGTTTCGAATAGGCGCCGTCGGGTCCGCCGTGCCCTCACCACTATTCGATCCAGTATTCCAGACATTGATCTTAGGCTGCAGTCCCTTGATGGCGTTTCCATTCGCCTCAGCAAGACGCTCATAGACACCGTTGGTGAGCATAAGATATTGCATGAGACCCTGGGGTCCGCCCAGGACGTTTGCCATGTCGCCGTAGGCTTTCGCCATCGCAGAGAGACCTTCTGCTTCGCGCTGTTGGGCGATGAGTTGAGCTTGGGCGGCGCGTTCTTTGGCAAAGTATTCGGCCTCTGCTTGGCGCTTGGAGACAAGGTAGTTGGCCTCTGCTTCACGCTCTTTGGCTTGATAGTCTGCTTCTGCGTCGCGCAGACGGCGGAAAGCGGCTGCTTCGGCATCGGCCTGCTCGCCGTACTTTTTGCCTTCGGCGGCTTTCTCTTGGGCATATAATTCTGCATCAGCTCTCTGTTGCGAGGACTCCTTTTCGATCTTGGCTTGCACGACTTTGGTAGCGCGAAGGCGTTCGAGCTCCATCAAGGCTTTCTTCTTCTCGACTTCGGTGTTGAGTTCGGCATCGCGACGTTCAGCCTCACGCTTTGCATTGATCCTGGCGACATTGAGATCAGCTCCGATTCGAATTTCCTTATCCGTCAGTTTAGCATCGGCAGCAGCCTTCTCTGCTTTACGTTCGGTCTCGAGGACAGCAGTGGCGGCGTGGATCTTTGCGACTTCTTGCTTGGTCTTGCCTTGCTTCTCGGCTTCCCCGACTTCACCGCGCATGCGAGCGTCGGCGACATCGACCTTGGCTTGGTTGAGAGCTCCTTCATGAGCTTTTCGAGAGAGAAGTTGGAAGTACTCGGATCCTGGGGCTAAAAGGAGAAACATCGACGTCAGTTAATGTTTCACATACAGTCAGACGAAAGGACACTTACTATCTTGCAATTCCTTAACGTTTGCGTTATAAATATGTTGGATCTAGCAGCTTCCATCCCATGTACAATCAGTTTGTATGTGCTTGCTGTCTTAGATAGTAGCAAGCACCTGTCTCTGCCTGCCCATATTAGGATGGCCAGGCACCTCGTAGATAGATTATATCCATCTCATCTTATTTCTCACCTAGTTCTACAAAATACACAGACCAAATTGATCAAGCTCTGACTGGACTTGCAGGATAACCTTGTCCTTGAACACTTTGCGCTCGCGGAATAGCTCTTCCATGGTCATGGTGGAGACAATACTTCGCGTCTCGCCCTCGATAATTCCTTTGACAATGTCTTGGACATGACTGCGTCCCTCAGCAACGGTAACAACGCCCTTGGATACAGTCTGAGTGGGACGACCATCGGATTCCCCGGTGAGTAAGACGGCATATTTTTCAAGAGCTTCAGGGCTATCTGCAGGGCCAATAGTGAAGACTGCTGGCAGAGAAAACTTGAGCTTCTCGATCGTCATAGCCTGCAAGGCCATGGAGAAGTCGAACGGCGTGATACTAATCTTAGATACTTTCTGGAAGGGGTATACGAATGCCTAGCGATGTTATTATTGTATTTTTAGTGCCTGGGGTGTAACGTGTATTACCTTCTTCTTGATGACGACCTTCTCAATCCCTACACCCGTCACTACGAGGTAGGAATTAGGTTCAGCAACATGGTACCACATTTTTGCGGCTATTGTGTTGTTTGAATGATACGGTGATAGACTGAGGGTTGCTATCAAGCGATGGTCGATAACGAAGTCGGTGCGATAGACGATGGATGGAGTCGTTTACTATAAGGACAGCGTGTTTTAGAGGCAGGAACGAATTCCAAGTATGCTGTGGAAATGAAGCCAAAATTGGAACTGGCTAGTCGAAACGCAGGTACTGTACCAGAACCTGAGGCAGTCGTGAGGATACGTGTATGCAAATAAGGCAGGATGAGCGCCATGGTTGCACCTTTATACTGCAACCGATTGGTAGACCCAATCTTACTCGTTGTATCTATCGCAAAACTCGGCATGCACACGTTTGCACCGGTGAACGCCTCTGGCTGGCTGTGGTTGGAGTGAATGCACTGGCCAGTTTGCTAAGCCCAAAGGAGCTAGTGATTGACCAGAAGTCAGCCTTGCGCCCCCTCAGCCACTGCATGTGATCTCTGTCCCCATAACCGAACCTTGGCCTGCATAGAAGCTCTTTCTTCTAGAAAGCGGGCCTCGAGGGGTTCGGTGAGAGAATTGGTGATCGTTGAGCTGTGGCTTACCGTGTCTTATTCCCACCAAAGAGAAGGGTGCATTCAGGCATACATTAGGAAGAAAACAGGCACAGACAGCAAGAACAGACACCTCACAGCCTCCACCCTGCCTTTGAACTCATGTTCTCCCTCTTTATCTCACACCATCTGCAAGACATCTTCGTAACCCGAGCCAAGCCATCCGGCCCGGTGTGCATCACGACCCTACTTATAAGCCCCTACTATTGGCCTGATTATAAGACCCGACTTCTGGTTCTCCTCGCGCCCAAGACACAACATCACGAGACCCTGCTCTGTACCGTTAGAACTTACTTATGACCTCAGTCATACGAGGCTAAGTAAGCAAGTAGGCAGACTATTGCTGTTGTTCAAGTACCCGTCTGCCGTGTTCCGTGATTGAACCGAATATTGAGTTATTAACTTTCGCAACTTGCCACTTGGGCCGGACATCGGGGCCTAAGAACGAAGCCACAGATCGAACCTTGGAAAGCAATTATTGGAGCAATTCATCTCAACATCCTTCGCAGGTGATCTCACTTGGTGATTATATTGTCCTGTTAGGCTTGCGAATATCTTCAACAAACTCAATATCTCTGCGATATACCCTCAACACCGTAGAGATGTCACGAAATGAAGAGAACAGCCGACCACCGCCCTACTCAGAAACCTACACAACACGCGCCGTGTCCCCCTCGCGTGGCCAGAATATCCTTGACCAACTAAGTCTCACCCGCGCACACCATATCCAATCTGTAATCGACACACACATCATTCCCCTCGTGGAAACCCAAGCAACCTACGGCATCGCCCAAACCACCATTGCAATGCTACCGTCGGATATCCCCTTACCCACACCAGAAGAAAAATCCGAGTTCAGCTTCGATACCGGTGACTTCAAGGCCGCCGAGGTGATTGGCTTCTCGTCACAAGAAGAGCCAAAAGTAGTGCGGTTGGAGGGCCAGATGAACCGAACAGAGTTTTGGCGGCCACAGTCTGTTATAGAGGAGTTGGAGAGAGTGTTGAGGGAGAGTCTGAATGCGAGTCCGCGGTTACAGAAGAATTCGATGACGAGTGCAACGCGGTCAGTTGCGAGGAGTGAGGTTGAGATGCCACTACCGCAGCCGAGACGGAACTTTCTTAGCAGATTGGTTCCCTCGTTGGGCCCAGAAGAGCGATCGCCGAGTGGAAATCCGGAAGTTGGCTCGAGGAAGGTGGATGCTGTTGGACTGGTACTTGTCAAGGTTAGGCTAGAAGAGATATGCCTCAGGACTGTAAATGAGTTTGGACTGTATGACACCATGTCAAAACAGTGTATCATTATTCGCGTGGATGCGCGGTGTTAGTGTAGACCTTAGTGACGATGGCATAAGAAGACAAAACAATGTTCATCTTCTCTACAGTACAGATACCGCACTCTACTAAGAACTAAAGCTCGGCGTAGTAGACATTCCGCAAATTGTTATACAGACAGAGATAAAGAATGTCAAATTGCTAAAATGGGGCCGTCGTGATGGGTCCTATAGCGTGGGGCACCAGACCGTTGCACACGACTGAGGGATATAGATATAGACAGGCCAAAAGAACGCCGCAAGGGCAAAAAAAGTAGCTCCCCCGGAAAGGCTCGAACTTTCAACCTCTCGATTTGCTATGCTATGCTTAACAGTCGAACGCGCTAGCCAATTGCGCCACGGAGGATGGAGCGCTCTAGGAGCGCCGTGGAATTGACTTTCGATGGAGCAATAGAAAATTGAAGAGTATCTATCCTAGTTAGCAAAGAAGTAATAAGAGAGTTTGGCGTAGTGAGACTCGGGAGTTGACTGGGTGGTGTTTCACATGGGTCGGCTAAAAAGAATTTGCTTTGTTGGGTGGAGCCAGAGCGGGGCAGTGCTCCGACGGTGAGCGGACTACCGCGTGTATCTATATTGCCGAGACCAACGCGGAGTTCTCGACTTGCTCTCCTTGGTAAGATGCTCGTCGATACCTTAGACCTCTCGTAATTCCCTGGGATCGTGTTCTGCGCAGCTAACGCCTATTCCGCCTCGCTCTTCAACACTACGATTCCGTACGGGTCCCGATCCACCTCACTGACCGCAATCTCGAAGTCTTCCTCGGCAAACGCCTCTTTCAACTCCTCGTTGCCTTTCTCCTCTTCTCTCACCTTTGACCACTCTTCCCGCACAGTATCCTCCAATTGCCCGAGCAGTACTTCCGCCAAGAACCCTCGCTCAGAATTGCTATGGAACAAGCTAATAACCACCTGCCCCTTCTCGATCGCCGCAAGCGCTTCGTGGTGGCCCATCTCCCCCGTAAACAGTAGATCAACATCCAAGTTGCCGAGTAGCGATGCGCCTGAGCCTGCACAGATACCCACACTTCGTATGCTTATATCGGAGATGCTCTGGTCTTGTGGGATGGCGATCGGGAAGCCTTTAGGATTATTGAGGCCTTTGCCTACGCGATCTAGTAAGATAGGTAGCGGCTGAGGTTGGTTGAACTGCACGATCCGGCCCATGCCTGCGCCAGGATGCGATGCCAGTTCTGGCGACTGCGGAACGACTGGACGGCGCGTGTGCGGGACCGTAGTGGTGGAAGGTAGCTTTTCGAGTCGTAGCGTGGTTTGACTGGGGTGGTGGTTCAATGTGTAGGTTGGGCGCTTCTTCTCGACGAAGGGGTCCTCCTCGCGCTCCTTCCTGACATCTTCGGGTTCGGATGCTGACCTCGACTTATCGTAGCTCGTATTGGTACCTGTGACTATGTCTGCTAACCAGTCTCCAAGTCCTCCTGGCGCTGCATCAACAGCTGTGTGGGGACTGTATACACTGATGCCGTGGCTAGCAAGGCGCAGTAGCGTTTGTTGCTGTGTGTTCGCAAACGTGAGGGACTTCAAGCCCCTGAATATGATCGGGTGGTATGCGATTATAATTGAAGAGTTGAACGCAATTGCTTCATCTGCAACGGCCTTCGTGAGGTCGATTGTGAGAAGGACGTTGTTCGACTGGCGACGGGACGGGACAAACGGTGCTTCCAAGAGCAACCCAGTGTTATCCCACGAGTTGTCTGCAAGAGCCTTCGGGTAGCTAGTCATTTGTTAGCTGTGCCCTAGATAGCCTCAGTCTTCTTTCCAATTGCTGTTCGGAACCCATGAAGCTCGCAAAAGCCTCTACTCAGGTCGTGTACGTACAGCTTTTGCATGGCCCTCACGACCGCCCTAGAGAACGGAGCAGACGTAGTAGTTGCACTCATTGCAGACCGTCGTATCGATTGTAGGAACATACAATTCTAGTCACGTCCACTATAGAGGTTCTTGCAGCTCTCTGGTGCCCGGGCACACCCCAAAACTAAGCTATGCCCTGCAGCTACAACTCCCCCGCACAGACCCCTCCCGCACGTCATCGCATTTTCCTCGTGCGATCTCCGACATCTTCCCCATTCGGCAAGCAATCTAATCAGATCCGAAGATAGGACCACCAAAACCAATATCCGTCACCCATCAATGGACCCTCGACACAAACTATACAAAACCCTCGACAAGCTTACGGTAGATTCTGAAACCGCTAACACGATGAGTGCGACGACAAACGACGTAGCGATGCAGGACGCAGCTAGCTCCGGCGTTACGCCGGACGCGATCAAGAGGAAATTGGAGACTGAGCTGGGCGCGACGTGGGTGGAAATTGAGGATATGAGCGGTACGTATATAGCCTTTCCTTGTCTGTTAATTTGAAGAATTAATCTGTCGAATCACTTGTTGTCTTTGATCTTGTGTTTCTAAGGGGAAAGGGCCCGAGGTTGTCGAGAGGCCTGGATAGAGTCAGCTGCGCCTGCGCTTTCACGTCAAGAACTGGAATGTTTGTCGACATTTTCGCTTCGCTTTGTTGCTTGTAGAGCTTGCCTAGCTTGCCTAACTGTGGAAGAAGGCATGGTATATCTGGGTTATTCAAGCTTCTTGAGAGGCGCTGGAAGGTCGGAATCCTAGGTCACGAGAGTAAGCTGATATCGTATGCAGGCGGATGCGGGCAAATGTTCGAGGCTATCATCGTATCACCACATTTCACCAAGAAGACGACATTGGCACGGCATCGACTAGTCAACTCGACATTGAAAGAGGAGATTGCAGCAATACATGCCTGGACACCGAAATGTCATACGCCAGAAGAGTGGGAGAAGAAAAGGCCGCAGTAGTAGGCCGCTATGGATGATTCATGAATCACGATATTTGGGTGTATCTAGGAAAGATTTACGACGGCATCGATGTCCCATATCACGGCAGCATATAGCATAGGCGGGAACGCATGGGGATGGCCAGTTGGGGTTTAGGGTATTTGTGTGTACTCTACGTTCAGAGTCCATCTAGCTGAGCAGCACTCTAATCTCTCCGCTAGTCCTCGGGAACAGATCCCTCAACCCCGGTTCCTGTTCGTCGTCTTCCTTTGACTCATCATAGGTCAGATCATCAGATGCTACCATTTTACCTTCTACCAATTCAAAGTCTTCGCAAAAGTGGCCCGCCGCTTCCTCCGTGATATCTTGTATCATCTTCCTATTGCGCAGCCTTTTGAGGTTCTCTGAAGCGTCAATCAGAGCGGATGGTAGGAATTCATCCAATTGCTGGCTAGCTGCTACGAGTGCATCTGATTTGAAGGGTTCGAGGTCGGGTATCGTTTTGAGACTCTCCTCTGAGTCGGTGATTGTTGATAGGGCGTCAAGAAGGGTGATGAGACCAGATTCGTGGATGAAGTATTGGTGTTGATACTCGATCAGCTTTGCGACGTGTTCATCGATCGTGTCGTCTATTTCGCTGATGCGTTCGCTTGCAAAGGTGTACAATGCAAGCACTTCCTTGGTCGCAGAGAGGCAGTTGATTGCAAACACAGCACTGTCCGGCTGCTGCATTCCCTTCTGTAGATTTTCGCAGCCGTTTAGGAAAGGATCCAAGGCTTCTGCGAGTACAGTCTGGAATCCTTGGTCCTGATCGTCCGTTACTGCGACTGACGTATCGTAGCTCTTCGCGAGCACTCCAAGCATCTTCAATGCGTCATCTAGGAAGTGAGGAGGTGATAGGTCTGCAGGCGCTACGGCGAGGTCGCTTTGCACGTTGGCGACATAGTCCCTCACATTGGCGCGGAATTGTCTCATTGCAGAGGTGTTCAATGTGTTGAACATTTCCAGAACTTCGGAATCTGACCCCAGCAACTTGACGAATGTCCCTCTGTAGAAACCAATCAAGTTGGCAATCTTGTAGGCCAGAGTGGCATCGTCATGACTTTGAATGACTTGCTCGGTGCGTTGACGCAACAGACGTGCAACTCCTGTCAAATCGCGACTGACAAGCTGGTTGAGAGCTTTCCTGCCGTCGAACACTTCTTCATCCCCATCGCCTCGTAGCCACGGTTCGCTCTCTAAGCCTTCCTGGATGGAACGCTTGATCTCATCGCCATCAGAAATGAAGAGATTCTCGAGTGCTTCTCTCTCTGACACGGTAGTCGAGTGCGCCCAAGCCAGCATATCGCCGACATAGCGTAATGGATCATGGGCGTGAAACTCGATTGGCTTGGTGGCTATATGCTCTTCTGAGTTGGATCCCGTTAAGGCGGCGTGGAATGAATCAGACAAGATAGTTTCGCGAGCTTCAGCGAAAGAGTCTAGGCAGCTTTGGAACAATGTAGGTCGTTCTGCTAGCACACGCAGAGAGCGCCTGACAGATGCGCTGATTTGTGGATTCTCCAGATCCAAGGTCTTGAATTCTCGCTGTATCCAGCGATACAATTTTTGGAAGGCAGCATTCAGCTGCTTTGAGCTTTGCTCGAGTACTTCTAAGCCTAATCGTTGGTCTTCAGTACCAAGTAGTACCTGACAATCGTGGTGTATCTTCTTGACTCGTGTCAGGCTTTGGAAGAACGCTTCGTTCACAGGCTCGACAGTAGACGTCAACACTGTTGCCTCTTCCTCAGAGATGAGGAAATGCGAGGTGAAGGCGTGCAAAATCTGCTGCTTGGATTCGACCTGTTTCTTCTGAGTGATGAGACTTGTGGCTTCTTCTAAGACGGGTCCAGTCTCTCGATTTGCAGCCGCAATATGGCTTCTCATGTCAGCACAATAGTTGTTCAAGCTACTGATGGCTGTGCCGATACGCTTCAGTTGCTGCCTACATTTAGTAAATTGAGACATGGAGGTTTGTAATACACACCTCCGCCACTTCTCCAAAGTCTTTAACGATCTCGCCATTGCATTGAATGACCTCTTTCTGAACGGCTAATCGGAGTTGTCGTCTAGTCTCCGCCGAGTTGTGTACCCCGCGAGAATCAAGCGTCTCCAGCGCATCTCGAATTTCCAGGTCCGCATACGAAGCAGACAAGACGCTGGTGATCCGATTGGAGAGGGCATTGGTGCCTCTGGAAGCCGGCCCTACCGAAGGCGAAGCTGGTGACAACCCATTCTGAGAAACAGGAGTCGCTCGCTCCTGGAAGTAAGTTGCCGACATTTTATGAGGGGTATCGTGACTCTCGACGGAAAGGTGTACATAAGAGGCAATCGAGGAAGGAAGGACTAGCCGAGCTCTTATCGATATCGGGCGCGTCACCTGCATCCATCCGTCAAAGAGCCAGACCCCATGACAGCTCCATTCACCACTTCTCTTTAGTATTACGCCGATATGGTCACTGACTAGGTTTCGCCAGTGTCCATGGAGGATCGTCTGAACTTTTGGGGATCACGCCTTGGGTCCTCTGACTACAACATCCTCAAACGCTCAGGCACAGCTCACCACACGGCCACGCGCCCCGCCGTTGCCTGAGCGCCTCCTAGGAACACGGCCATGATGGCCTCCAATCTGCTCTCCAAACTTCTTCCTTCTGCCTCCGACGAACCTTTCGAAACAGAAGCGTTGAATACTGAGCATCGCCGCCACTCTTCCTCTACCGATGAACGACACGAGATGGATATAGACGAGGAGAACTTTGGAGCTCGATTCGAAGAGCAGGACCTGGCACACTTGCTTGCTGAAGCCTCCTCAAGTCAAATGACAACGGAGAGTCGTGCAGTCTCTCCAGACGCCAAACGCAACGCACCCCCAGGAACCCACACGGCGAGCCGAGCACCAGCATGGAGACAGCCTCCTCCAGCCCGTCCAGTTCCTCTCGATGATGACGACGACGTACCACAGTCACTACTTCTAGAAGGAGGTCTTGACCCGGGACCCAGTTCGAACCAGCGTACGCAAGGCCTGCCGCCACCAGTACCCGGCCCTGCGACGCGACAGACACGAGCACAGTGGGAAGCTACTAGACAACAGCAGCGCTTACACGAAGAGGATAGGCGCCCTCGTCCAGCGCGTGGCTGGGGAAATACAAGCAGACCAGGTCATTTCTCTGCAGACCCGAAAGAGAAAGCGTTGTGGCTGTGGGTGAACCAGACGGATCTTGATACTTACATGAAAGAGGTCTACGAGTACTATGTTGGCTGCGGTATATATTCTATGCTCCTGCGAAGAATTCTGACGCTAGCACAATCCGCCTTTGTAGTCGGATTCATGACATTTCTTGGATGGTGTATTGACTACTCTAAGTTATCGGAAAGCCACAAGATGAGTCAAGTCATAGTGCCGAAATGCACAAAGAGGTGAGTTGTTCTCTGTTCTTGTGTTTCTCTGTCGTACTGATGTGTAATAGAATACATGGCTTCTGGATCTTTGGCATCTGGGTATTTACCATCTACTGGCTGTATTCCTTCTACTCGATGATTACGGACCTACCGCGATTACGAGCCATGCACGACTTCTACCACCATCTCCTCGATATCCCGGATCGTGATATCCAAACCATACAGTGGCAGCAGGTTGTGAGTCGGATCATGGCTTTGCGGGACTTGAACTTGGCTACCGCATCGAATTTATCTCCCGAAACACGTAAGCTCCTCGACTCGAAAAGCCGACAACGACTGGACGCTGTCGATATCGCGAGCCGGCTTATGCGACGCGATAACTATCTCATAGCGCTCTTCAATAAGGAGGTATTGGACGTGACAGTTCCACTCCCAATACTTGGAAACAGGTACATATTCTCCGAAACTACCAGATGGCACGTCAACCTCGCTGTCATGGATTTTGTCTTTAGTGGTCCAAACGGCCAGTTCAATCAGGACTTTCTGAAAGAGCGAAATCGACGAGAGCTGGTAAGGAAGTTAAGAACGCGCTTTTTCTGGACAGGCATCATCAGCATCATCTGTGCTCCATTCGCTGTACTTTTTGTTCTGGCCTCTTACCTATTCAAATACTTCACGGAATATCACAAGGATCCTGGACAACTGAGCAATCGCGATTTCACGACGTTTGCTCAGTGGAAGTTCCGTGAGTTCAACGAACTACCTCATCTTTTCGCACGTCGCCGTAATATGGCATATCCCTACGCAAACCTTTACCTCGCACAGTTTCCAAAAGACAAGACAGAGCAAATCTCATCATTTGTAGCCTTCGTCGCAGGGGCTTTCGCATTCGCCCTTGTCGTCTTTACGCTTCTCGACTCTGAACTCTTTCTCACATTCGAAATTACGCCTGGCAAAACGGCAATTTTCTGGATAGGTGTCTTGTCCACCATCTACCGCGTCGCTCGTGGAAGTAGCCCCCAGGAAGATCAAGTAACTGATCCATCGTACTACCTCAACCATGTCATTTACCACACGCGCTATGAGCCAGATTCCTGGCAAGACCGGCTGCATACTGATGAGGTCCGCGCGGAGTTTGCGAAGCTATATCAGCCAAAGATCTTGATATTCGCTGAAGAGATTCTGAGTATGGTCATCACACCGTTTTTACTAATGTTCCGCTTGCCGCAATGTAGTGAGCGCATTGTTGACTTTTTCCGCGAGTTCTCTATCGTCGTCGATGGATTGGGTGTGACTTGCTCGTACTCTATGTTTCCTTTCAATAAAGGGACTCGGAATGCGAACAACATCCCTGCGAACCAAAACGGCGCTCGTAGGGAGGACTCTGACCTCAGAGAGGATTACTTCATGGCCAAGGACAACAAGATGCTAGCTTCGTACTACGGATTTCTCGACACATACGCAACTTCAGGACGTGGCTATAATGGCCGCCTGCAAGGAAGAGGAAACTTCCACCCTCCTCCACAGTTCCCGAATAACTTCGGTGCAATGTCGCAAACAGCACAGCCGATGGACATAGGCGTCCGTGGAACAAGCAAAGGGCCAGCTGGTCGGCAGAACCTGCAGCGGCGAACGCCTCGACACGGTCCTACCACGCGAGATGAACCCATCAACTCCATCCTCCTCGATCCACACCACCAGCCTTCTGCTTCCGCCGCACTCCGAAGCTCACCACGACAAGTGCCACATGGTAGATACAGGACGCCTCTGCAGCCCGTTTCCGATTCACCGGGGCCGTCAAATACACGCATCGAAGAAGAAAGCACGATTGGCGATTCGTGGCGGACGAGTCGGCTTGCTCAGGACGATGAGGAGGAGGAGGAAGCACCCGGTGCAAACCGAGGAGGAGTTTTGCAGCTGTTGCAGCAGTTTTCTAGGGCGCAGGCTGAAGGAAGGGGAGCGGGTGTCGGTGTTTGATTGTCTGGATAACATTGCATGAGCTTTGGTGGTCGCGGGCGTTTACTTGATCAAATAGGATTTAGATTATACCATGATTGGGATACATGATTAGTAGTTGAGTAGGAATCATCAAGCATAGTGTAAACAACATTGATAAATGACCTGGTGGTAAACATACCAGACGCAGCCCAGGCTTGGAAAAAAGGGTCCGCTTCGACTTGTCGGTCACTCACACGATTTGAGCTTCAAAGGATCAATCTGGGACGGCATATCACATTATATAGAGCGTTGATGTATATCATTGTCATTGTCCGGTTGTACTTGGTCGTTCTCTACGGTTACATTCCGCAGATGTTCATCCTCCAACCCTCATCCATGACTGAGGACGAAAGCAAATCACGCCATAACCGGTATTCCATGTGACCCATGATCATCACTTGCAGCTCTCATCTCAGAACCAAAACCTAAGCCTCCTGTGAGAAAGCCTCAGGGAAGCGGCGGATGTTGCTGGCAAGGTTGCCCTTGTTGCGGAGGAACTGGACGTAGGCACCATCGATCTTGATCTTGCCCTCCTGGCGCTTCTCGACGTACTCCTCGCGGCGGAGAGGGGTGAAACCCCAGTTCCTGGAGACGATGATCTTCTGGCGACCGGGGAACTAAACAAAGTTAGAATGTATCCAAACAGGACCTGTGTCGCTTTGGCGTACCTTGTACTGGCATCGCCTCAGAGCCTCAAGCGCGGTAGCGCGGTGGCTGTCCCTGGTTCGGACGGACATGAGGATCTGACCGATGTTGACACGAGCGACGAGGCCGTTGGGCTTGCCGAAAGCGCCACGCATACCCGTCTGCAATCTATCGGCACCAGCGCACGACAACATCTTGTTGATACGGACGACATGGTAGGGGTGGACGCGGACACGGAGATGGAAACCTTCCTTTCCGGCAACCTTGACGAGGTACTTGTTGGCGCAAATGCGGGCGGCTTCGAGAGCCTCGGAGGACAGCTGCTCGTACTCGTTGGAGACAAGGTGAATGCAGAGCGGGAAATCGTCTACATTGGCGCGCTTGCGACCGAGATCGAAGATGCGGATCTTGGCATCAGGGACACCACGGTTGAACCTGCTCTTGGGGTACTGGAACCGGTCAGTCTGCCATTCCTATCCTCGTCGCAGTCTTCTCATTATCACGTACGGGCTTGTTCTTGCAGTAGCGGTAGCAACGGGCGGGACGGCGGGCCATTGTGACGGTTATAACCTGATTTCAAATCAGTGAGCGGGAGTCCGAAGGTCGTGGGGAGCGAGGGCGAGGGCGCAAACTGCTCGGGTTGTCAGAATAACGTCGACGAGCAAGATAGATTTCGATAGCCGTACCTTACCCTGTATTTAAGTGTTAGTGGTGTGGGAGGTCAAGTCAGAGATCGAAGCCGAGAAAGACGTCGTCGTCGGTTTGTAATCTGGGAAGTGGGCAGCCCACACGCTAACGCCTCGCTAAGCGAGTGCAACTTGGATTTCAAAGCGGGAAGGCGCCACCGAGGCAGTGCTGCTGAGCCTCATGTAGGAAAGCTCTGAGCATGCTTTGCGCGAATTCTGGTCAGATGGGCTTGAGCTATTCAGGTGATGAATAATGAACATTTACTTCACAGTGCATCTGAAAACAAAATGTGTAGTACTGCGCAAACTGTTCACGCTCATCGTCGAAGCAGAACCCAAGCCCTCGCAATTTCAGGGGCGTTTCACGTCACTTGCTGTCGCGCGCATAGTGCAGTACGAGTCACACATGGCACAGTGCAAAAATACGAGCATTGGCAGGCCTGATGGCTCATGAGTCTTGTCATTCATTGGTTGTCATCAGACGGCCGTGTACGCCATGCCTGGGTATCATGTCTATCTGCCCCCATATCTGCACAATGCGTCCTTTTTAGTTCTCGGTGTTGGTGGTCAGGATATCCGAGTCACCTGCACAATGTCAGCGCTCCATTCAGGTTACGCAGCGGTTCAGACAGAGACTTACCAGCATCGAGAATGGCCATGGCGGAGCAACGGAAGAGCTTACCGCAAGCAGTGCCCAACTCAATCTGTTTTACCGACATGTTAGTGGATAGCCCTCCGAAGTCATGTTCAGACCTCTTCTCAGGGCCAGCCCTCAGAGAATACCAGTATGTCAAACCGTATCTCGTCGTTAGGCCATGAGAATGGATCGGGTAGGATACGTACGTTGTTACCGGAGAAGTGGTGGACGGAGGTCTTGGACAACATGGCGTAGTCTGAAACTTTATTAGTATGTGAAGGTGAATTCAGTGACAGAGTGCTACTTACACTCGAGCTCAGACTTCCTCAGAGGGGGAGTGTTGCCGGAGATGATGACGAGCTTGGCCTTGCCAGATCGCAGAGTCTTGAGAACCGACTTGTATCCCAGTGTGACCTTGCCAGACTTCATCACAAGCGCGAGGCGCGAGTTGATGGAGTCGGCGGTTCTCTTGTTCTTCTTAGGGGCCATCTTTGCGCTCAGGAAGTGTCGTTGTTGGTTCCTGGGATGTGTTGTTGCGCTCCGGTAGAGTTGAGTTTGTCGTGGTGGGATGGCAGCGCGCCAGAGTTTGTGTGGATCAAAATTAATTAGCGACGCCAAGATTTGCACTAGCTGGCCGCCTCAACAGCGGACTGCACGTGATCCGTCGTGCCAATGGCAACCCCGAACTTCAGCGACGTTACTTTATTAGCTATGAGTAGTCGACGGCCAATTTTCAGGTCTTTACGCAGGCAGGAAACGGCAGCAAGTTTCAACACTAAGCAAAGTCGATTGATGACATTCATTTCGTTCATGTGCAAGATTCGCACACATGATGTAAAGGTATATATTGAACTCCGGACGCCAGTGGCTTCCTATGCAACCCGTCCATGACCCTTCTCACACTGCGCTTCCTGGCCTGGTGTATCAATGCGTTTATTTCGTCCAGTATACAAGAAGGTGACAGTCAACTCCGCCATGTCATCGTTTCGTTATTCACATATCATCTACTCAAGCGGCCGCCCTTTGCGCTTGCCGACCACCCCGAGCAGGTGCTCGAACCGCACCAGGCCTATTGAGTGTATACTTGGCGAAAGCCCTTGCCAGAGCCTTCTTCGCGCTGACCTTTTGTGAGCCAACGAAGGAATCTATCGTGACAGCAATCGCGCGATCAATGTCGAGCGGGGAGCAGTGTTCTGATAAACGCATCTTGCAGAAGGATTCTGCGATACGCATGATAGCTTCAAGATGACGGACCTACTATTGTTAGCTAACACTCAGTTGGCTGACGTGAGGCATATACTTACGGTGATGGGATAAGCTCCAGTGGCCATGGACTCGCGGCGCATGTCTGCGAAGAGACGAGCAACCTTGTCTTGGTCGATCTGGTACAGCTTCGGGCTGTATTTCTCCCTCGCATATAAAATATACTTTCTCAACAACTCTTGTGGGATCTCGCCGTCCTTAACTGGAGCAGCCCTGTCCACTTCCATACCCTCTTCATCATCGCCGTTCTGGAGTGCCTTTGACTTGTCTGAGTAACCATATGCCGAGTTGACTAAGGGGTGTGCTCGGCCATGAGAGTTCACGACGAACTTAGCCAGTCGCTCATCTTCGATCGGGTCAACAGTATCGCGGACTACGCAGAGGATGTCGAAACGGGACAAAATGGGCTCCGTGAGTTCGACGTTTTGTGAGAATGGAATGGTCGAGTTGTAGCGGCCACCGATTGGATTAGCAGCTGCCACAATCGAACATCGAGCCTGGAGAGTTGTGACTATGCCAGCCTTCGAAATGGAGATTGTTTGCTGTTCCATGGCTTCGTGAATAGAAGTTCGATCCTGGTCGTTCATCTTGTCGAACTCATCAATCAAGCAGGTGCCCTTGTCAGCGAGCACCAATGCTCCACCTTCTAGAGTCCACTCGCTCGTCATTGGGTCGCGGCGAACTGAGGCTGTTAGACCAACAGCGGATGCACCTTGACCCGTCGCGAAAACAGCACGATGAGCTGTCTTTTCAACATACTTCAAGATCTGAGATTTGGCGGTACCGGGGTCTCCGAGGAGCAATACGTTAATGTCGCCACGAATGGAATGGCGTCCAGGCGCTACCTTGCTGACACCCCCAAATAAAGACAGGGCGACGGCAGTCTTGATATCAGTGTGTCCATAAATACTAGGTGCAATCGAGTTGATGATCTTGTCCACAATGCGGGGATCCTTAGCTAGTCGTTGAATCTCTTTCTCATCTTCGTCCGTCAGCCGGAAGCCAGCCAGCTGATCATGAGACTTGACAACGTAGTTGGCCTCGAGGATCGTAGCAAAAACGGGGAAGCCGTTCTTGTTATTCAACGCAGCATCGTAGTTGTTTCGATAGATACCAGTGACCTCAATCTCTTCACCAGGCTTTGCAGAATCGATCAAATCCCAAAGAAGGATGACTTCGCGATGCCGAGGTAGACGACCAGCAGGAACAGTTCCGGGAGACTCCTGCAAGGTGAGTTTTTGATAGTTGCGGTAGACTGTCCGCTCAGAGTTGACAGTGAACGGCCCGCGTGACTGACAGTTTTGGCAAAAGGAGATCTTGACCTCGACGTTCGAATCCTGGTGGAACGGACCAAGTGTCACACCACACTTTGTGCAGTCGAACTTGACGTACTTGAGCTGGGGAAAGACTCCGCTTCGGCGTGTAACGACTCCGCTGACGCGGACTAGGCTGTTTAGGTGGGACTGGCGAAGCTGGCGGAGAGTATACTGAACAGGTACATCAGTGATGCGAACGTGAATCTCCGAGTGTATACGCTCGTAATCTTGGTAGTGAATGAGCACGACTTCCATTGCCACTTGGTCAAAGATCTTCAACATCTCAGTTGGCGTGTTGGCGAGCCAGTACGCTAGTGTAGCTTTCTGTTCGGCGAGATGGTCGAAAGACACCTCCAGTGACTCGGCATTAATCTCACCAAGCGTTCGAATGCGGGTTCCGTAGACGGAATGGCCCTGTTCATCTGTGTACTCTGTGAGGAATGACTTGAACTCGCGGGCAATCGTTCTGGCAACTTGGGGCTGGGCGACCCAATCGGTCAATGTGTTTGCTTTCACATCGGTGAGTGCCTCCAGCGACAATTCCTCGTTCATTATATCGTCGGCCATGTCCATGTCATCCTCTTCGTCGTAACGATGTCTTCGTACACGTCGGCGCCCCATGAGATCGGCCAAACCATCCTGCTCATCCTCATCTGGCAAGAAGGCGGCAGGCATACGACGCCGTGCTTCCCTATCACGGGCGTTGAGGCGCGCGTCAAGCTCTCGCCTTTGTGAAAGGCTGAGCTCTTCGTAATCTCCTTCATCGTCAATACCTTGACCTTCGTAGGCATCGTTCTCTCGCGTTCTGTAGTCGTTCTCGAAGTCGTCAGCGAAGAGGTCGATTCCCTCAGCTTCTTCGGCATCTTCGTCTAAATCGTCGACGTCACGGATGATGTCGTCATCATCAAGCATGTCTGCGTCGTCGTCTTGAGGCAGCATGGGCGGAGAGGAAGCCATTGCTATGCGCTATGAGTTGTTTACTCCTTCCTTGTTTTCTCACTAGACTCACGGCTCGAAGGCGGATGCGCCGCAGACGATGGGAGGTCTCCATCATCCCTCGCACGCTTGTTTCTTCTGCTGCTAGGTCCCACGCCACGATTCGCGGAAGACATGTTGGGGTGGAGTGGTGAACTGGGTCTTGTTAGGAGGTCGAACTGGCGATAAGGAGGGGCAGGGGCAGGAGCTTGGTCGTTGCTGCCACGACCATCCGAAAAACGCAGATACATACCTCATCGTGATCAAGATGGGAATACTTCGCTGTGCATAAGCTAACGAGGCAGACCGAAGGATAGTGAGGTCGTTGCGTTGTGGTGTGAAAGAGAGGGGGGTTGAAGTTCACGAAATTAACGCGTTGTCCAAGGTCGCGCCGACGCGTAAAGTGGTTTTCTGGCAGCCAATCACCAGCCTGGCGCATCGTGCCTCTTCTTCTCCAGCTCCAGCGACACATAACATGGGTGCAACCTAATGAGCGACGGTAATACTGGCTAGCTTCAGTATCTTTTGGCGCCGCATTACGGCTCTACTCAACTTTCAGCTCCCCTCACAGCGCATACATTGCGCCTACTGCGACTATGGCTGAATCACAACCTACGACCCTGTCATCGAAGCCGCGCACCAGCAGCATGTCGCAAGCTTCAGAAAGCTCTCAAACAGCAGCAGAGTATGTGCTATCACAGCTCGTTACTCGCTTCCCTACTCACTCACCTACTCTAGATTCATCAAGGAGCAGCTCAGCCTCGAGGCAGAAGCACGCGAGGCTCTGCCATATGTGAGTACACCATACGCACGACCTGCTACAGGCTTCTACTGACACTGATAGCAATTCGATACATGCACACGCGATCTCGGCCCTCTTCGTCAAAGCCTTTACGCATGTCTCACTTGTAACCCACCTCCCGCGTCGCCCGCCCAAGTGTACACCCCCGCAGCCGTTTGCTATTCTTGCTCCATCTCGTGCCATGGCGAGCATACTCTTGTCGAGCTCTTCAACAAGCGCAACTTCATATGCGACTGCGGAACGACTCGAACACCAGACACGATACCCTGTACGCTCCGTATCAACTCCACAACCGGCCAGAAGGGCGACGTGACTGGGGAAGAGCCGGCAGAGACCAACAAGTATAACCAGAACTTTAAAAACAGGTTCTGTGGCTGCGGCGAAGACTATGATGCGAATCAAGAGAAAGGAACAATGTTCCAGTGTCTTGGGCTCGGGACTTATGAAGAGGGCGGATGTGGTGAGGATTGGTGGCATCCAGAATGTCTGGTCGGCTACACACGAGAGGAGTACAGCAAGACGATCGAGAAGCCCAAAGTTGAAGAAACGACTGGCGCGGCAGACATCATCATGACCGAGAACCCTACGACAGAAGAGGTTTTGGCCAGCGAACGCACAGAGGAGACTACGCCGCTGAACTCTACAGTTATAGCCACCTCGGTCGCCAATGGCGACGGTATCGATGGGAATGACGTTATAGCAGACGTTGAAAACGAGGAGGTCGAGGACGATGATCTGCCGTTGCCTCCAGGCTTTCCTGCAGAGGAAGACTTCGATCACTTCATCTGCTACAAGTGCGTGCAGGCCAATCCCTGGATCAAGAAGTACGCAGGCTCGCCCGGTTTCCTCGCACCAGTGTATTTCGACAAAACGCTCAACACCACTCAGACGACAGAGACTACTACGTCAACATCAGAGCTCGTGAACAGTGAATCCAAGAAGCGGAAAGCTTCCGATGAAGATGAAGACGTATCCACCAAAGCGACTCTAACGGCTCCAGCTCCAGCTAAGCGCCAGAAATCTGAAGACCCCAGCAGCGCGCTTTCCAGTATCCCTGAAGATACCATGACGCTCCCGATAACACCGAAAAAGCAAGAAGACCCATCGGCCCCCAAACATACAACTCTACCTGCACTACCTTCAGCTGCCGTGACAACACCCTTCTCCCTCTTCCTCAAGCCCGACTTCCGCGATCATCTCTGCCGCTGCCCATCATGCTTCCCCGAACTGAAAGCACATCCCCAACTTCTGGAAGAAGAAGACACCTACGAGCCTCCGGTATCCGAGTCCGGCGACGAAGGCGCACAATCCGTGGGCACAGGCAGTATCTTAGACCGTGGCGAAGCAGCGTTCAACAATATGGACAGGGTTCGCGCAATTCAAGGTGCAATGGCATATGCGCATCTCAAGGATAAGGTGGCGGCGTTCTTGAAGCCGTTTGCGGAGTCGGGTCAAGCTGTCGGAGCGGAAGATGTTAAAGCTTACTTTGAGAAGCTGAGAGGTGACGAAAAGGGCATTGAGGAGGCTGCCGGCGCGGCCAAAGGAAGTAAGGAGGATGGGGATGATGGCGGCAGTGGTGGGGATAGCAGGAGGGAGCAGAGTGGATATTGAGTGTCGCAACTATTTAATTGCTTACCGCTCTTCAGGCTCTGATAATTCGATCTTACACACCTTTTGAGTACCGAGACATGTGGCAGATAGCTAGGTCGTGGCGTCTAGTATGAGCAATTCTATACCTTGCGACGCATATATTGCATCACGTTCAAACCATTTTCATTGTTAGGCTCAGCTCATCCGATGCTCTCATCTCACATAATCAATGTCACTATGCGTGGTTTATGAGAAGTCGATAGCACGGTAGGTTATCATCTACACCTAGTAGATACATAGATGATTACGCGAGGAACCTTACGCCCCCCAAAGATAGTTGGCTATAATTTGCAAGAGAATGTCGTCTAAATATAAAATTGATTATCTAACTATGTACCGGACGGGCTGCTATCAGTTTGGTTTGCCTTGGTATTCTACTTCGAATTAATTACAGTTAGCCCGGCGGCCCCTTCGTCATACACTTCCTTCTGCATAACGGTATATTAAGCTAAGCCGTCACAGTTACGGTCGTAGTCTCTCTAACAGTCTCCTTCTCCGTCGTAGTAACAGTCACGGTAAATATCTGACTCGGAGCAATCGGCGTGATGATAAGCGGACCTTCTGATGTCGAGGAGGGTACGGGCTCAGGCACGGGTGCAGGAGGTTTCTCAGTGGGTGCTGGCGGTGGTTGAGCGGCCTTTGTAGTGGATGAAGAGTTTACGGCGGGTGGGGATGAATTGGTGGTAGAGGAAGGCTGTGCTGGAGCGTTTGGTGGGCTCGATGAAGCAGTTGGCTTAGCAGATGGGGATTCTATAGGAGGACTAGGTATAGGCTCCGCTATTCTTGATGACGACGATGGAACTGCGTGTAATGATGACGACGATGACGCTGGAACACTGAGCTGAGTCTGAGGTGTCGGCGTGACCGTAGTATACTGCGTAACAATTACAACAGGTGGTAGCTCTAACGGTGTTGTTGGAAGAGCTGCAGCCGCGGAACTGGAAGAACGCGCGGCTGGACCTCCAGATTTAGTCGATTGTGTAGGTATAGCATCGACTTTTGAGCTGGATTGTTGCGCTGACAGACTGTTCTGGGCTTCTGTTGGCACGGCTGAATCCAGAGGGGATGCGTGTGGTACAGATGGCGTACTTGATCGGTGGATAGTGGTATATTCGGTCTTTGTGACGAAAATCCGTGTAGTTGAGTTTGCTTTTGCCGATGTAAACACTGGAGTAGGGCTTGCCGTTGGTGAGGCACTTGAGCTCGACGGCGAAATTGGTTGTGCTGAGCTCTTAGGGATAGTGATAGCAGAGCTGCTTGCGATCGTTGAGTTGGCAGCAATGCTTGTAGCTTGTACGCTTCGAGATGCAGAGCCAGGGTGGTTGAATCCTGGCAGGTTTCCGGAGCTGGGTCCGGGTTTCTTACTTGTCGTAGAGGCTGAGGAAGATATGAGTGTTGGAGACGCGAGCGGTGCTCCTGTCTCCTCTCCTTCAGGTGAGTACGTGAACAATGGTGCCCGCTGGCTTGTTCCGCTCGCTGTGCCATTTTCGACCGCTGCGACTGAGCTTGACAATGCTACTGGGATGCTGTTACTCGAAAATGGGATCGTGCTGCTCCCAGTAGATGTCGTTGTTGGGCTTGGTGTCGTTGAGGGCGTGAGCGCTGTCGCTGAGCTCTTTTCTGTTGTAGGTGCAGGTGTAGGCGTAATGTAAGAGGTAGACAAGACGGTTTGGGGATCCTCGGTGACGAGTGGTTCCCCGGCTGGGTTCTGAAACGTAATAGCTGGTATTATATGCGTGAAGACTGTTTGCTGTATAGGTTCAACAACGAGTGCAGTGTTTGCTTCAACGGACTGCCCGGTTGAAACAGGTGGCTCAGGGCTCGACAATGATAGTGAAGATGCTTTTGCAAGGAGCGTGGACAGCGTCACTTTGCTCGCAGAAAAGGTGGGCACTGTGGAGATGTGTACAGCCGAATTGGAGGCTTGAATGACTTCGGTGGTCGAAGAAGTTGTCGACGAAGTATTGAAATAGCTAGTGAAGCTACTCAGGATCAGCCAATGTCATTCATCTGTAGCAAGATGCCACTCACAGTTGCCTTCTAATATTTTGAGGGACCGGCCCTGCGATTACGGAAGTGGAGCAAGCTGCCAGCAGCAAATACATGGAAAAGATAGCCATCGTTGAGACAGCTATGGAATCAAAGAAACGAAAATTTTGAAAGAAGGACGGTCAAAGAAGACGCGCTCTTGCACGTTGGAACGAGAGTAGTAAATGTTTGACACGGAGAAAGAGGGTATGAATGAATATGAGAGAAACGATCGACAGCAGGAAATAGACTCTAGGAAAAGACAGCAAGGAAAAACCGAAAGAATCGTTCGTCTCAAGCAAACGACAGTCTAGACGTGCAAATGGCTATCGTGGAAGACCCATGGCTTCCCGGGCTTCCATCTGGTTTTGAAGCTGCATTAGGCGCCTTGAGCACGGTTTGACATCAGAATAGAACGCGAAACGGCACTGGCCTAGCATTGTCGCTGCAGCCTGCAATTTGGACGTGTTCCTAGGTGTCTCTAAAAATGTATGGCCAGTGGTTGAAGGAGTGGTGGATGTTGCTCCGAAGAAGTCGGGTCGATGTTTCATCTTTGAGCCAATGAGACGAGATAACGCGTGTTTGAAGACGGCAATGCCTGGCGCTTCCACACGAATGATCACGACAACACGCAGGCTACTGACACGCAAGGAATAGGCTCTCTGCAGGATGAGGCTCATCGGCAGCATCCGCTCCGTGATGCCGCCTCCAAAGCGGCCAAGCCAGCCCTGAGGTCGGCTTCAAAAGCGCGGGAGGTCGTATCACCATCCGGATGACTCCTCCGAAGATTGAGCGACGGAGACACGGCTATTTCTACCAGCGCCTAAAGCCTCGAGGAGGCGACAGGGTCGGATTACATGTAACTGATTCAGAGGGAAGGCTGTAGTGAGGTTGGAGGCCATGCACGTACCACCTCTTCTTTCGTCTAGGCGTGAATGGGTTGCTTAGGAAACAAGCGAGAGCGACAAGGAAAGCAAACACGGTCCGCTGGGATAGGTCTTTGCACTACAGAGCTTCGACGTCACGGTAGGGTTCATCCGTTTTTCCCTGTAGACTTTAGACTTTCGTTCTCTTCGACCTCCTTCCTCAATCCTCGGCCCCCCACGATGAGCGTCCGTGTCGTCGCGCGAATTCGCCCGTTGCTCAAGCAGGAGCTCGACAAGGATACCATTGTCACAGCAGAGACGATTGAAGGCGACACGACTCCTGCAGTTGTACGGATACCAAGCCCAAAGAATGATGCCGAGTCTTTCAGCTTCCAGTTCAGCTCTGTTTACGAGCAGGATGCAACGCAGCAACAACTTTTCGATGCCGAAAGTGAGTCGAAAGCTTGACAGCACCCAGACTGAAGCTGACGTATAGCTAGTCTCGCCGACAGTAAAGCAGCTCTTCAATGGCCTCGATCTTTCCATCTTCGCGCACGGCTGCACCGGTACTGGAAAGACGCATACAATGCGAGGAGGGAAAACACTGGCAGATCGAGGTGTCATCCCGAGGTTATTGAGCTCGATATACCGAAGATGTAAGAAGATTGAAAAGGACACGGGCGGTGCGACGCAAGTTGATGTCGCCTTGGAATACTTCGAAATCTATTGCGACAGGGTCTACGATCTGTTCGAACCACCAGAAAAGCGCACACCATCTGGCCTGCCTATTCGGGACAACCATGGCAAGACCGTGGTTGTTGGTTTGACCGAAAAGCCATGTACGACTCTGAAAGAGTTCGAGCAACTCTACGATCAAGCGAATTTGAATCGGTCAACATCAGCTACTAAGGTAAAGCGATGCACTCTAATTCATCTAGACTAGCACTAATTATGGACAGCTCAATGCGCACTCCTCGCGGTCCCATGCCATTCTTTGCGTAAAGATTACTCAAACCAACGAGACCACCGTTCGCGTAAGCCGAGCTTCCTGTATTGATCTTGCAGGATCAGAAGACAACCGCCGAACAGACAACAACAAGGAACGCCTGGTTGAAAGCTCTGCTATCAACAAGTCGCTATTTGTACTGGCACAATGTGTGGAGGCTATGAATAAGAAGCAAAACCGAATACCATATCGCGAATCTAAAATGACGAGAATATTGTCTCTGGGTCAAAACAAGGGCCTTACCGTCATGATCCTCAATCTTGCACCAACTCGCGCATACCACCTCGACACGCTTAGTTCGTTGAATTTTGCGAGTCGGACCAAGAAGATTGAGGTCGCTGAGGTCGAGAATGATCCCGTCTATCGATCAATGGTCAAACCTTTGGCAGCAACTACCAGCATCGGAGGTGCAACCATTACACGACAACCGCTACGGCCTTTGACTTCAGCACTCAACGCGAACGTGCAAGAACCAGAGAAGCCGAAAAAGGGGGACAAGCCTGCTAAAGCCTTCTCTGTATACTCAGATACCCGCAAATCTGCCATTCGCACTTCTAATCTTCCTTCACAGAATCAAGGTGTTCGACGGATGGAAGGTCACAAACGAGCGGCTGAACCCAGCAGTACATTCGCATCGCGGCCAGCAAAGACATTCAGAACGGCAGACAATGCCTCACGGGCACGCAATGCCGAGCCTGCTATGACGAAGGCATCCATCGAAGCGCTTATAGCTCAGAGGGTTGACGAGAAGCTTGCAGAGAAGGCATTGCAGGATGCTGGGTCTGCTACTCCAGCGCTATCGGTGGAACTACAGAAGCGACTTGACGACCTCGAACATCGTATCGATGCAAAAGACGAGGATGGAAAGTCACAAGGTCTCCAGTTCCTGCTGATGGCGAAGCAACATCACATGCGCGGGGAAGACGTAAGCGCGCTAAGGATGTATCAGTTGGCTGAGCCATTCTTTCCTGGCAATACGAAGCTTCAGGCCAAAATGAAGAGCCTCGATGATCGGATACGAGCAAGGAAGGATGAAGCTAAACACATTCCTGCACCCGCCCCGTCGACCTCACTATCCGCACCAATCTCGAGCCTTATGGCCCCTCTAAAGAAAGCAGCGAAGCCGAAGCTGGGCTACAAAGATGAGCGAGAACACGAGGATGAATTCGCACCTCCGCCAGCATCTGACCATGATGAGTCTTATGCCTCGGACGACAGCTTCAAGTTCAGATCTAAAGCCGCACGCAAACCGAAAAAGACCAGCAAAAAGCTTCCCATCTTTCGAGATTACGCCGACACATCTCTAAATCCGGGAGAGCAAACACCGCGGACAACGCATCTCCTAAAGATCATCAACTCACGAGATATTAATCAGATCAAGGCTTTAAAAGGTGTTGGTGCAAAGAAGGCAGACAACATTGTCAATTGCTTAGTTGAGATGAATGATGAAGAAGTCCATGATCTAGAGTCTTTAGCAATGCTTAAGGGCGTAGGGGGGAAGACAGTAGACAATATGAGGATGGGGATTACGGTGAATGTTGCTTATGAATTCTAAGCTTCGGCTCTCTTCTGTTTTTCAAGCATGGCGTTTGGGGTGCTTTACAGCATTGGCGTTTATGGACTATGCTCAGAGTTGAGCACTGAACATTTTGGTTGCATGGTCGGCGTTTTGATTAGAAGCATGGTGGTGCTCTAACTTTTGATTGCTGAGTGCAGTTATGGCTTATAACTTCTTTTCTTATTTCAATCAATCTATATTGTTGTTCTACTCCGACATCGTCCAGATCTTTGGACAAGCTTGGGGTTATGCAAAGGTGTGATAGCCTCAAACCTCCCTGATATAATTCTAGAGTGGTTCCACAAGTCTCCAATGCAACATTGAAGGCGCGTTCAACCGACTTGAGGTCGATCCATAGTTTCATCACCTCCCAGCGCACGACTACAGAATGTTCAAAGCCCGTCGCCTCATCTTCTCCTAGAAAGACAATCAGCTAGAAGTCTTGGACTTCTCTTCCGCCAACACTTCCAGCAGCCGTCGAGTTATCCGATCCCTTTCTTCAATATCGACTACCCCGTACGCTTGCTTTGCCTGCTGAAACACCCCCTCTTCCCACTCATCCCCAACATTCACGCGCCCTGCATCATTCCAGCAATCTTGCACTGTGCCACCGATGTTTTTGAAGAAGCCCTCGAGTCCAGCTGGTCCACCGCCCGCATGCTAACTTTTGAAAGGGCCTGCGACTATCCACCTAGGGCCCATACTTGATTGTACGATTTCATCAAGCTCGGAGACTGACACAACGCCCTCCTTCACAAGGTGGATCGCCTCTCTCAGTAGTGCGAAAGCTAGTCTGTTCGCCACAAAGCCCGTCGTCTCCTGCTTGATGTGAATTGGGACTCTACCTCGCGCGGTCCAAAAGGCCTGTGTGCGCTTGATCACCTCGTCTGAGGTATCTCGTGATGGAACAAGCTCTAGTAAAGGCATTATATGCGGTGGATTGTACGGATGTACCACCAGCAACCTTGTCTTATCTTGCATACCCGCTGCCTGTTGGGATGCAGGGATGCCGGATGTGCTACTCCATAATAAAGCATCTACTGGTGCGTGCTGCTCGACTTTGGTCCATAGTGTTTGCTTGAATGAAAGGTTTTCGGGCCCAGATTCTTGGATAATGTGTACGCCTTCAACAGCATTTTCGATGGTGGCAGCAAATCTTATGTCGGCGATTGATATTGATGAAGTCTGGTGTGTGAAGAACTTGGGTAGATTTTCTTGGACATATTGGGAGAGGTTTGGTCGAGTGTCGAAGATTGTGAGATGAGAGAGATGAGGCAGGTGGGAGAGGCTGCGAAGGAGAGGCCGATTGTGCCGGTACCTATTAGCGCAATTCGTACATCTTGTTTGGAGTCTGCCCCTAGCTTTCGACTCTCAACATTCTCCTGGGATTGTTTTGACATTCTGGCTGCCACGCCTTGGAGCGCAGCAATGCTGGTGTGAAGATTACTGGAAAGCTCTCGATAACGCAGTCCGAACTCCTACCAGGATGATCTCCAACTCCGGGCTCAGGTAACTTTTCAACTTTGTAAATACTATCCTTCTTGCTAGATAAGGTTAGAGATAGCTGCCCTGCACACTGACGGATGCATGTACTTGTATGTGGGCGTTGTCATGAATGTTGATCACGTCCGAGTTAGGATGGCTCGGGAAGCTCCTAAACCCCGCGTCTCCACGCTATCATCCCCGCTCTATGATCGACTCGAACACTGCGAATCCATTGGAAATTGCCGCGCCGAGGAAGAATGATGGCATTATCAATTTACAATGACGTGCCGGCATGTCTTCTCCAACCTTTAGCCTATCGCCGAGACGATTACGATCCGGATGAAATAGTCAATTGGGACTCGACTCTCATTCCATCACCGGAGATAACTTATGCAGCTGACACTTGCCTCTGGCTATCCTTGAAACCGGCACGATGGTCATCTTCAAGTCAAGACAGCCGCCTATTGACCGTGAGCTGCTTCTTTACCCTGTTCGCTCCAAGCTTCAGCAACTGACCTTATCCAGTTCCCACCAGGCTCACAGACTGGGACTGGCTATTCGATTCCTCATACTCCCCTATCAACAAATACCCAGCAAGCGAGCTCGCTGGCTTTCAGAATGCCATAACGAAGGAACGCATTGATTGGGCGGACGTTAAAAAGTACTCCACTTACATCTCCACTGCTTTAGTAAAAGATTATGGCCTCAAGACGGGTGAAACAGTGGCACTTTTCAGTCAAAACACAGTATGGTATCCAGTCGCTATGTTTTCAGGACTCCGAGTAGGAGCCAAGATCAGCGGCGCAAGTCCGGCGTATAATGTCGAGGAGATGACATTTGCCCTGAAAACAGCAGATGCAAAGTTTCTCATGACGACACCCGGCAGTATGGAGATTGCGGCTGCGAGTGCTAAGGCCGCTGGCTTACCACAGTCGAACGTGTTTCTGCTTGAAGGTGAATTACCGGGATACACAACGGTTCAAGATCTAATCCGCGTGGGCGAAGCGTATGGCGAGTCAGGACAGACACCTGCGTACAAACATCCGCCAGGGACAAAAAATAAGGACGTCTGCGGCTTCCTATCATTCTCATCTGGCACTACAGGGCTTCCGAAGGCTGTTCAGATTTCACATCAGAACGTAATAGCGCAATGTCTCCAAATTCAGCAGATTACACCAACAACACAGAAGAAGATCATGGCAGTTCTCCCGCTTTTCCACATCACAGGTCTCGTCCACCAAATGCACCTCCCAGTCTTACTGAATGCCGAAGTCATTATGCTACCGCAATTCACAATGGAGAAGATGCTGGAAACCATCTGCGAATACAAGCTGAGCGAGCTTCTGCTTGTACCACCAATCTTGATCAGACTGGTCCGCGATCCGATAGTGGACAAGTACGACCTCAGCCATGTCACTCGATTCTCATCTGGCGCAGCTCCCTTGTCGGAAGAGATAATCCAACAGCTGCAAAAGAAGTTCCCGAATACAGGCTTCAAGCAAGGCTACGGCATGACAGAGTCATGCAGCTGCATCACAGCCCATCCACCTGATAAGTTTTCCTACAAATACGCGCATACCGGTGGGGCTATCGTGGCCTCCACAGAGGTCAAAATCGTCAAGGACGATGGCACAGAAGGCGATATCGGCGAAGATGGCGAGGTGTTGGCCCGCGGCCCGCAAGTCGTAATGGGCTACCTGAACAACGAAACGGCTACCAGGGATACCTTTGACGAAAATGGTTGGCTTCACACGGGCGACCGCGGCGCTATAGACGACGAGGGCATGATACACATTACCGATCGCATCAAGGAGCTCATTAAAGTCAAAGGGATCGGCGTCGCACCCGCTGAGCTAGAAGATCTCCTCTTGGGCCACCCGAAAGTCGAGGACGTAGCTGTGATGAGCGTCAAAGACGACTATTCTGGCGAGCTACCAAAGGCGTACATTGTGCTGAAGCCTGGGATCGAGGAGAATACAGCGGTCGGCAGGGAGATCATTGCCCATGTCAAGGAAAAAAAGGTTAGGTATAAGTGGGTCAAGGAGGTTGAGTTTATCGACGAAATTCCGAAGTCTGGATCTGGTAAGATTCTGCGGCGCATCTTGAGGGACAAGGAGAAGACTGGAAAGTTTGGCTTGGTGGTCAAAGACGATGCGAAAGCGAAGTTGTAGGTGTAGATGTTGGTATTAGTGTTGTGAAGACCCCCCAGCTAGACTATGTGAGTTAGTGCGCAACCAAGTGGAGTTGCAAGAGTTTTCCGCCCAACTCACAACCCCGCTGTTGCTTCTCTCGTCTACTCCACCTGCACACCATAATTTAGATATCTGTTTGGTATATAGTATTCATTGTTTACAAATTGCTACAATAACAGCCAATCAGCGCTATTAAGTCGGTTTTGTAGTGTAGTTGGTTATCACTTCGGATTCTGATTTCTTCAGTGTCTTCCGGTGACCCCGGTTCGAATCCGGGCAAGACCTGTTTTCTTTTTGCTCCTTTTTGTGTTCTTTCTTGTGCTGTTGATACGTCAACTGGGTTTCGAGGGGTACATTTTTGGCTGTGTGGCACTAACGGATTTTGATCTTGGCCCGCGCGACAACCCTCAGAACAGAAAATGATGTGCTATCACGTATGAAGCAGAAGTAGATATTTTTTGGCATCTCTTCAAGTGCTCTATCTTTGTCTTGATGTTCCTAGTTAAACCCTGCTTCTTGGATGATATGTGTGCTGACGTGGCGCTTTCGTTGTAGCTCCATCAGCACCATCCCTCCACCAGCTATCAAAGAAGCAAAAAAGAAGACATACTTACACTGCTTTACAACAAGAAGCAAAAAAACATGACTCAGCCGTGGCTTGAACACGGGACCTTCAGTGAAGCTAACTTTGATGTTAGACTGACGTGATAACCAACTACACCACCGAGCCGGCTTGAAGTGCGCATGAAGGTATCTATGTAGTTAGGTTGTATATATTGTAGCAGTTAAACAAGTAGTTGATGAAGACTGACTGTACCTGAACCTAGAGCACGTCTCATAGTGCAGATAGCGAAATGAGAGCGGGTCGACCCACCCACAAGGAATTTTCTGCCCGCTAGGCAACGTCTAGTAGATGGCCCATAACCGTTGAGTGAGGACAGTATGCATGTCAAGTCGCGGCCTATAGTGTAAAAATATGGTATTTGGTGTGGTCCAATGCATTGCATTGTAGTACTTGGACTAAGCCTCGCCCTTTCCTTTCTCACACCAGTCCAACCCCAGTACCCCTTACCGTCGTATCAAAACAGATTGCCCCCAGAATAATAATAAAACAGCGAGGCAGTATGGCCATCGCGGACAAAATGAAATAGCGCGCAAAAAATAATCGCCTATACAACCGACTAATGCTAGCTAGGAGTGATAGGCTTTGGGTATCGAGAGTGCGCAGCTCGTTCGGAGCTGGCATAGAAACATTACAAGTAACTCGGTATGGGTAGGTGTGTGTGCGCTTGCGCGCGACCGCTTCTAGCAAGGCCCCTAAGATGCTGGGAGAGAGTGTGAGAATACAAGAATGTAGAAGAGAAGAATGAAAGATAGGAAAGATGTTGCCCGACATGTGTGCCGTGGCAGTGAACATGGGATGCATCTGTGCAAACAAAGGAGAGGTATTCAAGAATGATGGAAATGGTCCGAAGATTGAAATAGCTAGCAAGGCGCTGGTCAAATAGGTTCGGCCGTTAGGCATGCCCGTCACACATGAACGATTCGTTAATGCTGTGCGTTCGTCTAGAAGCCGCGGAAGGGATCATTAGCGTCGAAGTCCTCGAAGAGGCCACCAGACCGATTCGATTGGTCCCTGGTGCTGGCACTCCACTGGCTGCTGCCACGACGACGATTGACTCGTGCTCGCCCAGGTTGACCGCCGAGCTGCTTAGCGTCACCCAGAGCATTGTCGATGAAGGCCTCCATCCGCACGGTGCCCATGGTATCGAAGAAGGTTCGGCGAGTGGAAGCACTAGCCTCAGATGTCCTGGAGCTTAGAGCACCGCCGTTATACACTGAAGAGGGGACTGATGGTGGCGCTGCAGCGCTGTACATGTCTGATGAACCGTTGGAATAGACTGATGGAACGTGCTGATGAGAGAAGCTGCGGAAGGGAACATTGGGCGGTGGAGCGCTAGGTCCAGTTGAGCTCCTCTTCCTGCCGTGTTGTGGAACACGAGGGATGGAGGGAGGACTGGCAGAATCTGGCACTGGTTTATCGAATCCAGCAAGTGAAGGTAGACCGGGTACAGGCTCGTTTTGGGATGCATATCGGGCCATGACTGGGTTCGCCCTGCCTTTAGCGAGACGCACCGAATCCTGGACACGACTACGACGAAGTGTTGCCCCTTGTGAACGTGGCTCTTGCTCCTCAACTGGTGGTGGGACTGGTGGCATTGATGTTACGTCTGGCATCGGAGAGGTCGAGTGGGCTAAGAAGGACAGTGCTGTCAACCACAGGTAATGGCGCTCTCTTGACATGGTGGTGAATTTGAGCGCACGTGCAGGGGTAAGAATCAATATGGATCGGTTGAAGAGTGTTTCGTTCTTAGGAGCAGGGCTGGTGTCGGCAACGTCGAGGACAGATTGAATGATTACTGGTAGGATGTTAGCAAAGAAACTTGGTGTAAAGGAACAAGACGCTTACGTTTGCGACCACTCTTGCCCATAAGTGCTGAGCCAGACGTTGGCTGCTTGCTACTCCACAAGATTGCCCGTTCATACGGCGAAATCCAGACCCAACGCTTATGTCGTACACCATTGTGAGCAAGAGAAGCCTCCTCGGCTGCGCGAGCAACATCTGCGGGCGTCTCTGGGCCACCAAATGCCTTCCTCTTGCGAACGTACTTCCACATGAACTCGCCGATCATAGACGCGGCAATGGCATCGACAACACTAGTCTGAGTTGCAGAACTGTTGATAGAGCCATTAGCTGTGTACGCAGTCGCGGTTGACGGTTGGTGCCGATGACCAAAGCCACTAGCACTGACGATGTCGCTCGGCAGAGGCGGAATCGAAGAAGTGTCTGCTATGCTAGGGGTAGCAGGAAGAGTCGGTGATCTGCTACGAGAGCGTCCAACCTTTGAAACGGGAGCCGCTGACCGCACCTTTCGCAGGCTATCCTTGCGCTGATGATTCATACCATACGGACGGCGACCGGCATGCGAACCACTATTTCGAGGCGTTGGGCTTTGAGAGCCTTCACTCTTGCTCATGGGCTTGTTCCGTGAACTTGATCGGGTGGGTACCGGGAAAGGTGGTTTCGGCATGTAGTTGCTAGAGCCAAGGCTGCCGATACTAGGACTACGAGAACGTATATGTGCGGCAGTGCCACTCTGAATCATGGCAGACCGTCGGATGCTAGGCTGACGGCCGATAGAATTACGCGATGGTTTGCCAACCTTGGCTGGTTTCTCGACTGAGCTTCGCTTCGAATGAACGTTGATGGAGTCTTCAGACGGCCTAGTCGTCGGTGCTGATTCCTTGTCTTCTGGAACGGGTGTCGGAGGGTTTACTGGGCGTCCACTCTTCGCATTACGCGAGGATAGCATCGGAGTCGAGTACAGTGGTTTTCTGTAATCATCGTCACTGGCTTCGGCATCGGAATCGTCATCTTCATCAGATGATGGACCATCAAACCCAGCGAATAGACTACTGGTCCGGAATGGTCTGCTAAGAATATCAGCCTGATGTTGTCGAGACAATGGGCCATTGTCGTTGTTCCCAGGATATCGGTTTTCCACTTTCTTGTCTGCAGCCTTCTCAAGTAATGCGATGAGGTCTTGACGAGCGTTCGGCTTTGTGGCAGATGGCTCCGTATCGCTAGAAGTAGGATGCTGCGAGGATTTCCTGGAAGCCTTGTTTAGGGCCTGGCGATCAGGTTTCGGTTCGGGGGTGCCGGGTTTAGAGGATATGGCAGAGGGAAGAAGGTTTGGTGGAAGTTTGACAGGGCGGTTGTCGATTCTTATAGGCTCAGTCTGCATGCCTGAAGAGCGCATGGACACCGCAGGGTCACCTGTTGTCTGTGTCGACACAGTCTTGGTCCCCGGCGGCAGGATAGGTTCTCTGGGTGATGGAGGAGCTGAGGTTGGAGCATGGATCGCGATCGATGGCACTAAAATTGAAGCTGGTGGCGGTGCTCTCTTGCTCACCAATGGTGTATCCTTCGGCTCTGCTAATGGGTCTGTCTGAGTTGACGTGGAAACAACATCAGCTTGATAGACAGGCGATAAAGGAGGCTGGTCCATGGGAATGATGATCTTCGGGGTATCTGGAGGACTCAACGGCTGGTCTACTGTTTGTACTGAGCTGGATGTCATCAAGCAGGGTGCATGGCTGACACCGGGCGGGGGACTAGGGCTCAGTGGTACAGAAACACGCTTTCGACTTTGGTTCGCCTCGGCGACTGTTGAAGAGTTTTCGTTGGATTTCATCTGAACCGTGGCTTCCAATGTCTGTGATGATGCCTCTATCATAACAAGTCGTGTAGGCGACGGCGGAGGAGACGGTTGTACGCCTGTATCAACATATATCGGTCGTGTTGGCGGGAATATCAAAGTAATATCTCGCGGAGTAAGTGTAACTGATGAGTGAGCAGTTTCATGTGACGTCTTCCGAGGCTCAATTTCCTCTGTAGCAGAATTGTCCCGATTTTGTACATGGTCGATGCTCAAGCCTAGAATGCGTTTCGCCTTCTCGTCTGGGTACATCGATTGTCGCGATTCGAGCGTTCGTCTTGCCCGCATCTCATTTTCCGGGAAATCATCAGAATCGAGCTCCAACTCGTCTAGGTCCTCCTCTTCTTCATCAAATATGAGTTCATCCGCTAAGCTTATTCCATGGCCGCGACCATGCCCGTCAGTGCTCATCAGAGACAAACGATAGTTGCGCCCGATACTTCTGTAGCTGCTGTTGCTCCGGTTTCGCGAATGACGTCCAATTCTAGTAGATGACCTTCGTTGTGGCGACGAGCGTATGCTAGCTGTATCGCTTTCAGTACCCGCGCCATTGTCCCGCATGACGTCCTCACCCTCGCTCTCCAGACCAGCTTCTTCGTGAGCAGCCTCTTGCAACGCAATTTCATCTAGAAGCAGTTTCAATCGGGCTTCGGAAATATGCACTCGTCGCTCCAGTGTCCGTTTCTCTCCCGCCCACGCCTCCTTTTCGCGAGCCCACATATCGTGTACTCTTGTGGAATCATCCTCCTGACTGCGCGTTTTTTTCTCTGCTGCCTCGAGTTTCTCCCTTAGATCTGCATTGGCTTCTTTAGTCTTGTCCCTCTCGCCAGCTATCTCCTCTATGGCCGCAAGAGTTTCATTTTCGAAGTGTTGAAGCTGACGTCTTGCCGCTTTGCCTTCTTTTGTAGATGATGACAACTGCTTTGATAGCGAGTCATTCTCGATCCGTACCGTGTAAAGATCCGTTTCCAGGTCTTCAATGAACCGATGTTTCGAATCTAATTCTCGCCGGAGATTGAGGATCTCGGAAACTAGGTTCGCGTGCAAGGTGGGAGTGAACCGACGGGGGTCAAGAATTGAGATGTTTTCATCGTTGGCGGCATCTTCGGGGCCATTTCGTGGGTCCGGTGGGAGAGGAGCCGGTGAGCTTGCGATCTCACTTGCTGGTGTACCGTATCTCGAAGTTCGTCGGGATAACGAGTGATATGGCGTTCCTGCGGGAGAAGGAAGTGGCTGGTTGGTGATGTAGTCTTCTTGGTCAGAGAAGTAATCGTTTGCCATCCTGTAAACGACACAGGTGGTGTCGGTAGATGTATAGCAGGCTAATGCAAGTATTCCAGAACCACAGTGAAGTGGTGCTGCAGACGATTGTGATCTAACACATGCCTATGGTAGAATCAATATATGTTTCATAATGATCCAACGCGGGTTATGTGACGTGAGAGGACGAGCTCCTGTTATGGCTGAACAATCTTTGAATTGTATAGCAAAGGGAAGGCCGCGCTTCTCAACCTGCGATCGATTCAAACATATGACGCTTTGATCAACGTACCGATCAAACCCTCCGTGATACGGTCGCGTGTGGACGCTCGTATGTCTGCGAGCCGTATGATATAATGGATGGGTACAGGATGCTCGAGGATATTGCGTGAGATGGCGTGTCGAAAGAGAGGGGCAACGTTCGGGTAGTTCTAGAGTACAACAAGGGTCAGTACTAGGTAATGTCAAAAGTGTATGCGCTTGATGAGTAACAGGTAAAAGAGGACCGTGGGAGCGGAACGGTACAACGGCGCAAGACTCACATTGCGAATATATGACGTGTGTACTTGTCCGACAAGGCGTTTTGCCTATATGCTGAAGCAATTGGCCTCTTGCTGATCCTCAATGGTAGATGCCGAAGAAGTAACAAGGATAAAAGCGACCAATGACGCGGATAATTCACTTTTGAGAAGAAGGAGAGAAAAAAGTGCTATTGAACAAGGAGAAATGCGCTCATCAGAATGGACACCAGCGTGTCGTCAACTGCACGGAGCGTGGGAAGGAAGAAGAGGATGAGGTACGAGAAACGGCGCTGGGCATGAATTTGCTGATCGCCCATGCAGCAGCTTTGGTTCCGGAAGTCAGGCACAAGTACGCACAGTCCTCTGGGGAGACGGGACTGTGGAAAAGTAACGAATAGAAATCATGGGATCAATCCACCCCGTCTGTGCATTGTCAAATTTGTTTTGTCCCCCGAGTCCATTTGTTATTATGCACGCTCTCAACTAGTGAGCACACAAGATTCCCTGTGTCCCTGCATGCATGCAGGCTGTGTCCGCCGGCCCCTTACCCTGCATGCTCTTGATTGGTACAAAGTCACCCGCTTTTTGCTAGTGGCCCTGCTCTATTGGCCGAGCAGGGGTATCCAACGTTCAAAAGACAATGCATCCCGCAACGTAGCGAGGATACGAAATGACAGACCAGGGGTATATGGTAACGAGCTCGTACCGTACCGTCGCCCTTGGAAAATGTGATCTGGCAAAAGTGTCTAGGAGACGTGACGACGCGTGATGAAGTTTGTTGTGAACGAAGAGTGCCTGCTCCTGCAGCACGGCTGGGCTTCTAGCAGGCGTTGGGTGCAGCCTGCGAACTGAATTCCGCCGCCAATGATAGCTCCGCGACAGCCTCACCCTATCGTTAGGTCTAGGGCCACGCCTGGCTCTGGTGATTATATGAGCTGTGATCCAGAGCTTCAGCCTCTCTTGACCGCGCCGCGTGTGAAAGCTTAGGGCAGCAGGCGTGATGTGTCCGAGTTGTGATCCAAGCACCCGCCATTCGTGATGCCGCCCAACGATCCTGCATGATACCGTTGACTTTTAGTCTCGATTCAACGATCCCTAGGCGTAGACCTCCTGAGGATCATAGTTTTGGAATGGGGTATAGGGGCTGTGCATAAAGACTGTGCTTTGAAAAGGAGGCTGATCATCGGATCCGTAGAATAGGAGGTAGTCGCATGAATGTGGAGCATCGTCCTTGTATTTCTGAGCCGTATGGGGCAAAGCCGTCATGGGGACCCCCCACTTTGGTTCGAGGAACTGACCCGTCTTGGCGATGGCGGACTCGACTCGACTCGAGATCGACAGCTTTGATACCCAAGTGTGGGATGCCGGGGACTTGAGCCATGAGCATTGCTTCAGAGGTTGCTTGGGTGCGCGTTGCCGAGGTGGACTGTTCCCGCGCATGATGGAATCAAACTGTCAAACTACGGCCAGCAAGTGCGTCCGGACGAGGAGCCGAATCGCGGATTGCCAGACTAGTCTATTTGGTCGGGGACTCCGACTCGTACAATGATGCCCAGAAAACGTGAATGGATTATTCAAGCCCAACTCGATCAACCACCCGGACGTACACTCTGGGCGCTGCAGAGGGGCGGGATGGTTCTGGCTGGTAGAGAGGCGTCTCGTACCGATGTCGCGTAAACAACGCGGTCAACCCGTCCTAGCCGAACGCCTCCAATTTGCCTCGCAGAGGTGGAAATATCAGGGACCATCATTCGCGAACTCGACGGACAAGATGTCAGTTTTGTTGTCCAGATAGGACCTAATTTGCATGGGTCCCGGTCTCATCATGCTGTTCAGCGGAGAGTGGGCCCAGTGTGCGGACAGCTGCATATGCATCTGCAGGGCGCCATGCAGTGGCCCGGAATCTTAGGATGATAGCACCCGGAGTGGGATGTTTCGTTGATGAACAGTTTGACATGTGGCTACTAGGTATAGGTGCGAGTCTTGGTCGCTTGCGTCGCAGTTCTACTCAAAAGATGATGAGCAGGAGGAGGATTTGCGTCGTGGTCTGAGGGTCGCGTTCGAATTGTCAAGCATATCCTTGTTCGCCTCATCGGCAGCAACGTCGCCCGTCTTGCTGCCATCGAGTGCCCCTCTAGTTGTCTGCATCAGGACCCCCCCTTGACCTTTGCTGCCGTGTGATGTGCCTCCATGCAGTTCACAGCAGTTTGCCCTGTCAGGGTGAGGCGGGCTAGACTGGAGCACCCCACCATCTGCATGACTAAGCGACCATTCACGAAAAATTCAATGTTGGGCTCCATGGGAAGGCGAGACGCAAAGAGGTATTGAGTTTTGAACGGCAGACGGTCGCCCTCTAGGAAACATGGCACAGCAGTCGAATCCAAATGGTGCGCAACAGGCCTCCGCAGACATGCCGCCGGCCATGGCTGAGGTCAAGTCGCAGAGCGTCGACGAGTTGCTGAAAGAGATGAACCGTATGCCGCTCTTCATGACACAGCTCGACGAGACGGATGGCGAAGGAGGCGAGAACTTGGCTCTTGAGGCGCTGAAAGCGATGGCGTATGAGGGCACCCGTGCCGAGGTCGCAGAGAATTTCCGGCAACAGGGGAACGAGTGTGCAAGAGCGAAGCAATGGGTAGATGCCAAAGAGTTCTACAATAAAGCCATTGCTGCGCTCAAGGGGCCCCAAAATCACCGAGATCCTGACGCGGCAGGTCCCGACGTAATAGAAGTCGAGTTGGACGAGGAAGAGGAGGCGAAGAAGGAGAAGGTCATTGAAGAGGCATGCTATGTCAATAGGGCGCTGTGCAATTTGGAAAAGAGTAAGTATTCAAATCCTGTGTTTGCCTCGTGTGGGATTCTGTCCAGGGAATGAACGAGGGTTGTGAAGGACCGTGCGATCTCAACAAGTACCAAGAACTCCAACTCTCGCCCTTGGAATCTTCTATCACGAATTGTTTGCTTGCCAGTGTGGTTATACGGTTCCACCTTTTTCAAACTCACCAAAACGCTAACATAACATAGAAAACTACCGCTCCTGTATTCTAGACTGCGCAGCAACACTCCGAGTCAATCCCTCCAACATAAAAGCCTTCTACCGGTCAGGCACTGCATGCTTAGCGCTCGACAAGCTGCTTGAAGCAACATGGGCTTGTGGCCGAGGACTCGCTATCGACTCCAACAACGCCCCTCTAATCGCTCTGCACACTAAGATTGCTGCTCGGAAAGCGTACATAGAATCCGTCGAGAAGGCCCGTCGAGCGCGAGAAGAGAAAGCTGCCTCCGAGCGCGCCACGCTCAATCTTGCGTTGAAGAGTAGGAACATCCTCACAAGGATGAGCGGACAGCCACCAGATCTCGAGGATGCAGCTATCAAGCTGGAGGACGTTATGGATCCTTCTTCGACACTCACATTCCCTGTCATCCTGCTGTACCCCACACACTCACAATCAGACTTCATCAAAGCCTTCTCGGAGAGAGAAAAGCTAGATCAACATCTCGACTACATCTTCCCCCTACCCTGGGACGAGCAGCACGTGTACACGATTGAAAATGTGGAGGCGTACATGGAGACGGCAGCCGGTGGCTTAATCAAGGTCGGCAAAAAGATGAGCTTAGGCAAGGTGCTGGGAAGCGGGAAAACAGAAATCGTCGACGGGCTGGTTAGGATCAGTGTTCTGCCAAAGGACAAGGCGGCGGATTGGATTGAAGAGTTCAAGAAGAGGAGGGGAAAAGCCATTTCGTACAACAAGAGCTAATTGCAATGGCATGTTGTAACGACGTACTATACAGGACCAAATAGCAAGAGTCCGCAGCACATGTCGCAACATACGGACACCCTTACGGCTGAGAAACAACACCTTGATTCCATCCTCCATCAAGGCAGCGTACTATATGTTTCGTTTAACTCGTCGAGCCCATATTTCCAAGGATATACCTGTAATCCAGCATTCAACGGAAGAAAATATATGTAGCGGGAACGCAGAATTTCTCGAACATGCGAGGGTGACAAGCAAGCTATACCCTAGGGTAAGCGACTAGCTCAACCCTCAGCCTCATGAATTAGGATATTTAGCGGGCCCAGTTTGCCGGAAAGGATACGAACGCGCTATATAAGTGGTACTATAGTTCCAACAAGAATCCTATATAGCCCCCCGTCGTTAGTCAATAGAGCCTAAACACACATACCCGCCCTCCCCACCTCAGCACCTTTTATAGATCGTTCCAAAATCCCGGTTCGAGGGCACCTAGGTTACTGCAGCACGGCATATGTGACAGCTTGCTCGTATGCCGCACGTGGTACAGTGGGGCTGCGATGCAATGCGTGGTGTAGACTTGTCTGCTTATGTGCAACTTCCTGCAATGTTGTACGGGCCATGATTAATAAGACAGTGATTACAAGGTTGAGTTTTTATTATATCTATATCTGCAAGGAAAGAAAAATCGACATGCCTTACGAGGTCCCGACGTCAAACCGCCAGGATGAACAGCAAAGGTACAGTACCATGTCGGTCCCAGATCCGAATCCGAATTCGGCCCTTAACCCGTCTCTTAGTCTATAGCCGTGATATTTTGACGCCTAGGAGTGGCTATGATGGAGATTCCAAGAGGTCATAACCAGACGTTGTCCGTTGATCATGTTGGAAAGGCATAGAATAATGAATGTGAAGCTAGCAACATGAAATTAGGAGAGATCGGTAGGATATCCACAAGAGATATGGCGCGCAGAACCGAAACGTAAGCGTACATGAGGGGTACAACGGTGTGTGTCATGGTAATGCTTGTTGTTGTCGGGGTGATATGGTGAGGATGGTCGTTCTTGGGGCGCTATTTAGTCGCCGATGGCTGATTCAGTCCTTCTCATACAATTTCTTCTTGCGTGTCATCATCTCCTTTAGATCATCCCAGACGTAGTCGCTGATCTTCTGTGGCGGGTAGTGCCAGGAATCGAAGAATTTGTCCACTTCATCAGCCTTGATCTGCTCCAGATAGCCAAGGAACTTGACATCAGATTTGACTATGTGCCGGCGACCGATGAATCGCATGCGAAACGTCCGCAACTTTGCCGCTCGAAGGACACGTAGACAGTTCATCAAGTACTCGTCGTTGAGGTAGCGGCGCTTCTCGTGGGAGCTGAGATAAGGAGTGTCCCGCGGACAGGCGTCGTCAAACTTGAATTTGACATCCCGTAGATATTGTAGGTTTTCGGGGCCAATCATCTTGAGGAAGTGGAGCGCGTCTTGATAGCCGATCTCCTTGGGCACTTGCTCCCAGAAAGGGCCCCGGGTGGAGTAGTACCGAGTGAACAAGAACGTGTTCTCGCCGTACAGTATGGAGCATCCCTCATCATGGACCAGCTTGCAGGTCCTCAGAAATTGGGCCGATCTACACAGACCGGGACCCTCCTTTGTGGGCGGGATTCTCAGATCATTGTCCTTGCGCGCGAACAAAGACCGATATACGGTGTTTCGTAATTCGGGCGGCAGATCTTTAAAGCTTTTGCAACGCACTTGGACTGCTGACTGTGTAGGTGGCGGGCTGGCTACGCGAGGCTTCTTCGTCTTGCCTGGCTGCATCTCATGGAGCGAAGCTTCGTCATTGGTGTGCAGCAGAGTACTGTCCAGCTTGACAAAGAGCGGGCCGTGGAAGCCCAGGGGCACGTTGAACTGCAAAGTGATGGGCGGCTTCTTTGGGGTATGGCGGTGAAATGCCCCGCCCAGCTCGTTGTCGGTCAATTGGTCCAGCTCCTGGTCGTAAAGGATGGGTTCTAGATGTGGAGAGGGTGGCGATAGGCTTCGCTTACGCTTGCGCTGCGTCTTATCAGCACGGCGGCGCTGCTCCATGACCTCGTCGTCGTCGCTCGCGTCCGAGGTCAATGGCTCATAGTCGTCTTCTTCGATCATGCCAGAATCAACGTAGCCGGCCGCTTTCCTCGCCTTGCCTGCGCTTTTGCGTATCGGCCGACCGGTCTGCTTGTTGTATTGAGTGAACTTTGAAGGGCTGCCGAGCTCTAGACTGGTGTCTCGGTTTATGGTGGAGGGTGGTGGAGGAGGAACTAGTGTTGGTATTTTGGGTATTTTGGGCACCTTAGGCGCCATCTTGAAAGCGAGGGACTAGCGGTGTAGTATACGCGTGGACTGCGTGATAGATTGATCTGCTGACGAGAGGTTGAGGGCCAAGTCGAAGTCGAAGTCGAAGTCGAAGTCGAGGTTGAGGTTGAGGTTGAGGTTGAGGCTACGGCGGGCAGGCAGGTGTGGGGAAGAGCAAGAACAAGAGCGCGCAAAGAAGGCGTTCAAGGGACGCAGAGGGCATACTCGTGGACGCGTGCTTTCCAGAATCGTCGACTGTGAGGCCTTGGCAGTCGCTATCACGGCAAGAGGCAGGGATGTTAATGGAGGTGAAGGAAGGTGGGAAGCAGACTGGACGCTGGGATTAACTGGCTTCTTGGAATTGCTACCTACTAATTCACGGCGTGGTGGAGTTAACAGCGAACAAGAGTCAACGCAAAAGCACCATGAACCCCAAGATGCGTTGCGAAAAATCACACTTGCTTGTATCACCAGCTGCCGACAATGCCATCCTCTTCCAATGCATCAGAAATACAACATAGGCCAATCATGTAGTCTTTCGTCTCCTCTGGGTGGTAGGGTGCCCGGAGCGTGTCAGCAGCTCCCACGTCAACCAGCTTGCGCCGGCCAAGTGAGGATACAACTGAATGGTAGAAGCGTTGAATCATCTTGGTTTTAGTTGTAAGGGAGCAGAAGAGGGACGTGAGACGGAAGCGAGTAATATTGGCCGTCGGAAAAACACATCGCCGCTGCCAGCTCCGTCGATAAGCGGAGTCCGTCGTTTCGTTGCCTCATCGAGACTACAGGTCCGGCCGTCGCATCAGGACTTGTTGATTAAAAGGTTGCAGCACGCTTTTGGCTTTCGCACCACACTTTGGCCATGGCGACACTCAGATCTCTCGGCCGGGCGTCTTTGCGCCAGCTTTCTGCGCGTTCTTCTGCTTCAATTGCCACAAATCACGCCAGAATACTGCACCAACAATGGCGGGGCTACGCAACCACCTTGGAGGCACAACAGAAGGTACTTTGGCCTGAAACAAGATAGGAGTGGAATAATTGGCTAAGAAAGGCTTCAGGTGCTCTCTCAGGACCTCGAGCAAGCAGATCCCACCGTATACAACATCATTGAGAGGGTTAGTTGTGACTTGTAACAGCTCCAGACGCATGGACGAAGCTCATCATATTCGCTGTTGTAGGAGAAGAACCGACAGAAACACTTTATAAACCTTATTCCCTCGGAGAACTTCACATCGCAAGCTGTTCTCGATGCTCTCGGCAGTGTCATGCAGAGTAGGTTTCGCGCATCTGTCACCCCACCCCAAGCTTACACTAGAGCATAGACAAGTACTCGGAAGGATACCCAGGCGCACGATACTACGGAGGAAACGAGTTCATCGACCAGGCCGAGCGCCTCTGCCAGGAACGAGCGCTCAAAGCATTCGGTCTAAGCTCCTCAGAGTGGGGAGTCAATGTTCAGCGTGAGTCAAGTCATAACTATCTGGATGGCTGAAGCTTACGCTCTTTTCAAGCTCTCTCCGGCTCTCCTGCGAACCTCTATGCCTACTCCGCCGTCCTCAATACTCACGACCGTATCCTCAGTCTCGACCTACCGCACGGCGGCCACTTGTCGCATGGCTACCAGACACCAACCAAGAAGATTTCCGCCGTCTCCAAATACTACGAAACCCTTCCTTACAGACTTGACGAGAAGACTGGCCTCATCGACTACGAGAAGATGGCCGAGCTGGCGCGTTTGTATAGACCCAAAGTTATTGTGGCTGGAACATCAGCCTACAGCCGGCTGATTGAGTATGAGCGTATGCGCAAGGTCGCAGACGAGGTTGGAGCGTACCTCCTCTCGGACATGGCTCATATTTCCGGTCTCGTCGCAGCAGGCGTCATTCCCTCTCCATTCCCGTATTCCGATATCGTCACTACCACAACCCACAAGTCGTTGCGCGGCCCTCGAGGTGCCATGATCTTCTACCGCAAGGGGACAAGGAAAGTGGATAAGAAGGGCAACGAGGAGAAGTACGACTTGGAGGGACCCATCAATGCTTCGGTGTTCCCAGGTCACCAGGGAGGCCCTCACAACCATACCATTACTGCATTGGCTGTAGCCCTGCAACAGGCGCAAAGCAAAGAGTTCAAGGACTACCAGCAGCAAGTGCTCGACAATGCCAAGGCTCTTTCACGCCGTCTGGGGGACACGAAAGAGAACGGCGGTCTAGGCTACAACATCGTCAGCGGCGGCACTGACAACCATCTGGTGCTCGTTGACCTCAAGGATCGAGGTGTAGACGGAGCGCGGGTAGAGCGCATTCTCGAGCTGGTTGGCGTTGCATCCAACAAGAACACGGTGCCTGGTGACAAGTCAGCCATGAAGCCCGGTGGTCTGCGTATAGGCACCCCCGCCATGACTACCCGCGGCTTCCAGCCAGAGGATTTTAAGCGCGTCGCTGATGTCGTGCACCGCGCTGTCGGCATCACGCAGAAGCTCGACAAAGAGGCCAAGAAGAAGGCAGAGGAAAACGCCCGCAAGAACCCTGGCAGTGTAGCCGCGTTCAAGGAGTATGTGGGAGAAGGCGAAGACATCACAGATATTGTACAGTTACGAAAGGAAGTTGAGGATTGGGTATCTACATTCGCTTTGCCTTGGGACAAGGCGCAATAAGCGACATGACTAAAACGGAATGCATTAATTACAGCGACTTGGAGTTCAGCGGTTAAAACTACGCTTGGTGGTTTGTACATAGGGTTTTCTATTCCACCGCTATTGTTCGCCTTTCACCGCACCGTCCCCGATCTATTGTCCACTTCTTCCTATTATCACCCACGTCTACAATACCGTGATGGATTTATACAACCATGCCTCCGTACTCCCCAGTGTTTCTAGCCCCCATCATCGAGGTTTTAATTCCCCATTAGCATCCCCTCGTCGCCAAACCGCTCCCACCAGGCCTCGCAAGCTACGTTAAAAGCACCGCCTAAAACCTAATTACTCATGATGCTTCTCCTCCCCCTAGCCGCATCCCTCGTCTTCATCAACTTGGGCTTTGCGCTGCCGGTCAGCGTTGGCCTTGAGCTTGAAGAAATTAACACCACCAACACCACCACAACGCTGCCGGAATTCACGTTCCCACCCTGTAGTCCTATTTCTATTACTATACTACCAGGCCCCACCCTCAGAGCCGAAAGCGACCAAGAAGCGCTACCTCCAAACGTGGAGGAGCAATCAAACACGCTCCCCACCACACCCAACGCAAACGAGAGAGAGGAGAGCGTTTCATGGATCAATCCGGTTACCTATACTATCATCTGCTACGACTTCTTCATCGCTAGTGTCTTCGTTTGGTGTTGGATCCAAGGTTGTTTCTGGTGGTGGAGGAAAGAGAATGTCAGTGGGTTGGAGGGGGGGTATGAGATGGAGGACTTGGGTACGAGAGGTGGTGGTGGTGGTAGGAGGGCCAGAAGCGAGCGGGAGCGGGAGATTGAGAGAGAGATGAGGAGGTTGGGTATGATTTAGAAGTGTGTGTGTGTGAGGTACATTAGGCCAATGTTTCAGAAAGGTTCAGAGAGAGATTGTAGATGGAATTAAAGATAGCCTGCCTAGACATCTGACGAAGGTGCAAAGTAATGTAAGTGTACTGAAGGGATACAGGGTGTGTACCTTTTGGGAAGAGTGATGATAGCTTTAGAATGGCTGACGTTGTCAGGTGACACCTACTTCAGTATGCTAGCCTGTCTCCTATCCTTCTTCAACGGAGAGAACGAGAAAGCTTCCTCACTCAACATACCAAACCCACCCGAGATTGGCCTCTGCTGCCCCAATGCCCCCTTGCCCAGAGCATTCTTCCCCAGTGCCCTCGCTGCAAAAAGCCCCTTACTGCTGCCAACGGGCTTCAAAGGTGCAGCATCTTCGGCATCCTCAGCATCGAACAGCGTCTTACCCGTGGTAGCACCAAGCTTGCGCTTCTTTTTCTTCTCGGCAGCAGGTTCTTCGGCAAACGCGGCGAAGGACATGAGCGACTTACGAGGCTTCAACTTGGGCACGCTGGGTTTGGACTTTGTGGAGGCACCGTCGTCGACATCTTTAAGCGGGATGGCAACGGGGGCGTTTTCCGAGTTGTCCTTGGAAACGTTGCTTGAGAGTTCGGAGGCCTCTTCATTGACGATCTCCAGAACCGCAGCAGCAGCTTTCTTGCGAGGCTTCGCGTTGGCCTTATTTGACGCCGCTGGAGCCAGCGGTTTCACCTTGGACTGAGCAGTCTTCTTGGGAGCTTTCTTGGGAAGGGCGGTAGGAGTGGGTGCGTGCTCAACTGCTTCTTCCTCTTCCTCCTCCTCCTCCTCCTCCTCTTCGGCAATAGGACTACCAGGTGCAATAATAGTAGTGCGGTTTAGGAATGGCGTCAGGGAGAAAGTAGATGTATCTCCGACTGCGGAAACAGAATGGCCACGCTTCGTCTTCTTTGCAGGGAAGCCGTCACCTGGCGTGCCTAGATTGGTCTCTGGTTCTGCAGTAATAGCCGTGCGCTTCCGAGCATTCTTTGCTGCAGGCTTCGTACTGTTAGCAAATGCAGCTTTTGTAGGTGGTGCGTTCTGTGCCCTATCTGCCTTCTCAAGCTCTGCTTCCTTCGCCTTGAGTTTCTCCTTTGTGGACCGCAACTTCTCGCGGAAGGCAGTGAGCTTGTCGTCGAGGACCGTGTTGCGGCCCTGCAGCTCAGCTAAAGTCTTGGTGTACTCCTTCTCCAGCAGCTTTCGCTCGCGCTTTTCTTGTTCCAGCTCTTTCCCAATAGCTTCCGTTTGAGAATCGCTCTGCGGTGTACTCTTCTTCAAAGCCTTCTCTGCCTTCTGGCGCTGGAGCTTCTCTTGCTCAAACTCTTCACGAAGTTGATCGATGTCCGCATCTCGGCTGCTGGAGTTCTTATTTGCCTTCTCTGCTTTTTGACGCCGGAGTTTCTCCTGCTCGAACTCTTCACGGAGCTGGTCGAGCTCCGCATCCCGGCTGCTGGTGTCCTTGCTTGCCTTCTCTGCTGCTAGGCGAGCGGCCTTCTCCAACGCCAGTTCTTCACGAAGTTCTTCTAATGCCTCCTCGCGCTTGGCCGCCTTGTCAGCTTCCTTCTTCGACATCTTCTCGACCTTCGATTGCAGACGTTCCGTTGCATGCTGTTGTGATTCTAGGTCCGCCTGCACTTTTTCCACAGCCTTCTCTGCCGTTGTGAGTCCCGCTTCAGCCTTCATGCGGTCCTTCTTCTCCTGTGCTAGCGCCTTGCGCACTTCCTCGAGTTCGTTGCGGATCTCTTCGTCCTGCTCCATTTTCTTTCCTTGTTTTGCTACTATGCGAGCGGCGGATCGCTTCTCGTTCTCTAGCTCCACTTGTAGTGTAGTCAATTGGCGTTGTAACGCAAGCTTCTCGGTGAGCAGGCCTTGATTGGATTCAACTTGGGCGCGTAGGTGTTCGACTTCTGGGCGTAATGATGAAATTTCGCGGGAAAGAGCGAGCTTGTCAGAGAGGATCTTGTTCGAGTCAGAGGTGACGTTCTCCATAGCCTTCAGCTCGGCCTAGTGAGTGTCAGTACTGTTTTGGTTGAGGTTGAGCCGGATGCGCCTACCCTAAGGTTCGCGATTTCACGCGCCTGTGTGCGGATCTGGTTCTGAGCTGCTTCGCCCTCGGCTTTTTGTTCGTCGAGCTGAGTGAGTGCTTCCTCTAGCGCGCTCTCTAGCTCGTCTGAGCGAGCTTGTTCCTCTTCGAGCTGTTCGTGGAGGTCGCTATTGTCGTCTTGCAGGAGGCACTGGCTGACTCGCAGTTTCCTAATTTCCTCGTCCTTGGCAACGACCTCGACGGAATGTTTACTTCGCTCGAGGTTGAGTTCAAGGGTCGCGTTGCGCAGCGAATGTTGGAGCTGGTAGGGTCAGTTGTGTTGTAGATGTCATGGTCTCCACCTGCCGCGCTTTCACTTTCACTTTCACTTACATCTTTCATCCCATAATTGGTATCTAAATCCGACCCCATAGTTGCAACCACTTTGTTATGTCTGTTCAATGATGTGTATAGGCGTAGGTGCTAGAGTAAAGTTTGGAGGGGTTGGAGGTGGACGCGACGTTGGTAAACAAACACAACGAATGAAGCTTGCCAAGCGGCACCACGAGTATAGAGTAGGCTTTTGTGGTTTCTTGACCGTTCAACAGCAATAAAGTGTAGTAGAGACACGAACCAGCATCAAGCACTACAAGAGTCTCATCGAATAGATTCAAGGAAACACGGGCAGTCTTCATGATGCTCATTGCGCCAGCATCCCTGCGTCTTGGCAATTACGCACGCAACCCCCGACCGCCGAAGCTCACTGAAGGCCACGTTCACCAAGCTTGACCAAGTTCTCCCACCAAAGCTCGAACACATCCACACACCACCCTCGACCCGACACAATGCGGTGGCTCCAGCTCCTCACAGCGTCCCTGCTCCCCTTTGCAGCACTTGCCGCGAAGAAATCGACAGGCGACCGCTTCAAAGATGCCCGTGCCAAGTCACTGTCCGCCGGCCACCCACTCAAGCTTGACGACGCAACCTATGCGCAATTGACCAAAGCCCCGAGGGACTACTCGGTCGCTGTGCTGTTGACGGCGCTGGAGACGCGGTTCGGATGCCAGCTCTGTAGGGACTTTCAGCCAGAGTGGGATATATTGGGCAAGAGTTGGGTGAAGGGTGATAAGGATGCGAAATCGAGGCTGGTCTTTGGAACGTTAGATTTCGTCGATGGAAAGAACACCTTCCAGTCGGTGAGTCGGGAGTTTAATTATGAGGGAAAGGGAGAGCGTTCAAGCTAATGTGATACCTAGATGATGCTCCAAACTGCACCCGTTCTACTGTATTTCCACCCCACAATCGGCCCCAACGCAAAGGTTGACACGCAACCCGTACGATTCGACTTTACGTCTGGTCCTCAGTCCGCCGAACAGATCCACGCCTGGATCTCGCGCCAGGTCCCCGATGGTCTACCGAAGCCCTCCGTCTCTCGACCCATTAATTGGATCAAGATCATCTCCGTCACCGTCATCGTTCTCGGACTCGTCACAGTCGTCGCCGTCCTCGCCCCATACATCGTCCCCATCCTTCAAAACCGCAATCTCTGGGCTGCGTTCAGTTTGATTGCCGTTCTACTCTTCACCAGTGGCCACATGTTCAACCATATCAGGAAGACACCGTATGTTTCCGGCGATGGGAAGGGCGGGATCAGCTATTTTGCCGGAGGGTTCAGCAACCAGTTTGGGCTTGAGAGTCAAATTGTTGCTGCCATCTATGGCGTCTTGGCTTTCGCGACAATTTCACTGGCGCTCAAGGTGCCGAGGATTGCTGATGCGAGGGCACAGCAGTTTGCTGTGTTCCTATGGAGCGGTGTGTTGCTATGCATGTACAGCTTCCTCTTGAGTGTCTTCAGGACGAAGAATGCTGGCTACCAGTTCTGGCTACCTCCATTCTAGATATACTCATGCGTGGGCGCGGAGATGCGCTGTGACCACATTCAAAAGACTTAGAAACAAGGTCAAATCATTATGGGAAGGCCGCAGGCTTGAGCCTTTCGTGCGCTGTATCATAGAGCCGCTTTGGCCTTTTGGTCATGGTTTACGTTGGCAGGCGTTATTGGACTGCAAAGGGGAATCAAAATAAAGGCATTTCTTGTCATATTCATGCAGACATTATGTATACATGCCTGAAATACTACTAGTTGAAATACTGTGTACAGAAACCTAGAATGAAGCGCCTGGACCCCTCGCAAACCCTTTTGTGCTGATATACTGACTAAAAACAGACTTCGTGATGACAAGAATATAAAAAAAAAAGCCGAACGAATCGCACAGAATACTACGCACTTAGGTCAGTGCTATAGCGTGAAGGTCGAACACGTCATTACGCCAGCCACCCTCATCCCAATCATCGATACGTTCAGTCGCACGACGACCCTCCTCCTCCCACAGCTTGACTACGCTGCCAGGTGCATACTTGCCAGCAAAGACACCCTTACCCGGCGCAGCAACACCGACGCGGGTGTATAGATCCGGATCGTCCTCCGGTGTCAAACGTGTGAGTACAGCCTTGAAGAACGTCTTCAGGTCATCTGGATCCGAAATCCTTGTTGCCCTTAGCCTCTCGCGAGCAAACAGAAGTTCGCGGTTCGCAGCGTGAATAGCGTCTGCGATACCTTTGGCCATTTGTCTTTCCATCACTTTGCGGATGATAGGGCGAAGGAGGGGCTTGAATAGCCAGCCGAGTAGGCTGAACTTTGATTTGCGGAGGGTGTAAGAGAGCTTGTGGATGTGCACTCTCACAGCCTTCAAGGTTAGAATTTGCTCCAGCTTTTCCTTCGCAATCTCGACGTCGAGGTGGATGTCAATACCACGCTCATCGAGTTGGAAAGATGCGATACCTTCATCTGCGAGGCGGAGTAAACCAGAGTGTGCACGTAGGAGAAAGCCAATCTCATCGGCACGGAAGGAGAGACCATCAATCTTTATAGTGAGGTTGGATGTAACCTTTGATGCAACACGGAATCGGGCTTTGCGGAGCTCGAAATCGTTGTATGTTTCGACGCGGAAGCGGAAGGGGAGGAAGGAGGTGTGGTTGACTGTCTTTCCTGGCTCGATGATAAGGTTCTCCAGGAGCATATCGACTTCGGGGGTCGAGACCTCGAGGCGCGGAATGGGGATATACTGAATAGCCTGGATACCGAGAGGGACGAAAACGTTGATAGCATCTTGGATCAAATCGCTGTTGGTCAAGGCATGCTTGGGAGACAGGATGTTCCAAATCCTCGTTGTTGATTTGATCAACTTCGCGATGTCCTGATCGCGTGTGACAGCTACGAAGGTCCCCTGAGCCTGTGCAAAGAAGACATCAACGTCCTGGCGAAGAGATGATTCGCTGCCCACTCCCTTGGCCTTCTTGCGAAGCTCTTGAAACTTCTCGTCCACGTGGTCGAAGAAGTCGGGATCAGTCAGAAGCTTCTGAAGCGAGTTTCCAACGTCTATGAGCAGGTCCTCGAACTCGGGGTCTTTCTTGGAATGCTCCAGCACTTTGTGGAAAGAGTCTTCGAGCTTCTTCCATTCTTGTTCATCTCCGAAGGAGCTTATGAATGTCCAGAAGTTAGTGACTGCCTTCTCCATCTCTGGGTTTGGTTCGACATCATTCTGCACTGTTCCCATCGCGTCCTCAACTGTGCGGGAGTATGCCAGAGCATATCGTTTCAAGAGCAAGGCTAGCACGGAGACCGAGTCGTTGTAATCCCGCTTCTGTCTCAGGTTCGTGACCGTCTTCTTCAGTCGGAACAACAGAGAGTCGCCCTCATCACCTTGGAGTTTATTCGCTAAGCTCTTGTCTGCCTCTTTGGCCACCTCGATAATACCTGACCCGACGACTTTAGCAACCTCGGCGACTTCGCCGTTGAGGTCCTCAGCAGATGGTGCAGGTCCACCGTTTGCATCTGCACCCGGCTCTTTCAATGCCTTTTGTTCTGCCTCGGAAGGTTCGATTTGTTCTCCAGCTTGTTTCGCCACTTCGGATAGCGTAAATGCAGTGTCCTTGAATACTTCGCGACCAACGGTGTTGAGATCGGATAGGAAGACGCGGAAGTCTGAGTTGGTAAGCAATAGCGTTCCGACCGTTTGCAGACTCTGATAGGCTTTTGACGTATTAGCATTGTCAATCTGATGATATGGTAGGTACTAACCAGCTGTAGCATCTGCCTTGGCCTTTGATCTCGTCGTCCGTCGTGCCATATCCGTTACATCCACCGAGAGTCTAGCCTTTGAAAGATACCAGAGGAAATCTTGTATCTGGTCTTTGCTGTTCTTGTGGTTCAAGGTTTCGATAAAGTCATGGAGCCATTGCTTGGTGAACTTGACGAGCAGGCGACCAGAGTCGCTCAGGTCGGGGTTTTCGGGGTTCAAGAGGTCTGCAGACAACAAGCTTCGAAGGTTGATGATGACCTGTTCGTTCGATGGCATGAACCCCAAGGAAAGAGCCCTCAGCATCTGATACGAGTGGAGCTTCTGGTGAACCTCCCTCTGCAGGACCGTATCATCGCGGTACTACGATTCAATGTGAGCCAGTGCTATTGTCAGCTTGTACAGAATGCGGGAGCTCACCTGTGGGAGCAGCGGTTGCCGGTCATCGTCGCGTTTGCGAGACCCGAAACACGAAGACAAAGACATGGTGATGTATTGAGTTCAGTGTTGTGTTGCTAAGGACCTGGAGGTATGTGAAATTGCTTTTGGGTATAGAGCAACAGCTCAGTTCAAGGCAGAGCGTCGTGGTTCTCACATGCAACACTACGCGTCCAGGTAATAGTGACGAGGGTAGCTGGAGGTCTAGCGCGTCCACTTAGCTACCAGGTACGTCATATGCGCCAAGTCGCGCGAGGCTCCCCGCGGAGACCCACCCCCATCACCAAAGCTTGTCAGTTTGAAATTGGGACTGTTTTTATACTGTAGTATATTGCTTGGATGCAACGGATTACTACACTACCTGGCTCCAGGAACGCCTGCAATGGCTTCTGAAAATCTTCAGCGCTTCGTTCTCGGGACTATGCAATTTGACCATGGGATTTTAAGCATTATAGGAGTTGGAATGCCCTAGGGTAGTACCCTTTGTGACTCGTTGCTTGAAGGGGTGTAGTACTTGAATAGTTTAATCTTGGAATAAGACAACATCAGACGTTGGCTTGATGAAAAAGTGATGTGAAAGAATTTTGGTCTCCTCGTTGCGCAATGGCACTAAACGGTCGCGTGCTCCGTGCTAAAGTGGACGAGGATAATGCGGATGCGTCTCCAAAGCAATCAAGCTCTCCCCGCATTTCGGACCGAAGTGCTGTGGCGATCTTGGTAGGGAGGTCGGAACGAACCGTTCTCTCCAGGTCTTGGATGCTAAGTTAGCCTCCTGCATGTTGCATGCTGCAAGCTACAACGCCCCAGTCCTAAGGCATTATCCTTCTGCCATGCTCGGAACGCAGAACGAGTACAATTCATTATATGCTGTATACACAATGGCTGTGTCTCGGGTTTTTACGGACAACAACGCCTGGACCCCGACTAGTATCCACCCCCATTTTTGCCTGTGGATACTGGTAACTCCAAGTCCAAGGCTGGTGCGGTCGTAGATCTAAGTAAGCATCGAACGGCTCCTAAGCGAGTCAGCATGGGCACATCACAACCCAACTACGAGAGCAGCCTAAATCTCCGTTGAATAGCATTTCATCTAGACTGGCGTGGACACGTATAGGCAAAGCATCGAGGCTTGAGGCTTGAAGATCTTGTTGCTACATTGTCGTCAGGGGAAGGCCATTGTCTCTCGCCATGGACTGTGCGGACCCGCGTGTGTGGACGGAGTCAGCAATTGCCTGACGCTGATGATACTCGGAACGTGTGATGAAGCTTTGCTGCCGCTCGATACTTCCGATGCACGTCCACAGAAACGGGAATAGGAGATTGCGACACCCATTAATAATAGCACTGATTCGCGTCGCAGAAGGCCGCCATAAGCTTGGGCGTTTCCAAAAAAATCCCTCTCTTGATGCCTGACCTCGAGGCGATGGCCATTTTCCAGGTGCTGGACTCCAGGGATGAATGCACTGCAAGTCGCGATGCATGCCAGGCATCTTTCCCAGGCTTTTGAGTTCTAGATGCTCCGTGGCCAGCGTGTCGGAGGCACTCAGTATGCGGAATAATCGGTGGGGAGCCATCCAACAGCTTTCGTGGCTAGGGCTCATGGGCTTTGGAGTGAGTGCTCCGAACTTTCCCGATGATCGTGCACGTCCATCGCCCCTGCCTGGTAGGGCTGCCCAAGGGCAAACTTCACAACTTGCTACTACGCCTTTGTACGAAACACTTGCGAGGAATTGTGTGGTTAAATCCTATAGACAGTCCTAAAGAGCCTCAATGGCACTGTAGAATGCTTGATAATTTCTGCAACGTACTGGACAAGATATTCAGGCCGAGTTGTGAGGACTACCCTGGGTTGCATGCCACCATGAGTCGCGGAGAAGCTGGCTGGTCTATGCCTCTGTTACAGGACTACTTTGGCGGCGGTAACGGAGTGGTATTACGGGAGTTTACATACTTCCGATAGGCTAATTCAGCTTGTCATCCCCAAAAAAAAGTCACCCAATTCCCAATCCCCCATGCGGCCCTGCTTCCTGTTTCTTTTGTCGACCGCGGCAATTGACTCCGTCTCAGCTCCTCAATGCAGCGACTTGGTTCCTTAAAAACCGCGCTTCCTTCCCTTAAGCTCCAGCCTTCTTTTCGCAACCCCAGATTCCTTCGATTCATGGCCTCTATTGCAGCAGAAACCATGTCTTCAGCAACTCGACCTACCCAGCCTTCACGGCAATTAAGCACAACGTTCGCCACCTCCCCCCTTCTACGACTGTGCGGCAGCTAATCGCCCTCTAGGAGCGGTGACTTCTCCTCGTCAAATTCCCCAAATGTCCGCAAGTACCTGGGAACGTATGGCCTCACTCCTCCGGCCGTTGAGAGCTACGAGGTGCAGAGTCAGCGCTGTAAGTGACTCAATGGACCCCCAAGCACCGTCGGCTGACGACTGTATTAGGCCTCAGGCTCCTGGCCATGAAAACCGCGCCAATCGAGAAATTCCAGTACCTTGTCCACCTCAAGGCCACAAACGTGCACCTTTTCTACAGACTGCTAGGAGAGAACATCCAGGTGTGCAATGGCGTCCCATCATCAGAAGCGCCTTCAGCTCACATTTGCTTAGGATCTGACTCCTCTTATTTACACCCCGACCGTCGGCGAAGCCTGCGTACGATGGCACGAAATCTGGACACAACCCGAGGGCATGTACCTCTCATGGAGCGATCGTGGCAATCTTCGCCAGATCCTCGACAACTGGCCCCACGACGTCGATATCACCGTTCTCACGGACGGCTCACGTATCTTGGGTCTTGGAGATCTGGGTGTAAACGGCATGGGCATTCCTGTCGGCAAGCTGTCACTATACACTGCTTGCGCTGGTATCAGGCCAGATGCCACTCTGCCACTCTGCCTTGATTTGGGAACAAGCAACAAGGCGCTGCGAGAGGACCCACTATACATGGGCTCCAGGACGCCCAAGGTCTCCGCCGAGGAGGAGAAGGAGTTCCTGGATGAGCTCATGGCCGCCCTCACTGATAAGTGGCCAAGGTACGTTTTCTGCACCCCCTACCTCTTCAGGAAACTGATCGTGTGACAGTATCGTCATCCAGTTTGAAGACTTCAAGAACCCCTTCCCTGCCATCGAACGTTACCAAAACAAATATACCATGTTCAATGACGACGTGCAGGGAACTGGCGCTGTGATTGTTGGCGGTTTCATCAACGCTATCAAAGCCTCTGGCGTTCCCGCCAAGGATCATAAAGCAGTCTTCCTCGGCGCCGGCAGCGCTGGTGTTGGTGTTGCCAAGCAGATCGTTGAATACTTCATCAAGGAAGGTGTGCCAGAAGAGGAGGCCCGCCGCAAATTTTGGTTCGTCGACACGAAGGGCCTCGTTACCCAGGACCGCGGCGATAAGCTGGCTGAGCACAAGGTCTACTTCGCTCGCGACGATAACAACGGCCGCCAGTATCAGTCTCTCAGTCGCTTGATTGACTATGTACAGCCCACAATTCTTATGGGTTTGTCGACAATTGGTGGCGCTTTCAACCAGGACATTCTCAAAAAGATGGCCAAGCTGAATGACAGGCCCATCATCTTCCCTCTCTCCAACCCCTCAAGCAAGTCCGAGTGCACGTTCGAAGAGGCCGTGCTCCACACAGAAGGACGCTGTCTCTTTGCTTCCGGCTCTCCATTCCCGGTAGCGGAGTGGGATGGCAAGCTTCTCACCCCCGGTCAAGGTAAGCTCGTACCTGTATTACCCGGTCTCAATACCCGACTAATAGTAATATAGGAAATAACATGTATGTTTTCCCTGGTATCGGACTCGGTGCTATCATTTCCAAGGCTGTGTCAGTCACTCAAGACATGATCTACGCCTCTGCAGAGTCGCTCTCGACCTCTTTAAATAAGCAGGAGGTCGCTGATGGCTGGCTCTACCCTGATATCCGCCGCATCCGCGAAGTCTCCGTCGTCGTGACTCGTGGCGTCATCCGCGCCGCACAAAAGAATGGCGTCGATCGTGCTACTGAGCTGCGAGACTTGACTGATGCGCAGCTCGACTCGTACATCAAGGAGCGGATGTACAACCCTTACAACGAGCGCGACAACATCGGTAACATTGGCGAAGAGGTCAATCAACTACTCGCTCAGGCCACTGGCCTGAGTGGCCAGACTGACGGTGCCAAGGGCATCACCAATGGTGTCGCCCATTTGTAATGTTTCACTTGTTTGATCACGGCGCTATTGGTTATTACAGAAGGTTTCTTCTTTTCTAACTACCAAAATGTTTAGACTGGACATTGGGGCATGGAAAAGTGTATCTTCGGAACGGATGGACTCAATACCCTACGACGAGTCTTTCCCACGCGACACACTTGTCGCACAGATAGAGCGGCTCGGACCGCACTGAGCATTGAGCACTTAGCTGCAAGCGAGGAATTTAAAACTATTCGGGATGAAGTGGAGACTTTATGTTTCGCCTCATGGTAAAGATACTGAGCCTTCTCACCAGAGCCTGTGTACAGTGATTTCGCTCCTGTGACGCCTTTGAACGATTATACCAATGATGCATCCTGATGTCAAGAAAGTGTCCAGTGCCAATTCCGGGCTCAATACCGTCAATTATTGCAATTCGATGAAATAATATTCGGATCCCCGTCCCGCTTCGGACCCGCAATCCATCCGCATCTCAACAGTTCCAGCAAGCCTATTAATCCGGTAGAGATAGCCATCGACGATAACGGAGCAGTGACTTCAGGACAAGCTTTACGACCCGGTTTCTTCCATCACGCAGCATGCAGCATGCACGTCACACGCAGCTCCAGGTTCTTGGGTCTGGGGTAGCGGGACCCACAGCCGTGGCTTCACATGCAAGCTGGTGGTCGGAGCGGCCGATCGATCGGTTTGAGAAGATGAGCTAGGGTATATACTTCGGATAGAACTAAGAAATGTATGCTGGTTAGAATAAGATGTGTTCACAACTGCTGTTTATGAACGTCACTGAAGCTATGCAGGCTGCTGTACTATGAATCGACATAGCGAATTGCTCGATGTGAATATGATTGCTCTCCTTAAATAGTCTAAAAGGCCTATAGGAGCGAGATAGGAACTGTTTGAACCATGCAGCTTTTGGTGCGCTCCTAATTGCATATTGAGAAGTGCATTGAGCGCTGAGGCTATCTAGGCTGAGCTGTGTCAATGTCAGTAACTCGTCTTTACTGCTACAAAAAATAGTCTTATTCTCTTGTACCCTTGTTTCTCACCTTCATCTCACACTACATCATCTGCCTACGAAACTTCATGGTGAACTCAGCGTTGTCCTGAGACGTCCCGGCCACTCACTTGCAACAGATTCCTACATCATCTCACTTTCTTGCAATCTCCCAACAAACTACAACCACCTTCTTACCCACAATCGCACTGCACTTGGTCTGCATTCAGTACCTACAAACAAAATCTACAACCATCTACCAACTACTACACACTATGTCTGACAATGACAACGGCGACATGGCCAAGGCCAAGGGCGGCAAGACTATGAGTTGGACCGAACATGAAGTCGTAAGTGCAACCAGCCACTCAAGCAGTACCCGTACTAACAGTCCAAAAGCTCGTGTACCTGCTCAGCGCAATGGAACACTCCAGCCTCAAGATCGACTTTGCGGTACGCCCAACAACACTCCACACACTCCCCCAAGCTCAAGCACTGACAACACAACTAGACTGCTCCCGTCCCCTTTGGTCGTAATGCCAGCGGCTGCATGCAGAAGATCGGCAAGATGAAGACCGCTCTCCGAGCTGAGATCGATGCTCTCAAGGCCGGCGAACCGATTCCTGCTGCGGAGGGCACGCCCAAGAAGAAGGCTACTCCTCGTAAGCGCAAGGCCAAGGGTGAGGATGAGAACGGCAACGGTAGCGCGAATGGCAGTCCCAAGAAGCGGGGCCGTGCTAAGAAGACCGCGAAAGTCGAGGAGGAGGAAGAAGACCTGCTGGTCAAAAGCGAGATGAAAAGCGAGGGCGAGCAGGTCGAGGACGAAATCTGAGGCACGAGACTGTGATGGTCACGGTCTGAAATTCGGGGATTATGGTTATTTGGCCAAGTGGGTCTGCCGTTCTGAGAACGGTCTCACGGAATCAACTCTGCATTTGCTTTGGTCTGCGTATTGCCTTCGAGAGCACTGAAAAGCTCTTTTGCGGAGAGATGCTCATAGTGGAAAGCATAGCATTGCACTTTTCAAAACAGTACGGAAAATGATGCACGAATCTGATCTCAGTCATGACACAACTGGTAGGGACGTGAAGTCTTCTCGTATCATTGTGACTTCACCTTCACCTGCACGTTGTGCTTCTCGACATATGGTGAGGCAGTGAGTTCATCGTACCCATCCCACAGGTGCCCAAGTTAAGAACATTCCCTTCTACTTACTTTCTTCGTACAAACATCTACCTCGCACACTCAAACTCTATTAAACTGCGACTAATCCCACACAACTCAAGCCAACATGTCCGACAACGAGGGCAACAAGGCCGGTGCCGGCAAGGGCTGGACTGACCGTCAGCGTGTACGTGAACCTCACATTTCAACACCTCCTATAGCCACACTAACATACAACACAGCTCGCATACTACTTCAACCTCGTCGAGTTCACTAAAGTGAAGCTTGATTTCGCCGTAAGTCAATCTACTCCTCCCACCAAGTGTGCAACACTAACAACACACAAATAGAATGCCCCGCGCCCTGACGGCAAGTCTGTAGGCGCCTGTCGTATCATGGTCGACCGCCTTAAAAATACTCTCAAGGACGAGCTGATGGTGCTTCGCGCGGGTCAGCCGATGGAGGACGGTACGCCCAAGAAGGCTGCTGGTATGCCACGTAAGCGTAAAGCCAAGGGCGATGATGATGAGTCCAACAGCACCCCAGCCAAGCGCGGACGCAAGAAGAAAGTCGAGGTCGAGGTTGAGACTGAAGTCGGTGATGACGACTACGAGCAGCAGTTCCAAGTCAAGGCTGAGCCTCGAGACGAAGAGTAGGATACTGGAGTTGAGGTATAAGCTTCAGCAATATTGAGGGGTTTGGTGGGGTTGGCGGCCGTTTCAGGGTTCGTTGACCATCTTTGCTGATGGTTCTTTGGTATGACTTTTTTCTACTCGCGAGGCAATACGGCCTTGTGAGGTATGGTTGCGCTGGTAAATGCTTGGCGTTCTTTCTTCTGTTATTGGAGCTTCTCTCCCTCGACGGTGCGAACGACGCTTAGCAGCGTGGAGCGCTTCACAACACGTTCAGAAGCTGATGGACGGAATACGAAGTGGAGAAATGGGGCATGAGGACATGGAAAAGCTCGTTTGATTGACGAAGAAGGAAATTGAAAGGGTATCTAAGCTATCTCGACTTCAAACCTTCATCACTTCACACCCACACTCTTATATATGGCCGTTATAACCTGATCGTGACAGTGACAAGTGTCCCCCGGGAAAAATCCAATTCAAAATCCAGGCTTATAAATATGCAAGAAATCGTGGCTCCTGGCCTCGTTGGGTATGCGGAACTTCGTTGATACACCCTGGTATGTCGTGGCTTACCGTGTATATTCCGGCTTTGTTGCCTTATTTACCACAGGTGGTGGCCCATCCGTATCTGGGTATGGTAACGGTGCACCTGGCGGTGGCCGCGAAAATGCCGAGCCAGCAGGTGGCGATAGGCGAGGGGATCCTGATGAACCTGGTGGCCTTGTTCCATCTTGCAATGGTGTCTTGGGAGGCCTTGGGGGTCCATTCTGCAATCGGTCTTCGAAACTCAGGCGGGCAGAGCTATGCATCGAATCCGGCCGTCCTGATGAAAATTGCTCGTCAGAGCGACGTCCTGGAGACACAAGTTCACCAGAATGACGGGGTGGAAGATCGTTCACTGACTGAGGGTACTCGTCCGAGGAGACTACTAGGTATTTGTCGTTTTCGGAAGGCTGGCGCTGAGTCGGGGGAGGGCGATAGGCGGGATGAATAGTCGAGTAGTACTCTGGTGCTAATTCCTCTGCTGGTAACTCAACGGCGAGAGGCGATGGGTCTGGGACGGTAGAAAGAGGCTTATGCGGGGCCTGGAGGCCAGCATACGGCGAATCTCCCCTTTGTGCTCGTTCCCATCTTACTTTCGCAAAGTGTATCCGTGCAATCTTTGCCGCTGAATCGAGCGTCATGCTCTGCACGGATTTTTCTGCCAGGTACATGCGCGTGCTGGTGCTGATATCAGCTAAAGCATTCCACTCGTTCATGCCAAACTCTCCAACTCCGACGGTGACGTTGAGGCGATAGTAGTTCTCGGGGTTGACATGGCGTTTTGCCAGGTGGTCCTTCATTTCCTTGTGCGTTTTCTCACAGTCTTCGATCTTCTGTATCAGCCTGCGTCTGGCTTCTGCGAAATCGCCTATGCCGCCTGACACAAAACCCTCCCACCAAAGATGTTGTTGGTTGTTAGTCCCTTCGGGTCGCTTTCCGGTACCAATACTGAGAAAGACGCCGACATCACGTCCGGGCCACTCGTTGCAGACGGCCTCCTCGAGCGCCATAGGAGCAGGATTGTATTTGCCGGAACCTTCGTCGAGGAAAACAGATTGACCAATCTGAATAGGTTTGAAGGCTAGTTGTGTGGCGGCTGTCGCTCGTCCAGCTTGCCAGATGGTCGCACTGGGTTCAACTGGGGGTTCTTTGCGCGAGTCGTAGGAGCGGAGAAAGATTTGGCCAGAGCCAGACTTTTTTGTGCCTTTATAGACAGCCGTGACGGCGCTGTAAAAGGTGAGCATATACAACGCGATATAAGCTTGGGTTAATTTACGTCTTAGTGCGCTCCTCGCGGTTATCGTAAAGTAAAGCATGAGGGTTGCCCCACTTCATCGCAGCCATTCGCATGCTCACTGGTGTTGAACCGATCTGGCTATATCTGCTGGCGTTGCTCGCGCTCCTTTGCATGCGACCTTGCATAGCGCTTCCAGGCGTCATAGGTGTGCGAAGGTCTGCTGAGGATGACAACCCGTCATGGTTGTCGTTCCCCTCGTCATCGTATATAGTATGCTCGCGCACGCATTCCATGATAGCCTCCTCCAGCTTGGACGCCTTGAACAAGGTCGATCGGTAGGGTATACCAGCAAACGTCTTGTCCGTCTCAAAAACTCTCCTCGTCATGCGCACGTATACATCTTTGCATGTCTCCACATCCATCCTCAGCCGTCCCAGCATTATGGCGATCAGGCCTCCGGTGCCCGTGCCCGCGATTAGGTCGAAGTGATCGCATGGCTTCGGTACTTCGTGTCGTTTTGGTGCTCTGCCTTCAGTCTCGACGAATGCTCGGTGCATGAGTTCTTGGAGGATGATGAGCATCGAGTAGCCCCGCACGCCCCCGCCATCTGCCACGTGTATCAGTGCCTGGCGTTGTAGAGAAGTGTCTGGAGGACGTACCTAGCGATAGAATGCGTAGCGGTGGGCCCTTCGTTGTGTCCTTCCGCCGTACTCCGCTATTTGCCATGTTGCTTGAATGTCCGGCGCGCCAGGCGCGACTGTGTGGAGTAGTTTGCGAGCCTGTTCTCAACCCTGCCGTTGCAGGGCGTGACTAGATTGTCCCGGAGTTTTTGCGCGATCGAGTCAAGTCGCTGATGCCTAATGTATGAAGTGTCCAGCCGCGGCGTGGTTGGGCTGCGTAGTCCTGTAGTTTCGGTGTGTACTAAGCAATGGACGGGTGGCTATGTAAAATCGTAGCCTCGGCGCGCGCCTGAAAGCGCTCAACAACGACGAGTTATTTTGAGAAACCCTTGGAGTGGGTTTCAGAAGCAAAGAAGTGTGCAGCGGAAAAGTCGCAGGAGGTGCAGATGGTACTAAAGTAGCTTGTACATGGACCCAGGAGATTGATTGACTGTTAGTCTTCTTGGGTGTTCACAAGACGTCACATCTCCACCTCAAGCCACACTACACAGCCACCCGCTAGACACGGAAAATCAGGCTTCATCCTGGCATCCTGGCTTCTGACACTTTCGAGCGTCCTGACCTTCTACCGTTATTCGATCTTGTTTCTATGGATCTGCCGCCCTTGCAGCGGCAACCTGCTGACCCGCTTGCCCTCAGGAACATCCCTTCGTACCACCTTGGCGAACTCACGTTGGCCCAATCGCTTGCAGTTTGATGGTGTCTCGGATGGTCATGCTCCCAGCGCTTTCGCCTTCACCGAACGAAAATAGTCTGCCACTAATGATGCCATCACGATAGACTATAATATTCAATGGTGCCCAAAGTCCGAATTTTCGCCTGTCTTGCGCAGCCAAATCATTGATGGTTCAGCTACAAGCTTTCCCTCCTACTAGCTTACTGAAGTATGTGTATCTTGGAGAAGAGACTTCAGAATATCGACATTATTTGCATAACCCCTTGCACGTTGCATTTTGCCACATCTATCAAGCAATCATCTTTCGTTGTCAGATAAAATCCAAATCTTCTCGAGTAAACGAGAATGATCCATGTATAGCCGCAACAAACCGCATATCTGTCATAAGCCGGTGGTTTAGACAATCGGCATCATTATAATTAGACTCCCCACAATATTTGTTTGGTTCATGTAGAGTTCTCGACGGCCATCTGCTATGGCCGACAGGCGGAATTATTCGAACCCATAGGCCTCAATCTTATTGTGATCGGCGATGTTCTCCACTTGAACGAAACTATCTTGTTTTTAACAGAATGCTCCCTTCCCACCAGGAATAGATATCAAAGGTGTTGAATTATGATCAGTGCCCCGAGAATGAGTGACTCTAGTTGTTCTATAGTTATCCTCTAACTACTATCAAAGGCCAGGCCAACCTAGAAACGAGTTAACAGTGTACTTCATGCAAATGTTTTGCGAGAACAAAAATGGCAGAACTTACTCCACACAGTCAATCCCTCATTGACCTTGGACACGTTGACCCTGTCTCCAACCTTGATCGCCTGAGTCGGATATTTTGGATCCCAGAAAGTGTATCTCCCGAATACTGGACTCCACTTCGAACCAATGTCGATTCTTCGATCCTTCTGCAGCTTCTTCAAGACCTCTCCGGTTGGACCAGTGCCCGCCTTCCCCGTTTCATAATCGACATTAACACTCTTACACCTCACGCAATTATGCGCCATAATCATCTCCGCCTTGTTGTTGATCTTGATCTTGCCCCAATAGTCCTCTTGATACGCTTCAAAGGCACCTTTGATAACGATGTTGGGCCGGAACTTTGTAATGTCCATCTCTACACCCTCCGGAAGCCGCGAGGAGACATCTTCAAGCGATGTCTGAGACGCAATGAGATACGGGGCACAATCGGCGAACCCAATCTTCCATTGGTCTTGCTGATGAAGGCCCATGATCTTATCTACGTACGAGCCTGCAAAGGGAATATGTTTCTTCAGGAAGCGAGTCATTGGGTCGGGCTCGACGGGCTGCATGTTTTGAAACAGCACGGCTCGCTTGCTGTCGCCTAGATATACGAGGACAACCTCGTAGCCGAAGCATTCGGAAAACCATGCGCTGTACTTTTCCGGCATTTTGAATCCAGACGTGGCACTAGAGTGCAGTGTGACCTCGAATCGCTCCAGTTTTTCGGCATCGGGTACAAGTGGTATCGTTAATGACTTTGCCTTGTCGGCATCTCCAAAAGCTCGGTACTTGATAGTCAAAGTGCCGTTGTCGTTGTCCATCTCTTGCAGAAATTGCGTCATTTCTGGAACACGAGAAACCAGCATGTTTTTGTAACCATCGGCCGTTTTCTCCAGAAGAATGAAGGAACCTGTGAGAATTAGTATCCAAGTATAAATCACAGATCAACAGCATATACGGTCGTATTTAAAGCCATATTTGGTCGCAGCGGCCTCGTTGACTTTGACTGCTCTCAACGATTTGATCGGATATACATAAATCTAGTTTTTCATCAGCAACCGTACGCACTAAGCCAACTAGAATCATACCTCAGATATCGTCATAGCCGTCAATCTGTGAACGAGTGGGCTCAGAAAATTTAATAGATAGTAGACTCCGAACGGAACTACGCAGAGAGCCGTGATAAGCCATATCGGCGACACCTTTTCTATTTGGAATGTATGCTCCTCCTCAAAATCGAGAGCCATGATGAAGGTGCGATTGTGAGGACGCCTGTGAAAATTGACGTGAAAGGTCTCTTGGAGGGAAAGTTGTGCAGAGTGAGTAGGTAGGTACTAGGACCCCACGTGGTAGGGACTCGGCCTGTGCACCTTACCAAGCCACTAACCAAGAGGTATAACCTCGGCGGTGGCAATCTCGGCGGCACTTCCGTGTCAGCTTTTCTGGCACGCCCTACCTTGCCTCGATCAGTGTTATTAGAGTGGAGTCGAAAGTCAAGTAAGCTTAAGTGTTTTGGTATTTCTTTGTATCAATACCAGTAATCTCCAGGATCCTCACACCCTTTTCCCAAATACCCTAAACCTCTTCACTCCACCATCGGGGATAATGACCAACTTCACATGGCTATAACCCCTCCCCTTGACATCCTTCAACTCCTCCTTATAAATATGCTCCTTATCTGGCCCACTCTTCTGCGGCTCCAGCACTTCTGCCCACCCCGCATCCGCATGCCCGGGATTCTTGTCGAAGCTTCCTGCAAATACCTGTACTTTCTGCGGAAAGTTACCTCTAAAGTGCGCTGTGTCGATAACAATGTGATCGATCTCCCCCTTAGCACCGAGTCGAACTATGGCCCAATCTACGTGTTCACCACGCGTGCGCTTCGTTTCCCACCCATCGCCCATATCTTTTCCACGGCCAGGAAGCAAGAGATTGTCTTTTGTGCCGAAGTGCTGATCTGAACAGGACGTTGCAACGCCGCCCATCACCGTGGCACTGAGCTCAATGATAGCGCTGGTGTCGCTGGGGAAGACGGGGACCGCGACGCCGTAGAGGCGGAAACGTGCTATTCCGCCGTCGGGGTACATGAGGAGTCGAACGTGGGTATATGCTTTCTCAGTAATCTCGTTGAGGAGCCAGCCATGTCTTTGGCTGGGTCCGCACTCCTGTTTCGCTAATATCGTTTCCCAGCCATCGTAATTGGCTTTTTTGACCTCCTCCTCTTCCTTTTCGTCTGTGATAAAAGCCCCCTCGACAGCTATCTCGGGCGCGTGGTTCCCGTTGAAGAACGCAGTATCGATCTCCACTCCCGCTACCTTCCCACTCGCCGTACCCAATCGAATGACGACCCAATCTGCGGGCTCAGTATTGTGACGCCGTGTTTCCCAGCCATCATACCATGCCCCAGCATGCGTGAAGACACCTGGTCTGCGGATGGGTGGGGTGGGTGTTGTGAGGTTCTCAGCGGCAGCGAACCATTCATCGCTAAAGGAGAGGATTTTGGAACCGAGAGGGGCAGATATGAGGTCTGTGATACTTGTTAGCTGACGCACAGAATATCGGGGGGCCATGTTGGGTTATAGTAGACGTGCCTGTGTATTGCGACTTGAAAGTACTATCTATATCATCTGTTGGTATAACGCGAGATGTGTTAGTCGCGACATCTTTGATATCATTTAGAGAGACAGTGTGAATCTCCATAACGATTGAAAGGTAAACTAAGTTATGTCTCGTTCGGATTGGATGAATCAGTGAAGTTGAAAGAAAAATAGGAATTAAGAGAAGTGGTCGAGGACAGTTGCGAAGCTATGGCGGGGATGCTGTCGAATTAGCGTGGGGTAGACCCTGGCCTGGCCCTGCAATATCCGAATTCAAAGTCCTCGAGGATCGGAGAACGCCGACAACGAAGTATGTTGTTGAAAGTACGCCGATCGCGGAGTAGTCTATCTAGGATCGTTGAGTAATTCCAAGGGTTCCCCAAACCATGAGTTCTACAAGCATTACGATGGATTGTGATGGCAAAGTTTAATCTGAGGATGACATGCTCACATTTCTGTGTCGTTTGATCCTATGAAGACATAATGTGGATCGGGGCTTTTTAGCTTTAGATAGTCTAACATAGAGATATTACGTTTGAAAACATACGAAAGGATGCCCCCGCTTTTGATGCAATCGCTCTAAACAAATATAGGACAGAAATGCGCGCTCGATGTTACTGTCAAGATATCCAACGTTTCCTTCACTTCTTATGACCGTGTATATCCTCTGACGACTTGCATCCTGTATAGCCAACGTATAAAGTGCTGAGTGCTTGGTGGTCGCCGCGTGTGTGAGGGCTCTGCGATCCACCTGGATATCCATCCAGGTCTTAACGCAATATTCACTAATCGTCTAGTAGGACGGGTGATTGTGATCCCAACGCAGTCGCCAGGATCCCAAGGAAGCACGTAATTGGTAGCCCTAGTAAGATCATTGCCTACGCGAAGTCTCAAGGCTTAGGGTTGAAAAGGTCCGATCTCCGTCTTAGCCACCTTGAGTGAATATACCTGCGGCCAAGCCTGGATTAGCAGTAGCACATAAGTTCAATGGTGTTTCGCCTTCACCCGTAGCTTGGATCATTCCACTGAGTATCCTGATAGTACCCTCCGCCGCCGTTCTTGTTGCCGCCGTTGAGATCTAATTTGGCCATGAATTCAGGAGGGACGGTCGGGATGTATTTCCGCTCTCGTTCTCTGTTCATACCTCCGAAACCAGCGCCATAGCTGACAAGCATGTCGGTCGAGGTTGGCAATGAAAACGGCAACATGTACGAAGGGTCTAGCAGGAGTTCGTCAGGCGGATCATCTTTCTCTTCGTCGTCAGATAAACGCATGTGCGCGGGGGAAGGCGAAGTCATCTTTTGTGATGTGGGCCTGACAGGTGTGGAAGGTGTAGAGTCTAATGACTTTTGCGGTGGATTAGGTGACCTTGCGCGCGCAGCTTTCCGGTCCGCAGCGGCCTTCTGTAGGTGCATGATGTACTTCGATGCGCTCTTCGAAAGACTCTTCTCACCGACTTCTGGCCTGTAGTATTTGGCCGTGTGCAGAAGTTGTTGAGGCGAGAGTCGCGTCAGCTGCTGCAATGTTCCCACAAGCGACTCCAAATCCTCGCCCAGTGAAGAGAAACACTGAAGCCATTGAAGAAGTTGTACTAGGGGCTCAAGATGGCGTTTCGTAGACTCTACGGTGTTCTCACCGGTTGAGGTCATGGATCCGTTTTCAAAGTGCTCCGGTTGTCGGTTGTTCGAGCGGGCCCAATCCTCAAGCGTCGATATGTTCATGCGTATCTGCATGGCCTTTGTCCGAGCCAAATACTTCCGGTTCGACATGATGCGGTTGAAGATCTCTGTGGAGAGCCAGTATATTAACTGTGACAGTACTTGAGCTGTGATGACAGAGTGCACATCGTATAGATCGAGGACGAATAGTGTCGAGGAGAGAAGGGAGGTGATATTTCGGGGCGACGGGAGTGCTCTGCGTTTTGGTGACGGCGGACGGAAGCGTTTCTCAATCGGCTCCAGGGGTTTCGCTTTTGGCTTCGAGCGGAAAATCTTCCACTCGTGCTGAAAATGCACATCCTCAAAGCCAGGCATCGGTTCATGATCGAGCATAGCCTGGTCTAAATTCTTGTCCATCCTGCGTTCTGCATCTCGGATAATCAAGATGAAAATTTCATTGATGAGTTCCGCCATTTGCAGTTGGAACTCGTTGGTTGCTCTCATTGTTCCAGGGTCTTTCTTGAGATAATGCAGGAGTAAAGTAGCATTCGACATCCAAAAGGCCAACACTGTCATGTCCCACTGATATCTTTCGACAACATCGTTAATCTTATTCATCGCAGATACGAGTAAGGTCTCCAAGAGCTCCGGGTTGGCATGATAATGCGCGTAGCGAGCGCTGAGAAATAGTATGTTTGCAGGAACCGGTTTTTGCGACGGAGAGCGCTGTGGCGTCATATTTGTGATGATTATGTCGAGTATACGTTCCAGTTCGCTTTCTTGAAAGACAAACATCTGATCATGCAGACAACGGTCCCAGACGAATTCTTGAGCTTCCTCTTCTGGCTCATCGGGTGGCTGGGTCTGTCAGCGATATATTCTATCATCGGTCAGAGTACGTACCTCTGGCTGTTCGTCGAGACCCAGATTCCCAATATCGACCTCCAAGTTGAAGGCACTCTCCATCATCATTCGGCGCTTCATGTCGTTCTCTTGCATTTCCTGCTCGAAGCGATCTTGTGACAAGCCTGAATTGTACCAGTCGTCTCCTACGCCTGCGTTGCCGATGGCGTAGCCACTTTCGTGCAGATAGTCGGAGATCTCGCTGTTGGGCTCAACAAAATCAAAGGCCGTCCTACCGCCTGATGATTTGACATCTGTCGAGGCCCCATGATCTAGCAGGAGTTTGACGATGCCCTTGTGTCTATTTGTCATCGCCCACATTAACGGTGTCCAGCGATTCTTATCTTGCATGTCCACTGTAGCGCCCTGCTGGATCAGTGCCGCAGCGACATCCTCATGCCCAAAACAGCTTGCGTAGACTAGTGGCGGCGTCCCTTCTGCGTCGACGCCATTTATGTTGATGTACTCCTTGGCGTTCCCGTCCAGCAGCCGTTTGACGCGCTCCAGCTCGCCGTTGGATGCTGCCAGTGTGAATAAGCCCTGCAACGCCTCTTTCTTCTCCTCGTGGGATAGTTTGTCGTCGGCGACTACTTTCGCTTCATCGCCTGCGTTGTCGTTCTTCAACCGCGCCTGGTGGGCAAGCATCTGCACTAAGCGACTGTCGCTGTCCTCGAGCTGCTGCATGTCCTCGTCGGCGAAGGCCGCGTCGTCGAGCGAGAGGTTGAAGCTGAGAGGGCGAGCTGGCATGGGTGTAGTGAGAAACTGCGACGAGCCTACACGCCATATTAGACGTCCGCATCACACATGCTTCTTTGGGCACAACTCACCCTGCCATGCATCGTAGATCTCCATCTCATCGTTCCTAATGTGGACACTTCTTCGGTCATCTAGTGAAGTAGGAAGGTCGGAAGGCAGTGGTCGAGGCTGCTTCGGCAAGTCTCCAAGGTCGCCTGTGTCGTGGTCGGGAGATTCCATGGTCTGACATTGAACGTGCCTTTGGTCGCGGCTATTTTCGTGGGAAGTGCATGTGTATCGGACTGTCGAGGGTTTCCTGGTTGTTCAGACGTTGGTGGGGGAGAAGAAGGAGTGGTAGTAGGAGGTACGCAACAGTCGCAGCTACGTAATGTCACGGACACTATATCATGGATGTCTTCGATGCATCAAGAAGCGACAACCAGTGCTTGTGTTCAGCGCCTCTTCTTGGACTCTGCAAAGTAAAAATGTTATTGACTCCAGAGTTACTGGCTACCTCGACCCATGACGATGCGGGACCAGTTGGCGCGAGAGGGCGACGGGCTCCCGGCGTGCACCATGCCGAATGGAGTGGCCCGCCAGCCAGTGTGCGGTGTGAGGGCCTTCGCCGAAACACTGTCCGCGGCATGCTTGCTTACATCGTTGAGCTTGGGAGTGAAGGGCGCTCAGTCAGCAACACTCTACATGCGCATGGGCATAGAGGCCCTCAAAAAAGCCAGCCTGCGATTTATGTCTTAGCAAACCTGGCCCCTCGTCCTAACACCGGCCGCACCTCCTCCGCCCTCACCATGCTCGTCGCGACCGCTTTCACCCCGTAATCTAGCGACATTTTATATACACGGACAACTTGTGGACTTTCGCATTTTGCCTGATTAGAGCATGCCTGGATCCTAGCTACGCACTGGGACTACGAGGAAAATGCCGTTTACTGATGGAGAGGCCGGGAGGGCTGCGCGCCTCTCGCACATCTTCACGCGGTTGCAGGAGCTCCCGAATTATGTCTGGGACCCGGAGATTGAACCATTCCACTCTGTGAGCTTTCAACGCTAGAAGTCGGGAAGCCGTCGGGTAGCTGTCCTGTTATACATGCAACTAACCGTACATAGTCGTATGACAACTGGCACTTCTTCGGATACCAAAAGGCCCCTCGACAGGAGCGCCCATCGTCAAGAGGGAGAAGCACCGTAGCATCGCCCACCCTTTCGCATTTTCCCGACTCGAGCCGCCCGTCCCTTATACGAAGCCACAGGAGCTCAGGGAGTGATGCGAGTGGAGCGACTGCTCATACGGTGACCGACCCACATCGAGAAGGTCGACCTGTCGTCTGCAGAGTGTCACGCCAGACCTTGCGTCTAGAGCGCGAGTTCCAGCTCTCCAAGCTTGTAGTGAACAAGTCTGACCCTAAGGGCGAGCACTTTGCCCGCACCATAGAGTTCGCGAGACTGCCCGCCAAGGCCGGAGAAGAGCCCCTCGTCGCCAGCATATTCGAAGCCCCTGGCCCGAACTACCTCAAAGACCTGGTCACTTTTGGCCCTAATTGGTACAGGTTCACTAACAACGATAACAACTGGTAAGTCAGGTTGCCGTATACATAGTAAGCTATCTTGGGTAGCTGTAGAGCACTTTACGGGACCTTGATTTTGCCTTTAGGCTATTGCAATGCTTCCCGAAGTAGTCTCAGAGTGCCCAAGATATGTTCTCGCCCCAGTGTATCTACTTCATGCATTCCACTGACTGTACGCCTGCCTTTAGGCAATCCCATACACTGCAGCCAGCCCGTGGAGTGCCTCTCCTCACCTTCTTGGACTTTGCAGTGGGCGCAACGCAATGTCTGGAAATCCTTCACCATGGCCACGAAATCGTTCATGGCGAGCTGCGAGGCGATGCCTTCCATTTCGCAGAGAATGGCTCTGTTAAAATGATCAACTTTGGTAGTGGCGCCAGATCGTTCGAAAATGGCCTTACATCTGCAGGCTGGAATTCGTTGAGCCGTGAAGTGGGCATCGAACTGAAACTTGCCTTCATAGCTCCAGAACAAACAGGGCGTATGCCTGCTGAGCCGGATAGTCGTACTGATATCTACAGCCTTGGGATTCTCTTCTATACCATGTTATGTGGAGATACGCCTTTCGATGGCCCCTCGGCCCTGGACGTCATGCAGAATGTCATTAGCAAGCGTATAGTCCCGGTTTCCTCGAGGCGCATAGACATTCCGGAAGTTTTGTCTCAAGTCATTCAGCGTATGACACAGCGAAACATTGAAGACAGATATCACTCGACATCAGGGCTAAAATTTGATCTGATTGGGATTCGCGAACTCCTTTGTGAAGGTGATGGAGAAGGACTAAAAACTTTCCAAGTCGGTTCAAAAGACATCAGCTGTTTCTTCAACCTTCCGCTCAAGCAAATTGGACGCGAGAAAGAGCGCCAGACGATAATCAATGTCATAGAGCGCGTGTCAAAGCATCGAAGGAGTAATGTAAAATCACTCAATAGCTTGAGCTCAAACTCGTCCTACTCGGATCAGCGACTGGAACTGATCGACGACCTCGTCTCCGATAGTGGCAGCTCTAGAGGCTCGGAGAGCAGATTAAATAGCGGTACGTAAGGTTGCGTTACCTATAGTGGTATGTCTTAGATACCTCTGAAGTAATTCGCATGACTTTCAACCATCGAGTAAGGCTTGAAAGTTATCTAAATTACTTCAGAAGTATGTAGGACATGTACTATTATTAATCCCCCCACTCTTGTATTCCTCTCATCTCTCATACATGTGCTTTACTGACTGTGCCGAAACTCCCAGTATCATCAACTGGCCCAGTATTCATGGAGACGGCTCGATCGGTACATCAACGCTCACAAGACAGCGTGGTACAGTCGGAAGGCTCTACCGCCGAAGGGAATTCCGAGAATCGACCACAGCTGCAGTCTACTAGTCGCGGCCAATCGAACCACAGCATTGAAAGCTCCGTAACGCACTCTCGCTCTAATCAGTCTAATGATGGCTCACTTTTCCGCACGATGTCTAATACGCGGAGGTTGAGACGCAAAGTTCGCTGTGAAGTAGTGGCGATTGCAGGAGCGACAGGGCTGGGTAAGTCACGTCTAGTGCAAAGTGTACAAAGCACGGCAAGGAGCACGGGATACTTCGCTATGGCGAAATTCGACCCTGCGAAGAAAGCGCCTTTTGACCCTATCTTGAAGCTCATGTCTTCCTTATTTCGGCAAATATTCAGCGAGGCGGACGTCACGACCGATTTTCACAACAGCTTGCGTAATTTCCTGAAGAATACAGGTGTTTGGGCAGTACTCCGCACCTATCTGAATCTCCCTGAATGGCTCCTGAACACCGGAGGCGCTCCCAAAACTCCGCAGCAGAAAGATCTAGACTTCACCATAGAGATGCATCGGCGAGCGTCATCCCCTGCAATTCATTGTGGAGGTGGTGGACATACTGCGGAAGCCTGGCTCAGAAGCGGGGGGAACTCCAAGTCATCCAGGTTCATGAACGTCTTTATTGACGTATTGCGCCTTCTTGCCATGCAAAAACTCTGTATCTGGATCTTGGAGGACGTTCAGAACGCCGATCCAGAGAGTGCGGAACTCATCCATCATATTGTTCAGGCCAAGATTCCGCTTGTGTTAATGATCACCTACGTTGACGAGGACACCCTACCCAAAGAACTCAGTCCTTTGCTACGTAGTGCAACAAAGATTCAACTGCATCCGTTCACTGAGGCACAAACAGCCGATTACGTTGCCGAAACTCTACACCGCGACCACCAATACACACTGCCGCTAGTCGCCGTCGTCCAAGAAAAGAGTCGAGGAAACGTCTTCTACATTCGAGAAATTCTCGACACCTGCCATAGAAAAAAGTGCGTCTTTTACTCGTGGCGGGAAAACAACTGGCTTTTCGACCTTGACAAAGTTTTCGAAGTTTTTGAGAGCCCGGAGTCTGGATCTTCAGTCACTACCGACTTCATTACAAAGCGACTGTCCGAATTACCCCCTGCTACTAAAAAGCTCCTTGCCTGGGCTTCGTTACTGGGCGGCACGTTCTCCTTTGACCTAGTCCAACGGCTGTTGCTCCTGAAGAACAGTATAACGGCCGACGCAAGACTACCGCTCCTAGACGACAACGAGTGTGCCATAACTGCGCTTAACGGTGCGCTGGATGCTTACATATTGATGCCTGCGGAACAGGATGCTAGGTTCCGTTTCTCGCATGACCGATATCTCACGGCAGTTGCAAACTCTCTGGAGAAAGAGTGGGACACGCAAATGATGCATTTCAAGCTTGCGAAACGTATAACGTCGGACGATGAATATCAAGACGACTCAACAATAGGTTCGAAGGCTCTGTACATGCGCAGTCGGCATATTTGTCTTGCCGCCGAGATCATCAAAGCCAAGGAAAGTCATCGGGCGCCGTTCCGAAACGTCTTATATCAGGCTGGAGAAACGGCATGCGAATCAGGCGCGAAATCGACTGGCATATACTACTTTGCGCACTGCCTAATGCTTCTACAAGATGATCCGTGGGACGACAACCTCCCCGATGTCTCGTACCAAGAGACCTTGCAGCTCTTTGTACGTTCAGCCGAGTGCTACTGGAATCAAAATATGCTCGATGAGGCCCTCAGCTTGATTCAGACAACGTTTACGAATGCTCGCGATCCATGCGATATGGCAAGCTCGTTCATTCTACAATCTCGAGTCTTGGCTGTCCGTGGCGACAGTTTCGGGGCGCTACAAGCACTAAAAGACTGCCTGTCTCTGCTCGGATCCCCCATCCCTTCTACTACATGGGAAGAGTGCGACGCTGAGTTCCAGAAGATTTATACTACCCTCAAGGACACCAACAAGGATGAATTGCTCTCACGTCGGCCACCCACGGATGATCGCGTTCTTATGACAATGGGCCCTATCTTCATCGAGTTTCTTAGCGCTGCTTTCTGGACAAACAGTCTGCTGTTCTACCAAGGCACGCTCAAATTGATCAACCTACATCTTCAAAGAGGCACAATGTCGCAGATCGCGTTGGCATATGTTCATTTGGGAAGCATTGCTGGAGGCCGCTTCAACATGATCACCTTTGCGGCTGACATGGGAGGAATCGCCAAGCGAATTTTCGAGATGTTTCCTGAAGACTACTATACGCTGGGGCGAGGTCAAACTCTGCAACCCATGTTCCTCGGTCATTTGGAAGCACCCATCGGCGACCTAATCCCCAGCCTCGAAGTTGCATTGCACGCATCTCTCACGGCTGGCGATCGCATTCTCACGCTTCTAAACCTCGGTGTGCAAGCCCACTTCAGGGTCATGGCGTCTTATGACGTTGCAGAGCTAGAGGCATGGATTGAAGAAACGACTCTAGATTTGACGAACTGGCAGCAAGATCTCCGAGGAGGCGTGTTTTTGATAGCATGTCGTCAATACTCAAGAGCGCTTCAAGGCAAGACAGGCACAGGCGATGTTTTTTCAGATGAAGAGCATAATGACGCCAGCTATATTGACTATCTGGAGAAGACTGCAAGCAACCCGAAGCGGCCGAAGTCCTTCTATCTTGCCACCAAACTTCCTGTCTTAGTACTATTCGGGTTCATTTCCGAAGCAGTTGCTCTTGGTGAAATGTTGTTGCCTATGCTAAGTAGTCTGTGGTCCGAAAGACTAAACTACTCTGTCCGGTACTTCCTATCCCTGGCGTATATGGCCATCCTCCGGGATGAGCCTGAGCATGCACGAAAGAAAGCCATGATTCAACATACCCAGGATACGCTTCAATTACTGGAAGCTTGTTGCGCAATCACAGATGTCAACTACCGAGGCTGGTTATACCTGCTCACTGCAGTACTCGCGGAAGTCAACAGTGATCCGCCATCAGCTTTGCAAAACTACGAGGCGGCGATGGATCACAACGAAAATAATAACTTTGTCTTAGACGTAGCCTTCTCACACGAACTTTATGCAGAGTGGCTGATTCGCAAGAGGGCGCATAGGGCCGCTCGACATTCCCTAAAGGATTGTATTTCAACGTATAAAAGGATCTCGGCATTCGGCAAAGCGAATCATGTTGCGTCTAAATATGAGTGGCTTCTGCGCGGTAGCGCATCCTTCACCACAGTGGACGTGGCTGTGCAGGCTACAGTTATTGACACCAGTAATACTCCGTTTAGATTCGAACAAAATGAGGACCAGGAACAATATCTCGGAGCCGAGTCTGCGGTCGACCGAACGCAGAACTGGATCGTTCCAGAGACCGGAAGACGTCATGGGTCAACACAGGATCTAAACAATGGGTTTTCAGCCGTGGGTCTCGACATGCTGGATTTATCGAGCATCCTTGAATCGTCGCAGGTGCTCTCGAGTGAATTGGTAGTTGATAAGCTCATGGCTAAGATGGCTTCAATGATCCTGGAGTCGACAGGTGCCACACTTTGCGGTATCGTTATTGAGGATGCTCAGATCGAGTGGAGTATTGCTTGCGTTGCAACCAATGAACCAGACAACGATAGTGGGTTCTCTGCTGGCGTCACGTCCTTCCCCACTGGTCAACCCCTAGATACAGTGGACGACGTTGTAGCGCGACAAGTCACACTGTATACGCTCCGCTTCCGAGAAACTGTCTTCGTCCAGAATTTACTGGAAGACGACCGGTTTTCCAACGTATCGGAGGCGTACCTGAGTCGCAACCCGGAAGGCAAAGCAGTGATCTGTATACCGATTGTGCACTCTGACAACCTCCTGGGTTCTATATACGTTGAAGGCCCGCCAAACTCGTTCACGGAACGGAATACGCAGCTCCTCGGACTTCTTACCAATCAAATCTCAATCTCTCTGGCCAATGCACTTCTGTTCAAGGAGATTGAGCGAGTTAGCGCAAGTAACGAGGCGATGCTTGAGATGCAAAAACGTGCTCTTGCTCAAGCCAGGGCTGCAGAAATCAAGGCCAAAGAAGCAGAAGCTATAGCTATCCGGAACATGAAGCTCAAGGAAGAGGCAGCAAAGGCCAAGAGTCTTTTCCTCGCCAACGTATCCCACGAACTGCGGACACCTCTCAATGGTGTCATCGGCATGTCCGAACTCTTGAAAGCAAGCATACTGAATCAAGAGCAAGCAGGCTATGCCGATTCAATCCGAGTATGCGCTGACACGCTCTTATCCATCATCAACGACCTCCTCGACTACTCAAAGCTCGAAGCCGGAAAGATGAACGTTAATGAGATGCCTCTATCCTTGAACGAGACCATTACAGAGGTTGTGCGTGCTCTGGCGTATACAAACGCTGAGCGTGGGCTCAAAACGGTTGAACAGCTGGAGCTAGACCCAGAGATGCTCGTCATGGGTGATCCAGTCCGACTCCATCAAATCTTAATGAACCTGCTTTCCAACAGCTACAAGTTCACCCCGAAGGGCTCCGTGACCGTACGGTGTGTTGTTGATAAAGAGGCCGTTGACTGGATAGACGTGACCTGTAGCGTCATCGATACAGGCATCGGTATCCCAGATGAGCAAAAGAAGAAACTGTTCCTACCTTTCTCACAGATCGAATCGTCGTCATCACGCAGCTACGGCGGCACAGGACTTGGTCTCAGCATCTGCAAAGCCCTGATCGAAAACGTCATGCAGGGAAAGATTTGGCTGGAGTCCTCGCCTGGATTCGGAACAACAGTATCCTTCTCACTTCGCTTCCGCAAGGTACCCAAAGCGCAAGCGCTCAGCCGACTGACTCGTGATCATGATCCAATGGCCAAGTTCTCGAGTCAGGACAACAACGGCCACGAACAGTCTTCCGGATCCTGCATTGATCTATCGACGATTCCACGCAGCGAATTGAGAATATGTATAGCAGAAGATAACGCCATAAATTCAAGAATTGCGATCAGTTGGTACGAAGGTCCTACGAAGAATTACTATTCGAAATGTTTTGCTAACATACGGATAGTAAGTAATTAGCTGTGTTCATAAGACACTCTTTAGAACGTCGTATACATCTACTAGAGTCATGTTACACGGTATTCGTATCCCCTCCTTAGAAACATGCTAATCGTGTCGCTACTTTTAGTTGTGCAAAAGCTGGGTTTCAAGTGCGACGCGTATCTCGATGGATTCAAGACAATCGATGCACTTGAACGAGCTAGTGACAACGGTCGACCATTCCACCTCGTGCTCATGGATGTACAAATGCCGCACTGTGATGGGTATGAAGGTAGGTAGCATTCTGCCCTCTTTGCCCTCTCTACCTTTTCTTCAAGTACAAATACTAAGAAGCAACCAGCTACGCGCCTCATACGCAAGCACTCCAATCCCGAAATCCGCAACGTACTCATCATCGCTATGACCGCTTCCGCCATCGAAGGCGACCGCGAAAAATGCCTTGAGTCAGGAATGAACAACTACCTTGCCAAGCCCGTACGCGCGCAGACACTTAAAGCGCTTCTTGAGTCATATCTGAACAAAGAACACGATGGAAATGAGGTCCCTAACATACAGGCTGAGGCAAGGAAGCTGGTTAAGTTGGCGTTGAGTGAAGCGGAACAGGGAAGTGTGACCAACGCGGCGAGGAAAAACTTGAACATTGACGAGGAGGGTGGGGTGCAAATAAGGAGTAGACCGCCGAGTGTAAGGATGAGTACCGCACGGCGGATACCGCTGCATGAGCCAACTGGGGAGAAGGAGTCACCGCCACCATCTTGAGCGGTCATCGGGTGGCCAAATCTGTTAGTCTTTCCATCTATCGTAACGCTTCAATCTTTTTTACATGGATACTTTGGAACTGGTGTCAACAGCATCGCACGGTGTCACAGGCAAAATTTCCCTGGGCTGGAGTGGAGATGAGGACTAGACAAAGGGGGGTTTGGGTTGCATATACAGCTAGGTGGACGTTCACACAGAGGGGTCTTGCAAGCAGGCTAAGAAAGCTCGATCAAGCGCACAAGCCTTTACTTCTACGTTATGAAAGCTTCCAGTGCACGTGGCTCAAATGACTCGATGAAACAGTTGTTGAGGATCGTCAGCCTTGTGTGCGCCTATCTGTCCCGGCAAGTTCCAGGCCTCGAATGCACCGAAAGAATACCGCGAAACACGTCGCTGTACCCTAAACTCAAGCTCTGGGGAAGGCATCCTAGACTATTTCTTTGGTGGATCGAATGCCGGATCAGAGTGCCGGGTCAGATGCTTGTTGACGGTAAGTGGTTCTCAGCCACGATGGAGGCCGCGGAACCCTTCTGGCGGCCGCGTCGCCTTGTTGCCCTGCCCCGCACATTGCGCAGTGACTGAACCACACCATATCGAAAGTGGCTCAAGTGGCTTGAGTGGCTCAGTCACCATGCCCAATGTGAATGACCAAAAACACTGAGTCGACTGTATCCGTGAGGGTAATACGTGCATTGTACAAATAAAGGCCCGAAATAATTTACGTGGGTAAGCCTACCTACATGTCAGAGCGGCTTGCGTCACCCTTTCGGGTACCGGCATGGAGACATAAGAACCTGCTGTTGCGATCTTCCTGCCGTCTATCGTATATTCCCTCCAAGTTTCCTTGACGGTTTCCTTGACGCTCCCATAACATATCCACGCACACAGAAGCAATCTTTCGACGATTCTTCGCAGACTTCGAGATGGCGGCCGACTTACTGCCGAAGCGTCATGTTTCGGCCATCTTCCACCGCCATAACAGCACCCGCCGTAAAGCAAGATCAACAAGATCCGCGAGCCCACCAGAGCATAGAAAACTAAATCTATTCGAGGGAACCGACACTGTAGCACACAACCGTAAAGTCGCCGTCCAACGCATTGCCGAAATACACGATGCCCTTGACCTCAAATACCGCACTGAGTCTGCCACATCTGACGGATCCACGTCACCTTCATCGAGCTCAAGCGATCCCTTCACCGCCGAATTCAGCGCATTGAACATTCCTGGGGCTGAAGATGAAGTAGGCGCCTTCAGGTACCCTGCAGCGGAAGTCCGAGCTTTCAAATACCTTCTCCGCAAGTGGGACAGCAGCGCAACACCGGATGCCGACTTCGACAACGCCGTGGAGCCGTTCAAGCTTCACTTTGAGGAAGCAGCTGTCAAATACTTCATCTGGCGAATAGCATTGTGGGACAAGAACGAAGAGGCACTGAAAGAAGGGACGGGTAAGAAGGCAAAGGACAGGAAGTGGATGAGGAAGGAGAAAGAGAATAACAGCGCGCTGGGCCAGATGTGGACGACTGAACTGGGATTCGAGGACTACGATTTGAGGGATGGATTGAAGGAGGTTACTACGCGAGAGGGGCTGGCGCAGCTGTTGTGTACGTTGTTCCAAGATAAAGAGGAGCCATTAACTCCGGAATTTTTTAGGGGGTGTAGAGAGGCTGTCAAGAAGACGTATGGCATCCAGAGCTGAACATATGGTGGTGGTGGTGGAGAACGAGGAATGTGTCTCGATAGCTTGTTAGTGCCTCTTGTGTAATTCAATAACTATATGCACCTACGAAAATGGTTCAAGGCTTCGTTGAGCTTTATTATGGTGATTTCCCCTCGTATCGGCGTTGAAGTTCTGAGTCGCCAAACCGCTCCTGCCATCTCCCACGAGCTTATTCAGCGCAAGTGACATCAGCGCGTCTACAGTCTCCGACCGTTCTCCGTTCGGAACGGCTCCACGCTTATACTCCAGAGCTCTCCACGCACAACTCTCGCCGTCAACTAGTTTCATCCACAATGCCATTCTTGCGACTCGGGTATAAACAAATCCACTATGCGGATCTTCGTCCGGACAAGGAGGTCAAGGAGACGTTAATCTTCATGCACGGTCTTGGATCTTCAGGAGGGTATTACTATGCCGTAACCCAAGGGTTGCTCGCACACGGTTTCCGATGCATAATCTTCGATAATACGGGCGCAGGTCAATCACCATATACCTTTGTGGAGCAAAGTATTGAGACTCTGGGAGATGACATCATTGGCATCTTGGACGCGTTGGAGGTGTCTAAGGCTGTCGTTGTTGGGCATAGTATGGGCGGGTGCGTCTATTCTCGTGATGGAGACATTGGAGCGGTGACTGAGTCTAACACAGCATTGTCGGCGCACACCTCGCCGCAGAACGAAACGATCGGATTGTGGCTGCTATTTTGATAGGACCCGTATACCCAAACGCAAATATGGTCCCTATATTCGAGAAGCGTATAGAGACCGTCGAAAAGAACGGCATGCAACTGATGGCGGATACCATTCCGCATGCTGCTGTCGGCAACAAAGCTTCACCTCTAGCCAAGGCATTTATTCGCGAGCTGCTGCTTGGGCAAGATCCTGCCGGATATGTCTCCAACTGCCGCGTTATTGTGAATGCGAAGCCACCAAACTACAGCAAGATCAACATCCCAGTTCTCATTTTGGCAGGAGAAGACGATAAGAGTGCGCCACTCGAAGGCTGCACGAAAATGTTCGAGGAGATCGGAACGAGTGAGAAGAAGTTGGAAATCATGCCAGGCGTGGGTCACTGGCACTGCCTCGAGGCGGTGGACGAAGTCGTGCAACTAATCCAGGCATTTTATCACGAGATTCAATAAGCCTTGTCTCCGTGCATAGTTCCAAGTATGACGGTAGAGGCATGTCTGTATAGCTTGGCAGTTCCAGTCGAAGGGCACAAAAGTTTGGTGGATAGAGGCATGTAGCCGTGACTCGGCGAGTCCATCATGTTATCGTGCTGCTCCACGATAACACTTCATGCAAGCAGCCTTGCCCGAATGACTAGCACAGACGGCTTGTTCGCCACTGGGTGTGGACGCGAGACCGTGGTGTGGTAGTGGACTGCCACATGACATGGTCATTGGCGGTGTCTTTCCCCGATCAGATGTATTGGAGGCCTTGGCGCATATGTCCAACACCATCCGGCGTTTGCAGCGGATACATTGTAAGCAGTAAGGCAGGTCCCAAACACATGCAGCCCGACAGTTGCAGCCTTTCATAGTCTTTCTTTTCGCTGGGGAGGTAAGCCAGGGTCCTCCAGGGTCCTCCAGGGTCCTTTCAGGGTCTGCGTCGTGTATGTGTATAACTTGTCAAGTCACCTCTCGGGTGTGTCCACCATGTCTTGTGTAGCGCTTCATCATTTGGTCCCTCATCTTGAGCCTTGCCCTGTCCCGCTGAAGCTTGCCCGTATCAAGTCTGGTGACGCTTTAGCCCATGTCGCTCCCACACTACTCTCGCACTTGATTCGGTCGTGTCCGCCGTCCGTGCAGCCGTGTGCCGCATCGTCCTTTCATATGGTAGACGAGGCTCCCCCTTCGTTATTCGACATCGTCCTCCCATCACAGGCCAAGCCAAGTGATCATCGTTTCTACATTTAGCTTCATTATCGCTGGCTGGCGCCACATTCGCTGACATGTGAAGATGGCCGACATCATACCGCAGCCTTTCAACAAAACGTGTGCGGCCGTGACTGCGACATGTGTAGAGAGCATTTATCATCCGTCTTTCGACTCGACTAGAGCAAGCTACTAACCATCTCCTTCTCCAGTTTTATTGCCCCACTAGTCCCCTATTCCCCTTAGCTTCACAGGCCCCGGAAATCGAATTGAAGCGGTGAACTCGACCTTTCAGAGCCGCCCACACGTCCGGGCTTAGATTCGCCAAACATCGTGCATATTCCGCTGCGTCTTTTTCCACGCTGGCTGAGTCTGGGCCAACCATAGGCCAAGATCCGCGGTTCTGTTGTCTGATCGCGCTTTATAAACTCACGGACGGACCTAGGTTTTAGTTGCCTCCTGCAACTGACCGCGTGGGTTGATTGACTAGTACTGCGGGTCTCGCTCGTGCATCATTTGATTTACTGCAGTGCTGGCGCCCCATAAACTCCCTGCATCTCCATCGTTTCTTCACTTCATTTCTTTCGGTTCGGACCTCAGCAGGATTCGAACGTTTTCATTTCGGCCCTCGCACTGGTTGCTGGTAAGCCTCAACGCCCCTTTAGTGGCGTACCTTCCTATTCGAGCATGCACTGACAAGACGTCTAGACGATGCCGAGATAAGTACCAATCAACAACTCAACAACTGTGACGAATCTACCACGAAAATCACGACCTCAAAACCGTCAACCACTCTTCCATGGACCAACAATGAATCGAATCGATAGTGGTTTCGTAGATTCCTATCTTTCGAAAGCAAACAACGAGAAACCACCGCCCATGCATAGGAGCAACACCGCACCCACTCATCGTCGCAAACCTAAAAAGGCTCCCTCAGAGTTGATCTCGTCTTTACAGTCAACGACCAAAGACTCTCAACGTCCGTCTTCAGAGAGGCGACCTAGACCATCAAGGCAAAAGTCCACTACCTCGTCATCGGACAATTCCGTGACTCGATCCAAAGGCCGTGGCTATGGCTCAAAACCCTCGTCCGGTCGCACTTCCTGTACCATTGTGGATCCCTCAAGACCAGGCCGCCACTACAGGATGAAGAGTTCCCAGACATTTTCCGCCGCAAACAACCAAGACATCGACGATGTTCTCGCCCTTCACTTCCGCAGCTGCAGTATCTTCACAAACCCCTCGTACCACTCCCATTCCGGATTGCCAAGTCCCACGCTGTCTCAAGGCGAAGCATTCGCTATCCCCGGTGCAACGTCACGATTCAACTCTGTCGACATTGATGTCGCCGAAGAAACCGAAATACCAAAACAGAGCGAAGACTCAATTCCACCCGTCGAAAAAACAAACACCACCATGCACTGGACGTCACCCAGCACGCGACAACGTGATTACAAGCGGATCGACAAAGCGAATAGCGGTATCCGAGGTCTTGTGCGAAGAGCAATGCCAAGATGCGTTTCAGGCCCACAGGAAAAGTTCTACGACATGGATCAGTCGGACGCAGGATCTGTTCGACGCTACAGGTTGGACGATATGGATCATCATGATGTAAATGAAAAGGATGATTTGCGACTCCATACAACAAACACCACGGAGAAGTCAATGACTCGGCCAGGCTCGAAGAAGAAATGGACCTGCTTTTGAAGGTAGGCCAGATGGAGTGTCTGTGACTTGTCAAGAGATAGAGAGATGATTTTGCATATATTCGCGCGGCATCATGAAGGCGTTTTGACACGATACCCACGGCAAGCAACTGCGCTGATTGTTCTTGGTTTTACGCATTATACCTATATCTATAGTATGGAGAGGGCCACTTAATCTTTATCGCGTAAGCATAGCATTTTCATTTAATGAGAGCTGTTTTAAACCCTCTTTTCACTGCAAACTAGACGTCTCAGTTAATACCGAGCTTGCCCAACTGCTCAAGTCCTGTTGGAAAAGTCAAAGGTCTACGTGCAATTGGAAAAGCGAGAAAGATCACACCAAAGGCAAATGAGTAACTCTCGAAACGAGAACCTCCAGAATGTATTATTTTGCGAGAGAAGAGCTATCAAGTAGACCGATTGCGAAACTAGGTCGAAGAGAGGAAAAGAAGACCACTTCAAGCAACGTAAGGTCGCTCCACTCTGGCATGTTCGGCAATCCACGCACGTTGCTCCTCTCGCCGGACGATAGCATCGCTCCACCTTGGTTTCCCTTCCTTCGACTGCCTAGCCTTTAGCTCATCTCTTCCCCAGAGCTCCTTGTGTGTGTAGTGTCTTCCCTCCGCACTTGGTGGCCTCGTCGAAGTCCCCGCTCTCTTCTTGATACCAACCGGATTCACATCATCACTGCCACCAGTATCGCCCCCAGGGCTACTCACGCGTCCGGGCAAGTTGAGGAATCGACTCCATGCCTGCTGTGCGTCTTCGAGTGAACCGCTCGCGCGGATCGTACGTATGATGGCCTGACTGCTGATCAACTCGCTCTGTAGTATCGTAGATTGGAACGCTGAGATACTTTGCTGGAGAGCGTCGATTGCTTGGTAAATAGGGGCGTTCATCTCTTTGTGATACGATCGGCCGAGCGTTGTGAGGCCGGAGCTAAGATTGGGAATCGAGGAAATGTAGTCGATGTAGGATGCTGAGAGGTCTTTGGTGATGTTACCGAGAGTTGGAGTGGCTGTTGGGGCTGCCGGAGCTGTCGGGGGGAGGAGTATACTAGAAGTCAAGGGGAGTGTGGGTGGTAATGGGACTTTGCTGGGACCAGTGGCGTTTGTTGTGTTGTCTGGAAGGAGCCAGGACGTCTGTCCTGCATTAGTCACAATAGTCCTCAGAAGACAAGTCAGAAGCAAAGGCGTACCTTATTCGTGTTGAGCTGGAATTTGGATCGCAAAATCGTCGTTGTGATATTGTTGATGAGATCGGCGGTACCCATTTGATTGCCACCTCCACCAAGCAACCCAAACCCCCAACCTCTGTTCGGGTTGTTCGGGTTTCCGATAGTGTTCGCTGCCACATTGATGATAGTCCTCAGATCAACGAGGTCCTGCACGGCGGGTGTAGCGAAGGCGGTAGGAGCGAGGATGATGCCGGTGACGAGCATTATGGTAAACCGTGAGTGGACCTTGAGGTAGGATGAGGACATGCTAAGCTTGGTAATCCGGCTGGCGAACGTAATCGTTGCTAGGCCGCTAGGTGAGAGATGTTGAACGAAAGCCGGATATGGTGCTAGTTGCTAGGTCTAATCAAGGTAAGGTTGTTGGCGGATGATGTTTGGAGGTTGAAGAGTGAGCGAGGTGAAGCCGCTTGGAAGACATCTTATAAGCAGGTCCTGAGAAGCAGATGAGGCAGGCGGCCACGACGATCTGTTGCACAGGGAAAGAGCATCGGAGCGTTCTACGGCTGGTCCTCCAAACAAGCAGTTACCGATAAGACTACGCAGGAGCATTCGAACTTAGTGAGCCTCCTAATACCTATGTAGCACCCGTGCGAAGAATACTGTCATAAATAGTTAATCGACAATTGTCGATAGTGGGAGTGGAATGCATGTAATTTTGGCAACCTGCCATCACGTACGAGTAGGTACCGCACTTCCTAATAAACGATTCGAACCCGGTAGTCATAAGAGGTTAAGACACTTCAACTCATCCAACATGCGGCAGGAAGTTGCTCCACTCCGGGGTCTTGTAAACTCCCATTGGCGATGCTCGTAGCCCCATGAAAACCTCCACGAGTAGGTATAGCCTCGCAAGACTATACAATGTCACTGCAAACCCTTGTATGGCCATGCTGATCCATCGCACAGTTCGGAACTCTTCGAGCGTATCCTTGCCTTCCAAGCCGTCCCACCATTGATCAGTAGTTACGCGCAGCAGCACAGCCGTCAAGAGCCAGGAGATAGGAACGATGGTTGCAATAACAATTGAACACACTCTCCATGCCCAGCACTCGAACAAGGATGGAAATTCAAAGTTCCAGGCCGCCAGATGTATTGCGCCGACAACAAGAAAGACTACTGCCGATGAGAATCCGAATATGCCAACGGGGAGGAGTGACAAACGGATGACCTCGATGCATTGCCTTGTTGTTTCGTAAGTGCGGTACTTCTGGGTTCTAAATAGTTGGTGCCTTTGCAATAATGTGCGTGTTGCTATATGTCTCGAGTGTTTGCAATGCTGTGCGATAGGCTCCTGACACGGAGTGATCGTCTCTTTATAGTCAAGGTCTAGATTTGCGACCCCAGTTTGCTTGAAACGAAGTAGTGTTGGAACACTCACTTCATATGGCTTGTCCCACCAAAGAGCGTAAGCGAAGATGGCGCATGGAATGTACGCCAACGTGCTGATCTCGAGAGTCGTAAGCGGGAGATGCTGAATAGTACGGGCAACACTCTGTACCAGTACCCAGACGATCTGCGTAATGGTTAAGGCCCTGACCATTCCATCAGCCTTGCCCTTGGCTTTAACATCTTTCTCCAGCGGAAATCCGGCTAGATCAATTTGGCTCATGAGTAGGCGATTGACCGGATATGCAGTCAGATATTCAAAGCACTCATGGCCCCTTGCATCCACTTCGTTTGTAGTTCGTTTGTAGGCAAATCCGCCCATATTTGCATAGAATGCATGTGTGACGGTCCATCGCTCATCGAGTACATCGGACGAAATTTGCATTGTTGATCTGGCATCCAATCGCTCAAAGAAGGCCATATAGAGGAAGACCTCGGGGTATATGACTCCAATAAGAAGCCCAACCGTACGGTCAATATATTGCTGTACCCAGGTTGAGTTTGGTTGTGAGATGTCGGGATGAAAAGCTGACCAACAACAAAGAAAGACAGTCAACAAGCACAGCCAGAGTACTTCTAGAGTGCTGCGGTAGTTTGGGGCGGAATACCAGCCTTGTATTTCGCTCAGCTCGGAACCTTGGGTAGACTCGCTGAATACGGGCGCTGCGATGATGATGAGATGGACAGTAAGAACGAAGAAGTGATTGAAGATCTTGTTGAAATCCATCCTGGCGTAGGTCTTGCGATTCAGTCTTTCCTAGCGTTGAGTGCCTAGCGCTCTTTTGTTACAGGAGGCCCTTTTTAAACGAAAGATCTCCTTTATGATACATAAGATCCTCAAGAAGCCGATCAATGAGTGTAAAGAGGGAAGAGAGTGGTCTTCGATTAGGCTGTGATGCACGGGGGTGTTTCCAGATTGCCGCCGTTGAGGAGCTCGCATACGCTCTAAAGAAAATTCGATTAGCTGTGTATTTAGCAGAGGACTGATCTTAATCGTTGTTTTGGAATTGCGCAGGACGATAGAAGGCTGACCGTTGTGTCGGTGCCCAGGTGGTCTATTTTAGGAAATGACGACACAGCCACGCTAAGCCAGCCAGAGAGCCCTGGAGGAAGGACTCCAGGCTTCCTCCTAATCCGAGGTCGCCCATATTTGGACAGCATATTAGAAATCCATGACTAAATGATTTGATAAACCTCTAATTTAATTCCAGAGCTAAGTGGGTTGGGTATATACTTGAGGAGGATGAAGTGAATGCGAAACTTAAGCTAGCCAAGCCTGCTCATATACCTTTCAATCGGCTAATCAACAGACTGTACACATGACTTCTTGAATATATCTCCTGGACAACATTCAGGTAGCGGTGATCAAGAGCCGAGGTACTTCAGGCAATAACTGTGCAAGTGACTGTCTTTCTTCGCTTGGTAACCACTGTTTGGTGTTACTATCAAGAGGTCTAGAATCATCTGTCCTTGTCTGGGCCCTCCACCGTCACCCTGGTCAGACCTAGCGTGAAGTCGCGCTTGCTTTCTCATAGGCTCTCCACCACAGTCCTAGATTGGCAGCCACTAATAAATCCATCATCTTCAGGCCTTCATCTTCAAGGATGATCTTCCCTAGCTTCGCCTGTTTACCACCGAAGCCACCTCCAGCAAACTCCTGCCCTAGTGATAGATCTAGACGGTCTAGGGAGTTCCTAACATCCCCGGTGTTTTCGTCGGGGTTGACTGACACTGAAGAGTTGTTACGACTGTGGCGACCTCGATGGAAAATAGAAGATCGTTTTGATGATTCTTCCGCTCGAGGTGTAACTGCCTTAGAGCTGCTCGGAAGGTTGAATCTCAGCTCACTGACTTGCATAGCAGCAGGCGGTGCTCCTTGAAGCCCGGGGACGATATGGCGACACTACAGGCAGTGTTAGCAAGGTCCAACTTTAGGTGAGGATATGTAAACACCTTTAAAGAGCCTCCGCCCGCACCGGTGGTGAACTCGCATCGACCATTCCATGGGCTTGTAAACACGTAGCCGCGGAAGGTTGTCTGCCTGTCGGAGACCTGGATGGTGCTGTACGTCTGATCCTCGCGAGTTAAGAATGCGGGTGATGGCTGAGGATGTAGATCCGTTGAAGTCCTCTCAGCTTGACCACTGTAACTCCCTCTCGAACCAGGACGTCCAGTATTGTAATCATACGAGTCATTCTTTCGATGCCCAAAGCCGCCGTTGGTGTATTGTGATCCTTCCATCCACAAGCGTCGACGGAAAGTGTTTTCGCTTGCAGTTGATTGACTGCTTAGCGGTGGTCCTGATTGCCGAGGTTGTGATAGCATCCCTGTATGATCAGCTCGAACAGACATCTCACTATTATAGCTTGAAAAAGCAGGTTTGTCTGTAACGTCCGAATGTAGAAATTTCGAGTAGCCCGGATTCAACACGTCGATGTACATTGGCGCCCCAGCCCTCCTCTTTGCTGTAGCGTTATTTAGCGTTGAAGATGAAACTTCGACGATGGTCGGATCTTCAATTCGCGCAACATTCCATTGAGCGCCAGACGCTGGATCTCGTCGAATAAGAGTAAGCGAAGTGCTAGCAGGTGGCGGCCTCTCGGAGGATCTGCGCGGAGAAGCTGTTGGTCTCTCATTCTCCTGTCGATGTTGACTTGAATCGTAAGAGCGACGTAGACTGTGATCCGAACCTAGGGTTCCGGGCCTTTGGGAATAGCTTCCTGCACTAGCATTCTGTCTGCTTTCGAAGTTACTGATGAGTGCGAGGGTTCCAGGCACAGGCTTTCGCATAGGAGCAGGTGCTACCCCTGCGACTGCCTTACGTTGGACTGGTGGCGCTGGTAATCGATGAGGAGAGGTCTGGCGTAGCTCTGAGTAGTCGGGATGCTGGAAATCAGGAAAATCGCTGAGGTGAACATCTTCAGGTTGTTCAACGTGAACGAAGTAGAGGGAGCTTTGGATATCCTCGGCAGTGACCACCTTCTCTCGAGGTTTCATGGGAGATAAAAATACATCTAAAGCATTGTTAGGTCACATGAACCAGGCTTGGTATAAGAGCCGTACCTCTACTACCGGGAACGCGGGCAATGTAAAGCGCCAGCGGCTCATGCTTCACGTGGGTTGGATTTCTTGGATACGCTGGCGGATTGGAAGCAAGTGTTGTAAGCGACGATAGAGATTTGGCCTCAATAGCCGGTGAAGTCATTGGAGCGATAGACCGAGACAGCGGAAAGCTTGCGGGTTGATAAAAAAGAGATGGGCTACTTAAGCTGGGTTGACAGGCGCTACAAATATGCCTCAGTTTCCCAAGCGGTCCTCTGAACACATATAATAAGAGGTTGTGCTTGCGTCTCGGTGGCTGTGCGTACGCGTCTCCACCAATTACTGGCTTGTACAGCAAATGCGTCACCTTGGCCTATTATATCTTTACTGCACTGCGTAGTAGAGGGAAGTATCAGCGAATCTGACAGCTGAGCATCATTCGCAGAGCCCTAGCAATAAACGAGGCTGATGCTTGTGGATGAGCTCGGGCGGCACAAACAGAGCGCGGTGGTGGTGGTTGTGGTGGTTGTGGTGGTTGGGGTCGCGACAGCCCATTGGCCCACTTAAAAGCGGTGCTGGACTTCTGAGGGTCCTCCTTGTTAGCGTGAAAGTCTGCGAAATCTTGGCCCGTCGTGCATTTTGACCTCGATTTTCTCGACCCGCACACGACACGCCCGCTGCAGCCTCCCCCGCCCCCTCTACGGTCTGTAGCTTCCAAAAGAAGTCGACAACATCGTCGAGAACCCAGGCCTTGACTGATTTTGCAATGGGCGACACTCTCGAGGTATGCAGCACCGACGGCCCTGCGCTGTCGCTCCTGTCGCTAACTGAGACCTCCAGGAGCGATTGAAGAGCCATGCTCGGGCTTTTGAGGGGCTGATGTCCCTCATCCCAGCCGAAACATACTACGGAAAAGATGAGAGCATCACCAGCGTACGCATCACCCCCACCTGCAGCGCCGAGGCTCCATGCTGACCCAGGCTCCACAGACGCAATGGCAAAAGAAGAAGAAGCAGACCCTCGAAGAGCGACAGGCCGCCAAGCGAGCCAAGCTAGATCCCGCCTCTCACAAGTCCGCCAAAGACGTCATGGACGAGAACGCGCGAAAGCGGAAGCGCGAGCTGGAGGGCGAGGTGTCGGATGCCGCGTCGTCAGACCTCGACATGGATATCGAAAAGGAGAAACCGCTAGAGGGCATCAAGAGTAAAGCCAAGAAGCAGAAAACCAAAGTCGACAAGCCAGCCGTGACCGAAGACGAGGACGCCGGCGAGACACGTGCTCTCTCAAAGGCTGAGGTAAAGGCCGAGGAAAGGGCTGAGAAGAGAAGGGAGAAGAAGAAGGCGAAGGCGACACAGAAGAAACAGAAGCAAGAAGCGAAGAAGGCCCAAGGAGCCGAGTTCAGCAAAAGGTAACAAATATTCCTGATCATGTAGTAAAAAGACACATCCTCTAACTCTGTCTTCCTTAGTCTCACGGCCACGCAAGAACCTGATGAGGACGAAGTCGATGAAGACGATGAAGATGATACCAACGAACTCGAGCATCCCGACGATCGTATACAAGCGTTGGACGTTAGCGGGCTCATCGAAGAGGGTCAGTCTACTGTTCCCTCAACTGCTGCAAATTCCAATTCCTCCGCAGCTTCCATCGTGTCAGCCGCCTCCTCATCGTCATCGTTGCCCCCGTCCGGCGAGGAAGTACAAGAGAAAAAGATAAAGAAGCCTTACAAGATCGACGAACAAAGTCACGACAATTTTCGAACGCGATTGAATGCAAAGCTAGAGGCTATGCGTGCAGCGCGCAAGGCTGATGGACCCGACGGGCGACCAGCCAAAAACCGTGCTGAACTCATAGAGCAACGACGGAAAAAGGAGGCTGAGCGCAAGGCGACAAAGAAAGTGAGCCGACAAGAGGCCAAGGACGACGAGGCACGGCAGAAGGCAGAAGAGCAGCTCGCACGGATACGAGGCGGTTCAGGTTCGCCTTCAATATTCCCGCCACGGTCACCGGAAAACGAGCGGAGTTTCAATTTCGGTAGAGTAGCATGGGACGGGCAACAGCTTGAAGGCAATCTCTCCGGCTTCCTAGAGTCAAGAAAGAAGAAGGGCAAGTCGGATGCGAAGACAGCCCTTGATGCCGCGCAAAAGAAACAGGCGCGGATCAACGGACTTGACGAAGAGAAGCGAAAGGACATCCAAGAGAAGGACCTCTGGCTCGCTGCGAAGAAGAGAGCGCAGGGCGAGAAAGTCTTCGATGACGTAGGTTTGCTGAAGAAGAGCTTGAAGCGACAACAAAAGCAAAAGGAAAAGAGCAAGCAGGAGTGGAAGGAGAGGCTCACGAATGTCGAGCACGGCAAAGAAAAGAAGCAGAAGCAGAGGGAGGAGAATCTAAAGAAGAGGAGAGACGAGAAGGGCCAGAAGCAGAAAGGAGGAAAGAAGAAAGCCAAAAAGCCTGGTAAGAAGGTGAAGCGACCGGGGTTTGAGGGTACCATGAAGGCAAGATAATCTTTGCAAGACACTCGAGCAAACGAACAGAGAGGGAATGATCTTACAAGATCGTCTTGGACATGTGAGGGAGTTTCTTCCAGGGCTAGCGTATCGAGTTTCGGTATGCAAAAATATTGGGAAAGCATTTGGCGTTTGATACCATATCATGGCGGCATCATCTGAGCGTTAGGAGTATATATGGCCGTTGAATATCATGACGTCTTTTGATGAAAAATCCCCATTGGTCCTTACCGTGATGTATGTGTCTTTTTGTCTTGTATAATTGATAGAAAGGTGCTGTACGTGCATGAGAAGTAGCAGTAGCTCGTATATGCTCTGCGGGTGTCAACAATCGCCCGAGTAGCGACAACTTCCCTTCCAATAACGTCGCACCTTGACGTCTCTCGTCGTTACCGCACATCGATGGCGCTCCACAATCCATGGCTGTATACCGGGTTCATCTCTTCCATGCTCGCTCGTGAGATGGGGAGACTACCTAACACACTTCAACGTACGCTGAATCATAGTCTGTGTCAAATCATTTCTTCCTGCAAGTGTAAATCGAGAATTTTTGAGCAGTGTAAAAGCCATATAGAAGAACTTGAACTGGCTTCTTGTACATTGACAAAGGAGATCTGAATCGCTGTGTCAGACATGGGCTGCACCATTATATTTACATTTTGGCATCCTCTACGCCTCCCATTATCTGTATGGCGCATCCGCGCGAGCGGCCGCTGCAATTTCTGGCTCCCACTTGTCTCCGTTTGAAAGCAACTTCTCCTTGTTATACAAAAGCTCTTCTCTTGTCTCAGTCGCGTATTCAGCGTTTGGTCCTAAGCGTTGTCAGTATCATATGCACATTGCGCGAGTTGCTATAACATACCCTCAACAATCGCATCGACAGGGCAGCTCTCCTGGCAGAGACCGCAGTAGATGCACTTGGTCATATCGATATCATAGCGAGTCGTCCTCCTGCTACCATCCATTCGCTCTTCAGCCTCGATTGTGATAGCCTGCGCAGGGCAGATGGCTTCGCAGAGCTTGCAAGCAATGCAGCGCTCCTCCCCCGTAGGATACCGCCGTAAAGCGTGCTCGCCTCGGAAGCGGGGTGAGATGGGGCCTTTTTCGAAGGGGTAGAAGATAGTGTACCTGCGGCTTCATCAGAACACAAGTTCCCAGCATTTCACAAGTCAACAGCTCGCGAATTGAGAGGTACGTACGGTGGTCGGAAAAACTGCTCCATCGACACATACATGCCGCGAAACATCTCCAGGAGCAAGAAGTACTTGCCCGCGCGGTCCAATGCACCTTCTCCCTCATCCCATCGCTTTGGCCTGGGTAACCGGAAGCCCGGCGGCGGTGGTCCTGCTGGGGTGGCGGCTCGAGAGAGCGTGGTGGAGAAGAAGGCGACAGTAGCCGGCGATGGGAGGCGTCCTGACGCGAATTGCGACTGTCTGAGCAGTGTCGCAGCTGGTCGGCCGCGTACCAGCATCGTCATTGGCTTTGTGCTGGCCATCGTGGGCGCTAGAGGTCGCTGGCAAGGTGGGTGGTGCTGTCGAGTAAGGTGGCTGTTGTCGAGCTTGGAATTCTGGGTTTGGAGGTTGCTTGTCAAACGGATACGCTGCGATTGGCCAAGACTTCAATGACGGCGGCGACGATGGGAAGTAGCTTTCGAGTCTTCAAATTATCGGCAGAAGGCCTTTCGAGCTGCTCTATCGAACTGTAGGCTCCGTTAATAGCTATCTAGTCATCTCTGGTGGTTATTGCAGGTACGCGAGACGGTCGTCAACTTCGTCTTGCTGGCTGACTAACGTAATGTAACTTTTAGTTCGAAGTTCTCCGACTCTCTGATACAGCATCAACATCACCACCTCCACCGCCTCTCCATCCCGCCCCGCCACCCCTCAAACATATCCACCATGTTCCGAACAGCCCTCCTCAGGTCCGCAAGGTCAGCCGTCCGCGCTGCACCCCGATGCCAGGCCGCAATGGCTCGCCCGGTCGCGCGAACCTCTTTCTTCCAGCCGAAGCAAGCTACTCCCTCGGTATACTTCCAGGCCGTACGATGCTATGCCGCGAGCGCCGGTCTGTCACAAGACGAGGTCACTGGCAGGATAATGGATCTGTTGAAGAACTTTGACAAGGTAATGGGAATGCGATAAAAGATGAAGCTATTGCTAACTCAAAAGCAGGTCCAAGACACCTCAAAGGTAGCTATATATGATCCATAGCGGCTCGATGAGGCACATGCTCACATTCCGTAGCTCAACGCTGAATCGCACTTCCACAACGACCTCGGTCTTGACAGTCTCGATACCGTAGAGGTGGTTATGGCGATTGAGGAGGTTAGTTGTGGTGGATGAATATACACAAGGCAATTCTGACAATACCGTAGGAGTTCAGCATCGAGATCCCCGACAAGGAGGCCGACGCTATCCACAGTGGTACGTCCTTCGTAGCAATATTACACTCGTCATATACTGATACTATCACAGTCAAGCAAGCAGTGGACTACATCCTGGCCCAGCCTGATGGTAAGAACGCGACGTCAATATTCCTTACACCAGTTACAAAGCTAATTGATGTGTAGCGCACTAAGCAACTTTTGAGAGCGGGGAGCTAGGGCTGGAGACTATGGATGCGGATTGGGTAGTCGGTTCTACCGGCGTTGTTATATATTTGCCTCCTTGTAAAACAGTCGCCTGGGACGACGGCACCATGTACTTTCGATAGAAATGAAGCTATCCACCTCCTGATGCGTCGGTTCGCTGTAGCGTCGTGGTAGCCCTATTATTTGAGGATCTCTTGGCATAACCGAGCACCCTTTCCGCTGATGGCTGTGGCACGAGGAACATCCCCAACTCGTAATTGTACAAGCGACTTGCGACACCCCCTTATCTCTACGCCGCCGAGCCTGCTACCCTCACCTATATCGTCCGCATCCAACTTGCCACGAGAATCGTCGTGCGCGTATGCGCAGCCCAAGCGTCCTTATCCCTGCGCTCGCTGAGGAGCAACACCTGTAATTTCGACAAGGCCCAACCAGTTCCACAACCACCCCCCGATGGCTTCAAGCTCTGGTTTGACGCGCCGGAGAGGAGGAGGAGGCGCCGCAGGCACTGGCGAGGACGAAGGCAGCCGGGTTGGCTCGCCAGCACCCAGGCGCAACGACGACCGTGCCCCCGAAACTTCCTACGAGAGCTCGGAGAATGGCCACAAGATTGCATTCGACCCGCGGGATATCAGTGAGAGCGCAGAAAGGAGCAAACAGCCCAAGCTGACGCTCATGGAGGAGATCATTCTCATGGGGCTGAAAGACAAGCAGGTGCGTGTACTGCAAGGGGAGGATGCCTACGAGCTACAGGCTAATAAGTCACAATAGGGATATCTTTCATTTTGGAACGACAACATCTCATATGCATTGCGAGGATGTATCGTCATAGAACTGGCGTTCCGAGGCCGCGTGAGCATGCAGAAGGACTCGTCGCGGCGGCGGTTCCCTCTGGCAGACCGGGTCATTGAGGTTGTTGACGACACGCTGACAGGGGAGGTACTGTTGGACGAGGCATTGAAGATGATGAAATCGAGCGAGAAGATGAGCGTCAATTCGTGGATCGATCTCATGAGTGGTACGCCTCTTTCTCTTACACAGGACCAGAATCTAGACTAGACTCTGACAGCTGACACTACCAATAGGAGAAACATGGAATCTTATGAAGATTGGCTACCAACTGAAGCAAGTACGCGAACGACTATGCAAGGGCCTTGTGGACAAGGGCATCCTGCGCACCGAGAAGAAGAACTTCCTCCTCTTCGACATGGCCACACATCCCATGGCCGATGGCGGCGCAAAGGAAGAGATTAGACGCCGAGTCCGGAACGTCCTCACAAACCGCACGGTGGTCCTCCCAGGCACCCAGTTCCTCCCCGAAGAGCTCGAGTTCAGATACATCCGAACGATTACCATGGTCTGCGCCGCGTATGCCGCGAACGTACTTGAGAACGCCTTGACGACGCTGGGACATGAAGCACGAGAGCGTGCTTTTGCTCAGGTGGACGAATTGCTGGCAGAGTACTCACAGTGGCCGTTTGCAAGGAGACAGGGGGGCTCGCAAGGAGTGGGAGCCAATTTGGGCCAGGTCATCACTGACGAAGTCAATGGTTCCAAGGATAAGGAACTGTCACTTGAGGTGAGTTGCACTAGGCACGAACTGAGTCTGGGCAGTGGGCTAACACATGAGCACAGGTGGTCGCGGCGTGCCTCAGCGTGTTCACGCGGCTCGATTCACTGCTTTAATATAATAACGCCAGCTAGACATGTCAGGACGAGGTCTATGTCGAGACGTGTCGCGCATGATGGTAAGAGGTTGAAACTTGGGAGTTTTACGGCCAGCAAAACCAATGAATATAGCGGCGAGTTCGTAGGCGGCTTCATGTTAGAGCCAAATTTGAAATGCGGTTAGTGTCTTCTTCTGTGCTGTCCAGAGCGTCCCTGGTTGCCTCGAGTGAGCCCAGGCGTGGTCGGACCCGTGCGTGAGAGGGTGTTCCTATTACTAGGCCACTTTTCCTCTTCCTTCTACTTGGGCGAGTCCGCGCCTCTGAATACAAACTTGATTCGGCATGTCTTCAGGAGCATCAACTCGGTGCCCATCACTAATAAGCGTTATTCCTGGATGCCTTGGCGTCACGTGTGATGACTGGCAGTGAAGTGAACGAACATGTCGTGAGGGGGCGCGCAGCATGGGGCAGAGAGGGCCTAGGGTAAAGGTGTTCTTCTCCCCAGGTCCAGGAAAAGAAACCCACATCAAAGTGCCCCCAGCTGTGGACTCTGCTGCTGCGGTTGTGGATGCCGCGACGCGCCGCTTCAGTGTTCGCCATGGGCAGTCTCGGCGCCTTGCAAGCGGGAACGAGGCGGCAAATCCATCGAAGCCTCTGCCTGACTGACACACACAACACATCATTCCGAGCTTATCCTCCGCGCGAACCCCCCCGACCCCTCACTAAGGCACCGCAGCCAGTGTTTCGCCGATTCGGGAGAGAGTGCCAATACTTCTCGCCTGTGAAAGCCTTGCGGACGGGCTGCTGTTACTGCTGCTGCTGCGCGCTTGACATACCCGATCGGCAGTTCCTGCCTGGACAGCCAAACAGACGCCCAGCCCAGCCCTGTGACCTGTGACGACGCGCAAATTGCATGCTTCCTAAAGGTATGTGGTTTTTATTTATTATTCCTCGTCGGCCGTAGATTTCTCGAGCCCCGTGTCGCCATGGCCGTCGTTCCCTGAGATGGCGGCGCTGCTGCTGCTGATGCTGCCGTCGCTCACCCGCCCCCTTCTCCGGGACGTCGCGACGACCGCACCCACCCAACCCAACGTCCATTGACCACACGAGCAGCCTCCATCACGTCCGTCCATGCCTCGGCCCTCCACAACAGAGGCACGTCTCTAGCAGGTCGCTCCTGCTGCGCGCGATAGATATTCTCTCTCCGCCATGCCCTCTCCCTCCTCCGCCGACCCCCAGTCCCTCGCATCCGCGCAAGCCCAGAACGGCGCGTCCCAAAACGGCGTCAACGGTGACGGTGCCGTCCAACCCGCCCATGCCTCTGCAAGCATCAATGGACCTGACACGGCGCCAAACGAGCTCAACGCGATCCGTGACGGGAAACAAAAGGCCAAGGCGGTGCTAGCGGCCTCCGGGGTAAACATGACAGACGCAAAAGCAGACACGGCATCGCCAGCGCCAACAGAAGCCATCAATGGCGCGTCGCCGAGTCGAAAGCGATCGCGTTCAGGAACCCGAAAGCCTTCGCAGACACCCAGCCAGCCCGGCGAATCCACGGCCGCGCAGGCCCACCTTCTGAACCGCTACATTGCGCGCGACCTCTTGGACAGTGTCAACAAGTACGAGCGAAACAAGCACTCGGAGAAGGTCTATGGCGAGCTGAACGACCTGCGCCACTTCTACCGCGACGAAGTGTACCCTGTGCGGCGCCAGAATCCAGGCGCAATCTTCGGATTTGGATATGCTGGCTATGGCAATGGCCTGACGGACGTCCCTCCTCCTAGAGATCCTCGCGCCGCCGTACAACCGCAGTTACTCTACCCCGAGAACGCCAGGCGCGCCGGTCGTCGGCTCGCGCCCCAGCTCAAAGTTCCGAGAGAAAAGGGGGCGCAGCAAGCAGAGCAGATCGAGGAGCTTGTACCTGTGCGATTGGACATTGAGTTGGACAGGCTGAAGCTCCGAGACACGTTCACCTGGAACTTGCACGACCGCGTTACCAACCCTATATTGTTCGCCCAGACCCTTGTTGAGGATTTTCAGATACCTCCAGAGCTGCGACAAAACGTAATGCACCAGATCGATCGTGAGATACACGAACAGATCCAGGATTATTACCCACATGCCTTTTTCGACGACGAGCCGCTCGATCCACATCAGCCATATTCAGCATACAAGAACGATGAAATGCGCATATTGATCAAGCTCAATATTACGATTGGCCAACATACACTGGTCGACCAGTTTGAATGGGAAATCAATAATGCTTTGAATGCGCCCGAGGAATTTGCCTCGCAAATGGCCGCTGATCTTTCGTTATCCGGAGAGTTTACCACGGCCATTGCCCATTCAATACGAGAGCAATGTCAGATGTTCACCAAGAGTCTCTACATAACAGGCCATCCCTTTGATGGACGGCCCGTCGAGGATGCAGACATTCAAGATAACTTCTTAGCTTCGCCGCTACCCTCCGTGTTCCGACCTATGCAGTCAACGAAAGATTACCAACCCTACCTATACGAGCTAAGCCACACTGATCTGGAACGCGCTGAACTATCCATCATGCGAGAACAACGGCGGCAGAAACGCTCTGTTAACCGACGCGGAGGCCCTGCTCTTCCGGACCTCAAAGACCGCCAACGAACCGTTCGAACCTTGGTAGTCTCGTCTGTTCTTCCTGGCGCCGCTGACACGGTTGAGGAGAGCCATCTTTTCAAAGCGACGCGGAAAGCAAGAGAAGGTCGCCGTCGCGTCGGTGACGGTAGTTCGGACGAGTCTGACAGCGATGATTCTGTGCTCGAGTCTCCGGCCCCAGCCCAGCTGACCGGGGGCACCGCTCGAACCAGAGGTATGCGTGGTGCTGCGACTGCTGCTCAAGCCGCTATGCGATCAGCTATTGGGCGATCAGCAACACCGGAGATTTCTACTCTCCAAAGCCTCCACGAAACTAGGACAACAAGGCAATTGAGGTACGAGGCGCGTGACGAAAGCGTCCCCGAACCCACCACATTGATAGTCAAGCTACGCATATCACCTGCAAAGTTAAGAGAGTGGCAAAGAAATCCGAGAGCGTTTGCAAAGCCTGCCTCTACACCCATGATGGCACCTGCAGCTCCTCCAGCACGAAGCACACCCACCGCGAATTCAATGCCTCCTCCTCCCTCGCCTGCTATGCCCCCTCGCTCCACACCTGGGGCTCCCGCGTCTGTCGAGGCCTCACCGAGGCCGCCAACGACGCCTACACCAACCTCACAACCGCAGAAGCAGTGGCAGTACAAGTCTGATGGCTCGATGGATGCGCCGTGGCCGACGCCTGCTACATCTCAACACGTAAGAGGTCCCAAATTTACCCTGTTCGTGCATCATCTAATCTCGTATAGCCTCCACCTCCGCCGTGGCTTCAGCAAGCTTTGCAAGATCTACGCGATCGAAACCCCGGCGAGCTATTCGAGTCCACGATGCGTTATGTCGTCATGAATGAGGCACATGAAAATCCAGAAACGAAAAAGATGGAATCGAAGACTGTCAAGTTAGACCACCTATCAACGAGCGTCCCACTACCACCAAACCACAAAGCGTACTTCCTACCGCGGATACGGTGCATGGACTGCCCAGGGAAGCTCTACAACGCAGGTCCCGAACGCACAGTCAATAATTTCGAACTACATCTCAGGAATCGCGGACACATGAACAACGTGGCGAAACGGACAGGTCAACCGGTACAGTCCTAGCGGATGATGGCGTGTTCAATGATCAGCATGAATCGTAAGAGAGCATTAAGAGTGGATGTTTTCATGTACGCAAGCGCATTTAGGGAACTGTCCAATTTCCGTTGTACAAAATAAGTAGACCACTCTTGGCGTAAGGAGTAGCACGTGGGCACAGCGTGCTGGTGCATTGGCGTTCTTGTTTGACGGCTACAATTTGCAAAGTAGTAGCCCTTGTGTCATGTATCATTTCATTTAACCGGACTCACCCGAACAGTGGAGCAATTGCAATTCATAGTCTCTCATACCAGTCAATTTTCATCCTCATTCTAGCACCTGGTGTCACATATATATATATAGGGTTGAGATGGCAGCTTGTCAGTAGAATCATCGCATACTTGTTCATGATCAGTATCCAAGTCACCTCTTGCTTTGTTTATGACCGTTGCCAATCAATCCCTCCCTAAACATTCCCATCGAATCAGTACAATCACGTGTTCGGCTCCGACCACGGTCGACTCTTCCATCTCAACATGCTCCGCTCAACCCTTCAGACAAGCTTGCTTGTCATCGCTCTTCTGACCCTGGTCATGAAAGCTCACGCCACCCTCCCAGTCCGTGTCCTTACCCACAATATCCGCTACGCATCCAGCCCTCCCTATGATGGAGGCGAGAAGCCCTGGTCCATCCGAAAGTCCAAGATTGTCGATGAATTGAAGTACAACACGCTGCACAATGCTGAGGCGTTTGTGTGTCTTCAGGAAGTGTTACATGAACAACTTGTTGATATTATGAGCGGGTTGAACAGCGACAGCTCAAGCCAAGACGGAGATGAGTGGGCCTACATAGGCGTAGGCCGCGATGACGGCAAGCAAGCTGGCGAGTACAGTCCTATCATCTACCGCAAATCCGTCTGGAGACTCGATAAATGGCAGACGGTGTGGTTGAATGAAGACGGCGCTGTTGGCAAGAAAGGCTGGGATGCTGGAAGTATCAGGATTGTTACCGTCGGCAAGCTCAAGCACATTGCCAGCAAGAAGAAGGTGGTGGTCATGGGCACGCATTTCGACAATTCGGGCGAAGTGAGCCGGAGGGAGAGTGCAAAGATCATCATCCGACTTGTCGACTCGGTCACGAGTAACAAGAAGATCCCCTTCTTGCTCGCTGGTGACCTCAACTCGGAAGTTACTGGGGAGGCGCACCAGATCCTCAATTCGCCCTCCTCGCCGTTCCAGGATACGAAGCAATTGGCCAAGTGGCAGTACGGCAATCATAATACGTGGACAGACTTTAATGACACTGACTTGCAGGTGATTGACTTTGTGTTTGTTGGGCGGGGAGAGGACTGGAGTGTCGAGGGGTATAGTGTACTCGCCAACCGATTTGAGGATGGAATCTACAATTCTGATCATCGAGCCGTAGTCGCTGATGTGGTATTGAACATCTAAGAAGGCTTTCTAAGGAGGCCTTTTTAGAAACATATCGGGTACACCAGGACTATGGGTGATTGAAGGAAGCAATTGTATGGGCTGAGATGGTAGATGGTCCCATATATGTTTGAATTTAGCTTCAAGTCGAGTGCTTGTAGCCGCAAAGAAAATGAAATGCCTTGCATATAGCATAGGCTGAATAGTTTAGATGCTGTGCAGCTTCTTTGAACCTCCGCTTATACAGTTCACCTGGTGTCCAACAGTTGGATTTCGATAGTACAATCCGATCTGTGCTAGCATGTCGTACCGGCGACTTAGTGTGATGAAACGTCTCGAGCTCTCACGGCACCCTAGGTACAAAGATCAATGAATGTTATAGACACAGTTTTAAATTTGTCACAAGCCACATTGCCGGATGCGATTGGACTTATTCACCTGTTGGTGAAAACGGACGTGGTCGCTGTGAAGCATTGCCGTCATTGGGTTTTAAGCGAGGAAGCAACCCCTCTTAGTGGGGCACAAGTCTCAAAACACCAGGTACGGCCTCGACTCACCATTCTCATTCTGGCCTCTAGACCAACTTGAACATACGCAACTACCTTCAAGATGGCCGAAGCAACAGCTGTTGGTATGCAAAAACTACTCCTTCCATCAGTTTTAAGCTCCGTTGAAGCTCCCCGCGCAAGAACAGAGCTTGGCCTCGAGTCCTATATTCAGTCGTCACACAAGCTAATAGAGATTGACAGACTACACTCTCGCGAACCCGGACACCATAACCAAGTACAAGGTTGCTGCCGAGATCTCCCAGAAAGTCCTCAAGGAAGTTTCAGGTGCGTTCTTTCCCCAACTCGCGCCTACCCCGCCACAACCACAAAGCAACTCGAACTGACAGCTACAGGATGGATCAAGGCGGACGCCAGCATCGTCGAGCTTTGTGAGCGCGGCGACCAGCTGCTAGCCGAGGAGGTTGGCAAAGTCTACAAGGGCAAGAAGGTCCTCAAGGGCATTGGACACTGCACCACCATCTCGCCGAGCGCCTACGTCACCCCATATACGCCGCTCAAGACTGACGCTGAGGAAGCTGCTGCGGCCACACTGAAGGAGGGAGAAGTCGTTAAAATCCAATTGGGCGCTCAGATTGATGGCTTCTGCACAATCGTCTGTGACAACGTAATTGTTGGCAACGATGGAGAGGTCACTGGACGAGAGGCAGATCTCTTACTCGCGACACACTACGCAAACGAGCTGCTATTGAGACTGATGGTGCCACCGGGTCTGGTTGCTCACGGTGACGAGGAGGAACAGAAGAAGGCCGCATCCAAGAAGGCCTATACACAAAGCCAGATCACCAACATGCTAGAGAAGGTCGTCAAGGCGTACGGCTGCAATGTCGTCGAGAGCACAACCATCTGGCAATTCGAGCACAACGAGATCGAGTCCAAGAAGAAGATCATATTGGCGCCTGGTGAGGGCGTCAGAGGTGAGGGTCTTCCTGAAGTCGGCGAGGTGTGGGGTGTCGAGATTGGTGTCAGTCTGGGCAGCGGCAAGGTCAAGAACAATGGCAACAGGACGACCCTTCACCGACGTACGGCTACCACTTACCAGCTCAAGCGTCCCACCTCGAGGTCGCTCTTGTCTGAAGTTGTTAAGAAGTTCGGCACTTTCCCTTTCAGTCTGCGACAGCTTGAGGATGAGAAGAGCGCCAAGGTTGGTGTGGTGGAGTGTGTCCGAGCTGGCGTGCTTCGTCAGTACGAGGTCGTTATCGACAAGGAGAGCCAGCCTGTGGCTAGGTTGTTCAGCACTGTTGGTAAGTCAAGGATCCATGCTCCCCCCTGATGCGCCGGTTGCCTAGTCTTGACCGAGACATTGATAGAGATGCATTTGGTCGTGAAATGAAAATTGTCTGAGATGATCTACTAACAACATTACAGCAATCACCAAGAACGGCATACAGCGCCTCGCTCAGCCAGCTGAATTCGATACTTCCAAGTACAAGTCGGACAAGAAAATCGAGGATGAGGAGATTCTCAAGATTCTTGAACAGCCTATTGGTAAGACGTCGACTAAGAAGAACAAGAAGAAGAAGAAGAAGCCTACCAAGAAGGCTGCTGAAGGCGGCGCTGCCGAGGAGGAGGGAAGCGACGAGGAGTAAACGTCACACCAAAAGATGAATCTGGACGCTTCTAGTACTTTCTATTTATGAGGGTGCCATTCGGACCATACACGCCACCACAGCCATCAAGAACAAGGCGGCACACCGGGGACACCGTAGTGTATGATCGAACTTGGTGCACATGGAATTGCTCCCAAAAGCGGGTGAAAGGATGGTCAACTAGCAGTGATAGCAACCTCAAAGATATCTCCTATCCGGCATCCTCATCCAGTCTCTTTCTTGCCATGACACTGATCCAAGTTTGTGTCACGCACCCGAGATGCAGGTCAACGATCTACAGCATGTGACCACCGATACGTTTCAGGCCATCAATCATTTTAGCATCATATTAACTACGTCTATTCAGATTGTCCACCTCCATTCTATTACTCGACAAGACTATCCACTTTCCTTATGATGGATTTGGCACACTGTGTGAAGCCGCTGTACACGGCCATACGCCCGGGTTCCTCGCCAAGCTCATGGATGCATGTCTACACCCTTCTTGCTTATGCGAGCTGAGCTACTAATCTAATCATCAAGTCTATGGCAATTTTGAACTGCATCATAGAGTGTTTCCTCACCCCTTTTCTTGAGATAGATGCTTAATTAGTAGCTTCTCTTCCACACATAACCTAGACTTATTGCAACCACTGTCTCTGCCTGGATCCAATTCAACTGGCTCACGAATAGGCATTGCCCTAGTACACAGACTGCGGTGGGAAAGCGAAAGCCAAATATTGAATGCCAGCCCCTGACTCTGCAGTACTCAGTCAAGAGAAGCGCAAATCTTGCCTCTTGGTCTGAAGTGCTAGTTTTATTGATCTGGGCAAACTCCTTGCGTAACTGTCACCTGTGCGCTTATTGTTCTTGAATCGGTGAAGGTGAAGGTATTGTTCTCAAGAAGCGGGTGATGAGGTTAACACACTCTTCCCCTCCCCGTGATAAGGAGCAACACCTCCTTGACACGTCGAACTTGATTTCGCTCAATATACAATTGAGTTCGATTAGCGCCTTCTGCCTATTGAACAGTTGTTTCTCCAGGCTTCCACGACGCCCCGCGATAGTTGTGGTCGTGTAGGGGGCTGACATAAGAAGGTGCCCGTCCAAAGCTCGGCCTCCCTCGAAATTCATCCTCCTAGCAACCTCCACTACCGACCCACGAACAACGGGCACGGCCTAGGGGCGCGTAGAATTCTCGGATAGCACGTGAAGTACAAGTGAATCAATTCCATTTCACTACAGCGCGCTAACCAATCTGCAGTTTCGCCATGCCGGCCCTCCGCAAGTCTGCCCGGGAGCGCGACTTTCGCTCGCAACAGCACAGGTCCAGCACCACGCCCTACGCCTCCCCTACCGGCACGCCAAGCGAACCAACCTACGAGAAGAAGCAACGATCAATCACCGAGTGGACTGAGCCACAACCTCAGACTTTGGCACCCTCATTTGAAGAGCACGGTTTTGCGCGGCACGGCGTGCTAGAGAACATGGCCCCCCTCGGCGTACCACCAAAAGCAAAGGACAAGCAGCGCGCGCGTGCTTTGGGCGAGCCGGCTCCCCGACATGCGTTCTTGGGCAAGGGCAATGCGCTCTTCGGGGACGAGGTTGGGTCGACGCCAGAGGTGACTCCGGCTCCTGAGCTCGAGCCTGATGATTCAGAGCGGCACGAGGAGGACGAGATGCAGGCTGACTTTCCGGTTCTTGAGGAAGAGGAGGATGATGACTACGAGCCAGCCAAGACGAAGAAGAAAGGGAGGCTGTCCAAAACTCCCATCAGGGGCAAGACACCTGTCTACGGCAAGTCGCCTGTTAAAAATGGCCACAGCAAGACGGTGTCAGTCTCCGCAAGCCCGGCAGTACAGGCAGCTCAGACACTGGAACCTGCAGACGCGGGCACACAGCGCTTGCTTATCGCGGTCAACGATGCCATCTCGAGAGCTAATAAGGATGGCCGACGCGGTGTCGGCGTAGCTTTGAAAGAGATATTCGAGCATAGCAGAACAAATACCTTTGTCGCGGCTGTTCTAGACTCTATCATGCATCGAAACTCAACGGATGAGCAGTGGGATGAATTTCGCATGCGCGTCAAGAGCATCCGCAAGCGAATAAGGAATGAGGCCAAACGACAGCGGGCACAAGAGGAGCGTTATGGCCGACGAAGTGCGGATAATCATGGAACAGCGCGCTTTTCTCAACAGCTTTCACCGAGGGCTAGCAGCGAAGTTGTGCCTGATGATTCGGTCTCCGCTGTACATGACACCGAGGATCACAAGCTCACTATTCCGAAAACCTCAACCACTATGGAAGCGGCAACGAAAGCCACGCATCGAGCGCTACATTCAGCTCTTGAAAAGGAAGTCGCGCAACCTTCGCCTCATCCCTTTAGTACAGCTCCGGCCCTTCCGGTAGCCGATACCTCAGCGGAGTCAACGCCGAGGAGGCCTTCGAAATCACCGCGAAAGCGTGCTACAGCAAATGGTCATCTTGTGCCAGACGCTGAAATGGATATCGATGGCGGCGCATCGACCACGGCACCAACTCCAGCAGCAAAGACACCCGATACAGGTGCAAGTGATTCCGAGCTTTCCGACGTCAACGAAGAGATCGTTCAAAAGGGTCCACCAGAGCCCGTACAGGCCAACGGCAAAAGTGTCACAGCTGTTTCTACTACAGGACCGAAAAAGGGGAAGAATCCTGCACATGCGCGCGCTGCGAAGAAAGCAAAGGGCAACATGGGAAAGCTGTTCGGCAAGCATGCCTACAAGCACCAGCCGCCAACCGCGGAGCAACAAGCGGAAGACGAGCGTATAGTAGAGGTGCGAAAGGCATTGGTAGAGCAGCAGCCGATGCGTCACTTCGAGCACATCCCTCCTCCAGTGTCCGACGTTCGCTTTGACGACGAGATCCTCGAAACTGAGTCTCTGACCGATTCCCAAATCGCGGTAGGACCGCCTGTTGGCTTTGATCAACCGCGACGTGCTGGCCGAATACCACACCACGGTACAAAGCGATTGCGAGAGGATCGTTCCCGGTTTTCCTCACCTCAGCTTGAGTCGGCTGCAGCGACGCGACCTTCAACGCCAGTAGTCGGTCCAGCTCCTAAGCGGCTCAAGCTCACCAACGGCCAGGCTGCTAGAACAAAGCGATCGTAAGTCTTCTTCATTACAAGTTTCCCTTTTCCTGCCACTGTTGGTAAGAGCGTTGGTTCACGGCAATACCCGTTTCAGTACGGGCTCGGCGGTCGACCGAGCACGCTCTACGTGTTAGAATCGTACATGTCCGTAAGTCTCATCAAATGGTCACAAGACTAACTGTTACATGCACAGGCCAGTCAAAAATCGAGACGGAGGACCTATTGCTGGTGTAGCATTTAATGGCGGTGGCGGTTCGAGACAGCTGGGGCCTGATGACAATGACCCTGTAAGTGCCACTCAAATTCCCGAAGCATCCAACCACACCATTCCTCTTCCACCACACAACCCATCAACAACACTCACTCTTTTTCATCCCCCAACACAAATGCTGCTCACAACAAATTTCACTCCAATCAAATTCCCCTTTTCACCTCCACTTTCAGTTCTTTCTTCCCCTCTAACAGAATGCCAGAACTCGCCACAATCAGAAAGCGACGATTTCTGCTCTGCTTGTAGAGGGCCGGGCGAGTTTGTTTGCTGCGAAGGCTGCCCACGCGTTTTTCATCTTCTCTGCTGCGATCCGCCTCGTACCGAAGTGCCTGACGGCGCATTTTATTGTTACGAATGCAATGCGAAGCTGGGTGCGTGCGATGAATCCGCTGCGGACTCTTACACAAGCCTTGGACCACTTTTCAAGTCGCTCGAGCGTACCAACCCTCGCGCGTTTGCATTGCCTCAAGAAGTTCAAACCATCTTTGAAGGCATCTCTGCACGAGCTGATGGTTCCTACTTTGAAGAGGTCAAGAAGTTCCCATTGTAAGTGTGACGCGTCCTCTCGCGCGAATTTTGACACTAACACGACAACAGAGCAAAAAACAGTGGTTATGGCTACCAGAAGCCAGACTACACCAGATTACTCGATGGCGACCACAAACCCATCTTGTGCACGCAGTGTGGTGTTTCGAGCGGCCACAAGCGTCAAATGCTCAAGTGCGACTTTTGTCACGCGTACTGGCACTTGGACTGCGTTGATCCGCCTCTCGCTAACCCGCCACAAATCAACCTTGAGGCATCTCAGCGAGACGCATGGAGGTGCCCGCGTCACATTGAACATGATCTTCGTAGTGTGATACAGAAAGATTTGAATGAGCCGGATCACGATGTTAAGATGGTCGACGCGGCGCCGGTCATCCGGGTTGCACGTAGACTTCGGATGCGCAGGGAACCCGAGGTCATCGAGCCAACCTTCTCGCGTGGCATGCGCAACAACGGCTTGATCGAAATAATGAACGATCCCGACGACGATACTGATGAGGAAGGCAACTACGTCTTCAGTCCTGATGACCCGAAGGATCTCAACTCCAAGATCTTCCGTGTTCCCGAAAAAGGCCTCATCCTTGACTTCGTCAGCAAGGTTAAGAGGTACGTGCATTCATCTTACCCTTATCATTCTAGTCACTAACGCATCGTCCAGTGGCCGTGTTATGAAGGAGTACGAGGCGCGAAGAGCCGCAGAGGCTGCAGCGCAACGCAAGGCGTCTATGCAAAACTTCTTTGCACATTCCGTTCAAACACAACAAGCGGCACTCAATCTCGCAATTGTAGCAAAGAAAGACTCAGACATCGCTTTGGGCGAGGGCAAGATCTCCGCGCTCATCCTCAGTCTCACTGTAAGACTTCTCCCTGTGCCCCACTTGCGTTGTTTCGATATTGGCGCTAATTCACGTGAAACAGTCCGAAGCTCCTCCGGATGTCATCACTGCCTTTGACAACGCTGCTGCTCCGCCGCTCACCGAGGACGAGCGCACGCATTTGTTGAAGCTTGAGGAGCTCATCCAGCGTCGTCTCAAGGCTTGAGCGTGATTCAACCGAATCCGAATTTAACTTTCAGCCTAGTCTTTGCGTACGCCACCCACACCCTTTGGCATGAGTCTGGACCATCATAATTCCCTCATGAGCTCAACAATTCACATCTCCCGACATGCGCTCCTGGACTTCGGCCCTGAAACTTTCGGCATCAAACTATGTGCCCAAAGTCCGGGGCTGGCTGAAAGGCCAAGCTCAGCTCTCGTCCAACTTCCCAAATCGAACAATAATTTGTTCGCTTCACAAACGTGCGGCACGGTCCTCGCCAACGCACACCTCCCCTAACCTCACCGAAAAGCTTTTCATCCATCTCTTCCAGCACTAGATACATCTCTGTATTGTTGGCGGACTTTTGTACACGACTGGCCAGATTCGGCGGTCAAACGCTCGGCTTTGTCCGAGCTTTTTCATACGTCTGCAAGTCTACTACAGCTCTTGCTTTTATCAAGCAGAGCTTTCCGCTGTACCAAACTGCATAGCGAGGAGTTCTACATTAGCATTTTGTACATTCTTAGCTCTCGGTGTGGAGCTTCTCATCTGGCGTTTCTGCTCTAATGAGCATGAAGGGGGCTTCGAATCTTCAACCTCCGAGCACAAAGAGTCTCTGTAATTTGACCGCGCAGCACTATTCTGGCTGTCTTTTCCTATTTTGCGAAGCTTGCATATCACTTTCTTGAGGGGATATTTACTGGCTATTTTAGCAGGGGTATGTAAGTTTAGCAAGCTACAAATGGGACAATAGTGTATCTGATAGTGTTGATGTTTGTCCTTGATTCGCGTGGTGACAAGCAGATTCCCCGTTTAGGTGACGATAGTATTCCTGCGGACAGTGAGGCTATCAATCGTAAGCTGGGAGCCTTGGGCCGACCGTGCTCCACACCGGTCTGACACGTTGCACACGTCATTCCATAACAAGGCAAGGGGTACGTAGACAAACTGCCTTAGCAAGATGCACTTCTAAGGTATCGACGGACCAAGATCTGCACACATTGAACATATGATTGGATAGGATTCGTCTATTGGGGGTGCATTGTGCGACATGAGAAACCTTCGTTGGCAAAGCAAAAGCCTGTCCGATACAGACCGTGTCACGCAAATGCGCCTATCTATATCCGAATCTGCTCGCGGAGTCGCAGAAAGGGAGAAGTGGAAGGAAGTGAAGTTTGAAACACCTGCTCAGGGCTTGCAGCGGCCAAAGTAGCGTGGGTACAGGCAGCAGTCACGTACGGTGTGTTGCTTGCAGAGCCAGGCGAGGAAGCGCTCCAGACCGAGGCCGTAGCCGCCGTGAGGAGACGAGCCGTACCTGTCATATCGTGTTAGCACGTTGAGAACCAGGATTTTGCTGTTAGAACGGGAATACTGACTTTCGTTGATCAGTGTACCAAAAGTATGCACTTGGGTCGATGCCTTCTCTCGCGAATGCACCCATCAACTCATCAAAGTTGTCCATCCTCATACTTCCTCCCACAATCTCTCCAACACCCGGCATCAAGCAGTCCACGCTCTCCGTCACCCTCGGATCGTCCTTGTCTTTCAGCATGTAGAAGGCCTTGATCGCAGTGGGGAAGTGTGTCAAGAAGATGGGCCGGTTGATGATATCCGTCATCCTGCGCTCCGCAGCTTCAGCAATATCGTCGCCAAACTTGTGCGGCTCGCCATCTTCGTTGGGAATGTTGTGCTCGACGAGCCAGTCAATGGCATCTTGGTACTTCATGCGCTTGAATGGGCGCTCTGGCACCTGGAATTCAGGGTTGAGGTCCATGATGTACTGCTTGACGATGGGGTCAGACATGGTGACTTCAAGGACGCGGCACATGACTTCTTCAAGATGCGTGAGTAGGTCGTCGAAGTTGATGTAGTCGAGTTCGGCTTCAACGTGCGTGTACTCAGCCAAATGGCGGCGGGTTAGAGACTTTTCCGCACGGAAGGATTTCTCGATACAGTATACGTCGCCCAGGGATGGTAGGCATGTCTCAAGGTAGAGCTGGGATGATTGCGTGAGGTAGGCTTCCTCGTTGTAGTAGCCGAATTTGAAGAGCGTGGCACCACCTTCGACCTGCGTCTGTACGAGCGCTGGTGGGCTGACCTTGCGTAGTCGGAGTTCTTTGTAGACTTGGTTGAAAGCAAATTCGACGGCGTCGCGGACGATCATGACCTTGGACGCTGTCTCTCCTCGCAGAGTAAGATGTCGCAAGTCCAGCAATGTCGCGTGCTCAGTGTCCTTGGACACCCTGTTAGTGATGGCGTCGTCGCCACCAGCCGCCTTCCACCCATCGTGAATCTTGTAGTAGTCTGCATGGAGTTCGCGGTCGTTGGGAGCATGCGCGCCAGCTGGAATCTGCCTCAGCTCTCCGAGAATCTCCATGCTCGTCTCGCGCGTCAATGTGAGGGCATCGTATGTCTTCGCAAGGTTGCCGGTCAAGATGACCTGCATATAGCCATAGCCGTCTCTTAACGTCACAAACATGACATCTTTCTGTCTTCGCTCACGATGTACCCTTCCAAACACCCTCACTCGTGTGCCCTTGACGTCCTTGCCATCGCCCAGTGTGATCTTCTTCGCATCCGTGTCATCGAGCTTGATTTTGGTCGCCTGCGGCAGGCTTGTATCTTCCTCAAGCACAATCGTCTTGGCCTCGTCCAGGACTTTGTTGCGGGCAGCCTCCTCTTTCGTGCGCATCGCAAGCTGTTCTTGCTCCTTCTCCGCCTTCTTCTTTTGTGTCTTCGCATAGTTGACCGCCTTCTTCAAGCCGGCTTTCGCAACGGGCTTCCACTCTAACCTTGCTGTCGCATCTGCACCTTCGGCAAGCTCGCCAGTGACACTTTTTCGAGTGAGGAATTTGGCAGACTCGCCGCGGGTGAGGACAGCGTATCCGAGCGACTTGTAAGGTAAGTCTTCCTGGCCGGTTTGTTCTGCAGTATCGTGACCGACATCTTCGTCGATGTAGTAGGTAGGTTCCGCCATGGCGACTGCAATTGGAGCGCAAAGGTGTGGTGGAGTGTGTCTGTTTGCCTGTCCCCGAAATTATACTAAAGTGGGCGCGGGGTGAGTCAAGACCCCTCTACCCCCGAATCAGTGGCCGTGCACGCGCATATGAAGCACTTCAAGTATCGATAAGACTTGTAATAATAACTTCCCTTATCTGTCGGTGAACAGTTATTCTAGTCTGATCGTGACATGGCACAAGCTCTGGTTCAGCAAAATCCTGTCTACAATGCCGTTTCGTTGCTATGAGCGTAGAGTAGCATAATCGTAATACGCAGATTCATCTACTCGTTGACTCTCAATCGGATGCCTTGACGTGCACCATAAATATGGACTAAAGATGCCGGATGCATGCAATTGACCCATGTGTGATTGTCAGGGGCTCTTTGTAGGAGAACGAGCCTGCGCATGAGCTTACCCAGCGAGATGATAGTTGAGGTTGATCTAGTTCCGCGCTGACAAACGAAACGACGACGTTCCGCGGCTCGATTGTACAAGTCTGCTTCCAAACACATAGCAGTGTCGTTCGAAGTTCTTCAAGTTTGCTATACCGAACCAGCTCTCCCTTGATTCAAAAAAAAATGGCAGATCCATCTCTCTACACATATCCTTCACCTCTCGAAGGCTATCAAGGCCTCGAGCCGCTACCGAAGTAAGTCTTGCATCCTTGGCTGCATGAAATTTCTACCCATGAACATACAAAAGGTTCATATCTGTCCTAACCATGAATTCAGTGAGAAAGCCTCAGATGGAAAATCTTTTGTCAATCCACCTGCCGAGAAGAAGAGTGAAGCATACAATTCCTTCGTAGCTCCAATATCAAACGGAATCCGCGGAGGATTTGAGTGAGTTATCCGTCAAGAGCCTCACACCAGTAACTAAGTTCGTTTAGCGTACATATATACTTCCTCCAGGTAGATGCTGAAGAGGTCAAGTTCGCTGCCGAGCTATGGGAGCGCATACGGCGAGAATGTATGTATGTCCCTACCAAATACCTATGCTCTAGCTTAGTATTGTCTAGTTCCCGAACTACGCATCTACAAAGTTTGGGATAGGCCCATTGGCCCTCATCCTCTTGCCATGTTCGAGGTCAACCTCTTCACGCCAGGTGAGTCTAACCCAAGCAAGCGCCTAACTATCCTGACCGTTAGTAGAACAATTTGGCGCTTTCATTCCCTGGCTTGTTGTAAACAGGGGGCCATTATCAGCATTGATTCATCCCAACACGGATGACGAGGGCAGAGATCACACCCAGAGGGCGACTTGGATGGGTCAGCCACTGCCTTTGAATCTGAAACTGTTCAAGCAGAGTCGCGCATAAACAACCAGTAATAAACGCAAAGGAGAAAGACCAAGACATGCAATGCAGTGACAGTCAAATGTGAAGAATTTGAATATATTATATCGCTTGGGTATAATTGCCCGATAGGGCCATTCCAGCGCCGCACAATATTCCGGAATGATATAGTCTTCCTACAGAGCGCCCGTTTTAGCAGCTCTGAGTCCTACACCTAGGTCCGTCTCTTTCAGGCTCGTGCGTAGCTCTGGACCAGAGTTCACGCTCCCAATGTGGCCAGTAATGTTCACAAGTTGGCGCAGAGTTTCTACTCATTCGTAACTTCTGAATGCACTCATACTTTCGCCTCCCCACCCTTCTTCTTCTTCCTGACCTTCTTGGCCTTTTTCTTATCCCGCTTCTTCAAGCCCGACATTCCCGCCTTACACGCCTCAGCGTACCGCGCGTAAAAGACATCTAATTCATCTGGCTTTACAATTGTGCTCAGCTTGACTTTCTCAACATCTTTCCTGTCTGTGCCCGGTCGCTTGTCGCTCTTGTTGTTTGATACGCGGATCAAAATGGGTAATGGCTGCTCAGGATGTGTGTCCCAGAGTGGATCATCGGCGAGTTTGGTAGGTGTTGGCGGTGTAGAGGACGATTCAAACGTCAAGCGTTTTTGGGTGAGGTAGACACTGCCGTGGCCTTTTGTGCGGGTGTGCTCGAAGAGGTTGTTTAGCTGAGCGAAGAACTGCACGCAGTTAGTGTGCTGTTGTCAATGTCGAGTAGTTGGCATACCTCGTCATTGCTCAAGTGATCTCGACCCATTATGTGTTGCGTGCTATGACATTTGCGCCATACGTGAGCTTGCTGAGCGAATTGGTGGGATGTTCGCAGTCGTTAGTGCGGAGCGGAGAGGCGGGGAAATGTCACCAAAACCTCCGACTCTCTCAACTTTTTTGCGCCAACTTATCACTTTGCTTCGACAATATGCGCCAAGCTTACGGAGGGCCCAAATTGCCCGTAGAGCTACGGAATCAGTTTGGAGGTGTGTAGCGCGGCACTTTTCGATATTTTCAGGGCACTGACTGAGGTAGATCCCGCGAATAGCAATAAGAAGAGCGGTGCGCGTAATGGGCAATTAAACCGTAAAGACAAGCGCAAGGCCGACCGGGTGGAGAAGAAGCGCCAGAACAAACAAATAAGGAAGCCACATCCACTATCAATTCAATCTCAAAGCAACAGGCGCCATGCTCCTGTTCAGCCCGAGTCAGAGGACGAGGAGGAGGTCGAGGTAGATTGGGACAACATCGAGGAGGACTCAACTCCGCCGCCAGTGACCAAGAAGGACCCACCAAAAAGTATCTTGAAGAAGATGTTACCGCCAAACGAAGAGAACTCGCCGCCGCCGCCTGCCAAAGTATCGCGTGCTGTGAAAGACAAGCTTGCGCAAGATGATGCGGAAATTGCTGCGCTAGAGAAGAGGCTCGGCGTGAAGGGTAAAAAGAAATCAAAGGCCCAAAATGATGGGGGGCTAGATGATATCTTTGGCGACCTTGGCGACTTCAGCGACGAAGACGGGCTAGACAATCAGCCTTCGAAAAGGAAGAGGGATGAGGATAATGACTGGCTTGCGAGTAAGAGGCGCAAAGCCCTCGGCAACACCCAAGAATCGAGTGAAGAGGACACCGAGTTGGAAGGCTTCGACTCCGAAGACCTAGAGAGTGACGACCAGAGCCTGGACGAGGCAGACTTCGACGAGGCCGACGACCTGGAGGGCCAAAACGATGGATCTGACCTTGAAGACTTCAATTCTGAAGGAGACGGAGAGAGCGAAGATGAGGTAGAACCTACGCAAACTCGGACACGTGAAAACCCATATGTTGCGCCGGTAGCTCCTGGGTCTACACAGCCGACGAAATATATCCCGCCAGCTCTACGAGCGCCACCTTCCTCAGACGCCGAAGCCTTATCGCGCCTCAAAAGACAGATTCAGGGCCTCTTCAATCGACTTTCGGAGGCTAATATCTTGACAATCTTGCGCGACATCGAAACGATTTATCAAAATAATCCTCGAGGTTATGTCACCACCACTCTTGTTGATCTGCTCATTGGAATGCTCTCAGATCCCTCGGCTCTTCTGGACACCTTTTTAAATCTACATGCCGGATTCATTGCTGCCATATACAAAGTCATCGGGCCCGATTTTGGCGCACAGATGGTGGAGCGTATCGTCTCAGAGATCGATCAGCATTATCAGACGAACAAGGAGGGTGCTGGAAAGCAAACTACCAACCTGATATCCGCAGTAGCGGAGCTGTACACATTTCAAGTTATCGGTAGCAATATCGTTTTCGATTACATTCGGTTCTTCCTTGATGAGCTCACAGAGATCAACACCGAACTTCTCCTGAGGATAGTCCGCGCAGCTGGCCCACAACTTCGACAGGATGACCCTACAGCATTGAAGGATATCGTCATCCTACTGCAAAAGTCTGTGGCTAAGATTGGTCAGGACAACTTACCAGTTCGGACGAAGTTCATGATCGAGACCATCAATGACCTCAAGAACAATAAAATGAAGACTGGTATAGCCGCCTCGGCTATATCTAGAGAGCACACAACACGAATGAAGAAGCAACTGGGCACGCTGAACACGCGAAATCTCAAGGCGACCGAGCCACTACGGGTGGGTCTAAGCGATATAAGAGATACGGAGAAAAAAGGCAAATGGTGGTTAGTGGGCGCGAGTTGGCGAAACGAGCCCGGCACCGAAGCCTCCGTCGAAGAGAGCAAAGGGACAAGCCGCAAGAAGATCGATACCGATGTCGAGGAAGACGATAGCGAAGTCGATCTTGTTCAGCTTGCTCGGGAGCACCGCATGAACACCGACATTCGTCGAGCCATCTTCATCTCCATCATGTCCGCCACTGATTTCAAAGACGCCCAAATACGACTCAGCAAGCTCAACCTAAAGAAATCACAAGAAACCGAGATTCCCAGGGTCATCGTCCATTGTGCGGGTGCCGAGAAGACATATAACCCGTACTACACTGTTCTCGCACGGAAGACTTGCTCCGACCACAAAGCTCGAAAAAGCTACCAGTTTGCGCTCTGGGATTTATTCAAGAGCCTGGGTGAGAGACAAGATGGAGCTGAAGATTCAGATGGTGATGAAGAGAGCAAGGGCAATGATGTGTCCTTGAGAAAACTTGTCAATCAAGGCAAGCTCTATGGGACGTTGATAGCCAAGAAAGCTCTGCCCATTACCAGCCTCAAGAACCTCAACTTCCCATACCTACAGCCTAAAACCAAGACCTTTGTAGAGGTCCTCCTCGTAACAACGATTCTGGAGTCGTTGAAGGCATCCAGGACGAAGGATAAGCGAGATGAACGGGCAGTACGGGAGGTTTTTGTCGAGGTAGATTCAGCCCCCGAGATGATCGCTGGGTTGCAATTCTTCTTGAAAAAGACAGTGAGCAAAAGCGATATCGTTGAGGGCGCCGAAAAGGAGACTGTTCGATGGGCTTGCAAGTCAATCATAGACATGTTGAACCGCGTATTGGCAACGACGACGATGCAAGAAGATTGAGAGACACAAGGGGTCTAAGAAGCTTTGCGCCCGGTATTGGATTACATGCATGGGGTGCCGAGGGCCTTCATGCCTTGCCGTACACCGAGGCTAATACTATTGTATGTAATAGAAATGCCACCACCAGAATCTTCTTCTGCCTAGTACAAATAAAAACGAGAGAAAAAATCGGGTGACTGTTCCTATCTCGCCCCTGGGCTATTTGACATGTTGGATGGCAACTTGGTAAGCTTAGCGCCACTCTTAACCCTACGGAAGCCGCATGGACCAAGCAGCCGAGCTCTCCGCAAAAAGCTCAACAGCCATCTCCCGTCCCACCACCCATCCATTGACGCTTGTCATCCCAGCCGTACACTTGACGGCTTCTCTTGGTTTCGATTTCGTCTCAGTCCTCCATCATGTTTCGGTCACTGGCTCCCCGCGCCGTTCACAGGGCGACGCGGCCCGTCTCTCAAAGCACCTTCTGCGCATCCAACATCTACTTCCAGAGCCGGTTACGACGAGGTTATGCGTCAGAAGCGGGTAAGTCGCATCGGCGTAGAGTTTCAAGAGCGAACTTGCGCTAACTGCAAGACAGAGGAGAAGGACTTGGTCATCATCGGCGGCGGCGTTGCGGGCTATGTCGCAGCGATCAAAGCTGGGCAGGCCGGCTTGAAGGTCAGCTAAACAAGGTGGCACGTCGTATCGAACGAACGGAAACTGATGCAGAAAACAGGTCTCATGTATCGAGAAGCGTGGCACTCTCGGTGGAACTTGCCTAAACGTTGGCTGCATCCCCTCGAAATCGCTCCTTAACAACTCACACCTCTACCACACGGTCCTCCACGACACCAAGGGCCGTGGTATCGATGTTGGCGAGGTCAAGCTCAACCTGGCCGCCATGATGAAGGCCAAGGATACCTCTGTAGCTGGTCTGACAAAGGGCATCGAGTTCTTGTTGAAGAAGAACAACGTCGAGTACATCAAGGGCACCGGCGCCTTCCAGGACGAGCACACTGTTGCCGTCAACCTTGTCGAGGGTGGTGAGACGACGGTCCGCGCCAAGAACATCCTCATTGCCACTGGTTCCGAGGCTACACCTTTCCCCGGCTTGACGATTGATGAACAGAAAGTTATCACAAGCACTGGCGCTATCGCGTTGCAGGAGGTGCCGAAGAAGATGACCGTCATTGGTGGTGGTATCATTGGGCTCGAGATGGTACGTTGGTCTTGTAAATCAATGCGGGCTCCTCTAATTTGGAATAGGCTTCCGTTTGGTCGCGTCTCGGCTCCGAAGTCACTGTTGTTGAGTTTTTGGGTCAAATCGGTGGCCCTGGCATGGATAACGAAATCGCAAAGGCTTCCCAGAAGCTGCTCGCAAAGCAAGGCCTGAAGTTCAAGCTCAACACCAAGGTCACTGCTGGCGAGGTCCACGACGCTGGTGTGAAGGTCAGCGTTGAAGCCGCAAAAGGCGGGAAGGAAGAGACTGTAAGTTGCCACAGGAAACAGTCGTGACGTAGTATTAACAAGTATAGCTTGATGCCGACGTTGTTCTCGTCGCTATCGGTCGCCGTCCGTACACCTCTGGCCTGGGTCTCGACAACATCAGTCTTGAGACCGACGACAGAGGCCGCTTGATCATCGACCAGGAATATCGCACCAAGATCCCCCACATCCGCGCAATCGGAGACTGCACATTTGGACCTATGCTTGCCCATAAGGCCGAGGAGGAGGCCGTCGCTGCCATCGAGTACATTACCAAGGGCCACGGCCACGTCAATTACGGTGCCATTCCCTCCGTCATGTATACCCACCCTGAAGTTGCTTGGGTCGGACAGAATGAGCAGGAGCTCAAGGCTGCGGGCGTCAAGTACAAGACTGGAACATTCCCCTTCTCCGCCAATTCAAGAGCCAAGACTAACCTCGACACCGACGGTATGGTGAAATTCCTGTCAGATGCCCAGACGGATCGGATATTGGGCATTCATATCATCGGTCCCAACGCTGGTGAGATGATTGCTGAGGGCACCCTTGCTCTTGAATACGGTGCAAGCTCAGAGGGTAAGTTGATCATTTCATTTTCTCCAAGTAGGAAAGCTGACGATAATTTAGATGTTGCACGAACATGTCACGCCCATCCTACGCTCGCTGAGGCGTTCAAGGAGGCTGCCATGGCTACCTACGACAAGGCTGTCCACTACTAGATTCCGTTTTCTTGGTTTAGGCTTTTCCTTTTGCATCAGCGGCATGATCTTCGAGCTCTCGAACGAGCGGGGAGTTTGTGAATAGTATTCTGTAAAATATATCTGATGCCTCATGCTCGTCGAATAAATGGTTGGATGCTGATCAAGTACTATTTTCCCACCTGATCCAATGTGAATTTCCCCACTGGTCTGAAGCTGGTAGGGCTGACACCCTTGTCTAGCGTCCTTTAGTCGCGTGCACGTTTACGCGCAACGCGTACCGCGATCTTCAATTCCCGGACTTTCGTCTAGACACCTCCCACACAACTCATGATGAGCATCAGTGAAATGGAACAGCGCTGCAATGTGCTACGACAGGATCTGAAAGTATGGGAGAAGCACTTCGCCGCCGCGAATCATGGTCAGAAGGCTGGGCGCGACGACATCAAGGCGGATGCTGAGATCTGTATGCACACGACATGTCGGAATTTCTCAAAGCCCTAGCTAACAACACCCAGCACAAAAGTACAAAGAGTACAACAAGCTCCGAGCTCGCCTCTCAACCACACCAGCACCACAGACCCCCTCGAAACGAGCGGCAAGCCGCAAACCAACTCTCGACGTTGAGCGCACACCGAAAGGACCACCCAAGGCGCTCACGTCTACGCCGATGAAGAGGAAGAGAGGAGAGGAAGTCTTGTCAGAGAACGCAGATCAGGCGGCCGAGATTCTCTCCCCACAAGGACCTACTGTGATCGGACCTACCCCACAACGCGATGGCATAGTCCTGGGCTTATTCGATCTTCTTCCCGTGGGGACGCCGAGCAAGAAGAGAGCCATACTGGGAGACGTAGAACCTAATGTCCTTCAGACACCGAGTCGGAGGCCTCAAGAGGCGGCAAGCGAGACATCACTGGAGTCTAGGGCAAGGGGAGAGAGAACACCGCTGTCATCTGGGAAGCGCTTTCTTCTGAATCAATTCGTCACACCGAAGAAGAGGAAACTAGAGGAGGAGGGTACTCCAACGTCTACATTACGAGGGCTCGCAACACCTGCGTTCTTACGGAGAAACAATGCCCTCAGTGCGATTGACGAAGCAGACGAGACTACGCCACGTCCCGCACCATGGAAACGGCGCGGTCTAGGAAGGAGCTTGAGTGCTATGATACAGGCTATGAAGAAAGACGAGGACGACCGACTAGACGAAGAGGCAGATATCATGAGGGAATTGGAGATGGAAGAGGAGGGCATACCGGTGCCGAAAAAGCCTAGGCTCCCTGAGATCCTAGTTGAGGACAGTCAGGCAATGCCTTTGGGTCCTGATCGAGGTCTCGAGTCTGACGAGGACAGCGAGGACGAGCCAGAGCTTGGTCGCGATGGCAAGCCGATGAAGGTGTGGAAGAAGAAGGGCTTGAAGAGGCAGACGAGGCGTATTATTAGTAGGTTTCGTATCCCTTCAGAAAGTCATTTTGCTAACTCTGTTCTAGTGCGGCCCAACTTCGTTAAACCCAAGCCTCAACCAGCACTACAAGGAGGTCCGGACGATTCGGATAATGTTGAAGAGACTGGAGTGCCAGAAACCCAAGCACAAGCAGATAGTGCAACAGGCGAACACGTCTCGGACAACGACGAATCCGACTACGCAAGTGACGCCTCCCACACACCGAAGAAGCGCAAGACGCTATCGAAGAAGCCAGAGGACCCAAAGGAAGGCGTAGTTAAGACAGCTGCGCGGAAGATCAAAGCTACGGCGAATGCGAACTTTCGACGACTCAAAATCAAGGGTAAAGGGGGCACCGGCGGAAAGGGGAAGTTTAGTAAGAGGAGGTAGCTTCAAGAGTGGCAGTGGCAAGGCAGCATTCTGTATATTGCCCAAATCCTTGCACCGGTCAAGGAGGACCAGAGTTGTGTGTCCCTCAATCTTGTACATAGTTAGGACAGGAGCTGTTCCTGGCTAGCCGTAGGCTTCAGCGTAGCACTGCTTACGCGGAGTGGCAGGCTACACACCCAATCGGGTTATACAAAGCAACACGGTGTATAGTCGGGTTGCAGATCAGCCATAATATGGCAACCCTGTAGTATTTGAGGGCCAAAGAGCAATACAATCGCCAATGACATGTTCTGGGGCTTTGAGACACTGTGACCTGTCAGGTCATCTGAGCCAATGATGCCCGGCCTGTTTATCAGTATGAGTGGCCTCTATGTGCATTATATGATGCCTGTATCTTTCTGAAAGGGATGCAACAAGTTTCTTGACTGCGAGAAGATGGTATACGTACGACATCGAACGTTTGAGGGTTATGAGATGCCGTGGCGGTCGGAGAGGGCATGGACGCCAAGCCCAGTAGCAGCTCCGCCGTCGATTGCCTCCGGCGCACGTCAAGCTCCGACTAAGCTTCCGCTCGCCGCAACAAACACGACAACGACGGCATCTACAGCTTCTTACTCAACACCACAAACTAGCCCATCCTGCCAAGCCGACTATACGACTACCGAAGCACCGCATAGAATGGCCGAAAAAGAGCTCCAAACGGCGCTCCAGCAGCTCCGCCAGACGCTCCAATCCCACAACTACCAACAATCGACCTCATTACTTTCCAAAGCAAAGATCGCCCTCCTCAACCTCAACGCCCTCATCCCACAAGAGAAGTCGCCGCGAAAGCACCTCCAGCTCGCCCGCGAAACCCTCGAGCTTGGCGCCATCATCTCCATTCGCCTCAAAGACACCGTCTCCTTCACCCGCTACTTCCAGCAACTACAGCCCTTCTACTCTCTCCCTGAGTCCGTCTTACCAAAAGACGGCAGCCACGCTAGTAAAGTCACCGGTCTCTATCTGCTGCTCCTGTTGAGCGACGGCGACTATGCGGGGTTCCACACGCTGCTCGAGACGCTCGAGGTAGCGGCTGCGCAGGCGGGGATAAAACTCGAGGACGACCAGTGCATTCAGTATCCGATAAGATTGGAGCAAGCGCTTATGGAGGGCAGCTATGACAAGGTGTGGGGCGAGACTAAGCGGGAGAAGGTGCCGAGTGAGGAGTTTGGCCTGTTTTCCGAGGTGCGTCACTATACCTTTCCACTACACCTATCTTCTTCTCCATACGCATTACGTATCTGTGCTAACGCTTTACTAGATTCTCATCGGCACTATCCGCAAAGAAATAGCCTCGTGCAGCGAGCGCGCTTACCCCTCTATCCCCATCTCGGACGCCAAATCTCTCCTCTTCCTCGACTCGGAAGGCAGCGTCGTCAACTTCGCCAAGGAGTCTGGCTGGGTGGTTCGCGACGGCAGGATATACTTCCCGCAGCAGGAGGATGACTACCTGAGCAAAGATATTCTGGTCACAAGCGACCAGGTGATTGAGAATACGCTGGGGTACGCGCGGGAGTTGGAGACGATTGTTTGAGAGGGGCATGTTCGTCAGGGGTTGTGGGAAACGGGAGAAGAGAAAGTGCAGATCACTGTACGATATATGCATTGAGCCCAGAAGCGAACGGTCGACTGGAAGCGTTGGCTGCAGCCTAGCATACATTATAGACTCATGCACGATGTTTAGGAGCATCAATGATATAGGGAAGTAACGATTATGAATTCCTCGAGTCCACTCTCTATCGTTCTTTCTATATTATAACTTAACGGGCTGTTCAAGAGTTGTCTTTCCGTGTCTTTTATATTCTCCATCTTTCCATCTTTGGTGGAGAAGATACGACGGCTTGAAGTCACATATCATTGTTGAAAGAAGATTCACGTTGAGGTAAGGTGTCTTGACTCAAAAAGGATATACAAGTAGGTTAAAAAGGTTCAAAGACCACTACTGACGGGGCTAGGAAACAGCTTCCGGCCATTACCCTACCAAAATTCTCCGGAAAAGCCAAAAGCGATCACGTAAGAATTAAAAGCAAGTACAGAACGAAGACATAGGAAAGGACGAGCTACAACGAAAAAAAAAGTCAAAACGCCCGCTGTCGTACGATTTGGTATATCCCTAACGAATTCAAGCGAAAGAAGAGTGACGTTGAACAAAGCAACGAGACAAAAGAGAATCCATCATGCGCATGCGATAAAACGTAAACGATTGCGTCGTAACAGGAACAAAATGCCGAATTGGGGGTATTTCGAGGAAGTCGAGCAGCGTGCTCGGATGGGTATCATCGAAAGCGATAACAGGAGCCCTCTCCATCGGCGGAACAAAAAGCGAAGCAGAACAAAAGGTCATACGGTACTGAACCAAAATCATTGTATAGCGTTGCATCTGAATGAATAAGATTCGTGATATATTTCGTGGTCGTAACGTCGTGTGCGCATTTGGCGGAGTCGGAACGAGGGATATGGGTTGTGTCGAAGTGGTAGAAGGTGATGGATGTGATGTGACTGGTTGGTACCTATATATGGGTAGTTGGCATACGTCTAAGAGCGGTTCTCAACCGCTTGCTGTTCACCAGTAGCAACAGCAACAAGCGCTTCCAGCCGTCTCATATCGTTTGCGCCTGGTTGAGGCAAAGGCTGACCGAAGGTGACTGGTCCTCTTTCCGGCTCGCGCTGCGGACGGTAGCTTGAGTTTGACAGGCTATGGCTGTGGTACGGCTGGTATTGCTGCGAGTGCAACGGATGAGGTCTGTCCATTATGGACGCCGCAGGGCCAGTTTTGTACTCTTCTAGAGGAGCCCCGGGGGCGATGGCCTCGACGTGGCCGTTACTATGCATGATTGCAGGATGATATTCAGCCATAGTTCCAGGCGTTGGGACGCCCTCACTACTGCTTGAGTCCTCGGGAGACGTGCGCTGCAGGGCTTGTTGCGATTGGGCGAGAGGGCCATTGTACCAAGCTTGTCGTTTGTTCTTCCGAGGCGTTACGGGCTGCTCTTGTGAGGTTCTGGGTGATGACGCCGCCTGAGGAATTTGTATTGGTTGAGGAACATTCGGAGATTGGCGCTGACTAAAGTAGCCGTGTGGTGCAGTCGTGGGCCGTCCAGTGCTCGCTTGTCCAGAGTTGCCGGAATAGCGGCCCCACTGCTCTCGCGGAGGATTATGGCTGGCAATTTTCAGGCGGTCAATGTCCCAAGAAATACTCGTGCGTTTCTCGTGACCTCTACTCGGCGTATGGTCAATTGGTGCGTGATAGGTGAGAGGACGGGCTGGAGCGTCGACTTGCATGGGGCTTGGCTGGCGGCGAGGGAGGGACGGTGGAGGAGGCGCATAGTCGAAGCTTTCGATGCCAGGAAGTCTTGTGGCCTGCGAGGCGGCAGGCTGTGAGGTATACGACGGGCGTGGGGCATCGGGCGTCTGATGGTAGCCAAGACCACTGGTGGCTGGTCGAGGGCCTGTATACGTTCCTGGATGCCATGTACGTCTCCGCCAATCTGCATCTGCGTTGGACTCTCTTCTCGATTCTGGGAAATGGGATCCTGTGGGACTAGCATATATGCTGCTTTGACCCGAGAAGGTCGAGGCGGTAGAGGATTGTAGAGGCGTCATGTAGGCAGGGGGGCCTTGTCCTGGTGGCCCCGAGAATGGATTACTGGTGGAGGAAATGGACATGCGACGTCCTGGGGGTGGTGGCCCAGCCCAAGACACGGGCCTGGATGACGATACGGGAGACTGCATAGCGGACCCAAACCGGGCTGGGCTGCCTGTGGTGGTGGAGAAGGTAGCGGAAATGGGAGTGGTGGGTGCGTTAGACTGCGTGTCGTAGTCGACGATTTGTGGCCCAGGGCTGCCCATCAGCGGCGGGTTGTAGGCATCCATGGTGTTGAGCGATAAGCGCGCCCTTGCACTTGGACCGCCGTCGCTCGCTATGGCAAGGGGTGGGGGCCGTCGGCGTATATCTGGAGACTGGGCTACGCTCATACTCGAGATGGTGGAGGTTATGCTGGATGCCGACAGGTTCCTGCTATGGCCCCTACTGTGTCCTGACGTGCTGCCCAGTGTGTTGGCCCTGGAGCGGTTCCCTGGTGGTCGTACGCGATCGGTCCGTATCTGCCTCTGAAACCTGGTGCCAGTAGCAGCCAGCGATTCAGCCGGAATGTCCTCGTTGACGTGAACGGTCTGCGCATGTTGTCGAAGGTTGTCGAGGCGGGAGAACCGTCGAGAGCAGTGGCACTGAAAAGGCCGCTCGCCGGTGTGCTTACGGATATGCCTCGCTAGATGCTCGCTTCTCGTGAAGCTTAGGTTACAGGGCGGAAACTCGGTACAGAAGAAGCGTTGGCCCTTTTTCTTCTTCGAGGGTCTGTTTGTATCGCTCGTCACGCTCTCGTTGTCGGAGCCATCCTTGTCGTCCTCGTCGCCGTCACCCATTTGCACGTCTTGCTGCGAGGCGCTCGACTGTGTGGAGCGATGCGAGTTCTCCCTGCTCAGATCGCTTTTGTTCGACGGGGTTTCACTCAGTTCCCGGGAGGACGTAAAGGGCGACGAAGGCAGTGGTCGTTGACCCGCCATACCGGCGAAGCTATTGCGCGTGGGCGTCTTTGCCGAGGGGTCTTCAGCGCGAACCTCGTCGACGGGCTTTGGGTCTGTGAAGAACCTGCTGTTGGGTCGAGGCGTGGTGGGCGTCGTCTCGTCGCCAGCACGTCCTAGTGGCGGGTCTGGGACCGACAGCGTCGTGTTGACTGCCTGGAAGGTAGACATGTTGGCAGAGAGTCTACTGGGCAGGACAGGCTCACCAGGCCGAGTGAGGCGGCGGCGGTAGTAGGTGTTTGGTTAATGGGGGCACAGGAAGACGGGCGCACTCTGAATGATACTGGGGGTGGCTGCTTCCTTGACGCGGGTGTAAGAAGGCTGAAACCGATATGATGACGAATAGCACGCGGCGTTGCAACAACATCCGGACGCAGCACCCCAACGAGGGAACAGCCACAAGGAATGGTGGACCAAGTGAGGAGACCAAGAGTTGGATGTCGAAGTCGTGTCGTCGTCGCCGTCGTCTCAACCCAGACCAGCCGCGGTGGTTGACGAGCGACGGAGGCTCGGACTTGGGGATGGTGGAGGGATGATGATGATGATGGATTGCTATTGATAAGGCAAGGCGCGGCGCGGGCGTGTGTGTGCCTCAGGTGGCGGGGGGGAGGTTAAGCAGCGCCCCTCCTTTCTCTTCTCTTCTCTTCTCTGCCTCTGCTACTGGTTAAGAGAGAGAGAGAGAGAGAGAGAGAGTGTGTGTGTGTGTGTGTGTGTGTCTGTCTTTGTGAGAGATATAGAGTGAGAGAGTGATGATGCGGCTCTGGAGATGCAGCTAGACGGTGCAAGGAATGGCCAGACCAGAGAACAGAACAGGACAGGAAGTCAAGTCAAGTCAAGTCAAGTCAGGTCAAGCCAAAGTCACGAATGCGAGGAGGGGTTGGTCAAGGGCACTTGCGGCATGTTTAGCGGCCTTTGTCGTGTCGAGCGCCCTGAAAGATGGGCTGGCTGACGGCTGGGCCGGGGTTAGAGTGGTATTAGAGTCCCAGTTCCGGATCCACCCTGGGAACAAGAGACCGTCTGCTTGCAGATCCGTTCCGTCTCTACAGGACTCGTAGCCTGATACGCGCCCTGTCCCAACAAGCAGCAGCCGGCGTAAGCGGGCATAAGCAGCTAGAGAGCGTAGAGCGTGGGCAAGCGCTGATGCATGCAAGGGGAGGACTCGAACATGGTCCACCGCCGCCAGCTCTTCTTGTACCTTTGTACCTTGCCGAAGCGAACGACTAGCATCCATGCTGCACGGCTTCTCGCCGTCCAATGTGTGCATTCTATCCACTCAACTGATAGTCGGTGTGTGTCTTTGAGAGGGGGAGAAAGAAAAGAAGAGGGGGCCAGGAACAAAACCTGGCTCAACCAGTTCCTGGCGTCCAGAGTTTGAGTAAAGTGGAACACGGGCACGCGGGACCAAAATATGCATCCCATCGCTAATCCGCCGTCATCTGATGGGCCTACTACCGCGCCTCGTTGCCTTCCTTGCATCTTCGGTTCCGCACTGCCCTCATTCCCAAGGGACATGTCTCATCAACCGCAAGATTGGACACGTCTCGGGCCTACACCGTCCCCACGAGGGTAGACGTCCCTGTTGAAGCCACGAAACATTGGGTCCATGTGCGACCCATGGTATCTAGGCATCGGCTGCAGCCTTGCTTGTGGGCTTGCGCACGTTGGCGAGACAGGTCCGTGGTGGCCATGGCTGCATGGTGTTGAGGGGCAAGCCTGGGCGCCATTCCAAGGTTACTTGTGCAAACCTATGATATGTGCCTGATCTACTACTAGTTGTTAGAAACACAAAAAAGCATTGCCGACGACCCAGTTTTGCAATCAATCGTGAGTCTCAGATAACATGATTATTATAAATCAAATTCCTAAATGTGAGGCAAACCATAGGTGGGGCAATCGCTAACCCGAGTATTCACGGACGAACAACGTGAACGGCCATGGAAATCACGTGAAAAAGCATCTCGTTTCAATAGTGGAGCCCAAAAACAATGTTGAATCCCTGCATTCAACAAACAATTACCCAAGTAACGTGTGCACAGTCCAAAGCGTAAACGACTTCATCACCACTTTTGTGACCAGCAAGTCTATTTTCAGCCGCACGAGCACAGAGCTGCACATCTCCGAGCCTGTAATACTAGCATTATCGTCGGCGTCACAACACCGGGTCCGATAATACAACACACGGAAAGCTGCTACATTAGGGCATTCATGCTTCATGTCATCTTGTAGTTATACATTGCAAGGTGGTAGGATTGCAACGTCATGTTCTATCATGGTCTTTCGCAAAGGCCGATATAGCTTGGCTAATACCGTAATCCCACCCACGCTTATAGCATTCATCAACCACCCTCTAAACCAGGCACTACTGCGCAACTCGCTTTCTGCGCCTTTAGATGCTATATTCATCCAATGCTTATGTGTGAAACACAGCACCCACCAATGATTGCAAGGCTTACTGCACAACCTAGCCAACAAGTCAGCAACTCAGGTCCATACCAACATCATCAGTCCGGCCACGTGGACAGTATCAACGGCACATCATGCACACTCGGACATACCTTCTCTCTCAGCTTGCTTATCCATTGAACAATGCTCTCGCCCTGGTCCGCTCGGTCTTCGACTAGTAATGTCTGTGCCCAGAGCTTGAGACTGGGGTCTCCGTCTTCCTTCACTAGGTACAGACTCGGGTATTGAATGCTTCCTACGCCCTTGGACTTGTGGTCTCTCGATTTTTCAACCACTGTGCACGTTGATCAGCTTGGGCAACATTTGACATGGGATTGGACAAACTCACCAGCTCGCACTCGCTCCGAGTACTCGTTGTCTAGGACGGGTAGAGAAGTCTTGCCTTGCTTGAGCTGCGTACGGTCTTCAACGCCGAACACGTCCGCGAGGAGTGCAGGGACAGTATCGCGGCCAATCCACCTGATGGCATTAGTTCACATCTTCACACCTGCTTGTGCGCCCTCGTCTACTTACAGGAACTGGTTGACGCCATCGTCCAAAAGATACAAACCATAAGGCACAATGGCGGCAGATGAGAGGTTTAGCGCTGGAGGCATCGTGACCTGACCCGTAGTGGGTTCTGGCACACCCGCATCATCAGGCATATCCTACCCTATTGTCAGTCCACGAATCATGTCAGATAAATAAGGACTACATACGTGCAGGCTGTAAAAGCTGGGGTAAATGTACTGAACTAGCAATCGCAGCGGGAGCGTAGAAAGGAGGTCAAGGGCCGCTGATCGAAGATCCGAAGGAATTTGGGCGCTCTTCCTGAGACCAACGTGCTTAATGAGACCCAAGAACAGGAGAGGAAGGGCTCGGAGGTTCTGAGGAAGCTGGAGGCCACCACCTCCCATACTACCGCCTGCCAATTCCTTCCTGTATGTCGATAGTATCTCGATGATTTTCGCCTGTAGGGCATCTCGAGCAGCATCAAGACCGCTCGACAAGGTGCGCTCCACAGCTTTGTGGGTAAAGTAGGCAGTGATGGCCTGCGCGTCCGCCGATGCATACACCGAAGCCAGGCTCTCGGTAGTAGGTACAGCAAGTGTAAGAACCCTGATTCGACGCTGCCCACTTGAAGTGGTGTGCAAAACGGCAGCTTGGAGACACGCAAACGGTTTGCTTATGGTCTCATCGATAGCGACCTCGATGACAACCGCCTGGTCCCTGGGATAAGCGGGGAAAGCGCAAAGGTCAGAGGAGCGGTTGAAAAAGTTTCCGTAGAACGCAGACATTCTTAGTCCGGTTGTAGCGCGCACTCGAAGCACTAATGGAAGTCAGTACATGTCTCATATGCAGTCCGAACACTACTTGCCGGCTTCCAATCCAAGCTCAACGCTTAAATAATCTCCCAGCTCCGTTGCGATCTTGACCACGTCCTCTTGTCTCGCAGCGTTCCATCCGGGGTAAAAATTCGTCTGCCCGGCCGTAAAACGTGGTAGACAACTCAGTGTTGCTACATCCTGATATTGTGAGGAAAATAGGAACATATCAACCGAGACCTGGTTTTTAGAGCACTCCACGGCAAATGCTTTCCACCAGTTGCTTTCAGGCTGCAGCAGATTACCCTCCTTGCTGGTGCCGAGAAGGGATTTGTCTTCGCGTGGTTTTAAAGCCGCGTGGCCTACATTAGGTAACGATGCGGCTATTACGGTAAGCTTGCCTCCAAGCGGCGAGATAAGTTTATGGGCTGATCGGAGAGCGGACCCAAGCGCAAATCCCTGGACATGTGTATTTGCAAACATGGAGGGGAGTAGGTCGAGGAAGTTCTCAATGTTGTTGCGGCACTGGCTCAGGCTAACGAGGAGCGAGGAAGGCGTGGGCAGATACGGTTCTTCCAGGTCAGTTACCACCATCTGTGTGGGATTGTTGTTCTCGCTGTTGTCTTGTGGTATGCCGAAGAAATGCAAGCCCGAATCAACTGCCATAAAACCGATCCGTGTCCTCCCATCTGCGTTGGGTATCCGGCCGAGAGACTCCTTGATGACTCGTGAAACGACTGCGAGAAGCCCGCTGTTGACCGCTGCTAGAGTGCAGTCTAGGAGGATGTAGTAGCACAGAGGCTGTGGAGGTCGGACCATGTACTCTTGTGGCGCAACAAACTCGGTAACAGCATAGTTTAGCTCTGCTCTCTGCCAGCGGTCCACGCTCTTCTGTTCCGCTGTAAACATGTTAGTTTCACCTTGATTAGTTTGCAACGGGAAGGTACCTTGACTCCAATCAAACGATTGCGGTATCTATGCCAAGTCAGGATACGTCTCAAATACAATTCGCATATGAACAATACGTACGTCATTTGTAAGGTTGCACATATTACACCTCCACCTAATGTGAAGACGAAGTCAGTATAGGTCTCACATGCATGTCCGACACGAATTTTCCTCACCTGTGGCCATGATCCAGGAACGTGACGAAAGGATTGATGTAAGCCCGACAGCGCCTACAACGGCTAATGATCTGGTCATGCACAACCGGCACCGGATCCTCCGAATCGTGCAAGCTGGCATACGGGCTGATGATCAGCGCAAACGGCAGCTTGCTTTTCTTGAGTAGTGAATGGTTGGTGGGGATTGTGTTCAATGTGCATCGCAGGTATTTGCTCGACTCGTTCGCGAACTCGGAGGGCGTAGCAGCGGCGTTCGAAGGAAGATTGATAGGTGGCGGCGGGTTGTAGAGCTCCGAGACGTGGAACGGCTGGGCGATGAGGTCTGAGGGGAACAATTGGTTCTGTTGTGTAGCAGCGGTGGGTTGCTGTGCTTGCGGAGCAGCCTGTCCGGGCTGTGGCCCCAGATTCATCTGCCCAAACTGCTGGTTGAGGGCATTTGGATCTTGAGCGGGTGGCTGTCCGTATCCTGGCGCTGGGGCACCGTATCCAGGAGAAGGAGCTCCATAGCCTGGTGCTGGTGCCCCATATGAAGGTGCGGGTGCTCCATATGCTGGCGCTCCATAGCCTGGAGCTGCTGGTGGGGGGACAGCTGCGCCAGCTTGACCGCCAGCATTGGCACCGAATTCGTACGCTGCGCCCGCATATCGGTCCCTCTTCTTGCGGTGGTCCGCCATGGCGAGAGCGTCGGGGTTTCGGGTAGCTGGTGGGGAGTCGGGAGAGGTGGCAGTCGAGGGTATTTGGTGTTGGCGAGACTGCTTGGGAATTTAGAGGTGAGGTTGGAGCTCGATGTGTCTTCTTGGAAAGCGGCACATTCCGCGCTAATGTACACCTCCGCTAAACGTGCACAGACGCGTTCTTGGGCCTCGATACTCTGAACACCTTGCTCTTCCACTCTTGATGACACTGTCCTGTTTTCCAGGCACCAGCTTTCTCACTGAAGCTATTCGTTGATGCATTATTAGACGCTACATATTGCACACGTAGCAACTCATTTGAGCAGACTACTGTCAAGGGAAGCAAAGTAGGGCCTCGGTAGGAAATATTACACATTCATTAACATCAGTAGAGTCATTATGAAGCCATTTAGTACAGGTAGTCATGTAAAGCATGAACCGGATACACTCTGTGCGCACCGCTTTCCTCCAACAATGACAGATGGTCGGCCCTTAAACGACATTCGTAGCATGCTGTCCCGGGATCTGCTCCTGCCTCTCGACTCTCTCCGCGTCCGTTAGCGAAGAAGCACTCTGGAAATCGTCGCCGTCTCTCTGTGGGCCCAAGGTATTGTATTGCCTCTCGACACTTGGGCTCTCGCTTCTAGTCGTACCCTCGTAGGCGGTAGTCCCAGGAACCGAATTGGTTACGCTTCCAGGCATTGCGCCTACGCCAAGGTTTCCAGAATACGAATGGATTGGCTCAACGTGCAGCTCGTAGCGGCGAAGATCTTCCTCGGCGTCAGTGAGGACTTGACGAGCTGCTTCCACCTCGGCGAAAGCAGGGTGTACGTCGCCAGGGACGATGGGAGTGTCGTCGACAAGATTCAGGAGTCGGCGTGCGTGTTTGGCTAAGATGATTTGCTTCTCGGCGCGCTCAATCGTGGCCGCAAAGTGGTGGTCATATGCCTCCTTGAACTTCTGACGCGTCTACGAAAGGTCAGCGAGCGCTCTGGAAAGAGGATTTCTAGTGAGCCATACGACGTTGCTCAATTGGGCCTCGGCGACCAAGCTCTGGGCTTCGGCTCGGACGAGCTCCTGCTCAAGCTGGACGATCTTAGTGCTCTGAGGCTCCTTGTACTTCAGTTTGGCAATCTCATCTGACACCTATAACGTTATTAGTATCAACTACGCTGACTACTGCGAGGGAGCGTACCTTGGACTTGTGGTCTCGGCTAGGCTGTACCGAACTCTCCGTATTACGGATATGCTTCAGGATGCCCCTGTACTCCTCTAGTGCCTGTGCATAGAGATCCTCTTGCTCTCCGATCTCTGCGAGCAGGACACCTAGTTTGTCCGAGATCTCTGAGACTGTCTCGTCCTCGGTCGCTTCACCCCACTCAGAAAGCTGCTGGGCGATGCCGACCCGTTCACGGGCTGCGGCTTCGTAGGCACCAATGGCATGATTCTCCGATTTGATAATCTTGAAGAGCTTCTTGGAGAGGTCTGGCTGCTGCGTGCCGCGTAGAGATGCCATTGTGAAGCGGTGCTTCGGTGCCGTCTTCTCGCCCGCACCGCCCTTCTTCGAGCGGACAGATAGTGATCGATTCCTGGTGCGGAAAGGCTTGGTCAGCCAAGGAGCCCGAGTAGGATTGTGCGATACATGCTCTGGGTTACCCATTCGAGTGTGTGATGCAGAAGGGGTAAGATGTTTGAACATGGCCACTGCACTGTCGGCAGAGTGTGATGTAACCCCAAGGAAGGCTGGAAACGCAGAGGCAATGCAAGCAGGACTCTCGAAAGATGAGGAATTTGAAGAGTAGCTTACATGGTGAAGGTGATCTGCTACAGGTTCTCCTATGACTACGTGGTGTGCTGCTCACAGTCATGGTCAGCACTGTCTATCTCGTGCTGGACGTTGCGCGCTCGCGCAGACAGTCGCGAAGACTGTGCGCTGCGATAGATCAAGCACACACCTTTTCTGGGAGTCCAAGGCAGATTGTTCTGGAACCCGTAACGCTCTGGGATCAGGGTGCTTGGGCCGGGGAGAGTGCTGTTTGAGGTTGGGGGGGTAGCGGGGGTGCAGCGTAGGGTTCTGATGGAAGTCGCGCAAGCCCGGTGATGTCATTGCGAATACTCTCCGGAAGGTGCGCACGAGAGGTCTAGTAGTCAGCCACACCCGTCGACACACATGGGGCGCGACGCTGGTGTGGCTCTGGCATCCATCCCAAACATTGCCGGCTCGTCCGCGACGACTCGTCCTCGAGGCCGTCTGCCATATTCTCTTCCCGAGGTTATTCTTGTATTAGACCGAACAGAACCTTGCCAACATGGCCGTGATTTTGTCTCCTTCCCCATTGCACCCGTTTGCAGTACGCGCAGGTGTCGCAGAGACTTGGCTGCAGTCATGGGTTACACGAGGCTGGCAGAAGATGCGTGACGGAACTGACTGTCACTCGAAAGCATTGGCACCAATGCCTTGCTGTGTGGTACAGTCACAATTACCTGTACGAACCTTGACAGTAGCAGCACACACACACACACACACACACGCGCGCGCGCGTTGGGCCCCATAGATCAAAAGCAAACGGCTCTTTAAATTATGTCCACGTGTGCGAATGCTCCTCCAGATGGAGCCCTGTTGCCCAGCATCTGAGTACTCGCCCTCGTACAATAACGGCACGAGATTCGTCGGAGCAAATGCTCCGAGCTGGAGACAAAGACGGCATGAGAAAGCCCGTGGCTCGTTACTGGACGCGACAGGTCCTTTGGGTTTGCGAAAGGGAACAAGGCGAAGGCGTTTAGAAAGACTATTCTCTATTGTTAGACGATATTGCAGGCATGATGCGTGACAGTTAATCAACCTACAGCTAACGTCACCTGCATTAGCGAGCCCGTCGTGCCGATCTCAGCCTCCCCGGGCCGCGTCGGTCTCTTTCTCCACTTCGCACTCCTCCTCAATCTTGAATCACCACGTCGTCCACATGTCCCCGCTCATCTCTGCTAGTTGTGCACACTCAAATCAATGCCTCGTGCCTTTATACAATCCACAAACTATACGCGTCGTTTACTGTCGTCCGAGTTTGGTGGGACATGTGACGACTCCTGCAGTGGGGACTTGGCGGCGGATCGACAACCTTGCCTGCTATGTATCGCGTTGTTTCCTTCCATGTGCATCCCAAGCAGCTGCATGCGATCGTTCCAACTGCAAGGGTGGCAAGGCTAACCAGGTTAACAGAATAGTAGGGCCTTTGCTAGGTACACTGTTGGCTCCGCCTTGGCGAAATGGACCATTGTAAGCTTATGGATTACCAACGCTGAGTATCTATGCCACGGCTCATCCCATAATCAACCACTCTGCCTCTTGCAATGCCATATTTTCGGAGATTTCGACCTCAATGCCAAGGCGTAGAGCCGCGTCAGAGGAGCCACTGAGGAGCTACTGAGGAGCCACTGCCGTGCCCAGTGCCGTTGTGCTCGGAGGGACGACATCAAGTCCCGCCGTTCATCACGCCTTTGTGGTCCATTCAACATTAGCTCCACTGCCGAATGGCAGCGCATTGGCTCGACAACCCTTCTCGTCGACGGCCACTATGGCTGTGACAAAAGAGGCCTTTGCTCGAGTAGACGGGTAAGCCGGAGTCTGCTCCGTTCACTCCTTCCGCAAGTGGATCCAGTACCGTGAGATACACTCAGCTACACCAGCCATCCATGTCGAGCCGAAGCAACTGCAATTCCTTTAGGAAAATGTCGTCTACCGGTGTGGCATCAAGTCCTCCAAAGCAGTGCCAGCTTGATCAAGCCGGATAAACCCGCGTCCACGCCTCATTCGCATTCTCCAACAAAGCCTCTGCGTCGTTTGGAGTTCATGCTTCCCAGGGACGGCGTTTTGGCCTATTGCGGAAACTTTGGGTGCATTTGCCTAGACGCCGTACGGCACCCCACGCTCTTTGATCAACCTACGACGCCTTGGCGCTGCTCATCACCTCAAACCGGCCGTTCTCAGTCTACCACCCCAGTCCATCAACAAGTGGAGCCGGGGCGAAAAGACACTCGCATAGGTACGTGGACCTAGGACGTTGTACGGACCGATCAAATGCACTCGTTTCTATTGGGCAAAGAAGGTGTTTCCCGCGCCAATTTCCAAGCCAGCAACATGTCAAGTGCTAGCTATCGATGACACATGATCGTTATACTATACAGGCTTCTACCGAGTATAAAGTAGCGCCATCCTGTTCATCAGCCGTGTGTTACTTCACCACAACGACCAGCAACATGGTGAAATCCGATCTTTTCATAGCATTTGCTACTCTCTGTCATGTTGCTCAGGCAGGATGTCCCTACATGGACAACGATGCCCGTGACCTGCCGGCCAGCCACCCTGCAGTCCGACGAGATGAGTCTACTGGTGCCCCCCCGGCGTCTACCGACGAGTTCCTGGCCAAATATGAGATCAAAGATACCGATGTATACTTGACCAACAACTTCGGAGGACAGATCGAAGACCAGGAAAGCCTAAGTGCCGGCGAAAGAGGACCTACGCTACTCGAGGATTTTACCTTCCGGGAGAAGATCACCCACTTTGGTATGATTGTGCTGAGACTGGCTACAAACTGCTCCTAACATGACTTTTAAGATCACGAACGCGTCCCAGAACGAGCAGTGCATGCCCGAGGAGCGGGAGCGCATGGTGTATTCACATCTTACGGTGATTGGGCAAACATCACTGGTGCCTCCTTTCTGAAGGCACCGGGCAAGGAAACACCAGTCTTCATCCGTTTTTCCACTGTTGCTGGAAGTCGTGGATCTGCAGATACTGTACGAGACGTCCATGGGTTTGCGGTCAGATTCTACACCGACGAAGGAAACTTTGGTAAGTACGGCTTGAGGACGTTAACACGCCCCAACACACCTCATAGATCATGCTTTGGTACTAACTATCTTTAGACGTGGTAGGAAACAACGTTCCTGTCTTCTTTATCCAAGATGCCATCAAGTTCCCAGATCTCATACACGCCGTTAAGCCAAGGCCAGACAACGAGATCCCACAAGCTGCTACCGGACACGACAGCGCTTGGGATTTCTTCAGTCAGCAGCCTTCATCTTTGCATACTCTTTTCTGGGCCATGAGCGGGCATGGCACTATCCGCTCATACAGACACACTGATGGCTGGGGCGTCCACACATTCCGTTTCGTCACGGATGAGGGGAAGACCAAGCTCGTCAAATTTCGGTTCAGAACTCAGCAGGGCAAAGCATCTTTGCTATGGGAGGAAGCGCAGATTACTGCAGGAAAGAACGCGGACGCTCATCGTCAGGACTTGTTCGAAAGCATCGAGAAGGGTTACTTTCCGGAGTGGGTCGTAAGTTCGAATGCTGTCCACCTTTCCCGCCATTCACTAACGTGATTCAACAGTTCGAAGCACAAATCATGGAGGAGGAAGACCAGCTACGGTTTGGCTTCGACCTACTTGATCCTACCAAGATCGTTCCTGAGGATATTGTTCCATTTACGCCTCTTGGCAAGCTCACCCTGAATCGCAATCCTCGCAATTATTTCGCCGAAACAGAACAGATCATGGTATGTACCGCAATGTTATCGCATGTTCCTACCGCTGACATGCTTCAAGTATCAAGTTGGCCACGTAGTCCGCGGTATCGACCTCACTGAGGACCCGTTGTTGCAAGGACGTCTCTTTTCCTACTTGGATACCCAGCTCAACCGCCACAACGGCCCGAACTTTGAGCAACTTCCAATCAACCAGCCTCGTGTGCCTGTCCATACGAATACACGCGACGGTGCTGGTAAGTCATGTTGAACTTGTGCTACAGTCTGCGGAATACGGTTACTAACCTTGGGCAGGGCAAATGTACATTCCACTCAACGTCGCCGCTTACTCTCCAAACACCCTCAACGGAGGCTCTCCACGACAAGCCAACCAGACCCATGGGCGTGGCTTCTTCACGGCGCCCAACCGCTCAGTAGGCGGACGCTTCACGCGCGCAGTCTCTTCGACGTTTGCCGACGTCTGGTCGCAACCTCGCCTCTTCTTCAACTCCCTGCTTCCTGTGGAACAACAGTTTCTCATCAACGCCATTCGCTTCGAGGTAGCGCAGCTCACAAGCGATGTGGTCAAGAATAATGTGCTCATTCAGCTCAATCGAGTGAGTCACGATGTTGCCGTGCGCGTGGCCGAAGCAATCAACTTGAAAGCCCCTGATGCGGATGCAAAGTACTACCACAGCAACACCACCACTGGAGTTAGCGCTTCGGGAGAGCCTTTGCTGAAAATCGACGGCCTTAAAGTTGGCTATTTGACTTCGAGCTCGGTGTCTGGCGACAGAGCTGCGGCTCTTAAGTCGGCGCTTGGGGATCTGAATGTTGGATTGGTTGTTGTCGCTGAGCGTCTCGGTCGTGGAATCGATCAGATATACCAGGCTACCTTCGCGGGTCAATTCGACGCTGTAGTTGTGGATGGTAGTGCAAATGCGCTTTTCGCACCAGCTGGAAGTCTGGCACATTCAAACGCAACATCGCCTGGCAATAGGACTGGAAGTGCACATTCAACCCTGTACCCTGCTGGCCGTCCGCTACAGATCCTACAAGATGGATACCAATGGGGCAAGCCTGTTGCCGTGGTTGGCGAGGGCAGCAAAGCTTTCGAGGCTGCAGGTATTGAAGCCGGTACGCCTGGTGTGTTTGAGTTTGGCAACTCGAGTGATGCGTCATCGATTGTGAAGCAGCTGTCCAAGGGATTGTACACATACAAGTTCTTGGACCGATATCCTTTGGATCAGTAGATTAGAGCGCAGGCTTGTGGGATTGTGGGATATCGACCTTGAGCGAAGAAGCGTAGTTGTTGCGACGGTCGATTAATCAGAAATCCAAACTTCAGTTCCTAGTTAATAATAAGCAACCTCACAGGCGGTGTTGATTGATACCCTCGTCAGACTTTCACGTGTATATGCATGTCATCTACGTGGTTTCCCGGTCTACGGCAAATCACCGCACAATGGCTTGGCAGCTCATGCAGGGAAACGCGATTAGGAGAGATTAACCCTACTCTAAGTGCGGAACCCCATCAATGCTGCTCCCAGTGAACTCCCTATTTACTTTTTGTCTCTGGAACACACGCAGACGCACATTGCAAAGCTCATAATCACGGCCCACCCTTCTTTACAAGTGCACCCGCACCGTTAGCACAGCCACGACGATCCCGCGCACGCTGGGCGCAGCATAGCTCGTCGATCTTGCTCTATATTTGGCCGATTGGTGCCACTCCACGCATCTCTGAGCGCTGTTGCGACCACAAAGGCGGCGGACCTGTTTCACCAACAAACGAACAAACAAACAAAGACTAGATACAATGTCGACAGCAGCAGCAGCAAACAAAGCACCGTCTACGGGCACGCCTCGGCGCGAAGTCACGTCCAGGACCGCGTCCTCCTCCCCTGGAGCGGCGAATCGAACTCCTGTCCGACCTTCGACATCGACTACGAATGGCCCAGGCGGCGTTGCGAGAACACGATCTGTCCGGTCCAGCGTCAATGGCGCCCCTGTCTCTGCGCGCGCAGCTGCTAAGCGGCCCACGGCACCGTCAACTCTAAGCAACGGGGAATCGCAGGCCGATGCCACCGATGACGAGGCCAGAGATGAGCAGGCCGTCTTCCTACAGGGCCTCAAGGATCGGCTGCAGAAGGCGGAAACAGAAGCAGAGGAGCGCCAGAAGCAGGTCGAGGTTCTCAATGCTCGGCTAGACGAAGCGCTCCAGGAGCAGGCCAAGCTCGAAGAGCGCGCACACGAAGAAGAGGAGAAGGTCGAGTCGTTAGACAACGAGAAGCGCGAGCTGACACGCCAACACCGCGAGTTGGAGGCCATCTACGAAGCCGAGCGTGCACAAGCTATGAAGGAGAAAGAGGAGACCCATACCAGGGAAGATGAGTTGCAGGACACGATCCAGCGGTTGAAGGAGACAATGGCCTCAAAACACGGCCAGACAGCCGAAGGTGACGAGGAGCATTTGTCACGATCCTGTAAGTCATTTTCATTGCCGATGACCATGTCGATACTGACTGTTCTATAGCGAGCTTCCGCCACAATCCCTCTCGCACCAACTCCTCGCAGAATCTCGACAACGTTGCTTCCTTTGCACCGCCCTCGTCGATCCAACGCAGCAACTCGCGTAACAATTCGAAGCTCATCCATCAGAAGGATAAGATCATCGAGGACTTGCGCCTAGAACTTGCCGAATATCAAGTCAAGGTTCTTGAAGTAGAGAACGCCGGCGGAGGGCGTCTGCGAGAACTGGAGAAGCAGCTTCTTGAGACACGCATGACGAATGCTAGGCTCATGGAAGACAATGAGAGCTTCCAACTGCTGTTGGGTGAGAAGACGCTCAACGGCGATCTAAGTCGCGGCGACTTCCTGCGCGAGTCGTCGCACACTGAAGACCGCGCCCCATCGCGTAACGGCCCATCGACCAGCTTGGCCGACGAGCTTCAATCGGCAGAAGAGGCTGATGTAGAAGTGGTTCGCAAGCTCGAAGCCGAAATCAGCAATATGAAAGACCAGAACAAGGCCCTAACTCTCTACATCAACAAGATCATCGGCCGTCTCCTTACTTACCAAGGATTTGAATCGGTACTGGGTAATGACCTTGAAGCAGACAACGCGCAGGGCGCGCCGGACAAGAACAAAGAGCTCCCGCCACCTCCACCTCAGGAGAATGAACAGCCGCAAGGCTTTCTTCAGCGCGCAAAGTCTGTCGCCATGGGCGGGAACCGCAAGCCGCGACCGTCGAGCATGATGGGCCCGCCACCTATCGCACCTGCGACTAACCAGCAGAGTGTGAATGAAGATCCCGCGACCGCACCAAGCATTCCTCTCACACGCTCAACATCTAACCGCAAACCGAGTGGTGGCTACTCACATCGCCGCTCCACCTCTGAAATACCCCAGCCTGGCGCCGCGAATGTCGTCAATAACATGTACCGCCCGTCTTCTGTGTCAACGACCCCTGGTGCAGTCTCGCCTGGCATCGTCTCTCCACGCAACTCCTTCTTCGGCCTCCCCGTCAGCGGAGCCGGAAATAGCAACCCGACATCAAGAGTGCCTTCAGGCCAAGTTCCTATCCACGAAGAGAGGGAGTATGATGCGAAGACCGAGACATCTTCATCAACGGCCAGCCATGTGGATACACCGAGCCCGCCGCGACGTTTGGAGAGGGGCGACACCAGCACTGGTGTCATGACGGGTAAGGGTATGCGGCCATTACGGTTAGTGCAGAACGAAGAAGAGGCTGTGAAGGCGAGGAAGGCAGCCAACAGAGCGAGTTGGTTTGGTGGTCTGTTTGGACAGGCGCCACCACAACAGAATCAGGAGAATGGGCAGTAGAACTACTTTCGCCCTAGATTTCAATAGGCTTACCAAAGTTTGATGCTTGGTAGCTAATTGGATATATGCTCATGTCATGTACGAGAATGCGGGAACGACCGAGTATGTGTTATGGGAAATGCAGAAGGGCAGGAGGAACGCTGGACGACATTTTGTATACGACCGGTTCCGAATTTCTCCTTGCACTCTGGCTTTTGGATGGACTGTAGGCGTAATGAATTCATTTTTACCCCCTTGTAGTTGCATTTTCCTTCATCTTCTTCCTTTTCCCTTTTCTTCTCACTGTGCCTTCTCACTGTGCCTTCGCACCAGTCCGCCTCTGCTTCCGCCTCCTCTTCCTCTCCACACTCAAACTACACTCTACCTCACTTTGCACACCCACCCCTCCCCCATCACTCTCTACCTCCTCATGCCCGCCATCCTCCTCGGCACAACGAACCCCGCTCGTCCTCTTCCTTCCAGGCTGTCTTGCATCGTAGTTCCCTCCCCCTTCCACGTCCTGCGGCAGACAACTCAGACTCTCCCGTCGCGCAGCACACTTCCCGCATAGCTTGTTTTCGCTTTGTCGCCGTCTCTTCATGCGGTTCGGACACTTTGCTGGATCGAAGTTGTGCAACAGAGCGTGGCTGCAGCGCGTGTAGCGGATTCGTAGCGTCCAGGTGCATGTGCGGCAGGTGGAGAGGAGGATGTAGCACATCTTTGCTTGTCTTTCAGGGTGGCTTGGTGCTTGATGTTGACTGAACGTGGGGCTTATATTACGACTGGAAACTTGGGTGGCTGCCGGAGCGGTGGTTTTTGTCTGGAGCCAGTTGGAATTGTAGTCCGTTGTTATGGCGATGATATGGGTTTACGGCGAGTAATTTTGCGGGTTGTGTTGCTGATCATCTGTGTTCCTTGGGGTCCCTTCCGTGGTGGTAGGAGATATATATCGTAATTAGTGCTTGATGCAGGTGGTTTGTTGGACTTCGATTGCCATTTGTCTCAAGCCATATTCTTTGATTCATGCAGATAAGTTGCAAAACATTTCATGGCATTGTTCTTGTCTCCGAAGTGGGTGAGACTTTGTGTTCCATGTTTTGATCGTGTCTCGCTTCTGTCTAAACAGATACGCTCCGAAACAAACATGCCAATACCGAATGCGTGGCTGGTAGAGATCCCACGTAAGGGTATCTGGAAACCTTGTTAGGGCCAATATTAGCATCTCGCAATGGCTCTGGAGTAGATTTGGTCTCTTGAGGGTACTGGGCTTAACTAGAATGGAAAAAATTAAGGATAGTAACTTAAAACGAAACGTAAAAGAACGATCTAGCAGACTCAGCTCTACCTTACATCTTATTCTTGGCTGTCCATTTATCATACAGCGTGAACGTCGCATCTCCATACTTCTTCTCTAGAATTGCAATCTTATTGCGACGCGTGATCTCAATGATAATATCCACCCAATCATCATCAAGCTTCTTCATCTCACGGCTGTTTTGAACCCGATGGCCTATATCTATTAACGACCGCAGGGTCTGCTGCCTGTTTTTGAGTTCTCTCGATGACAGATTGGCGTATTTTTTGCGAGGTGAAATGTTGGGTTCGGGCTCCTGGCGCGTATTTCGTCTGGATATGACAATGTGTCCTGTTTTGGTCATATATAACCTCCAATCCGGATCGTGAATGTGGGATTCCATATTCTTGTAGTCGCGGACAAGCTTGAATTCTACAAGAAGCTTTTGTTTATGGCTGGGCTTTGCTTGTGCCGCAATGATAATCTGGAAGGCACCTCTGAAGTCTAAATCTTCGGCAGGGTGCCATCCGTTTTGATGCAACATGTCTACCAGAAAGTTGTCTAGGCCAGGCTGCATGGGCTGATGTACGTACAGCCTTAATCTCCTGACATTCTGGAAAGCTGCCAGCTGCCTAAGGACTTCGCGTGGCCAGAGATTATATAAAACGCAAATATCCAGCGTCAGATCCGTCAACGCAGGAGATTTTCCAGGAAAAAGACCAAGGTCGAAGAGATTCGGCATAGCAAAGCCTGGCCAGAAGACCTCGTAGGGTTGGTGCCATGAAGTATACTTGGTCAGTGTTCGCGCAGTTTTATCCAGGATGGACCAAGGCAGCGCGTGCATGATTCTTGCATTTGACTGATCGTCAGCATCCATGAAATGATTATACACCAGCGTTCTGACCCTGCCGAGAGGTGCGCCTGTGCACGGTTCGAGGTGCTCCGTGAGTTCTTCCATTCCTTCCCCTTTGTCTGCAAGGATATTCAGATAGGTGAGCCGTGGCACCCGAGAGATAAAAGGTATGAGATCCGTAGCGCGAGAAAGCATCAGGTACTGCAGCTTAGACCATCCATCTTGCACACCCCATGCATTAAGCTCCATTCTCGTGAAGATGACTGATCTGATTGTGAGGTAGAGCACCTCCAACTGCGGAAGACGAGGGGTTCTGAACCGTGATAACAGCTCAGGGAAGAACTTCCTTCCGTCATTTTCAACCGGCCCACGGTATATGCGCAAAACGCCCAAGTTCGGGGCACTTTTGAGGAGATCGACTAGGTCGCCTTTGAAGTCGTCGTACAAAAGGGCATTGCTCTGGGCAGAGAAATCAAATGATGTTAGATGTTCGAGGACCGGACTAGTAAAGAAGTACCGTGTGGGAGGCAATCGACTTGTACTTGCGATTTGCCCAGCAAACATCTGAGTCACCCTTGTCCTGATTCTAGATTTTGGGTGGTGGAAGTGTATACTGTCGAGCACGAACTCTGGGAGTGCTGCATAGTCATCCCAGGATAATTCCTGTAGTCTTGTAACCTGTGCCAAGGTTTTGTCCAGCAACCTCCATTCAGCTGTAGTGGCCTGGTCACAGCTCTTCAGTGCTATAGTTCGCACGAATACTGGTAAATTGGAATAAACCTTGGATAGCCGTTGGAGCAGGACGCGCCCTAGGTGATCTGAGAAATCGATCGTAATGATCCTGTAAATCCAGGGGATGCAAGCAAAGTATGCGACTATGCAGACTCGGCATAGCTTCAACAAGTCTCCTCGGTGACCAACAAAGACGTGATATACCACTTTATCCAGGACATCGTAGGGTATACTAATCTTGGTTTGACGCCGTGGCCTCGAATTCTGGGCCCACAGAAGAGACTTCTGTTTTTCTGGCCACCGTCTCATAGACGTATGCGACTCTTTTACCACGAAAGGGAGGACGATGAAGGCGTCTTGGGTCGGATGCAGGTCCCCTAATAGATCTGACTGCGTGTACCTCTGATGTATGCTGAGAGTGTATCGAGGGCATAACGCCACCGTATACATGTTAGCTTCACTACCAACATCTTCCTTAACCTTGTACATACCTTTTTAAAAATTCCAAAATTGTTGCAGCTATGTTTTCGGCCGGAGAAGCGGGAGGAAGGAGAAGGAGATCATGCTTCAAGATATGAAAGGAAGGCATCTAAATAAGGAAGTGGGGATGTTAATAATATAACCAAATGTTTGGCGTGATATCTCTTAATATTCACACATCTTGGTTCCTCGGTGGATCTCTACCGTGAACTCACTCTACTATGGCGCTTGAACACTTTTCAAGACTTTTCAAGCCATTCGGAACCATCTAATGCTGGGCTCAATGGAAACCCAGCTCTTCTAGAACCTCTGGGAGTAAAGAGTACTTCTTACAAATTCTATATCTGTGCGACATTTTGGTTAGGCTGTATTGTAGTAAGGGGTTATCCAGAGCCACAGCCCACAATCCACGGTGCACCTCGGTATAATTACGCGTTCGCGTAGCTTCCCTGGTCCGCGCGGCCATGCATGACACGATAGTATCTGAACCGACATAGAGGCAATATCTCCGTAGTTCGGTGTACTCCATGACTATAGGAGGTAGCTTGATTGGTAAGCCTTTTGGAAGGAGAGCTTCCATGCGAAAAGGGATGTAAAAGAAGTTGAAGAAAGACGGAGCCTGGGGGGGAACTGTGGACGATTTATAGGTTAAGAGCACACGGGTGCTTCCATTGGCCACCCAATCATTATCCCCGCGTTGACAGTGGTAAGCGCAACACGAAAGCGGTAAAGCGCGACATGAACAACCTCGGCAGCGGAGACGCCATCTCACGACCAAGCCGCGACTCGAGCAAACATTGGTTTAGAAGTACCCCATACCACCCCAGATTCCACCTTTCCGACCGTATATACACTCGAACCTCTCGACAAAAATACCCGACTAGCCTAGACGGCCTCTCAAAACTTCACCAGAGTATAGTGTACACGCTCGATACACCTCCGCTCCGTCGCTCAACCCCCGTCGCATCGCAATCACAATGTCCGAATCTCTCACAACGAAGCAAGTCGCCGAGCACAACACAGTCGAAAAGGGGCTATACATTATAATCGACAGCGACGTATACAAGATGGACACATTCGTAGAGGAGCACCCTGGCGGTGCAAAGATCTTGAAGAGAGTGGGAGGAAAGGATGCTAGCAAGCAGTTCTGGAAGGTGAGTTCGTTGGTATCCTAGAAGACAGAGCAGAGCGGACCGTCTTTCCCGCTTCTTTGTTGATTTTAAGGGAAGTGGATATTAGGCTGACAGTAAATGCACGAATAGTACCACAACGATGGCGTACTGAAGAAGTACGCGCCGAAGCTAAAAGTTGGCACCGTAAAGGAGGAGGCGAAATTATAAGATACTCCATTTGAATATAATCTTGATACAACGCGTGGTGCTACGCGACATCTTCTTCGGCTTGTCGATGCATTGATTCGTCTGGCCAACAACCTCTGGACAACCCCCAGCATCTAGTCTACATGTTTTGCTCCAACACCCAAAAGCCTACGTGATCTCATTCCTCGTGATTAGTAACATTATACATAGAGCCCACGTTTGTTTGTCTATGAACACTACAAACATCCTCTGAAACACCGCCCACACCCGCCTATATGCAATGTAATTTCCCAGACATGTCGCCAACTTCACAAAAGAGGCAGTGAAAAGAACCCTCTAGAAGAAAAGCCGTGACTCGAGTGAGAATGACATGGCTTGAATGCTTCGATAGGAATAACAAGTAGCTAAGATGGTGGGATATCTTGGACGGTAAGAAGCAGTATGCAACGCAATAGACGAGCAGAAAAGACGACAAGAAGAAGAAGAAGAAGAGAACAAACACCCCATGCGTGACCTCATGACGAACCAACACCCTCGTTAATGCCGTGAGCGAAATGCGAAAACCCCAATGCCAATTCCCCTCCTTCCTCCATGGAACAAAAGTAGACACGGGTGGAATAAAACGTGGTAACGAGCGTGGGTAGCGGTACAAACGTCGCTCATTACACCCATGACACACTACACTTTACGCTTCTCTTCATAAACTCGGATACAACATACACGCTCCGGTGTGTTCGTTTTATACCAGTACCCATTCACTTCCCCTCTTGATGAACTTATCCAGCATCATGGTAACATCCGTAAGCACAAAGCGGCAGATGTAGAAGCCGAAAAATTCCGCGGCGTGGCGAGCGGAGAGTTCGAGACCGACGTGTGTGGGGGATGAGTGCTTGAGGCCTGGGTCTTCGACTTGGCGAGCGATTTGGTCTACGAATACTGTCAGCATACATTCACACAAACTTTTCGCGTGATGTAGAATAGGTTGAATGGCGAGGGGGCTGTGAAGAAAGCAGAACGTACCCAAGATCTGAACCGAATCAAACAACCTCGCCAAACTGCTCATGTACCCCGAATTCGGCCCCTCAAACACCACACCGCTCACATCTCTCTTCGCAAACCTAATACTTGGCAAGTTTGTCATAGGCAAAGTCGTCATAACTAGCGAGTCCTTGGGGACTTCTGCACTCTTAATGTTAGCCATGCCGGCTAGATTCACACCAGAATTCTTGGAGCGCAGCTTCCGCCACGACGCGAGGTATGATTTGCCTTGCGCAACAGCACTCTTTGCCCCGTGGTCCTGAGACCCATGGGAACCTTTGTGTGAGCCATCTGTCGAGGTTGCACCGTCCCCTACGGTAGTTGCGTCTTTGAAAAGGGTTTGTACGCTGTGAACGCCGACTTCGTTCCCGAGTTTCTTGGCTAGTAGAGTCTGAACTTGATCGAGAACTACTTCTAGAGACTGCATCTCTTCCAAGATAGCGTCTGCATCGAAAGTGTCCACAGATGCCAGCTTCTGTAGTGCTGCTGTCAGGAGATCACAGTTCGCAATCTTGTCCTCGATATTCTTCAACTTGACGCCTTTCACTCGCCACACATCTCGCGGGATGAAGAGCTTTGTGGACAGATATCCACCGCGAGGGTGCGCAATGGTCTGGTAGAAACACCGCATCAGCCAGAACGGTCGTAGAAGATATGAATCTGGACATGGCTCTAAAGGTATCGGTGCGTTTGTCACATCTGGACTTGGTGAGCCGGGCGAAAAGGGTGAATGGATGTCGCTCTCGAACAAATGCATTCCGCCGCTCGGTAGCCCATCCACGTTGAATGTAGGGATACTGGGCGTTGGCAGCGGTAAACCGGCATTACTTGGCTTCCGTCCCGTGATAGAGAACGTGGTGCTGAGAGGTGTTCCCACTGAGCCATCCGAGCCATCTGGACTCGATATGGATAGATTTCGCGCCTTCAGACTAAGAGACGACTTGTTTTTCCTGATTCCCATTGCTGAACTCTTTCCAGTTCTCGGCGAACCAGGCACCAGACCAGACTCATTTGAGACAGCATTGAGGGCTGGTGTCGCTGGTGAAACTGTAGTAAAGGTGTCGGCTGGACTATATAAAGTCGGCTGCGGGGATGGAGCTGCAAGGCCAGTCTGTTGAGACACTTGTGGCAGAGCGGGTAGTTTGGATAAGGGCTCCAAAGGGGGCTGAGTACTACTAAATGGTGCAGACTTTGGCGGGGGTGGAACATCAGTCCGGGGGTCTTTGGCTGGTACCGGAGGCTTCTCCGTGTGAGGCGCCGGAGGGACAGGCGGCAGAGATGTTTCGATCTTCAACATTTTAGCGTTTTGTCCTGATAATCTTCGATTCCGGACTGAGGCGGCATCTTTTGTGGCGGTGGATGGTCGTGGCGTTTCTGCCGCAGCATCGTTTGCCTGGGACGTTTGCATCTCCGGAACAGGAGGCAACGCGGGTAATGCGCCAGACGGGGCTGGAACGGGTGGTGGAGAGTGCACGGGCGGTTGTTTGCTCGACGGGTGTAGTACTTCCACGACCGTCGAAAGCGACGTTCCACCCGTTGTTCTGTGCGAGGACACGGAACTGTTGTGTGTGCTTCCGTACGTGCTTCCAGAAAAGCCGCTCGAATCCGATTGCCGTGGCAAGGAGGATTTTGTTTGCAAGTCAAAATCGAAACCGTCCAGCATGTACTCCCGCGTCATCTCGTCTAATAACCGCTCCTCCTCTTCGACTTCATCACGGAAAGTGAGTTCCGCACTTTCACGGACATGTGGCAACGCCTCATTTCGAAGTTGAGTTTCCTTGTAGCGATACTTGGCAGCTGCTATCGCCTCTTCCCGCTCCGCCTCCCGTACCCGCTCTTTTGCTAGTTCCACATTTCTCAACTTGGCCGCGATCAGATCAGTTGAGGTGCCGTCTTCGTAAGGTTCATAACCGTCATCATAAGCTGCTTCTACAGCAGCGTCAAGAGCAGCGTCAAATTCGGCCTCTGTCCCTCCACTTGTACTTCGAATGTGTTTTCGCCGTAATCCGCCTGGAGATAAAGAGTGTACTGAAGAGGAACAGGATGACCCTCCAGACTCGTCGATAGTATCGAGCCATGAGGTGGACTCACTACTGTGGACTCGTTGATGGTTGGGTTGTGTTGCATGTTGTGGCTGCAACAAGCTCTTCGGTTCTTCTGGTTCTGGTTCTCGTTTTGCACTAAATAGTGGTGATTTGGACCGCCTGGGAGATAGTGGTGGAGGCATGTATACTCGGTCCATGGGAGTTTCTAGAGCGTTTTGGGGAGGGGGTCCAGGATTCGTAAGCCGTCCGGGAGGTGGTTGTAGGTGGAATTGTGAAGTCTGCATGCCTTTTTGGACATCGCGAATAGCCGTCGAAATGACCGACTCTCGTGCAGTTCCAATTTCAGCCTTGCGAAGTGGTAATTGATATGAGGATCGTGGTTCCTCTTCCGTTTTCGAGGGTAGGTTATCCACGGAGCGGTCATTGACTATGTGGGTCATGGTGGCCGTCTGGATTACGGCAGGCTCATCATCATCCATTAGTAGCATAGACCGATGCTCATCTAAAGACTCGCCACTCATAGGGCGAGCTGGTAATGACTTTCCACTGTGATTTGAATATCCGGGGTCCAATCGTCGGAGTTCTTCTATGCGATTGGTGTACGTTACTCGCTGTTGATGTTAGCACTTGTCGGAACTGATAAGCAGCCAAGAGTGGCTACGTGACTGCGTGACCAGCGGCAACTTACAATCGCATCCAGCTTGCGTCTATCTTCGTCCTGTGAGCTGCGGATCATGACCTGCTGTAGGAGCTTGCATGCATCCTCGTACGCCTCCATGGCGCCTTCGAAGTTCTGCGCATTGTCGAGTAAGACTGCAGTGTTTGCCTTTTGTAGCGCCCTTGAAAGCATCGTCTTCTTGTCCTTTTCTCTCCGCTCCCGCGTGCGGGGAGGAGTGCCTTGATAGCTGTCGTCTAGCCTGGCGCTGGAGGTGCTTTCGCTGCGAAGATGGTCTCTACTCGAGCTCCTGGTGTGGTCCTTGCTTTCACTACGAAGATGATCCCTGCTTTCACTTCGATATTGGTCCTTACTTTGACTCCTGGAATGGTCCCTCGAGGCAGGTCGCCTGTGCCCCGCGCTTTGTGGTGGCTTCTGCAATGTGTCCCTTGTTCCAGCAATTGAGGGTCGTCGTGCGGTCGTAGGCCGACTTGCACCCGAAGTGGAGTCGTGCCTTCGGTCTGACTCTTGAGCGCCAATGATGGCCGGCGACCCAAGAGGAGACTTTCCCAGTACTTTTTCGATTTGGCTGCGCGATGGCGGCCTTTGGTTTGGGGGCAGGGGGGAGAGTGGCTTCGAGTTGAAGTAGTCTCGTCGTTGGTTTCCGGTAAGCAGACTCGGAGTAATCAGACCAGACGTCGAGGGGGTATTGGTTGTCGAGGCGCTAGGCGGGGTATTGGGGTCGTATACGGTTGCAGGGAGAAGGATTGGGCCGAGTGAGTGCGTGTTGGGGGGTGCGATTACAGACGAAGGGGGCCCGTATATGGGGGAGCGCGCACGAGTGCGGCGGGGACTCGATGCCGGCGAGCGATTGGAAGTATATGCGTTGTGGTGGTTGGGTTTATTATTGTTGCTGTTGTTGCGCGACGGCGAGGAATTGCGGCGTGAGGGCGAGTTTGGGAGAGCAGCAGCTCCATTGGTGGTGTTTGTGGTAGTGGTCAGGGTAGAGAGGGGCGCGGTGGTGCTGATGCTCAGTTTGCGCGAGAAGCTGGGGTGGTGGGCGTGGCCTTTTTCCCGGTCCTTGACCTTGTCCTTGTCCCTGTCCTTTGGCGACGTGGTGCTGCTCGTGGTGCTCTGGGACCAGCGGTTGATGTTGGCTGCGCCTTCCGCAAAGGCCCCAGGGCCGCTCTCTGCTGGGGCGTTGGCTGCGCTGGAGCGCCGGCGGGCAGTTGGGGGCGGTGAGGCCGGGCGGTGGGGGGGTTGTGAATCAGGGTTCGGGGTCGCGTCCCTGAGCGAGAGCGGGAGCGAGGCTGGCGGCTTGACTGTGAGGACCGACGACGACGAGATGGAGGCGGAGCGCGACGACTGGCGGCGGTGCGAGGGCGCGGAGGGTTCTGCAGGCGGCGGCGTAGCTGTAGGCGGCCTATGGATATTCATGTTGGATGGGAGAGTCGAGCCGTAGCGTGCGAGTGTCTCAGGCCAAGCCAGTGGTTAATGCAATGCGGATGCAGGCATGGTTGCCGATGTAGGAACGCGCTTCAGCGGCAGCGAGGATGCGGCGATGGGATGCGAGGCGGGAGAGGGAGCTGTGGTGCAATGCTGCGAGTGCTGCGGTGTAGCTGGGCGTTCCGTTCTGTCGTACCTGGACTGGACTGGACTGGACTGGATTTGGACCCCTAAGACAAGACAGAGACGAGTCGAGCAGAGACGGGCGACAATGGCGCCAAGCTGGTCCCCTAAGCGTCCTAGAGCGAGGCCTTGGTATGGGATGGAACCTTGGAAGGTCCTTTGGAAGCAGGGGGAGCTGCTTAAACACACCAAAGCCCCCCTGATCAGACGATAACCGTCACAATCACAATCACAATAATAGTATTATACCCTCCTGGCCTACACCAACCACAGTACTTGGCCTGTAACAACAATAACAACAACTGCTGCTGCCTTTTTCTTTCCCAGGGGGGGCACGAAGACTCTGGCTAGCTGTAGCTGTAGGGGCCTGACCTACTAACTACAACGGAATGTACCCAAGCGCACACCCGCCCACATAGCTCGTTGGACATGGTGTTGATCTTCCAAATGCCAATGCCAAATACCTACGTCTCTTCTCTGCAGTACACGCCCGACTACATGACATGCACCATCCATCTACTCCACAAGGTAACACCGAGTCCACGCAGAGCCCGAGTCGCGCACATGAAAACAACCCCGTCATGTCATGGTCATCATCACCACTGTGACACCAAGAGAAGATCTGCCGACGCTGCTCATTTCCCTCTTCTTTTGGCCCAATCCTGGCCACTCGCAGCTACCAGCGCTGCCCATCCCAAACACACGGTCCCAAACTTCACCGCGTGTGGAACGGCTCCCACTTGCATCTTCTGACACGCAGGTGGGCTCTCCTCCTGAGTCGCGCTCCACCTCGCCCGTCAATCACGAAAACAGCCTCAAAACAATTCACTTCACACACTCACACACACACACACACACACACACACACACACACACAAGACCCGCATTGGGCGCACATTGGGCCATCATGATTCCATTGTTCCTCTATGCGTCCTCCACCTGGGCAAACACGACGACATCTATGGCATGACCTGCTTCTGTCATGTTTTTCGTCCTCTGCAAACGCTTGGGCTTGGTCCAACCATGCTCGGGCCTGCTGTTTGGGATCCACTGCAACGCGTTTCACCCATTACCGTTATCGCGCCCTCTTGCCGTCTTGATCGCCTTTGCTAACACTAGACGCTTTCCGTCCCGTCCGAATAGCCCGATTCCCAATCGGGTCGGCGTCCACCTAGCCCATCTATGCCTATGCCGTGTTGGAGACTTCGCTGTCGACGTCGGCCTTCAATGTAAGTCGACCATAATGTCCTCCTCCGCATCCACGCTATCATCCCAGGCCGTATCCATCGCGTCGCCTCCCTGACCCTGCCTCTTGTTCAGCCGCTTCAGATTCTCAATGTATTCTTTACTCAGCGTCAGTCGGTAGTCGGCGTCCTTGACCTGCTCGACGAGCATGTTGGTTCGCAACGTTTGCTCCAACAACGCCTGTTGCTGCTGCGTTTCCGTCTTGGCTAGAGGCCCCTGCGTAGGGTCAAGGTAGAAGCGCAAGACGACCCCTACGTTTGGCCTGTCGGTTTGCTCCAGCCGCGCATTCAGCTGACCACCCTTGATCAAAGTTTCGAGATATTGTGCAATCTCATCAGCACTGGCGCCCACATTGTTGGCAATGTTGGAGACTGGAATCGCTGAAAAAGTTCGTGACAGCTGCAAAACGTACGTCCTCATCTGGCTGTTCAGAAGCTCAGCAACGAGGCCAGTGTTACCGTCCTACACATCTGGTTAGCACTTGACGAGTGAAGAATCAATGTTTCATGTGGCGTTTCATAAACATACCTCCGCCCAGATCTCAGCACCAGCTTTGATCTGCGCTTTCAGCTTTGGCAGGTTGATCAGCTGTACATACGCGTCCACCAAGGCCTCATATGCTTTTGACGCAGACTTGACTTGCTTGATCGCGTTTCCGTTTGCTGTTCGTGGGGCCGACTTTGACTGCCACAGGTTAGACTTCGTGACATGCAGTTTCATTGGCGCACGGTACCTTTCCATCCACAAGACAGCCTACTAATAACCACTTCTTGTAGGCCTCCAGCATAAGCCCGTTCGCTACATTGCTCGATGGGACAACGAGCACGTGCTCTAGAAAGTGCTGAGCCTTCTTGAATTGGCCTAGACCAAGGTATGCCATAGCTCCTAGGATATAATACTCTTGCAAATCCACCAGCGCAATCTTGTCTGAGTGACCTGAAGTCTGGTGGATGTAATCTCCGCTACTCGCAACATCTGCACACGGAACCGAGTATTCGAGACCTTCACGGACCACGTTGGGTATTTTCGAGGGTAGAGTGTGGATGTAATTGTCGAGAATAGGTTCGGCGGCGGCGTATGATCGCGTCTCTAAGCAGAGCTGTACGAAGCTGATGTGGGTCGAGGTAAATGTGCCTGTGGTAGGATCAAGTCGGATCATTGCCGACCGTATTGGCGCAATAGCAAGACTAGGCTGTAGCCGTTAGCTTTGACATTCAATGCGAGACTTGTTAGATTGAACGTACTGATCCTGTCGCGCGAGCGATCTGCTCTGTGAATTCTACCAGCCTCCTCCACTCCTGTCCAATATACCGCAGTTGCACAGGATCAGACGTCTCCAGAAACAATACGAGCTTGTTCCATAATGCACCTCCCGGCTTCAGTGTATCTAGCACACTTCTCTTCTCGACGACTGCAGTTATACGGTGGCGGAGAGCAAAGGCATACGCTATTGAGTTTACCGCGGGGTTGAGGACCTGAACATGTTAGTGGGGCTTGTAGACACTATTCAAACCACCTACTTCTAGCACATCTTGTGGTGTGTCGGCTGCCTTCAACCAGTGTCCTGCCGAGATGTTGGCGAGCTGTGCGACAAAGCTACGAGCTGCTTGATCGTAGTCGCGTTTCTGCTTGACTTCCGGGCTCTCAGGCTGGAACTGTAACAGAATACTGGTAAGCTCCGCGGACATCTTAGCGATAGCGTGGGAATTGGTGGTTGAGTGGGCAGGCGGCTAAGGTGGAGGGCGGCGTTGTGGGGTATTTGGATGTTTGGCTACCTGCCTATGCCCGCTTCACTAAAGATGCGAGCCCTGGATTCGTTGAGCTGCCTGCCGCTGCGAGGAAAGTACAGTAGACCGGAGCGAGAAAGAGGAGACGTGGTGGCGGCGGAGCAATTGTTTGTACAGGTTGACGGAGGTAAGCCTGTCTCGCGAGGCTCAAGGCTGCCGTTGGTGATCGTGTGGAGCACAGACGGTACCGGTAACCACCCCGCCATTCACTCGTGGCGGTGCAGACTATACCAGATAAGCCTCTAGCACAAGGTATACAGCATAAACGCATAGTTTTTGGAAGATAACTTGTCATTATTCATAAAACGGCTTGGGGATTACCGCGGTCATTACCAAACAGGCCTCAAACTCCAGCAATGAGACCCAAGCTCCCAGATCTACGCCATCCAATGCTAATACCACTACTTACAGTGACAACGATCACCTCCTCTTCACAGCTTCCTCCATCTTTCTAACCAGCGCCTTCAACCCCACACCTTTCTCACAACTACCCTCCAACCACCCCTCCATCTTCTCCCTGACTTCCCTCATCCCCTTCAGCACCGGCAATTTACTCCCCTCCTCAGCCTCAAGATGCATCAGCGGATTCAACAACAGATCCAAGCACTCGCTCCATATCTCCGTTTGCCAATATCTCTTCAAGCTTTCTTTGATTTTGTACGTCTTCGTGGCGCCGGCACCGAGCGTGGCACCTCTTTCAGCAACAGTGGATATGTATTTACCGAAGAGGAGATTGTGTACGATGCCTGCAAGACCGTGATAGTCGATCTGATAAGTCCAGGGGCGGAGTTCGCGCATCTCGGCGCAGTCGGCTTCGGTGGTGGGCCAGTCGGCAATGAACTGTACGGAAGGGTTGAATACCTTCATGTCTATGCCACGGCCGAAGTCTATGAGCGATATACCCTTGGAGGCCCACCCGTCACGGCCATCAGGCTTGTATTGTGAGTCCCAGTGTTCATCCTTTTGCAGTGCCTCGAAGCGGACGAGGATATTATCTGACTTGAGATCACCGTGTATCACGCCCTTGGAATGCAGCGCCTCAACTGTGCGAAAGAGCTCGATCGTAAAGAACATGGCAAGTTGCTCATCCATAACACCATTCTCTGCACGAGCAAGATTCACCAAGTCGAGCAGTGTGCCTTGGTCCCGGAACTCTTCTACTAGGTAGCACTCGTCTTTGAACACGTGCATCTCGTACGCATGGATGATTGATTCCGCTGCTCGAGACACACCGAGCCTTCGTTTGGCCTGTCGCATCATGTAGAATTCCCAAGGAGTTGGAGGATCCTCCATTTTGATCGCTTCGAGAGCTTGACGCTTTAGGCCGAAGTCACCCTTGCCCATTTGTACCGGCTTCTCATTCTCGTCGTCGTCCTCTGGGGCCTTGCTCTCCACAAGATATACTGGCGCGAAAGCTCCCTTGCCGAGTTCGCGTTTAACAGCATATGTTCGGTCCGTTCCACTAAATTTCAGAGTTGGCGCCAATGCTAGGTTCGTCGCAGTCTTGTCGTTCGCATTCTTGCTCATCTTTGACACCGCTTTGGTATACTTGCGTATGTCAGCACCTTTGCTGTAGCTTTCCTCAATATCCGCAAAATAGCCGTCATAAGATTCGAGCGGGGGTTGGATCTCTTGTAGGATAGTTCTACGAATGCTCTCGTCCACTGGGTTGCACTGGGCATCCTTGATAATTGGACCATTGAGTTTTGTGATTTGTGCTGGAGGCTCTTTTGCGGCTAACGGCTTTCGCTTTGGTTCTTCAGTAGCTTCTTTGGATATGGGCTTTGATTCTCTTAAAGCAAGCTTCGCGACTTTCCCAGGACCATCAATAACTTGTACGAGAAGATCTGAGAAAGGGCTAATGCAAGGCTCACCGTCATCCTCAAGTATGACAGGCGTACCTTGTGAGCGCGATGGTGTCTTAGCTGCAAAGTAATCCTTTTGGGCGTGCGCGGTCGCAAAGCCCATGGACGACTCTGTCCGCTCCACAATTGGGGTCATGAATGGCAAACGATTGTTCGCAGCCTGAATTGGATCTCGGTATGGTCGCATTGCATGGTCATAGTCTTCTGGCGGAATAGGAACAAAATGTGTTGGTAGTGTTGTTGTTGCACTAGGGGATGTCGGTGTAGCGAGGTCCTGATCTTGCTGCTCTTCCATGTCGATCAGTGGATGTGAAGGGTCTTCGAAAGAGTCATCCTCAGATTGCTCTGAATTGTCGTCCGACTCATCGCGTCTATGCTCCTGTGGTACGTGTTTGCTCTCCGTGAAGTCAGACCAAGCCGAGGTGCTCTTGGCGTCGGTATCGTCTGCCTCAGTTTCATCTGCCTCAGACTCATCGCCATCGATATCGTGATCGAGGACTGTTGTCCCTAGGGTGAAATCTCCGGCTGTCGTTTCATCTCCGAAGTCGCTAGCAGCGCATGATATCCGGCCTGTCCCAGTACTTTCTCCCGCACTAGTGTAGTCGTCGTCATCGTCTTCACTACTTTCTTCACCACTTTGAACCTCTGAGGCATTCTCCTCGATGTTCTTGAGCGGCTGACTGAAGATACCGTATATCTCGTCCATCGCTTCCTTTGTGTGAAGCGTCATGGTTGTTTCAGGCCCGGTCTTCTTTCGACGGATCTTTGGTTTAGCTGGAGAATCCAGGTTTGCTTGGACTATTTTGGATCAGCACTATTTCTCGCGTTGATTAGAATCCATACTTACTTGTTTGAGTCTCGCTGCGGATTTCTTTCACGTCCATAACCTTGATTTTTCTCGTGCGATTAGCTCGCTCCTCTCGTTTAGCCTTCTTTGCTGCTTTCGTCTTCTCCATATCGGCTTGCGAAGGTGGCATATTCTCATCATTGGCAACATCATCGTCAATGCTTCCTTTCAAGGGTACAGTTTGAGGCTTCGGTGGCTGCTCGGGATCTCTCAATATCGCTAGAGGAGAAGTTTTAGGCTTTGGAGCTTTAGCAGTCGCTGTTGCTTCAGCTACTTTCTGAGCTAGCTCCCGCTCTTTTTGTCGAATGGCTGCCCAGTCATAGTCCAGCCAGCCTCGATGCTTAGCTCGTAACTCTTCGAATGAATACTCTTCAGACATGGGATTTTCAACGTTAGGGTAGACCTTTTCTAGGTCGACAAAGACAACTTCGAACCTGCCTGTCTTAGGGTTGAGAGCCTGCTGATGGTCATGCAAAGGATGTGCTTGGGCATTTTCGCCATTAGGGTCTGATTTGGTCTGAATACATGAGAGGCAAACGCCAACCAATTAGTCCTGTGATCGTAAATATTTGAGGGGGATGTTGCAGGCGGCTCAACTCACCTCATCCTTAAATATCATCATCTTGGGAAGACTCGCATTCTTCTTCCCAACCTTCAGTGTCTCGCCCACCCACGGCCGCGCCTCCACCGTGTTTTCCTTCTTGCGACTTGCTAGCGATCCAATGCTATCCCAGCCTTCGGTACCGCCACTCGATCCGGCTCTCGCCGGCTCATCACCATCTGAGAAGACGGCGAGCTTTGGCTTTCCAGTGCGCGATGCGCTCCCATCGGTTCGCGGTTGATTCTGAGCTTGTGGGTTGGCGGGAGCGGGTGATGCATGTGAGAAAGGGTCGACCTTCGCTGCAAGAGCCGGACGGACGGCGGGCAGCGCAGGACTTGTGGGTTCGGGAACCTCCTGGGAGCGGCTCTCAGATCTGTGCTGGAATTCGCCATACTTGCGGACCAAGCGTTCAACTGGACGAGCGTTGTGCTCAATTCCTAGATTGTACACCTCCTCTGCCTGTGTATATCGCCCTGCTGACTCTAACCACGCTGCAAACTCCTCGTAGAATAGGGCTAGTCCATCGCCAATGTTGTGTCGCGCGAGGTATGCAAACGTCTCTCGTGGCGCATCGGAGAACAGTCTGATGTAGTGTAGCCAGAGCTTGAGGTAGCGCGCGTCGTTCTTGTATTGCGTCGATGACTGGAAGGCTTTTGTTGCGCGCTCGAGGAGCGTACAAAGCTGTGATTGTTGGGTGTTTTGCGCCGAGGGATATGCGTCTAGTGCCCACTTGACGTATCGGTCGTACACATCGAGGGGGTCGTCGGACTCGTCAATCGCCATGAGCTCCTTCTCGAATTGCAGGCGCACAGCATGGTTCGCATCTTGTGTTTGCGACGGCGACGGGCTATAACCGGCGCCCGCAGTCAACGGTGGAGTGTATAGTTGTGCAAGTGCTTTGGCAGAGCGGCCGCTGGGAAGAGATTGTATGTTCTCCTTCTGGTTTTCGATAATCTCGAAGTCGATCAGGTCGTCGGAACCCATGGCGCCGGTTGGGGGTATCGAAAAGAAAGCACAAAAGCCCAGAACCCAAGATAGGCTTACCTGTTGTTGTTGCTGTTGGTGGACGTTGGGCGCGTGGTCAGGGTGTAGCGGGGTTCGCGTGTCTAAATGGATGCTCGAGCGCGCTTTCCCCAATAAACCAAGCGTTGCTATGGTTACGCCACGACTGCCGAAACTTCCATTCTATTCACAATCCACTGTAGCAACTGATAAGCACACGAAATTTAGTTTCTTGTTAATAGTGCGGAGTGACTATCTTCTGTGTATGACGCGTTCAACATCAATAGCAACCGAACACTACCCTGGGCATGCCTGGGGTCCTAGGACCTCTCTTCTGTCTAGCTGAATTTCCACTATAACATACGGTATCTACTAGGTATAAAATCTGGAAGATTCTTCCTACTTATCCTTCTGGCTATTTCAGTCAAACACAACACCTAGCCGCCCCTGAACCTTATGCGCATTCATCAACTCAATCATCTTTGGAAGCTCCTCGAGTTTGAAAGCCGTCATATGAGGCTTGATATTGTGTTTTGCCGAAAACTCAATCGCAGGCTTCATATTGTAGCAGGCTATCATGATGTTAGGCCAGTTTGTTTGTGTAAAAGTCAAGTATAACTCACTTCCGTTGTTCGATCCCTTGATGCGATACCGCCCCAGCGCAATATCCAAAGCATTGAACTGCAGCGGCTGCCGTGGAATCCCAACCACCATGATCAAACCCTCACCGGGCTTCACTATCGCCGGGCAGTCATCGTATGACTTCTTGGAAGCTGTGAAGTTTACGGCTGCGTGGACACCTCCGCCAGTGAGATCGATGATCTTCTTCTGATACTCCTTATCCGCCAGAGAGTTGAAGACATGGTCTGCGCCGCAGTTCTTGGCCTCCTCAATTGCTGCTTCTGTGATATCGATGCCAATGACATTGTAGCCCATGGCTTTTGCGTACTGAATACCCATGTGGCCGAGACCACCGCAGCCGATAATGGCAAGCCATGCGCCTGGCCTGAGTTCGCAGTCCGCGATACCGTGATACGCTGTTACGCCAGCGCAGAAGAGGGGTGCTGAAGATTTGGGGTCCACTATCATGTCGTCAGTCCTCCATTTCAACCTTAGCAGATAAAAACGTAGTTACTAACAGCTCTCAGGCAACACCATCGCCTCCCTAGCATCGATCACCGCATATTCCGCAAAATATCCATCCTCCCCAAACCCCTGCATCTTCACCTTTCCAGTCTCACACCACGCATTATGCACATTCTTACAGGCATAGCAATCAAAGCAACACTCGATCGCACAAATGAACCCCACTGCATCGCCTTCTTGGAACCTGCTAGCCACCTCTCCTGCGCCAGTGGCAGCTACTGTGCCAGTGGCTTCGTGACCGATGGTGACTGGGTTCTTGCCGAGGATGAGGCCTTGATCGTTGGGCTCGAAGAGCATAACGTCGGAGTGGCAGAGTGAGGCGCAAGCGATCTTTACGAGGATTTCATGATCGCGTGGTGAGGGTAAGGGGACTTCGTTTAGGTGCAATTTGTTGTCTCGCGCGTCGTATTGCTGTGCCCGCATTGTCTTTTGTGCTGGCACGGAACCCATAATGTCTAGTATGGCTGCCTTCGTGATCGAGCGCAGCTGGTGGAACTGTATCTGAATTGCAAATGCACGTAGTTTAGACAGTGAACGTGAAGAATGGCAACTAGCTACAAATAGAGACCAACGAGCTGCACAGCGAACCCATATTGCATACGATTGCTCTTCTTTAAAACGGGAATGCTCTTCCGTCGATAGAACGCGCATATGTTGAAGGAAGACGGTTCCCGGACACACAAAACAGCTACTACCATCCCGCCACGTCAACGCCAGAACCGGCGACGCGCACTATCAAATTCGCGCTTCGTTCTCCCATAGAGAGACTACGACAGAGCAGGATGTTATTTTCAACGAATTAGACATTATGTAAAACTAGCCTCTAAGTGATACGGGTATATGAACTTGGTACAAAACTCGGGTATATGCTGACAAGACAACCAAATAAAATAAACTCCAAGCTATTCAAACAAGACAAAAGAAATAATGGACGGGTATCAATGTATGCTTCCAAAGTAAAATGCGATGAGATGTGCGGTCTTTACCCCACAGTTGAGCCCCGCACCTTCCTTCGTCATGATCGCTCGGCACAGGATCCCAACTCCGAACAGCCGCACGAGCCGTCCGTGAATTATGGATGCCTGCCGGCGTTTGGAAATCGAGTCGATCTTTTTTAAATCTTGTCCGTAAGTCCCTCCTAAACTCGCTTCTCCTTCAATTGTATTTCAAACCTGGGTATCTTTTGAGAATGTACAATGGCCGCGACAATGAATCGGCTCTCTAGAACGATGCGTGTGGTGATGCTTAACGTGGATCGTCTACCACTGCCGTAGGGTATTGATTCCGAACAGTATCAGACGAAGACACCGTCGTCCCGCACTCAATCATCGCACCCACGGCAAGAATCTCGCCCACACAGGCTTCTTCTCCTTCTTTGGCACGGCTCTTTTCCCCTCCAGATTCCCCATATATATCGCATAGGACTTCTCCATCTTTTTAAAGGCCTCTTGCTTAGCTTCGGCGCTGTCGAGAGGATCGTGTTCCCAATCAGGGTTGCTGTCTTGCGTATGGTCACCGCGATACCTTGCGGAAGTGCTAGGCCACCCGAAGTCTCGAACCAGGAGGTCGGTGGAAGGTAGAAGCATCATGGAGAGCTTTTCGTCGGTTGAGGAGAGGGACGTCATGCTTGAGTTTGATGAGGAGTACGACATGGCTGGAGTTGGTGGTCGTCGTGCGCGCGCTGCGTTCGGCGCGTTGGTGTTGAGATATGTGCTCGGCGCCTACGTGATAGATGTTTGGTGAAATATGGGATGGCAAAAATTGTAGCAAAATTACGAGGTTGGAAGGGTAAGACAGTCGATTGAGTGGACTCGCGAACGTGTTGGATGATGATGTTAAAGAGAGGCAGGGTTATTGCGGACAAGGCCTTGGAAGTTAAGATTGCCAGTGCATGCGTCAGGGGGCTTTTGCGCCCACATTCCAAGGGAGCGGCAAATCCTTGCTAGCGAAATGGGCCTCATTCCGGAACAACGCACCATGACGTCCCAACTGAGATCATCGATATTGTCCCGTTTAAGACGAGATCTAGAACAATGCATGTGTAAGTAGTCCATGCAAATGGTCTTTCGATTTGTTGAGTACGCGTCGTCTTTCTCGTTGCGAAGTATGCTGCTTCGTTTCGCCTATCTCCTCCGCGCAGTGTTCAACGTTTTATCCAAATTGAAAGCCGCGGAAATCAACGCCAAATGACTGAATGCTTGTGGTGTATTACCCAGTTGCTCACCAGAGCGTGCGATTTCCTCCGAGAAAATATGAAGATGGTTTCCGAAGTTGAGCATGTTTTCGAAAAAGGTAACGGCTTGTATGAGATATTTTTCGTCATATTCGCCCGCCTGCGACAAATTAGCATTTTCTGGTTGAGTAGGACGACAAAGTGTACCCTTGTTAACGCCTCAACCAGCCAGAATGTGCACATCGAGAATGCACCTTCTCTGCCTCCGACTCCATCATCGCTCAATGCATGATTGTATCGGTAAACGAGACCTGTGCTTGTCAGCCCACCCTTCTCTGGAGGCTTTAAGATACGGTCCAGCGTCTTCAGAAAGCGGGGATCCGTAGGGGAGATGAAAAACACCAACGGAGCGATCAACACCGCTGAGTCCAGCACATCTCTCGACTCATAGCTTTGGATAAAGCATCCTAGCTCTGGGTTGTAACCCTTCTCCATCACCTCTTCGCAGATCTCGTCGCGCACTCGATACCATTCCGCTCGATGAGGGCAAGGAAAACTCCTCTTGTCTGCCAGACGCAGCGCTCGGTCGAGGGCGACCCATAACATGATCTTGGAATACACAAAGCTCAGTTTCATGCCGCGAACTTCCCAGATGGACATGTCCTTCTCCGTCCAGATAGTGCAGACGTAATCCGCAATCTCCCGAACGGAAAGCCACTGGTCATAAGTGACAGGCTTTCCGAACCTATTGACCAAATATATGCCGTCCATCAGTTCCCCGTAGATATCGAGCTGCACATGGAAAGCCGCGCCGTTGCCAATACGGACCGGTTTACTGCCTCTATAGCCGTCGAGATGCTCCAGCTCCATCTCTGGGATGTCAGTGCCACCCCAGACTTAAGGCAGAGATACAAAGTCAGCGTATGATCTTAAAAGAAGGTGAATATACTCAGTCTTTAAAGTTAAAAACACCACGTGGGGCACTTGAAGATTACACAAGATACGTACTATAAGAAGTTAGTTAAGTTTCAAAGTAGATAGAAGGTACCTGTTCGCTCGAATAAAGATGCTGCAACATCATGAAATACCTGCTTAGGTGGTAGTTTGATGTCTCGGATGCGAGCACTTCACGAGGTAAAATTTAGTTTGTACCTGAGGCTTAGTACCTGGTAAACATGATGGGTAGTGCGCCATGCCGTGCCTTCGCCTCCTTAACGCGCTGGAAGATGTAGCTCGTATCTTGTCGGTGTACAAAGTCAGTGTATGTCTCACATGCAGTTCGTACATGGATGTTACGTACAAGCTTCGGCTTCGTGACTAAACCCTAGACGGAGCAGGATGTATATGGTGAAGGAAGCGTCTCGAATCCAGGAGTAGCGGTAGTCCCAGTTCCGCTCTCCTATATTTCTAATCAATTAACTATTATCGATGCAGGTCGCAAGTCATACATACCTCCAAAATCCTCAGGTAAAGAGAAGGTAGGCGCAGCGACAATAGCCCCACTCGGCTCGAAGATGAGCATCTTCAAGAGCAAGAGACTTCTTGTCACGACTTCATTCCATCGACCTGTGTACTTGCTTCCTTGGATCCACCTAGCCCAGTATTTGTGCGTACTCAATTGCAGGTCATCTACAAGAGTAGTCTCAATAACATCAGGGTTATGGTCTTCCGCATCCCGAAGAATGAAAGACACAGCCTGCCCTTCAGTCAAGCGGAACGAGGTTGTAATTCCGTCTCCTAGCGCATGACGTTCAGTTGACTTTTCAAACTTTATCCTTGGACAAGTACTGTCTGGCTCATCGCCACAGTCAATGGTTGCATTGAGTTCCAAAGCTAGCGTTTCGGACCTGAAAGTGATTCTTTGGAGAGGATGCCCGTGCTCAGTCTTGCCTAGGTCTGCAATCTCGGTAGTGTGCTTGTCTTGCGCATAGTTGAAGGCAGGAAATACTTCGACGCTCACATCTACTGAACCGCGCATACACTCCACTCGCCTAATCAACCACTTCTTTAAATCCGGGCGTTCGGGTACGTTGCCAGTATGTTCGCTCGCGGTCACGTTGGCGTGATACTCGTTGTCCAGAGTCCTATTATTCGGTCGTGGGAAGAAGTCGACCACGTTCATAACTCCCTCTTCCTTGAGATATCGTGTCTGAAGGATATTGCTTGCTGGAAGGTATTGCTGCTTCGTGGTGCAAAGATTGTCGCTAATAGGACTGATTGTGAAGTGTCCGCCTTTATCCTTGTCTAATATCCGGCAGAACACTGATGGTGAGTCGAAGTAAGGCCAACACATGTAATCGATCCCACCATCTGTCCCTACCATAGCACAGGTCCTCATATTTCCAATGAGCCCATAATCTTCAATAGGCAGGTAGCCATTCGCTGCGCGCCTTGAACCCGACCTCTGCACACCTAGTTCAGATCTCTCCATCTTTGCGTTCTGTATTTCCTCTTCCTTGCTCTTCTTACTGTGTTGCCTATGTAGTTTGGTGCTGCTGTTTCTATCCAAGGCCATTCGTATGCGTGGAGAAAGGGCGCTGGCCACCTCTCAGATGAGTGTTGCGCCAGGGTCTCATTTGTCCTAAGTAGCGTACCACACGGAATGGTCGGAGCGGGCTTGTCGGCTTACATCACCAAAAGATTGCATTTCGTGACGTAAGATAATGCTTACTCATGTCCGTTCCGGGCCCGTGGCCTCCTTCATTAAAAGGCAAGCGCAAGATTGAAGTGTGGTCGTACAGAGCGCTAACCTTGATGAATCCTGTCACTCATTGGTTCCATCTACAGACCACCGCAGTTGCCCCATCCCAAGGTATAGTATTGCAACCCCTATTTACTTTTTAGTGCTTAGCATTGTAGGCAGGGGGGTGATGCATCTCAGGAAGTAATGCCTGTTTTAATCGGAACGAAAACGTATCAGCATGCGCTGACCTAACGTTCATCGGAGAGTGATTCGGCACCTTTGTAGTGTACGCTACTGCTATCAGCTCGGCAAGCTAAAAATCTCAACATACTCTCTTGCCTGTTTCCATATCGAGTAAGGACCCATGGCATTGTGAATATAATCCGCAACCCCAATTAAAACTAATTTCAGTCCTTATGCCGCCTAAGGTAGTACGTATGACTGATACTTTGCGAACTACTTACGCCAAAGTAAGCTTTCACGTCAGTGACTGGATTCCCTAAGCCAAGTTTCTTGATTTTGAAACCTGTCACTACCCCCGCAGTGGCTGATTGTATGCCCGGCTTATCCACTAAACTCAAGCCATGAACACCACGCTCTTCAGTGGCGACCTTAGTTCCGCGCAGTGTGCCTCCAATAGAAAGGCTGATCTCCTTATCACTCGGAATGTACCCGATTGCTACCTCAGTAGCATCTGCGAGGCAAAGGCGTAGACCGCTAATATCCTTGTTGTCATAGAACGGTAAGACCAAGACTTTTACAGTGACGACCTGCGCACTAAGCGTACCATGTATTTTGAAAAGCGGCCTACCACCGAAATGATAAGGTTGGAAATCGCTGTCGAGCAGGTCGCCGTGCGCACAGCCCCATCTTGCAATGTCCTCATCGTCAAGGTCCGGCTGCCAAAGCGAAGCCAGAGGCTTTTCAGCAGGTTCAATACTGCCGAATGGCTGAGCCAATCTACTTCGTCCCATTCATCAAAAGACAGGACACCTATGATAGCTCCACATATACTGAAATTAAACATGGCTCTTTGATTTGTGAGACATTGAGGGAAAGTTGGGAGGTGAGTGTTATTTTTGTTGGTTGTAGCTCTATACAACGTGAGCGCGGCTTCGGCGAGACATACTATCTTTGTAATCCTGCGACATGTGACAAATACAAGCAACCCGACGTAGGGCGAGAAGACGTACTAGTAGAAGCTTTGTTGATCGTGCATAAAAACTTTTGGATCTTTTACTGGAGTAAAATGAGCCAGAGATTTGGATTTACACAGTACATGTGTTTGATGTGAAAAGGAGTGGAGCTAAACTTGCTCATTCTCGCCATCGGCTAGCATTTTCAGTGAGACCTCATCACAACCACTAGGCCTACTGTTTTTTTGTCAGCCCTAGATTTTTCACCGCTGGCCTCACCAGGGCCAGGAACTAATTTCTCTGAATTCCTTTCGTGTTCATCTACAATTTGGCGTCGATGCATGGTAGTAAGGCAATGTAATCACGAACATCTCCGCACTCAAGGTACCTTCACGGAACCAGCGATAGCACAACTAATGCGTACGCACTTTGGAAATCCTCTCAGAGCAAAAGGAATTTCGATTTTGGAGACGTGACGATGCCAAGTTTTTGTAGACACTCCATGAGCTAGTAGGACGGTAGACCAAATCAACGCACGCTGCTTGAGTAGATGCGCCTATCGATTAACCTTCTAGAATCAAAAAGATCGAGCGATCGAGCGATCGAGAACCTATCGAGCAGGCTTGGTTGACGCCGGTCGTGAAAGCTAGACCCTTCTTGTGCATGACAGTCAGTTTGGGAAAACAACACAGGTCCCAACTCGTCCAAGGACAGCTTATTCGTACTTACATTTCCGAATTACCTACATACGACCGTGATAAGATATTGAACCGCCGCCATGAAATGTAAATGCCCCTTTCCAACGGACGATTGCTTTGTACCTCCTAAATTGAGCAGGATATCTGTGTGGGGGGTAGTTCAACAGCACTCGGATGCAGGAGCTCTTCCCCGCGCCTATAGATGTTCGAGACTAATCCGCCGAGGCCAAATAGTCATCGGTGTAGGTCAAGCAGAGGTACTTGAGGGTACGTCTGCTCAAGTAATCTGTTCATTTGTAGGGTCTATGTCATTGGTCAGCACCCGTGCAAGGCTGATCGGCCGGTCCGTGACCGGGACAGCTTGATGGCTTTCGGTACCATTTCGAGACTGCCGCCAGCAAGGTATATGTTCTGGAAGGTTGCCACTTCTGAGAAAAGTCCCTATAGCGCAATTTCGTTGTGTCTGCATGCTCTACGAGTCATTGTGATACGCATGAGTGACGAATAGTGGCTGCGGTCTGGAAGCTGCGCCCTCTATACCTTTGCATCCTTAGCTGCTCATAATGCGCTCTTAGGGTTTATTAGTTTGATTCTTGTCTCGGCGGAAGATGCATCGTTCGCGTCCAAAGTATTCGTTTTCGTTTTCATATGTGGCGTTGCACTTCGGTTGGCCGTGCATTCATTCGCTTTAGGCTCAAATTCTACGCCGGCGATACCAACCGTCGCTCCTACTTGACACGTGCTTCATGAGCCAGGTTTTAACGTTTTCGGCTATACCTCGTGTTGGGCGGATTTACTCGAGATGAACTTTTTCAAGTCGAGCATGGAGGATTGGCGTGGAATACTTCCCATTGTCTTGGAAGCGTGGACAAGGGGCCAACATGGTCATCTGGACGTCTGCATACATAGGCGTGCCGGAGCAGCCTGCACCGTGTGTAAATCGGTACTTATGGGCTTGGGAGAAAGCAAGGGACTGGTTCGGTTCGTGACGTGGGGTTGTTCCAGCAGAACGGTGAGTGAAAAGCAAAGTTTCGTGAATGACCTGTGTTCGGGTTCGTGTTGCATGAGCATTGGTCGTTGCATCCACTTTGCATGCATATCTCGCTTGCGTTACTCCACTAGGAAATCTCATGCCGTCGCCGATAAGCTGATGATTCGCGAGGTACAACCTAAATACGTATTTGTTTGTAACAAGACTCCTACGCCTGAGAACGCTAATAGTTGTCGATCTCCGTCCGAATGTCCGCTGTTTCAGACAGAGTCAGTGTGTTGATCCGGATGTAGCTCGGACCTTGTACATTGATCGCTTGGGAGGTTGGTACCGGGAAATCCAACTAAAAGCTTACGATCCCTAAGATCGCGGTTATTTGCACTTGAGATCATCTTCCTCGGCCACCTTGGTCGCATTATAAAGCCGCGAAGACCAATAACATTTGTGCTGCTCACCGCCTGGATGAAAAGATTGACTAGCGGATAGTCAGGGGGAGCCCATGGACAGCATTTCCCGGCCTGTCTGAGTCGCATCGCTCAAAAGCTCACGCAAGACGAGCCAGCGGCTTGTTTGCGTGCGTCATAGCTCTCGAGGACCCCGTTAGAGCACGGCTAATTTCTCATTGCCGGTGAATTGGGAGAAACTCGGTGTGTGCGATCAGAGAGGTGCGTTGTGTATTCCCAATCTTCCAACCTTCCTAATAGACGTTTGCGATGGACAACAGCCGGATCTTGAACGCGGCTATCGGCCTAGCTTCCGCAATAACAAATTGTAATTCGTACACACGATTGTGATAACGACTCCATGGCTGAATCATAGCCAAGTTGCAAGGTATGTAAACGGCCCGCCACTCTGGATCGCCCAAGCCGCATGCTCTTTTCCTTGGCACGAGCGCCCCTGCTCTTCTTTCGAGTACGTCCGCACCAGTCTCATTTCGCAACAAATGGCAGTACCACGAGCACGACGCCGTCTCTAGGGTCTACTGCTTTTCGAAAAGATGCTATTTGTACTCATTCGCTGACTCTTCCGCGCGCTACCCTCCCACTCCTTGCTTGTCTTTTTCCACCACGTTCACCCCTTGAGCAGGACGCTCCGCACGTGTCATTATGGCATAGAAATTAACTACTCTGACAGCACACGGTAGGTCCCCATCTCGTAACTCACATACTACTGGACCGCTTTGGCCTTGTTTGCTGGCAGGGTCAGGCATCCCTTAGTCAGGACATCATTAAAACCCTTCATCGATCTCACCCCTCTCTCGCATCTTCCTTCCGACCATATTCCTTCTGTTTCGAGTGTCAGGTCCCTGGTGCTTGGGACTGTGGGTCAACGCCATTGCCGTCAATCTTCCTAGTGTGTCTCCGCTTGTGGCCCACTAACGTCCATCTTATTCTTCGAAACTCCTTCTAGGTCTCGTCCGCCTACGTCAATCTCCTCTTTCCTCTTCTCTCACCAACCTCATGCTCTGTTGACCATGGGCATCAATGCAGACTCCAAAGACTCTAGGCCGGGCACGTTACCCGTAGACGGGAAAGCAGTCCAGCCAACCATCTCCAACCGGTCGAAAGCGGGGGAGGCAGCTGGAATCGCACCAAATCAAAGCATAATGGCAACAATTGCGGACGATGACGACCGTCTACTTGTGCGTATAGGGTATACGCCAGTAAGCACCCCAAGACGTTTAGTACTACATAGACCAACATTCTTCACAGGTACTACAGCGACATTTCTCCAGATGGTCCACCGTCTCATATGCGATTTCAATTCTTGGTGTGCTGGGCTCAGTGCCGGCTACTTTTGGATCCCCGATGAGTGCGGGAGGGCCAGCAACAGCAGTATGGGCATGGCTCATTGGTAGTGTTATGGCATACTGTATAGCCAGTTCAGGTGCGTGCTGCCAAAGACCATTCACCTTGTTCTATACTGACAATAATCTAGTCGCTGAACTGGTATCTGCATATCCAACAGCTGGAGGTATGTACTATGTCACAAAACACGTCGTACCTCCCGAACATGTTGCTTCATGGGCATGGATCATTGGGTGGTGCAACTTCCTCGGTCAAGCAGCCGGAGTTGCAAGTCTGGCGTACACGATCTCCCAGATGGTCTTAGCAACGGTCGTGATGCATACTTTGGACAACGGCGAGGCTGCATATGAACCGTAAGGAACCTTGTCGCACAAACGTTCTGCAGCAGCTTACTAGATGTTTTAGGATGGCGTACCATACTGTTCTCTTAGCTATCTTTGTGCTATGTATGTTTGGAACCATATGCTCCTTTCCTACGCATTGGCTACATCGCATCATTTTATGGTTTGCTCCCATCAACAGTAAGTGGCCCACCTACGCATGTTCTCTTCTCGGTTCTCATCTAATTGGGTCACAGTCATCGCATCGATTGCCATTTGCATTGCACTTCTTATCCTTACACCGAACAAACAAAGCGCGCAATGGGTGTTTACAACAGTTATGGATGGCTCTGGATGGGGAAGCAAGGGGTTCTCGTTCCTCCTCGGGTTTGTCTCCTCTGTAAAGCCTCATCGATTGTATAACTAATATCCCCAGCTTTCTCTCCGTTGCGTGGACGATGACCGACTACGATGGTACAACACAGTAAGTCCACCTACGTACTTGCATGTTGGCCAAGCTTACGGAGTCACACAGCATGTCGGAAGAAACACATGACGCTGCCATTCGAGGCCCAGTGGCAATTCGTGCTGCGATCCTCGTTTCGGGCGTCGTAGGCTGGATGCTAACGGTCACCTTCTGCTTCTGCATGTCAGACTATGATGGGATTATGGCGACACCAACCGGTCTACCTGCTGCACAGATTTTCTTCAACGCTGGCGGCAAAACTGGTGGAACTGTCATGTGGTTCTTCGTCATACTAGTGCAATTCTTCACCGGTTGCTCCGCTATGTTAGCTAATGCGAGAATGGCCTGGGCTTTCTCGCGTGACGCAGCCTTCCCCTTCTCGGGGTAAGTTGTGGCTCCAATTCATCCAGACGACGACGCTGACATGGAATAGGTTCTGGAGCAAGGTCAATCAATTTACACACACTCCGGTCAACGCAGTCTGGCTCGTCGTGGTATTCTGCACCTGTCTCGATCTTATCGGGATCGGCAGTACCTTAACGATAACGGCTATTTTCAACATTACCGCTCCAGCCCTGGACATCAGCTACATTGCAGTCATCATCGCACACCGATGGTATGAAGGCAGCGTCATCTTCCATCCTGGTCCATATACAATGGGTAGATGGAGCAAACCGGTCAATGCGATTGCAGTGACATGGGTCACCTTTATCAGCGTCGTGCTCTTCTTTCCAACAAAAAAGCCCGTGCAAGCCGACAACATGAACTACGCCATATGTGTGGCGGCTTTCATTGGCCTGTTCAGCACCATTTGGTGGTTTGCTGGAGCGAGAAAGTCGTACACCGGTCCACGGACTAGCGACACTATCGACTTGCTTCCTCCAGAAGACCCCGAGGATATTCTTGGCGACTACGACCTGCCTTGATACAAACCGAACCACATTGCATACCCTTAACGGCCTTCACGAAACCTAGAGCGACGGGAAGATTCACAATTAGACGGAGCACCATCATGGAACATGCTGGAGAATATGGAGTCGGAGCGTCCAACTTTCGCTGAATTTTTACACTTCTGGATACTTTCTCGTTCATTACATTACCTGGAGTTGTATAGAGGAGAGACCAGACGCCACGCGCCATTCGTCAATGATATCTATAGATCAGGAGATACCCCAATTAGACCCCCACAGTTCATTCACTTACTTAACCGATCCCTTTGTTTGTTTTTACTGTGATTCTTCATATATGCTCGCCACACAGTAGGAACTTCGCTTTTGCTTTTCACAATGAATTATATGTCGGAATCGCAGTCATTACCGCATGTCACTACTTCGATGTGACTGGTCCCGAAATGGAAGGCAAGGCCTACCTTCCAAGCGTCTTCCACGTCACCTACATGTACAGTAAGATCTAACATCTCAAACTGCCTAGTCTAATGCTCCTCGCTTTAGTGTTGCGACATCTGCCGGATTACACGTGCTTGTATGCCTAATACCAACCATCCCACGCGGCAAGACCGCTTCACTTCTGCATCGTTAGCATGCACCTTCCCAAAGCGGATATTCTCGCAGAAATTAACCCGTCTTGGGATCGCGCCGTGGCGAGGCGCCTCAGTTCCAAGGCCAGAACGTGATGACACACCTTTGAAAAGCCTCAGTCTGGTCTGAGAAGTGAGCATCAGTGATCTTGATCCCTTGGTCGACCATTTCGAACATGTTGCATGCGCTTTCAATATTCTGACAAATGTCAGCATCTCGTGACTGACCTTACCTGCGTCCAACAGCTTATTCTCAACACATCGAGGAAGACGTACAGAATCCCATCTTTAACTATAGCTAATCACTACAACACCGGCTACACAGAGCTACCGCGATTATCGTGCTTGAGTTCCACGGCTTTTAGTTAGTAGACGTCGCTGCTACCAGCATGCCATTCGTAGAAGCAAGTAACGCTCACTAGCACTAATATGACTTGTTCCTCGGCTACAATCTTAGTATCACTGATTCTGAACATGTTGCGGCTTATTTCCCCCTAGATTACCTCGAACCAAAATGGTACAATGTCTTCTACAAGAGCGAGTCTCATCTTTAGCCAAAATGTGTCGAGGAAAATCGCATGCTATAGAGTGCATGTTGGTGTATAGATTTATATATATTGTACTCGTACTCGTGTGAAATTGTAAATAGTACTGTAGATGCAGACATGGGCCGGCTATACGAAGCCCATTTGTTAGGATGGCATTGAGCAGCCATCTCCTAGGACACCTTTGACAGTGGGGATAGAAGACATAATCTCAAATCAACACGGGGTTCCTTCGTTTCTTCGTGTACCTGCTTCTGCAACTCCGCATCGACGAATCCATCAAGGGCACTGAAAATACTACATAACATGGAGCAAAATCTTGAAGCCTTAGATATTCGAGGAGTATAGTGGCACATGTGCGTCAAATACATAAGTCTTGATATTGGATAGAATTCTAAACCCTATATGCATGGCTAAATCATAGCTAGAAAGTAGATGGAGAAGGGTATATCTACAAGGAAAGCATTACGAAGCAACAAGATAAAAGAAAAGTAAAATGAGTGTAACATGTCGACATGAAGGAAGGCTTTTTGTCCGGCCCCATCATTGTGTCGAGAAAATATCGCTAACGTTCTGCCGTGAAAATTCGTTTGCGTTCTGGTGCATGGACTAGCCAGGTCCGCTTCGCTGTATTGCGACTTTCGCTCGTTCTCTGTGTTCCCCTTGCACATGTCGCGCGTTGTGTGTGCGACGTAGATGGCATTCCAGATCCACGCCGTCGACGCCATGTGCTCCGATGCCGTGGAACATATGCCAATGCGCACCCAAAGCAATGGTTCCAATCATCGTCTACGACTGCCTTTTTCTTAACCTCCCCACAAGCCTACCCTGTCACTCTTGTTTGTCGACTCTCTATCATCATGTGTCACGCCCCAATCACGCGATGCGGCAATCATGACCGCCATGTGCCGGCGCGCGCCAACTCCTTCACTCTTATCGCGGGCATCTTGCTGAATCTTCGGCTACTCCCTGTTGAGCTCGACTTAGCGGAGGAGGGTGACGAGGCGTAGACGTATTCGCCGTCGACGTATCGCGCTTCGCTGATGAAGGTCGTGCGTTTTTCGCGGCGTGTATAGCGTTGCTCGAGGCGGTAGAGCTCAAGGCCTAGGTATTTGCTTGTTAATTCACCTTCTTAACCTTGGAGGGGATGTAGGGCGGAGTGGTAGGGGTGAAGGGATTGGTATCTTGGTAAGGGCTGGACGATAAGATAGGGAAGCGTGGTAGGTAAGACATACGTGATTGTAATTTCTCGAAGAAGCCCATGGTGTAAGGTTGTGTAAAGGCGTGCCTTCTTGGTAGCAGTCGGCCGAATGTAGTGTGTAGATCGAGGAGCTCCAAGAGCGGAGAGCGTCGTAGATATGCCTGAAGTGGGATGTCGCGGGTGCTCGACGGCTAATTCCCTGTCACGTTGACGCAAGGCGTAGTGTCAAATATGTGTGGTATGCGGAACTGGGGATTCGATCGTCGAGGAGACTCAATTGCTGGAAGAACGGCTCAAAAACGAGGGACACAACAGATGAAACCGGCAGGGACGACGCAGATCGAAAGGACCGTAGAAAGGCTGGAAGACATGCGCCGAACGAGCGAGCTGCACCAGCCTGCAAGAAGATAGCCTAAGGGTGTTGCTCCTTGCTGGGTTGGTTGCTGGGAGCGGGACGTAGCTTTGGGCTACTGCGTTCGAGTTTCATATGCACAGGTACTTCTCGAAAGCCAAGTCTACTAGTCAGGCCGAAAATCCACATGTACTAGAACCAAGGAGGCCATGGAGCCGGCACCCCGGGATTTCCACGACCAACTTGACTCCACTGCCCTGGTTGTTGAAGGGGATGGTGGGTTGGCTACTGCTAGGTGCACTGCTAGATGCATTCTGCTTCGTCAAATCCAGCTAGGTACAATGCGCCATTGTTCTTCCCAGCACACCAAACACTTCCCGGCTTCCCGAGCAAAGTCTTCCATAGTCAGCATCGTAAAGGCCCCCCCGGGCAGCCGAGTCATTCCTTCGCGTGGAAGCCAGGGGTCTAGGGCTCGTTCTGAAGTTCGGCTCTTGGTGGCGACGGCATGTTTGTGGCGACATCCCTGGTTCAGACGCTCGCTTCAGGGGCGCTTTGAGAATGATCGCTAAGCAAAAAGCGCAGAGCCACGGCATTGAGCAAGCCATTAGCTTCGTCGGTGGCAGATAAGAATACTATGTAGGTGATTATGTTGGAGAGGAACACAGACGCTTTCCTCAAGCGGGTACGAGCGAGGCAATGGCATTATAGTAGATTACCCTGCGGCGCCCCATATGTCACCGTCACTAGCCCCGCCTGTCGTGAATCTATGACCGGTTTCTTTGTGCTCCCGTGCTCCAGGCAAGAAAATGCTCGAAACTACCTCCTACGCTATATGCCATTCAAACGCAATATGCTCTTCTATATCCGTGATTCAGCCCGTGATTCGGGAATGGATCCTTCGACTACGGCAACGGCTCCAACATTTCCTGCGTCGGCCGAACCGTTCAGCAAGGAGACGACCGAAATGACGTCGGACGGCTCGACGAGATGCCAGCTTGCCAATGTTTGCTTCGAGCTCGCACCGACCGTGACTGAGAAGACGTGATCTGTAGGCAACTTGGACTGTCGTAGCGAACGGAACATGTCTGCAAGGATTAGAGTCTGCTCTCGTGTATGCATGGTGGATACGTACCTTCGTCGGTGAAGTCATCGCCTAGGCAGAGGACAAACTCAGGCGGTTCTCCTGGTCCGTCGCCGTATTCCAGAACAAGCCGCTTCGCTATCTCACCTTTGTTGACGAACCTCGGCCGTACCTCAAGATTGGCTTTACCCGTCATGACCTCAACATCATGCTTCTTTGCGACGGTTCTCTCAAGTTGCTGTTGGCATTCGCGTGCCTGGAAAGCTCCATACTCTGGATCAGCTCTCCGGTAATGCCATGTTAGAGCAATCTTCTTGCGTTCGATGAATGAACCTAGTCTACGTCAGTACATTTGCACGTGCCCAAGGCTTCTGCCTTCATACCTTGTGTCCGCTCGGTATAGTGCTGGAAGACATCAATGACATCGGATTGCCAGCTCATGTCGGTCTTCTCGGTCAAATTCTCCCACTCCGTACTGCGTGGATGTCGCATGAAGCTGCCGTGCTCGGCACTAAGACCAAGTTCGGTAATATGACCCATCCATTCATCCAAAAATGCTTGATCTCGGCCACTGATGATCCAAACAGAGTTGTTAGGGTCTGCTGCCAAAGTCTTGAGAGTACGAATGACTCGGTCCGAGGGAATAGCCGCCTGTGGGTCTTTGACTATGGGAGTCAGGGTGCCGTCGTAATCGAACATGAATAAACGCTTCTTTGCTTGTCGGTACTGGAACAACAGCTTTGCGCGGTCCAATGCTGGTGTGGCAAAGGACTGATCGAAGGAGGATAGGTTGGTCATCAGTCGCTTCAGGTAGTTGTTGGTCCAGGATTGCACATTGTTAGCGACGACATGCTTGTAGAGCTGTGCATGTTGTTCTGCCCGCTCTCCTGGATTCAGTTGCAATGCCTTGTTGATAGCATCAGCTACCCCACCCAAGTCCCAGGGGTTGATGTGCATCGCTCCAGAAAGGGAACCTGAAGTGCCCGAGAACTCGGAAAGGATGAGTGGTCCGTGGTTTTCCCTTTGGCAGATGATGTACTCCATACTGGTTGTGTTCATACCATCCCGGACACTAGTGATGAGACCAATGTCCGCAATCCGAAGCAAGGCGAAGTACTCTTCCCGAGAGAGGTACTGTGGAAAATGTCGCACTGGTGTGAAGTCGAGAGAGCCATAGAGACCATTAATCTTAGCCGCAAGATCTGAAATCTTGTTGACTACCTTTTCCTGTGCGCCGTCACCCCTATCCGTGTGAAGCCCACTCGGACTGGTGACTTGAATAAGGACAACTTTTCCTCGCCATTCTGGATATCTCTCGAGGAACATTTCGAATGCTTGGAGTTTTTGAACCACTCCACGAACAGCGTCCAGTCGGTCGCGGCCAACGATGATCTTTTTGTCAGCGTACATTTCACGGATATCATTGATCCTCTCATCGATCTCTGGGTCGCCAAAGGCTTGCCTCTGGGTTGAAGCTGCGTTGATGCCAAGAGGGAAGACATCGACTGCAACATGAGCGCCATAGGCATCGACGCCCGCCGAAGAGGAATCAAAGCCGAGTATCCGTGTGCAACACGAAGAGAAATGCCGTGAATAGCTATAAGACTGGAAGCCAAGCATGTTGGCACCCAGGACACCCTCCAGGATTTCCTTTCTCCTACTGAGACACCTATAGAACTCGCTGCTGGGGAACGGGATATGGAGGAAGAATCCAATGTAGATATTGGGTAGGCGCTGGCGGAGTAGACTCGGTAGGAGCAGTAGATAAAAGTCGTGTACCATGACGATGTCGCCAGGCTTATAGACTTCGAGTATCTTATCTGCGAAGAGTTTGTTCATACGGTAGTAGTCGGCCCACGACTTGCGCGCAGCGCGTCCATCGGCTGGCTCGTTTTGCTTGTAATGGAATAGGGTGTAGAGCTCATTCTCTGCGTACGTTCGCCAGCGGCTCTGGTTCTTCAAGATATATTCATCCTTTCCGTCGTCCACCTCGTCCACCAACCATACTGGGACAATTTTACCTCCATGGTCACGTTCAAGCTGCTTCTCGAGTCTCCCGCGGTCGTCATGGCCAATGCGTAGCCCCGTGGGTTGCTGGGGCACCTGGCTTGGCTGCTTGGGATCGACTGGGATGGGTGCGGCTGCCTTGTTCGTTGGCGCTTGCACAGCAGGAGCGGTAGCGGCCTGCGCACTGGTGACCTCGCCCGTCCAGCCGACTAGAGTGTGGTTCCATGGGGATGAAGAGGAGGCCAAGTAAGAGAAAGAGTCAAACAAAGCAGACGTTCCTCGCCGTGGGGTCAATTCCCACTCATTTCCTGGAGAGTGTCCGATGCTGTATGGTATAGCGAATGTGGCACTGATGATGCGGCCGCTGAGATTGAGTCCTGGATGTGCAGCGCGGGGATCCACATCGGCCAAGTCCTTCTTGGTCGCGGCATCTGTATCAACACTCGGCCGCCTAAGAAGCTCTTCTCCAGTACGAGCGCCTGCGGCTGCCTCAGCCGTAGAGGGGGCGCTGCCTGCCTTTTGCTGGTCCGCGAAGTAGGAGTTTGCGCTCCAAGAAGGCCCTGGGGTAGCTGTGTCCGGGTCGAAAGGTAGCTCGCTGTTCTTCTCGGCTTGGGAGTCCTCGAAATAGGCCGACTTGCCAGTCAGGTGTACGCCGGGTGTAACGGGGACATTGGTGATGGAGGGGTGAAGCGCGGGGTGCTCACTTTCGCGAGGCTCGAAGGATTCAGGCTCTCCTGATTTGGGTATCGTGGGCGCCATGATGGCAGCGCTGTTCTCGAGTGTGTCGCGCTGCATAGTTGTCAGAGGATGTGAGGCTCGCAGGACGGTGGCAGACGACGGTTAGAGACCGGAATCATAAAGAATGGGGTAGTGATTGCAGAGCGCTCTGCAGGCTGCGAAGACTTACCTTGGGTGCCGAAGAGCTCTTGCCTGTGGTGTGGTTGCTGAGGAACGAGCAATTCTGGATGGTTTGGTGGTACCTGCCTACTAGCTAGGTAGGATATCGCGCTACACCTGTCACAGGCAGGAGGAAAATTCTGGTTGAGCCAAAGCGAGCGGCGGATGTAGGAAGAGGAGAGTAAGAATACGTCGGCAAGTGTTGTTGGGCTAGCAAAGACGGAGAGGAAGGGCAATGGAGGAAGAAAAGCTGGCCTTGGTGGCATGCTGAAGCAGCCCACCAACAGACGTCACAGGCGCGAGCCGCTCGGGCCATATATTAAAATGCATCAGCAGCAAGGATGGGATGGACTCGACTCGACTCGACCCGACCATTACTGTCTCTTCCTGCTTGCACGCGCTGTCCTCACATACCGCTTATCCGCTTTGTTGGGCGTGCTTCTCATCCATCCATCAATCAACATCATGTCACTATCAGCACACTTTCCCACCCAATCGGGCGCGCATTGCCATGGAGCTTGAGCGCGGTGTGCGAGCCATGGTGGGGTATCTATCCATCGCCAACGTTGTTTGACCGTTTGCATGCATGAACCAACTAGCGGTAAACCTGACCATGATAGCAACCCTTTGCATTTTCATCTTTGCTTCGACGGAATGAAGCAATGAAGAGGGCAGAATCCCCGCGGGAGTGAGCTCTGGTGCACCCAGTCTGCAAGCTCAACCCAGACTAGCTCCTTGGCGCGTAGTACCAGAGTCGCAAAAGACTTCGTTCGCCGTGCTGGAGACGACGACCTCAAGTCACGTCCCTGGCCCTGTCCTTGCTGCGAGTCGTTGTCGCTGCGAGCCTCCTCATGCAGTCCTCGCGTACTCGGCTGATATGTCGCGCTCATAACCGCTTCACGCCCTCGATCGTTCTATGGCAGCATTTCGTCGCACCCAACCCGCCTATCCTCAATAATCAGCAGCGCCTTTCGTCCTCGGCAACGGGAACCACAGGAGCCTCACAAGGTCGCGCTACCGACAATGGCCTAACTCTTGATCCTCACGAAACGAGCAGTCTCCAACAATTCGAAAGCGAGATAGCAGCATCAGAAGACATTACTCTGAGGCCAGCTCCAACAATCAGAAAAACGCCCACTGCCAGGGGCCATTGGTTTGAAACCAAGGTGGAAGCGTCAATTGCCAAAAACGTTCGAACGAAGTATGACAGTCGGCAAGCCTCGCTCAACGCGTCCGAGGAGCTGCTAGCTTCTGCAAGAGCTGCCTTCGAGCTGTCTTCAGATTACGAGGGTATTGTTGTCCAACCTATGGCAAGTCGTAAGGCTATCAAAGAAAGTAGTCTGCCATGGTGTCTCAAGGACGAAGAGAGGACCATGTCCGGGATTGACAGGTACGTCAAGGTTGTGCGCAGTGCCGGGGGCACATGCTGACTTGGGCTACCTAGACTTGCTATTGAAATTGAAAGATTTTACGAATTTGCAAGGCCAACCCGGTATGAAAACGTCGCACGGAAACACGTCATCAAACAGGTGCAAAGCCATGTTCGACAATTCCTTCCAGACCACGTACTCGAAGTGTTCGGCTCAGAAAGGACTGGCATACCCCTCGCTATGTCAGACATTGATTTTCGGTTGATATGGCGGTCCAGGGTGACAGACCCTGCGCAGGCTAAGTTGCCACCGACGCGCAGTGAGCGATCAGAGGCAATGAAAGACCTGCGGGAATTATACTGGACCAACTTGAGGAGACACAAAGCATACTTGTTACCTAAGCTCCGCTACGCGCGGTATCCGCTCATCTCGATGCAGGATCGACAGTCAGGGTTGGACGTACAGATCGTGTTGTCGAATGATACCTCTATATCGAGAGTGATCATGCATGACTACATGGAGCAGTATCCCTATTTGCGTCCGGTATACTATGTCGTCAAGACCATGTTTGACGTCCGTGGGCTCTCGGACGTCTTTCGGGGTGGCTTTGGCTCATACTCGCTCTTCATGATGATTGTAGCCAGTGTACGGCACAAGCCAAACCCACGAAACGATACCGCAGGAGCCTTGATCAATTTTCTATCATTCTGGCGCGACTTCGACACAAGGAAACAAGGCATCTCCATCGAACCACCCGAGTTTTTCGACAAAGACTCGGACCTGTTCATCACCGACGAAGTCAAATCCAAGATCAAGGCAAGTAAACAAACCACTCTGAACACTTCCGCATGCATATTAACGGATCATTAGGCAGGGACGGTCAATGACCTACCTTCGTATATGCTCTCCCTCCGCGACCCCGCCGACGAAACCAACAATTTAGGTCGTAGAGGTATTGCCATAAAACATGTCCAAGCCACTTTCAGCTTGCTCCTTCGACGGTTGAGAGCTGACATGAAAGCCAACCAACGCCCTTCCCTCCTATGCCCGCTAGTCGGCCACTCATACATGCTTGACTATGAACGCCGCGGCAGGTTGCAGGATTACGGGAGGAAAGTGATGAGACAGACGCAGGCGGGTCTTGCCGTAAAAGCAAAGGCGATAAGGGATGCAGAGGATAAGGAGACGACGGAGAAGGAGGCAATGGACAAGGAGACGATGGGCATGGCCGTAGAACAGGAGATGAAAGAGGAGGAAGAAACGCTAAGATTGGCGAGGGAGGAGAGGGATAGAGAGTGGCAGCGCTTGGCAAAGGCGAGAGACGAGCGCTTGAGGCTAAAAGCGGAGAGTTTGAGTTTGCTGGAACATGGGGAGGCTACAGCCAATATCTTGGACATACCCGCAGTGGAAGAGGATGCGAGCACCAAAACTATGGGTGCACAAGACGAAGGACAGTCTAGACCAAATCAGCCGGCTGAAGTAACCATAGAGTCGAAAAGCTCATAAAGTGTGTGTGTGTGTGTGTCAAGGAAGCCGTTTTGCATAGCGGTAGCATGGAAGGCGCATTTTGAGCCGTTGCTTCGCTGGATCAATCATATACCGCATGTAGAGAATTAGCTACCTAGTCATCCACTCATTGCGAAACACTATGCAACACGTCAAGTTCACGAATCGCTAGGCTCATGTAATGTACGCGACGGTAGTTTAACTGTAGGCATCAGAAGATACTTTCCATATTACCTATACACACCGCCAATCAAGATTGTAGAAAGAAAGTGTTATAGTGGAATGAGCCCGTTCTACTAAGAGTGATGATAGCAAGCACTATGAATCCCGTCCAGCATGCATGCCGAAGTACAGAAAACTCCATCATCTCGCCATGCCATGATATCTGTTCTTGACATCCGTCCTCCACAGCAGTCGTCGAATGCCGTCATGAAGCGTAAAGAAACCCCTCCCATCCATCACCATGCTTCGTCTACCCCTAGATGGCATACTTTCGAGTCCACTCCCGAGCCGTTGATTCGTACCGAGATCGGTCGGTCTTGTAGACGTGTGCAATCTCGGGGACAAGCGGGTCGTCAGGGTTCGGATCTGTCAGCATCGAGCAAATGCTCAGTAGCACTATTATGTTGTCAGCTTTCATCTTGGTGCACTGGGTGCTGTTCAAGGTATTCGTACCCTTTGAGATGGTCAGAGCGGGGCTCCATTGGTCTCGCAGAATATCCAAGCAGATGCTGCCGTTGGAGTTGATGTTGGGGTGGTAGATGCGGGTGGTGAAGTTGACCTTCGGGGGCTTGAAGGGGTAGTCGGTGGGGAAGTGGATCGCTAGGAAAAAAACGCCGCCCGAGTATGGTGAGTCGCTCTGTTCGTATGGTTAGTTTTGGGACGCGATTGAACGTGGTAGGTGGTAGGTGGGACGGTGTGGCGGGGCTTCGTGAATTCCCGCATTTCGTGACAAAGGTGTACGTACAGGACCCATGATGGTTGCTTGCCAGTGGAACTATCGCATAGTTAGTACACTGGTTCGTGGTCTCACCGCGGCCATATCGGCGAAACCGCCTCAGCCGCGGGGGATCCTGGACAAAGAGTTGCATACCAGATCATCTCCGATGGGACCAGCTGAGCAGGAGGAAGGAGGATCACTGTAGGTAGTGTGTTAGCCAGACATGTCGAAGACTATGTTGTCGTGACGCTACGCCGTTATGTGACGGTGCAGCACCCCGCATGCGTAGGCTGTCATGCGAGCAAACGGGCAGGCTTCGCCGTCGAAGGAAGAGAGGGGACCACGTACCGACCGAGGTCAGTGAGTTCCTTGTTGATGCGCTTGAGAGCCATGGCTTGTGTGTGGACGTTGTGTGTGGCGTGTGGAGTGGGAGAGCGGTTTCTGGGAGAGGGCAGAGAGAGCGGTGTTGAAGAGTTGAAGTGGGCTGTAGCAGGGCGGTTAGCGTTGATCCTGGGCCCGAAAGAAACCAAGTGCGTGTGGCGTATCAGCGGAAGCAACGCCCGCCACGCCCAACGTACCTGTGACTCTCTTGAGTGAGAGGCGATAGCAGAGGCAAGTCGTCGGGAGCCAAGAGGAGCGTTGAGGGGATTCACAGCTGGGGCTGAGCAGGCACGACGGCACTGATCATGTATCACGGAACAGCCGCACAGGCGAGGACAAGGCCAGAAAATTAGATTCACCGACGGTTTTCACACAGGTGGCAACGTATGGAAGACTGGAGAACGGACGCCGCGAGGCTGACTGACATTCACATCACCGAGAGTGACCAGAGCTTTGCGTCTGCTGGCTTTATACTTGTTTGAGCGCATGCATCTTCTGTATTCATTCGTCTGCCTGCACAACATTGCATGTGCAGCAGCGGCGGCATAAGCTGACGGTGCTACACGAGTCTAATTGGTGCGCGTCTTCCACACCCGTTTACGGTAGTACAGCGACAGCATCTTCACTTCACAGCCAGAGTATCACAGCAATCAGCAGAAGCCTTGAATGCCCGTGATGGCTCGACCGAGGATGAGCGCTATACAACGCATTAGTCAGGATCGACACCGTCGTCAATCGGGTACTCACAGTGGATGTCGCTTTGCCCTTCATATGTCTGCGTCACAAACAAGTTCGCCACATGCCTTCCAATGCCGTACTCGTCGGAGACGGCGTTTCCACCAAACACTTCCTGGAGCCTAATCGCCGTCAGCAAATACTAATACACACACGCAGCACATTACTCACGTTCGAGCATTGATCAAAGCTCGGTCACAGTTCTGTCGCTTGATCATGGAGATCATCTCTGGTGAAGCCTTGCCCTCATCCTTGAGCCTTCCCACCTGCTGAGCAGCCAGAATACCATATGCAGCATCTGTGGTTGCATCCGCCAGCTTCTTCTGTACAAGCTGGTACTTGGCAAGCGGGTTGCCTTTGAACTGTTTCCTCTCCAGCGCATACTCCCGCGTTCTGGCGATGCAGTCTTCCAGTGCGCCAATGGTGCCCCAGGCGATGCCATATCTTGCCGAGTTCAAGCAGCTGAACGGTCCTCTCAGGCCTTCTACGTCGGGGAACATGTTTGCTTCTGGGACTGGGCACCCATCCATATGGATCATTCCGGTGATGGAAGCTCGAAGGCCGTTCTTGTTCTTGATAGGAGGTGTTTCGAGAGTACCGGGTGGGCATTGGTCACGCTCAATAACAAAACCACGAATCTTTCCTGTGCTTTCCAACTTCGCCCACACAAGTAGGACTTCAGCAATCGGCGAGTTGGTGATCCAAGTCTTCGAACCAGATAGCGAGTAGTAGCCTTTCTTGGTAGGATGCGGCTTCGCGACCGTCTCCATCGAGCCTGGATCGGAACCGTGATTTGGCTCAGTAAGACCGAAACAACCCAAAAGCTTGCCCTTGGCCATCTTTGGCAGAAGGCGTTCCTTGAGCTCCTCTGTCCCAAACTCTTCGATGCCACCCATGGCAAGTGCGCTTTGGACGGAGTAGCCGGATCGATAACCCGAGTCGACTCTTTCTACTGCTCTCGTGATCAAACCAGATGCAACACTGCTGACACCTGCACATTCGTAGCCCTGTATAGTCGCACCTAGTAGACCTAGCTCGCCCATCTCTTCAAGAATCTTCCTGTCAAAGTCTTCATTGCGGTATGCCTCTGTAATCATACGATTGCGTTAGCGAAGTGCTAAAAAACTAACTCATGGCATGCTATACCTAGAACTCTTGGGAGCATCCGCTCCTGGCAGTACGACTCAGCTGTCTCTGATATGGCTATTTCTTCCTCTGTAAACAAGTTCTTTGCGTTCAGCGGGTCTGTCCAGTCAAAAGGTACCGGGGTATGCAAATGTCGCCTTCCGATGGCTGCGGAACGCGCCGAGGTCTTCAATTGCCTTGTGGCATGTCTGCAAAATGGTCGGAGCATCATGAAACGATGTGATTAAAGAGTGAAGAGTTGTTCAAACCCGTAGACAATAATTGGTGTTTTGTCAGTAGAGAAGCTGTGCATTATTGGACGACATTGGCCTCGGAAACCCCACACTCCAAAGAGCCGCGGTTCGGAAGCACTCCGCAGTGGTGGCAATGCATCATTACAGTCCGATATGCAGCTATCAACGCATCTTTTTCATGCGGCGGATTACTCGTAAAATAATGGACAGTAAAGAGTCCCAAAAATGTAATCACATGTATGTGTCGAGTAAATAGCGCCAAGACATGCAGACCGTGATTGCGCGCCATCCATGTGCGACGCGAACGCGACGTGACGTGGTGCTCACAAATATCACTGACTTGCTCCAACCTCCACCACAGCTGCCTACGCCCTCAACCCACGACACCCACCTTGAAAACCACCCACACGCCCAGACTTAACGGTGGATTGAGGCCTACAAGCAGTCAATATGGGCATCAAACATCTCTACCAGCTCATCCAAGAGCATGCTCCTGGCGCGATCAAGACGGGTGAGATTAAAAACCAGTTCGGTCGCAAAGTCGCTATAGTAAGTCCTCTGCAACTCAAGCATGTAAGTCACTAACATGTCTAGGATGCGTATGTATACGCCCAGTCACGAAAAAAATTGTCTTTCTCATCGTATCTAGGTCCATGAGCATCTACAGCTTCCTCATCGCTGTGCGCTCCGACGGCCAACAGCTCATGAGCGACACGGGCGAGACTACGTCTCACCTCATGGGTCTCTTCTACCGCACACTCCGCATGGTCGAAAACGGCATCAAGCCGCTCTACGTCTTCGACGGCGCTCCACCGAAACTCAAGTCTGGCGAGCTCGCAAAGCGCTTCCAGCGCAAGTCCGAAGCGCACGCGGCCGCCGAGGAAGCAAAGGAGACCGGCACAGCAGAGGACGTGGAGAAGTTTTCAAGAAGGACGGTCAGGGTGACTAGGGAGCATAATGCGGAGTGTCAGCGACTGCTTAAGTTGATGGGCATTCCGTTCATCGTTGCGCCAACCGAAGCGGAGGCGCAGTGTGCGGTGCTGGCGAGAGGCGGCAAGGTGTATGCTGCTGCGAGTGAAGACATGGACACGTTGACGTTCGATACGCCCATCTTGCTGAGGCATCTTACATTTAGCGAGCAGCGCAAGGAGCCGATTCTAGAGATCCATGTGGACAAGGTGCTTGAGGGTCTGGGGATGGAGCGGAAGCAGGTAAGAATCCTGACCCAAGACGCACTTGAGGATTAGACTGATTGCGTTACAGTTCATCGATCTCTGCATTCTCCTCGGCTGCGACTACCTCGACCCCATAAAAGGCATCGGCCCTTCGACCGCTCTGAAAATGATCCGCGAGCACACCGACCTCGAAGGCGTAGTCGACCATATCAAATCCGCCCCCAAGTCCAAACTCACCATACCAGAGGACTGGCCCTTCGCCGACGCGCGTCTCCTGTTCCTCGAGCCTGACGTGCGGCCTGCCGATGCCCCCGAATGCGACTTCAAGTGGGAAGCACCGGACGTTGAAGGGCTCGTCAAATTCCTAGTCGAAGAGAAGCATTTCAACGAGGACAGGGTACGCAACGGATCAGCAAAGTTGCAGAAGAACATGAAGACGGCGCAGCAAAGCAGGCTGGAGGGCTTCTTCAAGCCAGTCGAAAAGACAGCAGAGGAGAAGGCAAGCTTGAAACGCAAGGCGGACGACAAGCTGGAGGCGAAAAAGAAGAAGCAGAAGGAGGATGCGAAGGCGAAGAAGCAGGCCAAGGCCAAGCCAAGAACTGCTGGGTAGAGGGCATCTCGCGAGCCTCTTGTGCGAATCACCAAATCAGAAAGCTGGCTCACCTGCGGGCGTTACATGGATGGTCTTTTGGGAGTTCAAGTGGCGTTTGAACATGGTTCCTACTTATGGAGCCAAATGCAGATCGGGTTACACTACAGGTTTCTTTATACCTGCAGTTAGCTTTCGACGCATCTAAAGAGACTGCTGAATAGCTACCTCTTCACACGAGATTTTAGAAGATACCAATCACGGATCATCATTTCAAAGTTGACATTGCCTGACTGTGTTCGTCTATATAGACTACTTCAATACCAGGCCGTTTGACGGCGACAATTGACGTGAGATACCGCTATTTCCACGTGCAGATCACTCAGCTACAGAGAGGATCAAAAAGTGTTGGGCAATTGGTTTTACCATTGGCTTCTTACTTGTGGCACGATGCACACCCGCCTGCGGTAAGCTTACATCGCACAGTTGATCTGCGTCATGTTACTTCCCTAGCTTCCTCGAGAAGTCTCTATATGCGACATGTTGGTGGAATCAGCAGCTGGTCTAAAGGACTATAGACGCGAGACGGCTTCATATAGACCTTGGAAGTCTCTCTTCTTGATTCGTTAGAGTCAGATCCTACAGCATGCTTAAAGTCTGTCATACAAGTCTGCGGAAAAGTTTGATTCTAATCAGGATAGATGCGGTCCTCTGGACCCAGTTTCATCCTTGTTCTTGCCTTGGGCGCATCATGTTGAGGACGCTGTTTTGAGTCTTCGGGGCAAGCTTTAGCGGCGAGAAGCGTGATTCAGGCAGGCGGCGGTTTGCTTTGATACTCTCGAGGACCCTGTATATAAGTGTCAGTAGTGTCGCTACAGAGGTGCTTTTCTTTTGCCCAATCTCCCTTGGCATGAAGCCAGGATCGAGAAGCGTGGGGGACATGACAACAAAAGAGGCACTGACCATTCAGCAGTGATGAATTTGACAGCTTTTCCAGCACTCCTTGCAATCTCCTTCTGTATCTTGCTTGCAGCTAATCCGCCGCCTATGCCACCACGTGCGTTTGCTGCAGCTAGGATGACGTGCGTCACGGAACGTCGGCCTAATGCAATCGAGTGTCTGGCACCATGGGCAGCCAGTAGGTGTTTCAGCTTGTGGTCGGAGACCAAGGGAGCGGTTGAGCCGTTTACGTAGAAACATAGGCCAGTAAATATTTGTTTCTCAGGAAGGGCCGAAGGGGGGCAGGGAGGGTCGTCATGGGGATTTGAGTTGGAGTCGTCTGCTATCTCGTTGTTAGACTCCGCATTTGGTATCGGCGTTGTGTTTAAACTCTGTCGAAGCTTTGGACTGCAGACGGCATCTTGTCTCAAGGGAGGTCGGTGACCTGCCTTCTGGGGAGTAGTGCGGGGAGACATACCTTTATCATAATCAAGATGGCCTTCTATATGACCCGAATGAGACGGGACATGCTCAGACTGACCACGGTCGACTTCGGGGTGCTTCCCGTTTGATATCTTCCTGTCCGTCTTGCTAGCACCCCAGACCTCAGCTAGGCTCTTCTGTCCGCCAGTTCGCAGGCCCTTTGCGCCCTTGTCCCACCCGCCATTGGCCTTCCTTCCATCTTCGCCAAAGTCTTCACTGCCTGCACCAACTGTGTCTGCTACCCTCTTCCGGCCACCAGTCAACCCACCTTTATATTGCTCGCCAAGCTTCAAGTTCCGTGAATCGCGCCATGATGTAGAACCTGAGAGACGATTTTCTGCGCGCTGGTGGCCGGTAGAGCTGCTATTCCAAGGGTCGAAGAAGGTACGCGACGCTGGCGCGACAACAGCGGGGGCGAGAGAAGGGTTGATAGCACGTGGCGAGGACGAGGTTACTTCGGATGAGGAAGGCGCAAGTGATCGGCTACTAGCATCGTGCGTATCGTATGAGCTTTGGTCCGCCATAAGCTTGACCATGTCGGGCGGTGATCTAGACGCGCTCCTCTGCGTCGCCTCACAGTTAGCCTGAGACGCCCCATATCCATGCAATGTGACGAGTGTGAGCACGCTGCATTCAACGTGTGCGGCCTCTGCAGGCGAAGTCGCCGAAGCCCACTGACGTCGGAACGGGGGTTCGACAACCGCGCTGGAAGGGGGATGGTGTGGCTAGGTACTTACCCTGTTCGCAAGCTGCTGCAGGTCGCGGGGGCGTGTTGGGTGTGAGAAAAAGCAAAAGGTGCGTGTGTCACGGTCCTGTAAAATGTCTGTCGGGCCGCATTGCAAAAATAAAGTTCGAGGTCGGATGAATAGCACCAGGGCGACGATTCATGTTTTGTGAGTGAATGGGGGATTGTACTGGGAAAGGAGGGAAAGGCTAGAGGAAGGTGTCAACAAAGATGGCGTCTTTGCCCTCGGGCCAAAACAACCCAACCCCACCCATCCTATGACATTCAGTCAGTGCAGCTTTCAAGGCATCACTTATATCGTAATATTGGTCAATGTGCAAGAGTGACAAGATTGATATTGTTCTGTGTACATGATGCGCGCAAGGTCGTTTCCCATTTCCCGTGTTAGCATACAAACAAAAACCAACAACCCCAAATTTTACCACGCCATGCCCATGCCCTAAAACGCCGTGCTTTGATCCATACAGAGAACACACTGGCTCTGTAGTATGAACATGCCCAAGATATCGGAGCCAAGTGAACTTGAAATTTTCGACCCGTGAGAGTCCCCTCTGAGAACGCCTGCTAACAAAGAAGATGCTGCGGCTGTAACACCGCTAATTGAACTTGTAAGAGCCGTGTCAATGACTTCGGCGATTTGGTAAAAAAACAAATGGGGAAAAGAAGAAAATGGGAAACAGCTCCCGGTTATGCACGTATTACACCGTGCCTAGGTTCATCACAACGTTTCAGTCCGTGTTGTGCGGAGTGACCGCGTTGTATTGATTTTTCCTTCCAGGCCTTGCATGGTGAGAGTGTCGTGCATCGGAATATGCTCGCAAATAAAAGTAAAGGTTGTCGTAAGTTCGTAATAAGTTCGTTCCTGTCTCACGACAGCTTCGCGTGTGTGTCTATACGTGGCTGTTGCCGTTCTTGCTGACTGACGCCTCGTAAATCATACGATGCTTCTTCATTTGCTCTGCGTCGAAAGGAACGGCATCACTACCCTTCCTGCTGGCCAGGGATAGGGCGCTGCCGTTACTGAATTTGAGGCTGGCTAACGACCGTGCCTTCTTTAACGTTTTCTTTCCAGTGTTCTCGGCGGATTGAGGAATGAAATCGGCAGCAGCAGGCTGTCCGATTCGAACGATCTCGTCAACTTCCGGTCTTGGCTTGACGCGCATGCGCTTGAACTCGCGGGTGATCCTCTCGAGTTTACTGAGGCCTTTAGGGGCCGGTGCAAAGTTCGGCAGTGGCGCCGTCGCTTGTCTATCGAGTAGATTTGAGCCTACACTCGGTCTACGTTCGGATCCAAAGCTCACGCCAGAGTCGTGTTTCTTCTCTTTGCTGCGCTCATTCGCGTAGCGGTCGAATGTCTCTGGGCCTGTCGTTTTCATACAGTCCTCGATGATGTTTTTCGCTACGCGGAGATACTTGTCAACCGTATTCTGGACAGAGGGCCAGCCAGTCACGTCGCCTGAACCTTTGTTCTTGTCGATGATAGGCTGCAGGACCACTGGGCCATGCTTCTGCACGCGGCCGATCATATCGAAGAAGCACTGGCGCTCTTCCTTCAACGTCTGATGGTTCAATAGTGGATGGAGCTTTGTCTGGTCACGCATGGGGGGAAACAAGGTATTGAGCAGGCTTAGACAGTCGAGCTTATTGAATGGCTCCTCTGATAGCACATTGATCATGATCTAGATCAGTCATCGTTAGCTAGGTCGCTCGCAAAATGAAGGAGGTAGCTTACCCATCGGCGCAGACCAAGCCACATCATAGCATAGTACTGGTCGGCCTTTTTGTTTTTGCCCTCAATGTTTCTGACCCATAGGGCAATTCCTGGGAATTTTTCGGCCATGAAAGCCATATCAGTGTCGTATGTATCCTCGTGGATGTGCAGCCTCGCAAAGGCCAAGTTTGTCTCCCTACGCCGTCGGGAGTCCAAATCATTCAGGTAGTCCAGCGCTGTCAGGGCTTGGTTCCAGTCGACGAGGCCAATCGAAGGATGGAAACATCGACTGACAAAGTTGACAATGAAAGTAGGTGGTAACGAGCCAGGTCGTGTAGGTAGGGATTGCAGCTGCTTCATGAGTTGCGACGTGAAATTCATCGTCGCAGCCTCGGCACCATTCCAGGCAAACTGGCCGGTAACTGGTGACGCATTGCCCGAATTTCCACTAGGTGTTTGGGCGCGAGAAAGATCCTTCGGAAGAGATTGGGCTTTGCGATTGAGCTCGTGCATGGTCCGGAGCGGAATGTCGTAGGAGCCAGGGTACTGTAATACGTGCTCGAGAATGTACGACATGGGCGCGATATTCGACTCTTCTGACGCACTGCGCGAGTGTGTCGATGCCATGGTGGTGGTGTTGATGATGATGGTGGTGGTATAGTGTAGTTGGGTTGTATCGAGGTCCAGACGCTGTGTTTTGGCCGTCGCGAGACTCGGGATACGGATGCCACAACACGCCACAGAGGAAAAAATAAAATAAGGTATCGCCTGTTGATAATCTAGGTCTTGAACAATTGGGGTCGGAGAGAATAAAGGGCGGTCCGTGAGCACAGCTTAACGAATTGCACGTGAGGTGGGTGGGGTGGTAGCGTGTGATGAAAAACGAAGGGCAGGGCGTGCTAGGAAAGCCGGAGCAGGGAGGCCGAGAGAAGGAAGGCAGTTGTGAAGCTGCCGTTAAAATGCAGGTATGCTCGCGATGCTCGCCGCGTAGCTCTAGTCTGGGTGATGGGCCAGTGTTCGGAGTCGTCTCCAGACAAGCACCCCGGTCTGGTCACAGTTTGGGTCCGGGGACAAACGTGCAGCTGGGCACAGTGCGGGTAGGGTAAACAAATGAGGGACGGACGCGGCCGAGGCAACGCCAATTGCTGGTGTGAATGGGAAACGGAAAGAAGAAGGCGGGCACGAGTCTGCTACAGAGAGTGAGGTATTGAGGTGAGAAGACACTGGTCGCTGGCTGTGGGCTCGGAAAGGTTTTGCGTTTCCTCTGGTCTACACGCACGTCGCGGCCCCTGCAGCGCCACATATGCATGCCCGCAAACGCGACCATCACGCCCGCCCGGGCCATCTGGCTACGGACAGGGATCAGCAGAGGCATTAGAGGTGAAAAGAGAAGCATTGCAGGGGTTGCGGCGTTGGTGGGCGGGGAAGCTGGGAGGTGATCCAGACGTGCTGAAGATGGCTAGCACCGCCTTGTTTTACAATGCCTCCAAGGTTTTTCAGCACACGAGGGACTCGAGGCCGACCCCGCCCCGGTGCAGCTCAGGCACATTGGGCCGCCTGGAGAAGCACACGGCAGGGGAACCTCAGGAGCGCAGAGGTGGTTGGCGACGGACGGGCGTGCAAGAGGGGCTGGCTATATACTGTTTATCCAAACTTGTCGTGAGAGCGCCCTGCATTCTACGGTTGAATAGAATGGCTGACCAGCGGCATGTACCACGAGGAGCTTAATTAGCTAGTCAGAGCAGAACAAAAAGGGTTTGTGGTTCCGCCAGCTTCCATGGCACTGAGTCGTGCTTGGGCTGTCCAACTGTATGCGAACGCGGCGCTCTAACTTGATCTCTGTTGGGCTTTTCCAAGACGGGTGCCACCAAATCGAACATGACTGAAGGAGGGCGATCACAGCAGTTGGACCCGATGCAACTCCTGAAACTTACCTTGGACCTGCTGCAGACTACACATGCACATGCAAAAGGTACCGCCGCCATCCATTCAGAAGTCGCGAATTCTACCGTATAGCCAATGAGAAAAACCTCGACGGTGCTGCTACGCCTGCATAGTCTCCATAAAGCCTGTATCGGCTCTTGGCGGGCTCCTCATCTCAGACCACGAGGGGCACGTCAAGACGACTGGTGATTGTGCAACAAGTTGATAAGTTTACCCGATGCTTCACCTGTGTCAGTGGTGCTGCCCCGCTACGCCGTATAGACACCCAGCTGCATCTTTGCTTGCTTTACTACCTCACTAACTGTCCAGCGTGCAACACCTCGAGCATGTGGCATGTGAGCAGCGAAGGATGGAGGATGGGGCGGAGGGTGGAGGCTTGCGGCGAAGCAAGGCCAGTGTTGAGCTGAAAGACCCTCTCAAAATATTGGCTCACGCAGCCTAGACTCGCCAATCGAGCCCTCGAGGAAGCTCGAGCACCATGACAAGCCGAGGGTACCTTGCAGACGCGACCTCAGCAATGCCCACGCCCCCATGTCCCCCGTTGGACTCCCCCGTCTAAGGCTCTAAGGCATGCTGCGCGGGATATCACCATTATCGATAGAAAAGGTTGCTTATCTTACAAAAAGCAACGCGACAGCCCGCTCAACGACAAGTTGAAACGTAAAATTGCGGCATGATACGACGCGGCGTGGGACGACGCAGGTGCTTAGAAGTTCGGACGAGGCCCAACCCAACTAAATGAACGCACGCCACCCGCTGTCAATGGTTCCTATTGACTCTGCGTAGGAAATGAGCCCAACGGCATTGCATCATGACACGCGGGAGACTCTCCTTGCGAAAACAACAGCCAAGGGTGGATCCCAGTTTTGGACCTGCTGTGTTCCTTTCTCAATCATGCGGAGGACGCATCATCCGATGTCACTCTCAACAACGGTGTCCTTATATTCAGGCTTAGCTGTCCCACTTTAACTTTGTGAAGTTACTTCATCCCAGAGCATTGGTTCAACAGACCCTCTATTCCATCACTCCCGCCATTCCGAACTTCGCTTGTGGGGGCTGGGGCCGGTACCAGCAGCCTTCGGAATCCTATCCTAGTGTACATGCAAAATCAACAAGTGCAGGTCATTCATAACCTATCCTTGGAATTAAAATCTCCGAGACCATCTTCGTGGGATCTGAGAACTCGAGCACAGCATCTAATATCGGTGCATCCTCGCCACAGCTGGTCTCGGGCCCACACCCAACATCCCAGTGTCTGATTCGCCACAGCTAAGAGTCGGTTCCTGAAATAGGAAGCGACGTAAACGCTGGACGAAAACGAAGCGCATGAACTATGATTTCTGATCCGACGTGCCACACAACTGATTCGAACGGGTAAGCAGGCCGCAAATTATGTCGCGGGGCGTGGGTTCATGGAAACCTTGTTGAGTTTGCTGCCTCGCTAGAAAGGGGTACGGTCCGATTCTCAGCTCCGTCATTGTCAGACCAGAGAAGGCTGCGGGACTCGCACGAATACGAGCTTCGAGTCTTGTGTTCAATATCACCGATATGTTGTGTCGTGGTAGTGTTGCATTTGGTGTTACGGTCGAAATCTGGACTTCGATGTAGCTGCGTAGCCACGGGCTGTTGATGGACACGTCATCTCAAGATGGCGAGCATGCCGCCCATTTTTTTAGTTTCAGCCTTACGGGGTGAACATTTGCATCCCGGTTGCAGGCCTACTTTGAATTGACTATATGTATTTGTCTTGCGAAGAGACGGCGGCAAGTGCAATTGAGCACTTCCAAACCTGCACACCCAGATGATGTGAATGTGCTTCAACATCTGGCTTATGGGAAGCCGGGGACATTTGTTTCGGTACCAGTATGAGTGATGTATATTTCTTGAACTCTCTCTCATCTTCTTCTTCTCATTGACAGGGCGGGGTAGCAAGGTCGTTCTATGTGCGCCCTAGATGAGTCATCCTGACCACGTTTCTACGTCTATAACGTCGACATGAAGCAGCACGCTCCAAGATACATTCACAATCAATCAATTCATTGTCTAATCTGGAATGACTCCAACCACTCAGCTCGAATTCGTGACTGTCGATGTGTTCACATCGCAACCCTACGAAGGGAACCCGCTGGCCATCGTTCGAATTCCACATGGTCGCAGCGTCAGTCAAGAGGAGAAGCAGACCATTGCTCGCGAATTCAACCTCTCAGAAACCGCTTTTCTGCACGAAAAGAGTGGAGGCGCTCAAGAAGATGCATGGACCGTAGATATCTTCATCACTACGAAGGAGTTGCCCTTCGCTGGTCATCCAACAGTGGGAACGGCCTGTTATGTTCTTGGAAGGACCGCTCAAGAACGAGGTGTTCGAGATGGCGTAATTGAAGCGAGCTTCAAGTTGAAAGCTGGACCTGTCGGGTTGCGGTATGATGTAGCGAAGAGGACGGCAAGAGCGGACATACCTCATGATGTGTATGTTTGGTTTACCCTTACGTCGCATGAGTTAGACAGCTGACCGTTTTAGTCACATTCATAAGAAGAGATGGACCCGAGATGAGCTTTTTGCATTACAATCTCGATTGGCAGAAGCTTTCCAACAAAGCGTGATTCGGGCTCGAGAGGATTACCCTATAGTGTCCATTGTCAAAGGCATGACGTTTGTTCTTGTTGAACTTGAGAGTCTAGAAGCGCTGAGTTTGGTATCTCTGGCTAGCCACGCTCTCAAGTTTGATGACTTGGATGAAGGCTGGAGCGACACTTTTGTCGGCGTGTACTTCTTTGTTCGAACCGGCAAAGGCAAGGACGGATCGACGGCGGTGAGAACGAGGATGATCGAAGGCCCACTCGAAGACCCAGCGACTGGAAGCGCAGCGAGCGACTTAGCAGCGTATCTCTCGATAGTGGAGGGAAAGGCTAGTGAGACATTGAAGTACGAAATAATACAAGGGGTCGAGATGGGAAGACGAAGTGAGATTTTCTTGGAGACGGTGCTGTCGGAGAACAAGTCCATCTCGAAGATATATCTTGAGGGTGGATCGGTCCAGGTGATGGAGGGGCGATTGACAATCTAACGAGTTGAGAATAACGGACGCTTCGTAACTCGAATCTATTCCAAGTCAATAAAGATAGCGCCTTCATGCTGAAAGATGTACGCCTCTTCTTTGGCTGTACTATCGGTCATTGCGCAATAGTATCCATACCATTAATCTGTAGGATACAAGTGAACACTGAAGTCTATCTGGACCGTTGAGTAGATGCGTGCGGGTCGTGTATGCTGATAGATTACCTTGTTCAGGTGTCGAGTGATGAAGACGCAACCGATCGCTGATTTGTCGCGCCTCAACTGTGGCTGCCGAGTATAGAATCTTCGTGGGGTAAACGAGCATGTTCTCTGCAAGTTGTGTACACTTCAATGTAATGTTAAAAGTCTTGCCAGTATAAGCTACATCCCATGAGAGGATGGTACCTCGCACTCGGTGGGTTTGAGAAAGATTTGGCTAATGTGTGGCAAGGACCTCTGAAAGGCTAAAGAGGGTTGGTATATCTGAATGGATGTAAATTGCACCGTGGATATTGCTAGGAGGCACGGAGTAACCGTTACCGACATCGTATGTTGTTGAGACAGAGGATGAGCAAAGGATTGAGGATGAAGCAATGTACTGAAGCCGCGCAGGGCGTTCGCTTGTTGCTTCAGATACTCCGTGCTACGGCTCATCACATCCGTCGCTTACAGCGGCTATAGAGCCCTAGTTGTATTTGTGTGCAACAGAGTCTAGACAAGTATGGAAATGTTACGGGTCGCTAAGAGTAATCTGCAAGTAAATCCTTCTCCACACTGTTGGTGGGGTCGCTGAAGGCGAATAACGGGACGATCAAGAAATTCCTGCCGTGCATTCGGTCGCCGTTGGTTGCATGGTAAGGCATCAGAGAGGTTTGAGTTTGTCATCTTCGTGATTAGGGATTCTGAAAAGACCATGAAAGGTGCAGGGTTAGTGGCAGGAACGGACTAACGCGTTCCGAATGCGGCTAGCACCTGGAACGAACTGTTCAGACCTCATACACCAACTGTTTCCGGCCAGCCTTTCCTTCCAGACCTCATACATCAACCGTTCCGGCAAGCTCTCCTCAATGCCTGGGGCTCTTTCGTCCCGGAAAGGCTGCCATTACGCCCTCATTCCATAGTATAGCGCCTGTGACCTCCCGCGGCCCATGCACTCTCTCAGGCAAGCAGGTATGGTAGGGTTGAGACGTTTATGCCTTCATCGTGGGTTTCATGCCCAAGGAACCACGAGCCGCCTGACAAGGTTATTCTTCGTCTTGTCAATCGCCAAGGGAGTTAAAGACTATGCGACATCCACCCAAGTTATCTGCTCCTCCATCCTCAGTCGCTTACTCTTCCGTACTCGAGGTCTGCCTATTGAGGGTTACGTTCCTTTCCTTCCTTCCTCTAATTTCTCATTCAGATCACGTTGAACGTGTCTGCTTTTTTTCTAATCTACCGCTAGTCGGAGTCCATTCTTTTACATACCTTACTTTCTTGTCCGCCACGCAATCACCATGCGTTTCTCCACATTAGTCCCTCTACTGCTCGCAGCTGGTGTCGCCAACGCCCAGTTTGGAGGTAAAGGCAAAGGCAATAACCAGAATGGTAAAGGCAAAGGCAATGGCGGAAATGGAGGCAATGGAAAAGGCAAAGGCAACAACAACAACAACAACAATCAGGGCAACGGTGGATTGGCTCTAGATCCGGCAAATGTCCAGACCGCCAGTCAGTCTGACGGATTAGATGGCGGCGCTGAGGCTGGACAAGCTGCCTCTGCTACGTGAGTCAGCCAATACGAACAGAACAACGATCCCGTACTAATTGTATGAAGGGACGCTGCCAATTTCATCAATTTCTGTCAGGGCAAGACACTCACCAACGGTCTCCAAGTCAAGGGAGGTTCTTGCAATGGAATTGGTATGAATGAGTACCACTATGTGAACATGAACCGACACTAATCTCGTCTTAGTCATGGGAGACATTCCTGCAACGAACAAAATGGTGTCTGCCATTTTCATTGAGCCCAAGGACGGCGATACCCTCCCAGCAGACCAAAAGCTGACTTTCTCCGTCAAAATTGCCAACTTACAGGCTGGATCCTTCACCAATCCTGACAACACCTACTATGCCGCTCCCCAGGCTCTACAAGGAGGCTCTGTCGTCGGACATACCCACATTTCGGTTCAGGATATGAACGGCAACAAAAATCCTGCCAACGCTCTCAACGCCGAGACTTTCGCATTCTTCAAGGGTATCAACGACGCTGGTGATGGCCAAGGTACTCTCTCAGCCGATCTTGCCGATGGCCTTCCGGCAGGCACCTACCGTGTATGCTCAATTACTTCTGCCGCCAACCATCAGCCAGTGGTCATGCCAGTTGCTCAACGTGGACCTCAGGATGACTGTGTCAGATTCGAAGTTACTGCTGGCGGTGGGGGTGGTAAAAACAACAACAACGGTAAAGGAAAAGGAAAAGACAACGGCAAAGGCAAAGATAACGGCAAAGGAAAGGATAACGGTAAAGGAAAGGCAGCTGGAGGCGGAAAGGGAAAGGATAACGGAAAAGGAAAGGCAGCTGGAGGTGGAGGCGGAAAAGGAAAGGGAGGCGGAGGCGCAGGCGGAGGTGGAAAAGGCAAGGGCGCAGGCGGAGGAGGCTTTGGTCAAGGAGGAGGCTTCGGTGCCGGTGGCTTCGGTCGTGCACGCGGACGGCTCAACCGACCCAGATTCGCTGTTCGCAACTTCGTTGCCTAGAAGCACTACCTTTGAGCACGATCAACAGCGTGGGATTTGGGCTTGATCTCAAGCCACTTCAGGTGCGGCATGTGGTAATGGTACGTTTATCTTTAGCAATAGCAACGTCCGGACTGGTCAACATAGAACGTACTTCTATCCCTAGAGGGGTTTGGAAGGTCACTCTACGGAGCATGAAGCGCAGGGCTTCATTGGACTGGGTCTACGGGTACTATTTTCCTTCTTCGGCGCTTGAGATTAAACTTGACGAAATGTAAAATTATTTTATTGCAGTCCTAGTCTCAGATGTGCCTCATGCAATTCTCGTAGTCCCATTTTGAGCTGTGACGCTCGTCGGATCCAGAGTATTGGTTTGCCACAGACATAGATGCTTTGAGGGGCGTTGAAACTCTAGTGTCTCAGGAGGGTGATTACACGGGCCCGGAAAGGATTGTATCAGGTTTCGCGCGCAATATGCAACTGCAAAACAGCAGCGGCTTGAGATTTGTATTATTAACAGGGTGACATATACTTCGGCTGTGGCAATCTGCTAGGCAAAGCCGTTGTTCTTATGTCTTCATCCTCGGTGATATGTGCACTGTTCTATTTTTACTAAGCACCAACACCTGGGCCGCATCCGACGTTAGACAAGCACTTTTCGCGTCGCACGTTCTGTGGATCTAATGCAGTTTGTAATTACCTACTAGTATATTATCTTGGTGTCAGCTTCGTTCTTGTCATCTTGAAGTGGCGCAGTTTGGCCTGTAGACGTTCCAACCAGCTGTGATTCTAGTGGAGCTAGCTACTATGACTCAACAACTAGACATCGAGTTTGACCGCGGAATTCAACTACATAAACACCACCGCTCATGCTTTTATCGCATTCGCCATGTCTTTTCAGACTGCAAAGAAAAGCATGAGCATGGAACCAATCAGCTCTTCCAATGACTCCCTGACGCAAGCTTTACCAGCATTACCCACCGAACTATGGTTGCAAATCCTAGAATGCACCAACATACACGACGCAGCCCACCTCTGGAGCATGGTACGACATGTATCTCGACAGTTCAAAGACTACGTCGAGCGACTCTTCATAGCGACCTATCTGCCAAAATTTGCCATCTCCTTAGCTCTCCCACGTCGCGACCCCACAACAGGAACTCTTCGGTGGTCTGGTACACCTATCCCAGGCACGCAAATTGTAATGTCATATGACCACATCAATTTGGATCATTGCCACGTGCTGTTCAGATCCCCGGTGCTGCTTGAGGACAGATCAGAGTCGAAAAGTGTGCAAGAGCTTAAAGACACATTCGTTCTTCCGAAAGAGCGATTGGAGGCGGCTGTACCGTGGGTGTACTTTGGTAACAACCCGCTGACCGGATCCTCGATGATGGTACCAGCGAACATACACTGGGATGACAAGGAAAAGACGTGGGTTTGGGAGGTCAATTGGATAAAGTTGATCAGTCAGTTTTACATGGCCAAGCACAAGTCGAAATTCAAGACAGGGACTCTCCCGGAGAAAAAGAAGCGGGTTTTTGGAAGTGGTTCATGGCGATAAGTCGGCAAAATGTATCCCTTGAAGCACACAACCCTCCTTCAGAGTACAATTGAATTTGTAGCTTATGCGACAATATTTCAGTTTGGCTGGGTGATACGTTCAAGTCAATAGAATCTTGCACTTGTCCTGACAAGCCGTGTAGTAGGGTGGCCAGCGCCGGAGACTTTGATACTGAGCGTTTCTCGTCCTTTCGATACCGTTGCGCCAATCGAGATCAAGCCTCCCATGGAATGATTATGTAGGCAGAGTAACCAGAGCCCAACGTGTCTTACCACCTGTTCCAAGTGGAAGATTAAATTAGACAGGATCGAAGAACAACGTGACAATCATCGTTGCTTCGAGCGTCTAGTGAAGCTGTCATTTATGTGAACGCCGACCATAGGCCTTTATGGGCGCCAAACCGAGGGTTCCAGGGCGAGTATCTCAGTCTGAAGTCTGATACACATTGCAATGAGAACCTCGTGGCCGGTGTATTGTTTCTTCTTGCCAGTTGCTCTTGCTGATCGTTATGCACCTATTGCCTTTCCCGAAGCCATACGCTGGGCCACTAGACTAAAGACAGCGACTGAGGACATGAAGATGGCAAGATTATAGAACTGTCTCGCTTGTTAATACATGATTTGAAAGATTGGAAGCGATCAGTTAGCGTACAGCATTTCTGGAGTATGCGCTCTCCTCTGCATCACTGCGCGCATCTACGAAAAGCCGCCGTAAATTTGGAAGATTTGATGGCTATTGAAACAGATTAGGAAATTCATTCAAATGGACTCTAATGCTGCACTTACCATGTTGATGATCTGTGTGGTTTGATGTGGGGTGCAAGCAGGGAGGATGGATGGCGGCATCTACGAAGCTTCGCTAGTTGCGCACAGGCCACATCGTCAAGGTGGCAGTCACGAAAGCTCCATGAACATCGACTTCGATTCCGCATATCGCCCCCCACGCCGTTGCCGACTTGATCTCGAAACCCCAATACGTACGATACGAAATAAATCTCAAAGACTACTGTACCGCCCTCGGAGAAACCATCGCGATCGCTAGCCTCACAAATCGATAGTGCCAGTGTATGAGGGGTTTGGCTGAGGAGTAGCCTCAACTTCTCTTTCGAGGAGATGGCCGTCAACAGAATAAGAGGCGCTTTTGCGCCGCCGAGAAAAGGAGAGACTTTCGAATTGAGAGCAGGTCTAGTGTATGAGCTGCCCCAGGAACTTTATAGCTGTTCATAACTGACCGCATATCTAGCTCTCAATATGCCTACGAACGGTGAGCGCCTATACTGGCGACTGACCTCTCTAAACTATACTGAGATTGCGCTAGGAAGGAAGCTATCCAGAAGACTATCATGTCTATGACCTTGGGCAAGGACGTGTCTGCTCTGTTTCCTGATGTGCTCAAGAACATTGCAACAGCAGACCTAGACCAAAAGAAGCTGGTATACTTATATCTCATGTAGGTGTTGCTGGCGCGTAGATGTGTGGCAGAGCTGACATTGTATCTAGGAACTATGCGAAATCACATCCCGATCTTTGTATCCTCGCTGTAAACACATTCGTGCAAGATTCCGAAGATCCGAATCCTCTTGTACGAGCATTAGCTATACGAACAATGGGATGCATTCGTGTGGACAAGATGACGGACTACATGGAGGAACCACTACGAAAAACGCTGAGAGATGAATCGCCATACGTACGGAAAACGGCAGCTCTTTGCGTGGCCAAGCTATTCGACCTTGCTCCCCAGATGTGTATCGAGAACGGCTTTTTAGAACAGCTCCAAGAATTAGTTGGCGATCCCAACCCTATGGTCGTCGCAAACTCGGTCACTGCATTAGTAGAGATCAACGAAGCGGCACCAGAAACAAAGGCCCTCGCCATCACTTCGACACTACTCAAGAAGATGCTTCTCGCGTTGAATGAGTGCACAGAATGGGGGCGGGTCACTCTCCTCACAACTCTGGCAGACTACAGGGCAGTGGATGTTAAAGAGTCAGAGCACATTTGCGAAAGAGTGGTTCCACAGTTCCAACATGTCAACCCGAGCGTGGTGTTGGCCGCCGTCAAAGTTGTTTTCTTGCACATGAGACACATCTCTCCCGACTTGATGAAGTCGTATGCGAAGAAGATGGCACCGCCACTGGGTATGTTCGTCTTGTCAATGCGCACAGGGTTTTGCTGATTTGCTAGTCACGCTGGTATCATCTGCGCCAGAAGTTCAATATGTTGCTCTGCGAAACATTGACCTCCTCCTTCAGAAGCAGTCGGACATTCTCAGCAAAGAAATGCGCGTCTTCTTCTGCAAATACAACGATCCACCGTATCTGAAGATGCAGAAGCTCGAGATAATGGTCAGGATAGCAAACGACAAGAACGTAGATCAGCTGCTTGCCGAATTGAAGGAGTATGCCATGGAGGTGGATATGGACTTTGTTCGACGATCCGTCAAAGCTATTGGGCAAGTTGCGATCAAGATTGAGAGCGCGAGCGAGAAGTGTGTCAATACACTCCTCGACCTTATCAACACAAAGGTCAACTACGTCGTGCAGGAAGCAATAGTAGTGATCAAGGACATTTTCCGAAAGTACCCAGGTTACGAAGGCATAATACCGACGCTTTGCCAGTGCATAGATGAGCTGGATGAGCCTAACGCAAGAGCGTCTCTTATCTGGATCGTCGGAGAATACGCCGAGAAGATCAACAATGCTGGCGAGATACTTTCAAATTTCGTGGACACTTTTGCCGAAGAGTTTACGCAGGTACGTTGAGAGATGTATACTGTCTCAGGGAGACCTAAGGCTGACAGTCACCAGACACAACTCCAGATTCTCACAGCTGTTGTTAAGCTATTCCTCAAGAAGCCGGATCAGGCGCAAGGTCTAGTTACGAAGGTTCTGCAAGCCGCAACCGCAGATAACGATAATCCTGATATTCGGGATCGAGCTTATGTTTACTGGCGATTGCTGTCAAGCGATCCTCAGATAGCGAAGGTGAGTCGCATTGATGTGCAGTGGGGCCTTTTGCTAACGTTTCTAGGATATCGTACTTTCTGATAAACCCCCAATTACGTCAACAATCCGGTCACTACCTCCTCAGCTACTGGAAACACTCCTTGCCGAACTCTCCACGCTCGCTTCCGTGTACCATAAGCCACCAGAGGCCTTCCTTGGACAAGGTCGCTTCGGTGCGGAGGCCATGCAGCGGGCTGCCATTGAGGAGCAGCAGGAAGAAGCGCGGGAAAATCCAATCGCTGCCGCGGCTGCTGCTGCGGCCGTCAGCGGTCAAGCACCAACGAATATGGAGAATCTTCTGGACATTGATTTTGACGGCTCTGCACCAGCTTCACTGCAGAAACAGCCCATACAAGGGGAATCAGGTCTCGAAGGCCTTGCAGGCACACCGCAGCGTGTTGCATCACCGAGCAGCGGGCCTGCACAACGACAATCCAACATGGATGATCTATTAGGATTGTTCGGAGACGGTGGGAGTGGGGGTGGAGGAGCGGGTGGCCAAGGTGGACAACCGAGCAGCGATGATATAATGAACGGCTTTGCGGACATGAATCTACAGACCAACCAGCCTGCGCCTGCGACTCAGCAATTGAGTAGCGAACCGAGCAAGAAGAGCAACCAGGACTTACTGGACCTGTTCTAGGCATGTAGCATGGGAGGCATATCCTTTGTCCGGCTTTCGAGTTAGCGAAAAGTATCTGCAGGCAATGAGCATCTGGCGGCGCATGCGGTATGTCATGTACGACAAGATGTATAGAGAGAGGCGTGCAATCACTTGTCATGTTTAGACACTTAGCACTGAGTGAGTAGTTATGCGATGAATATCTACGAGCTGCCTGGCCGCTGTGCTATATACAGATGGAGACAGATGCGTACTTTGTCGAAGACAGCAAGTAGAGACTAGGCAGGCAATACAGACATATGTGAGATGGAAGCTGCTGGAGACACTACCTTACAGCTCTCGCTTGAAAGCCATAGGTAGTCTGACAGTTGTCGCATTAGGAAAGGCCATGACAGGAGCCGAGGAGGGTGCGGTCTATCAGCATCTAGACGTATAGAATTTAAGATTAAGGAACAGCGATGTCTTGCGTGAGTCAAATAGCGTCGATGGTAAGGCCCTGGAGAGCTATGAGGCTTATGACTTACAGCACTGGTGCGGCAAGGTACACAGTCGCGCCTTCCCGTTTCCGTAAGGGATGGGAATTCCTCAGCTTGCCAAGCAAAGAGGGTCCGCCAATTGGACCGGCGGGCTCACACGTGTGCACACGCCTGCGGAATGGCTATGGGGGATACATGAACGGCGAATAGGGTGGATTGATATTGGGCGTCTTGCGGTAATAATGAGCGAGTATTATTATGCGAAGCTTGACCAGCAAAGCGCAAGTGGCAGTGTCTTCAAGGTCACGTTCGGGCGTGGGCACCCGAAGGAGTGGCTAGGAACGACCCTGCCTGATATGGGGCGCGTACGTCATCGATGCCGCCGACCACCACAGCGAAGCCCGTCAAATTCGAACTGGAACCCATTTGATGCAGCATTCGGCTTGGTGCAGTCTGTTCGGCGCCAAACCCGTACGTGCCTGCGACCATCATTGCTATCCTGCGCGTTACTAGCCATCGCCCTCCCTGTACATGTCCGCTTAGAACGGAACCTGCTCCTGCCCGGCTCATCGCTTGACCCAGAAAGGGTGCTTAGCCCACCACATGCAGTGTTAATTCCTGCCACCAAGCATCTCCCAGCTGGACAGCCTTCAGTGTGCCGGGCGAGCACGGCGCTGGCATCTCGACAGCCTCAGGTTTCGCACTGCTCCTGCTCTTGTCCCCGTCTTTTGCGGCCTTCGATCGGCCTGCTGGCGAGCTGCGAGTCGCCCCATTACGACGTCATCAGGGACCTCCGTTTTTGCGGCCACTCACAATCCCATGCCGATGCACCTCTCCACCACCGGCCGGCCTTTCGACGACATTACCTTCGTGCACTCGTCGAGGGGGATTACTGAGATGCCATAATGAGCAAATCGAGGAGGGATGTCAATACCGGGGAAACGCCTCTTCCCACCACGTCGCCGACTGCATCGCGACCGCCCCTCCAGCGACTTGCCGCGAGCGACGCATCCTACCAGATCCAACCACCGCAAAAAGGGTTCCGAGACCCGCCTCAGGGCCGCGACCATGACACCACGGATACCGATATGAGCGAAGACGAGGCCGCGCTCGGCCAGGGCGACGCTGGAGCGACGGAAAGGGAGCATGTAGAGATTGAGCCGCAGGGCAGCGCATCACCAGAGGACGCGGAGATTGAGCGGCTGCGCACCCTGCAGCTGAAAGTGCTGCAGCAACAGCAGCGTACGCGCCTGCGGAGTACTCAGAGTACCCAAAGTACCCAAAGTACTGACACTGCCGTGAGCGTTCGTCGAGTATCGCCAATCAAGGAGGAACCCATGTCTACCATGTCGCCAACGCTGGAAGGAGCCTTCAACAGCCCCAGTCCACTGCTGTCAGGCTATACGACGTCGACGGAATCAACCGAATCGGCGAGAACAATTCGGGGAAGTATGCCACCCACACCGGCAGCGCACCAAGCGCTTAGAACGCCCTCGTACCCCTTCCCCACCGTCCCAAACACCCCCAGGTGGGCTTCTGCATTTCACATGCCCTTCACTAACCTCTCGCCTACCGTCTCTGCCATCAACACGAGAGAATACGCAGCGCCAAAGGAGCGAGTTGCCTCAGAGACCAGCACGCCTGCTGCTTCGACGACTCCATTTGCGCCGGGGGAAAGAGCCCATCACAGCTCCGAGGCCGAAGACCCCCGATTTCCGAGTCCCAATCTCTACGATCTGGTATTGCGATTAGGCTCAGAGCCTGGGCTTGCCGCATGGTGGACAACTGTCACCTCAATAATGTGCGACCACTACTCGGCAGAAAGAGCAACTTTGGCCGTGCCCGCGGATTCATCGGATATCGAAAACGTACCGTGGGGCCAGAAGACTAGTTTCACGGCCACGACCGATGATGGCAGTCCGCGCATGGCTATATATCAAGATGCAAGAGTCCAGCAACATCGCAAGGAGCTAACGCAACAGTCACAAGGCTTCCAGTATCCCGAGCAAGAATATACGCCGCGCACTCCTTTGATACCGGAGAGAAGACCCAAACTGTTCTCACATCATTCGTTTGCCGGTCATGAGCGTCAGAAGCAAAACCAACCATCGGACAGTCCGACACCGATGCCGCCCGTGCGACCCCGGGGTCCAATGCGGGCTGTCAGCCATGCACCTCAAGCGGCCATACGAGAACATCCGCTGAGGCAGGTCTCTCAGGCATCGCTTGATGGAACGTCAAGTCACGGGGGACCTACATTTAGCGATCCGGAATTCTCAAGCGTTGGCGAGCCATCGGCACCGACTGCCGTATTCAACGTACTTCGTGCTCTCGACCATGAACCCGATGCCTTGATCGATAACACCGGTGTCAATCGGGTTCTAGAGCGAGGACGCTTGGTCACATTAACCAGAGATTATTCCACATCGTTTTCGACGTCCAAGGAAGACCTTGCTGAGAAAGATAAAAGTGAACAATCCAAAGCATCCGCGACGCAAGCAACTACTACAGGACAGGAAACTCTAAAGGCTACGACTTCACGCGGCCGCAACAATCTTGCAACCAGTGACCCCAGGTTGCAACCTCGCTATGAGGAATACGAGCAGTATCCAAGCTCACCTTGGGCACAGTCACCTGCTCCATCACCGGCCATACAGAACGATGCTGATCAAAATCCATTCTTCACTACGGGACGAGTGGACGAGGAGACGTTCAATCCTTCGCGTTCTCCACAAGATTACACTCAATTCGGCTTGGTAGAGGCCATCGGCGTGGACAAGGCTAGCACCGTTACACACATACCGCTCATACACCCGACACTATCGCAATTGATGAACCCAACAGATATTCCGACTCCTTCTCAGACCCCCTCTCAGTCCCGGAGCCAATCAGAACAGTCGACGCCTGGCGATTCATGGAACAGGGAAGGCTTTGCACGCAAAGCACCTATTGCAATTCTCTCCATTCTGTCCCCTACTGTCCCTTATCCTCGCAACTTGACCAATTCACTGAAGCACCTTGGACCACACCTGGCAACGTCGTTCTCGAACGCTTGGCAGTTCACCAATGCACAGTCTCAGGTTGCCTCCATCAGGCAGCGTCGTATCGCAACCGATGTAGATCTGCCTTCTGATAAAGGAAAATTTGACGATTTGCTTCACCTCGACCTTGAAGACATAACAATGTCTACCGCTGGTAGCGTTACTAGCCCGTCCGACTACTCCGGTCGTTCAAGACATAGTCCTGGTGGGTCCATGTCGGGGACTCCTGGATGGGACGCGTCGTCTTTGGGGTTCTCAAGCAAGCATTCTATAGGTGGTACGCCAGGTCACCTTACAGGTAGTGAGGCTGTTGAAAGTTACTTTGACTCCAAGAAGAAATCGAGTCGGACGCCAATTCAACCAGCTACCTCCGGCCAAGAGCAACCCATTCGTAACTCTGAGAACAGGCGCTCAAAGCGGGTCAGCGTAAACCCAACGATCGAACAAGCAGAAGATGACGTTGTCACGCCACGTAATGAGAAGGCCCAGGACGAGGAAGCGTTGAGTGCGCGCCGCACGCAACCACAGGGGGCCTCGAACCATGGCCACTCTCTCTTACACTCATATGGCGCTGACTTTAGTTCCTCGTTCCAATCGTTACCAGCAGCAACAACGCCAGCCGGACGGCCACCAGTCCTTCCAGGCCGTGTCAGAAGAGGCTCAATCACAGAAACATTTGAAATGCCACCACCATCAGAGAGTTTGCTGCGGACCATTATAGACTCTTTGCCCGTTCAGATATTCACAGCAGCTCCAAGTACCGGTGTAATCAGTTGGGTAAACTCGAAATTCCTAATATACCGGGGTCAAGATTGCCGTCAAGTGCTACAGGATCCTTGGGAAGCCATTCATCCGAATGATCGGGGCCCCTACCTGGAAGACTGGAACAAGTCTCTGCGCACTGGTCAACAACTCCAGAAAAAGGTTCGAATGCAACGTTTCGACAAGTGTTATCGATGGTTCTATGTCCGTGTTGCACCGCTGAAGAACAAGCGGCAACAGATTGTTCATTGGATTGGCACCAACATGGATTTCCACGAACAACATCTTGCCGAGCAGAACTCAGCGCGGCAACAGGAGACTGCTGCCTCAGAGGCAAAGTACAGAGCTTTGGCGAATTCAAGTCCGCAGATCGTTTTCGTCGTCTCAGATCGCAGGGGTCTAACATTCTGCAACTCACAGTGGATAACTTATTCTGGCCAAACGGAGACTCAAGCGCTTGGGAGCGGCTTCTTGGAACAAGTTCATTCGGATGATATCATCAAGTGTAAGCTGCCTGAGCTGAATGAACATGGCGTTGCCAATGTTCCCACCACGTTCCCATCAGAACATGCGCGCCAGGACTCATCTTCTTCGGATGAGTCATCGGAAACCGAGAAGACAGTCACAAGCCCTGGAAGCTCTTCGCCAGATGTCAAAGATCTACCGCAAGCAAAGTTATCCAAATTGGCAAGCGCTGGAATTCTCAGAATCGTAAAGGATGCAGATGGACGCGCCTCTTATTCCACCGAAGTCAGACTGCGCAACAGGGATGGTGATTACAGGTGGCATCTAGTCAGAATATTACTTGAAAAGTCCCTTGCAGAAGACAGCGAGGAGGAGACTTGGTATGGTACCGCTACCGACATCAACGACCATAAGCTGCTAGAGCAGACACTGAAGGAAACCATGGATGCGAAATCCAAATTCTTGAGCAACATGTCCCACGAGATTCGAACTCCACTCAACGGCATATCGGGCATGGTAAACTTCCTCCTCGACAGCACACTCAACGCCGAGCAGTTGGAGCACGTTAATATCATCAAATCAAGTACCGATAGCTTACTGAACCTCATCAACGACATTCTTGATTTGTCCAAGGTTGAAGCCGGCATGATCAAGTTATCGATGGACTGGCTCCACCTGCCATCGCTGATCGAAGAAGTAAACGACTTGAATATGGGGCTGGCTATTGAGAAAGGCCTGGAACTCAACTATTTGGTGGATGAAGGAGTGCCGTCCATGGTCAAAGGTGACAAATTCCGCATTCGGCAGGTTCTTCTCAATGTGGTTGGCAATGCCATCAAATTCACTTCGAGAGGCGAGATCTTTGTTCGCTGTAGGCTCCAGCCGCCGGAGCGCTCTGGACCGCTAAAAAACAACGAAACTATGGTCCGATTCGAGGTGGTTGATACAGGACGAGGATTCACCGAGGCTGAGGCTAAATACCTGTTCAAGCGATTTAGCCAGATTGACGCTAGCAGTACCAGGCAACACGGGGGCACAGGTCTTGGTTTGGCCATTTCGATGCAGTTTGTTGAACTACACGGAGGCAAGATGGACGCTCGAAGCCTGCCCAATAAGGGTTCCACGTTCTTCTTCACCATCAAGTTTGGCCTTCCTACCGCAGACGATTTCCCTAAGCCACTGTTGTCAACCCCTGGAACACCAGGCCTGGAACCCCCGAGTGCAGTTCCCACAATGCTATCGCAAGCGCCGCAGCCATCGCCGTTGCAGAAATTTGTTAATTCACAGGTCCCTGCAAGCACACAGGTCAAACGCATGTCGAGCGTGTCATCCGAACGGAGCGACTCTATAAAATCACCAGTGCCCAGCTTGTCCACCTCGGAGCGTTCACGTGACTCGCCGTCCCTCTCCCTCTCGTCTGGCAGCTCAGATCATTCGTTGACGAGCACGGCACTCACAGGACAATCAAGTGTAAGGTCCGAGAGGTCGTCTGCATCATCATTTCTGCGAGAAACCATTCTACAAAAACCAGAACCACAAATTAACCTGGCCCTTCCCCCAAAACGGCCCGACGGCGACCATGGTACTCCTTTAGATAACTCTTCCGAATCTTTGGAGTCAGAGAAAACTGCTCGTCCCCCGAGTCCGCATCGAAGTCTTTCTCCGCTGGGTAGTGCCCTGCAGCCCCCAATGTACTCAATTCTGGTTGTTTGTCCGCTAGTACATAGCAGAGAGGCTACAATTCGACACATCAAGAACACGCTTCCTCAAGGAATACCTCATCAAGTTACGGGGCAGCCTAGCATCATTGAGGCGCAGAGAATGATTGGCGGGGACAACCCAGTCCTGTTCACCCATGTTGTACTGGTATTGCATGACACTGTCGAGGTTCATGCAATCATGGATCAGATATTTAGTTCCATGATTCATGGCAACACTTCTGTTGTTGTAGTATCCGATCCCTCGCAGAAGAAGGAACTGATAAAAGAAGCTCCAGTCTACGACTATGACCAACTACAAACCGATCGACGACTCCAATTCATCTACCGACCCCTAAAGCCGTCCAAGTTCGCTGTCATTTTTGATCCACAGAAGCAACGCGAGTCCAGTACAGACCGCAACCAAGATAGCGCTCAACAGGTGGTTGTTAGTCAAAAACTGGTATTCGAAGAACTTAAGCGCCGGGTTGGAGGCAAGGGACATAAAGTCTTGCTTGTTGAAGACAACAAGATTAATCAAACAGTGAGAACCTCTCTGTGATATACTGTTATCGATGCTAATAGTCTGCTCAGGTAGTTTTAAAGTTCCTTGCCAGGATTGACCTCGATACAGAGACGGTACTCGATGGTGTTCAATGCACCGATACCGTCTTCTCAAAGCCGCCAGGTTACTACTCCATCATTCTCGTAAGTCGCACATCTATTCGCCTCAAACATGCGCTTATCATCCGTTTAGTGCGATTTGCACATGCCGAACAAAGACGGTTACCAAGCTTGCAAGGAAATACGGCGGTGGGAAAAGAAGCACGGGTACCGCCGCCATCCAATCGTTGCACTTTCCGCAAACGTGCTCGGCGACGTGTACGAAAAATGCGTCGAATCTGGCTTCAACTCCTACGTCACGAAGCCTGTTGAGTTCAAACAGCTCTCCATCGTGATGGCCAAATTCCTAGATCCGGCCGACCCCTCGAAACCCCCCGAACCTATGAAACTAAAATAGAAAGGGTGGTCCTCACCCTGTTACCCCCTACACTACGAACAACAATTTTGTTTTATCTCGCAACTACTTTGCATTAGCGATACGGCGCATGTCGAGGCAGTGCTTATGCTTCTGCGGGAGCGGCGTAATACCCAATGGCGCATGGGATGCGACATCCTAACCCACATGCTACCACAAGTACCTGAAATAGGCATGTTGTGGTATTCTCTTTGCTTTAAATTTTTACGCAATGCTATTCTTATTTCTGGTTTTTATTCCTGGTTTTGCATCTCGGTCGTGTTACGGGAAGTAATGTCTTGGAAAGTAGCAGCTATTCAAAGGCGTACGGCTACTCAAATGTGGCATGGACAGACGGCGTTTTCTTCTATTCTAGTTCGAAGAACGTGCCAAAGGCGGCATTTGTCTCGTTAGGGTGGCAAGAGGAGGAGCACGCTTAACTGCTGGATACACACGGATGTTTCCCGTGGACGACACTGGGGAGGGTACACGTCTACGGACAAGGATGAACATGTATAATAGAGGCGCGCGGATTACGGGCATGGGAAATATTCAGTGTTGGATGTCTTAGCATGGCACTCTTGATGACTTCTCGTGAAGACTTTCATCCAACCATTACTTTTTCGTCGGCCGTTGGTTGACGAATGCCACTCCAAGGAACGATTAGTGTATGTAATTAAGTGAAGCTTTACACATGACGCCTATCACAACATAGAGTGGGAGGGCATGCAAACATGACTATTTTCTGTCGCGGCTTGGTCATCACGCATGCGATTGGTCAAATTCAAGATTCGTCTGACATTCATTACACGCTAATTGGCCAACAGTCCAAGGACATGTTCCTGTCGTCATCGGCCTAAGCTCTTCCCCCATCATCTAAAGTCCGAGCTACCCCACACTTCTTCTTGATCAGCGTGTCTTGAGTGTCTTGCCAAACACCCGCAGGAGTGGACGTCTTTCTGGCTAGAAGCAGAGGAAGAACGCAGAGCTCAGAATGGCATCAGCAACTGGAATACCACCGAATGCTGCTGCGGCGCGTGGACAGAGCGAGGAGGAGCCGCTCTTGGGAAGGAGAGGCGATGCGAGTCAAGCTGAGGGACAGCCGCTGTATCATAACCTGTGGATTGGTATGTTCACACCGATCGGGAACAAAGGACAAGTTGGAGTAAGCCTTGCTAACGAGAGGATAGGTACTGCACCCATTGCCCAAGCGGGCATCTGGATCGTAAGTTCTTCCCTGATAACATTAGAAGTCGGGAGCTATGCTGACTGGCGCAGCTCGCAGCGATAGTATGGGGAGCAATCCTCTCCCAGAAACTCATCTTTTTTTCTGCACATCCCGTAAGTGCACCCCCTTCTTCGTCGTTCTCCCTCCCTTGTTCTGGCCTTGCTAACCACGACATAGCTGCTCAATTCCGTAAGCCATAACACCACCATAGAATACCCCTCTCGGCAGCCGTATCATTGATACATCGTAGGCCGGCTTCCTCCTCGCCATCCAAGCATCCCTCATCCTCCAACCCACCCATACACCTGAACAGAAGCGCGCTGGGACACTCGCACACTTCCTCTTCCATGTCTTCGGCGCCACTGCGCTGACCGCAGGCCTCATAATCATTGAGATTAACAAGGCTGGTCCTGGACATGAACACTTTGCGTCCCCGCACGCTATCCTCGGACTTACCTTCTACATTCTTGTATACATCCAAGCCCTCGTCGGCTTCACGCAGTACTACGTTCCTAGCCTGTACGGAGGCGTAGACAACGCGAAGAGTATATACAAGTACCACCGTGCTTCCGGATACTTTATTGCAACGCTAGGCCTTGCGACGATTTGCGCGGCGAGCTGGACCACATACTCGCTCTACGTGGCGCACATCCAGCACTGGGCCGTTATTGTGGCCAGCGTGCTGGTGATTGTGGGTGTTGTGCCGAGACTGCGGTTGACCAAGTTTGGATTGAAGAAGGAGGAGGGGTCGGTGAGGCTTGAGTAGTTTGATAAGCCTTCGAAGGCGGAGCGAGGGTCACTCGAAGAAAAGAGAGCGAGAAAGGCTGCTGGAATGAAGGTGTCCTGAGATGAACGGTCTTTAATACATGGAACGGTACAAATTAGGGAGGAATGCACACATGGTTAGTTCGTCCTGGTAGGGTTTGGAATATATATATTGCGTATCTTGTCGTTTTCGATTCATCCAACTTGGACTCGGGCAAAGGTAGTCTACTTGGCAGCGTAGGTCATTTGTTGGTTCTCTATAGTCAATGAGTATCAATGACGAGGATGAATACCAAGACGACTAGACCTCATTTTCGGATGCGATGGCTTGTATTTCCCCACATAACCTGCTCGGGTGGCAGGCGACAGTGATTGGTCGCGGTTTCAACGTCAGCTGTGTTGGACCTAGACAAGGCCTGGGCGGGTAACAGATTACAGGCCCGCGACGACGGGATTTGTAAAGCTGCGGCGCATCTCCTACATGCGTCTGCGCACTCACACGATTGTACCTGCATCGCTCAAGTTGGAGCATTTCTTTGACACATCCTCACGCTAACCCCCTGATGCTAGGCCGCTCCTAGAAGCAGGAAACTGGGTCCTTTCTTCTCCCGCCAAGTGGACTAAAACCAATCAGGTGGACGCGGCGGCGACAACATGACTACCTCTGACATTGTCGAAAGCTGGCTCTCTCTCGACACCGCTACAGAACAACAAGGGCCGCTTCGGAGCCCGGGTAATGAGTTTCCTCTTCGGACTCTGCCCTCCCTTCCGTCAGATTCCAGTCTGAGCGATCACTCTGGAGACGAGCTCATCGTCCCTCGCCCGAACGTTGCGAAGCTCATACATCCCCCTACCCCTACCATGACGGATGAGCAGACGGCTGCTCGAAGACGCTCCTCCTCCCTCGCCGGCGCCACATTACCTCCCAAGCAAGACGCACAAAAGCACACCAGACGTCGCTCCGAACACATTGCAGAAGAAGGGGAAGAAGACTTGTCGGATGCAGAGCGCTCGGAATCCGAATCAAGGAGCGACAGCACCGACTTTGAGTTGGACGATATGAGTGCAGACGGCCTCGAGGATGATGAGGAGACGGGGCTCACAAAACGAGACAGGCGGAGAAGAAGACGGAGAAAGAGGCGGAACACACAGCTCGATCAGCGTATAGTGCCCGAGGACACGTACACCAAGGAGGAGAAGAAGCTAGCAGACCAGACCTTGCTCAAGTCTATGCTGGTCAATGGCCTCTTAATAGGGCTATGGTATGACTTCTGGGCCAGCTTCGAACGACAGTGACAGCTAACCGTTTCCAGGTACCTTTTCTCGATATCGATATCCGTGTACAACAAGTGGATGTTCAAGGAAGAGAAGGGCGACGGAGATCCGCAGAACATCTTCCCCTTCCCCCTCTTTACGACATGTCTGCATATGGTTGTCCAGTTTTCGCTCGCTTCACTCGTACTGTTCCTGATACCCTCCTTTCGTCCTCGACACGATTCCCTCAACCCTCACGCACCGGGCGCGCGTGTAGAACCAATAGACCCGAAGAAGCCGCTCATGACGAAGTGGTTCTACTTCTCGAGGATTGGACCATGCGGTGTGGCAACCGGCATGGATATCGGTTTGGGCAATACGAGCTTGAAGTTCATCTCGTTGACCTTTTTTAGTACGTTAGGCTACAAATTTTCTGACAAGAGCTAACGCGAATAGCAATGTGCAAATCCTCCGCTCTTGGATTCGTCCTCATCTTCGCATTTCTCTTCCGCCTAGAACAACCCTCCTGGCGGCTCGTCATCATCATCCTCATCATGACTGTCGGCGTTGTCATGATGGTAGCCGGCGAAGCCGCCTTCCACGCCCTCGGTTTTATCCTCGTCATGGTTTCAGCGTGCTCATCCGGATTTCGCTGGTCTCTTACGCAGATCCTCCTTCTCCGCAACCCCGCCACCGCGAACCCGTTTTCCTCGATTTTCTTCCTTGCACCCGTCATGTTTACCAGCATCTTCATTCTTGCGATACCCGTGGAAGGCTTCTCTGCGCTCAGAGAGGGTCTTTCACACTTATTCGAAACTAAAGGCACGGCTCTTGGCATTGGCATCCTGCTATTCCCCGGCGTTCTGGCCTTCCTCATGACATCCTCCGAGTTCGCTCTGCTGAAGCGAACGAGTGTCGTCACTTTGAGTATTTGCGGCATCTTCAAGGAGGTCGTCACGATTGGTACCGCAAATTTGGTCTTTGACGATCCACTTACGCCGATCAACCTGACTGGACTCGTCGTCACGATTGGAAGCATCGCGGCATACAACTATATGAAGCTTAAGAAGATGCGAGAAGAAGCACGGATGAATGCACACTTGCAAAATACTCAAGAGGAATACGCGCCTGTGAGCACAGCAGATCCAGATCACCGTGACAGGAGAGGGAGCGTTGCCCACGCGCCTGCTAGGGGCGTGGTTAGGAGTAGCTTACAGCTGGCTCCTGGGTTCGTTGGTCCTCCCGCGCTGGATAGCCCGTCGAGGGCAAGCCCAGTGAAGCGGCCGGAAGATGTAGAGTAGCATACACGGGTTCGACATTGTATTTGTCCCGATAGAAGCGTACACACTTTGGATTTCATTGCATCTAACAGCATCATGAGCGTTTCGACATGGCATCTGAATTGGATAAACGCGGGTTTGTTGCCCCAGAGATAGATAGATACCCTTCTTCAGACTGGAAACATATGGCATGCGTGTACCCAAGCAAATAGCTGTGCGTCTTCTAAACCCCCTGGGAACAGACATACAAGATGGTCCCTTTTACGTCATTGTGAATTGGTCACTGTGGAGCCGTGGAGTCCCGCGGCATCCCAAGACTCTTGGCTGGTAGCAATAGTAGGCCACGAGCTCTTGTCAAGCGCACTGCATATGCACAACATGCACATGTCCACTCCGCCTGACATTGTGCCCTTCTCGCATCAGAATCTGTGCTAAACTTGTCCTTTCCCGTATTCGTTCGGCACTAAGCGTGCTTCGCCTCGGCGTGCAACATCGTACCCGTTTCACAAACCGTTGAAACCTCCGAAACTCCGCCGCTCATCTTAGGCAAGCCTCGCCTCACCGTGTCTTAAGTACCACTCCGCCCACGTGCCTGACTCTCCTACCTTTCAAGACCTCACCAGCGCCGTCTTTGGCCGCGACACGACGTCGCTTTCTACGCCGCCATGCGGCTCCTCGCCACACTCCTTGGGCTTCCGCTCGTGCTGTTGCCCTCGGTCGCCGTTGCGCAGACGCTCGACATCCAAGTTACACGGCCCGCCGATTGCACGCGCAAAACGCAGAATGGCGACACCGTATCGATGATGTACAAGGGCACTCTGCAGAGTGATGGCAGCAAGTTCGACTCTAGCTACGACCGTGGCAGGCCATTCAAGTTCACGCTGGGCAAGGGACAGGTCATTACGGGATGGGATGAAGGACTGTTGGACATGTGCATAGGAGAGGCCAGAAAGCTGACAATTCCCCCGAATATGGGATATGGGAATAGCGGGAATGGGGTGATTCCTCCGGGGTCCACGCTGAGTACGTATTGTTGACGACTACTATTTGTAGCATGTGCTAACCATTTGCAGTCTTCGAGACAGAGCTCATGGGCATCGATGGCGTCAAGGCAGAACCCAAACCTGTGCCCGCATCCACACCCGCGCCCGCGAGACCGTCTGTTGCGCAACCGGATCAGACGCACGATGTTGACGAGGCACCTCCTGATATCCCTACATACGTGCCCACATACGTGCCTACATCCGTACCAAACCCCGTACCCACTCCCGTAGCTACTCACGTAGCAACTCTCACATCTTCCCCCGCCATACTTGAATTAGCGACTCCTGCCGCGCCGGCCACTGAGCCTACAAAGTCAGCCATCGCACAAGGAAATCCACTGGACAACGAGGAAAGCAACGGCGAGTGCAACCTGCTTGGAGACTTCGCCCTGATAGTACAGGGCGCTCTTGGGCTGCTGGCAGTATCATCGCTTGCCGTCAAGAGATTGAGGGAGTCCCCGCGAAGACCACTTAAGATCTGGTTCTTCGACGTCTCCAAACAGGTCTTTGGCTCGGTTCTACTGCATCTGGCCAACATCCTCATGTCCATGCTGTCATCTGGTAAATTCGATGTAGCAACGAATTCGACTACTACACCGCAATATCCTGGAACTGATGATCAAGGAGACAAGCCCAATCCGTGCTCGTTCTATCTCCTCAACCTAGCCATTGACGTAAGCTTTACCTTTTATTTTCTCTGCAATAACGTGAACTAACGCACTCAGACCACCATCGGCATTCCAATCCTCGTTCTCCTCCTCAAAGTCCTCCACCGCGCCTTCGCTCTAACCCCCCTCGCCAACCCCCCTGAATCCATCCGCAGCGGCAACTACGGCCAGCCACCTCGCGCAACATGGTGGCTCAAGCAATCCATCATCTACTTCCTCGGTCTCATCGGTATGAAGCTCTGCGTTCTTGCCATCTTCGCTTTCTTGCCATGGATAGCCTGGGTGGGCGACTGGGCACTTCGCTGGACCGAGGGCAATGCTGCAGTGCAGATTGCGTTTGTCATGTTCATCTTCCCGTTGATTATGAATGCATTGCAGTACTGGATCATTGATAATTTCATCAAGGATCCGGGCCACGGTGATGGAGAGGGCAGATATGCGGTTGCTGCTGGCGAGGATAGCGACGACGAGACGGATGATGAGTGGTTGGAGAGGCAGAGGAGGAGGAGAGAAGCAGGCGTCGACGGGGATGGAGATAGTGACATTGAGGCTGCGGCGACAGAGCCACTGAAGGAGGCGAATCCTACAGCGATACCAGTCCGCACGAACAGTGTGAAGGACGGAGAGTACGACCCTGCGACTGATGGTGCGGAAAATAGTCGGGCGAGTAAGGCCAGGAAAGAGTAAGCTGATTGAAATATTTCCTTCGTTAAAGCATTGAGGCGTTGGGGGAGTTTAAGAGCATGTCGTATGTTACAAACAGTAGATTGTAGGAAGCACTACTTGTGCAAGGAATTACATATAGTGTATTACTAGGCATTTTGGTCACACTTCTTCCGCTTTCCTATGACGTGCAGAATATTGTGCATTAACACACCTGCTACTCACGAGTGCTTTGGCATGAAACTTAGGGTAAGCATAAGTGGCTCGACAAGATTTACCAATTTTCATGAACAAGTGTAAAAATACAAAAAGACAACGAGGCCTCACTATGCTTGGGGAACTTCATACATCGGTGCAGGATGAAAAGGCTCAATTGGTATTTGGGACGCCTAGATATCAACATGGCTATGCAAAGATATACACATGGGTTTGCAAAGGGTAACTCAATCACAGCATTGGCTTGATCTCGGCAGCCTCCTTGAAGTCTGCACCCGTCTTTGACCGTACCTCATCAACAGTCACACCATCTGCTAGCTCGATGAGAGTGAGACCTTCTGTGAAATCGACGTCGAACACGCACTATTTTCCCATTAGTCTGGTGCATTTTATGGAGTCAAAGGGGCAAGATTTTACTCACCAATTCTGTAATGATCCTGCTCACGCACGCCTTGCCCGTCAGAGGGAATTCGCACTGCTTGAGGATCTTAGGCCTGCCCTTCTTGTCCGTGTGCTCCATCGTCACCACCACTTTGGTCGCTTGTGGATTCGACACCAAATCCATGGCGCCGCCGAAACCCTTGACCTTGCCGGGCAACATCCAGTTTGCTAGATCGCCTCGCGCGGACACCTGCATGGCACCGAGGATAGTCAGGTTGATTTTTCCAGCGCGGATCATACCAAACGATTCTTCGGAGCCGAAGCATGATGCTCCTGGTAGCAGGGTGACAGTCTCTTTTCCAGCGTTGATGAGGTCCGGGTCTTCCAGGCCTTTCTGGGGGTAAGGGCCTAGACCGAGGATGCCGTTTTCGGACTGCAATTGAACTTCGACACTGGGGTCGACGAATGAGGGGGCAAGCATCGGCATGCCTATTCCGAGATTGGCGTACATGCCATTTTTGAATTCCTTTGCTGCGCGGCGGACGATCCTCTCGCGCTTATTTGCTGCATCGCCTTTGCCCAGCTCGTTCACCGCGTCTTTGGGATCTTTTGCGTTTACCACCTTTTCAATCTTCTTCTCCGCGCTACTCTGAATCACCCTGTCTACGTAGATTCCTGGAACGTGTACGGCGTTGGGTTCGATATCTCCTACTTCGACAATATGCTCTGCCTCTACGATTGTAACCTTTGCGTTCCGCGCCATTGCGCCGTTGAAGTTCTGCGCTGAGAAGCGGAATTGGACGTTCCCCAGGCGATCGGCTTTGTAGGCCTTGACAAAGGCATAGTCGCCCTTGATGCTTTCTTCCATGACATAAGATTTCCCCGCGAAGACTTTGACGTCGCGTGGTGTAGAGTACTGGGCTACTGAGCCGTCTCTATTGTGCTTGAGAGCCAGCTCACCGGTTTGAACGACGGTACCAAATGCTGCGGGTGTGTAGAATGCTGGGATGCCTGCACCGCCTGCTCTACATCTCTCCGCGAGGGTGCCTTGGGGTGTCAGTTCAAGCTCTAGTTCACCAGTAAGGTACATTTGCTCGAGGACTTTGTTCTCTCCCACATAGGACGCGATCATCTTCTTGACCTGCTTGCTCTCTAGCAGTAAACCCAGCCCTCCTCCTACTACACCGGCGTTATTTGATACAGCCGTTAGGCCGGTGATGTTTGGTGTGCTCTTGACTTGGTTGATAAGTGTGTCTGGCACGCCGGAGAGACCGAAGCCGCCGCAGAGGAGGGTGCTGTCGGATGCCATATCACTGATTGCGGCTTCGGCACTAGGGTAGACTTTATTGATTTCATTGCGGCGCAGGGAAGAGGAGAAGCTGCGGGAGAGATTGAGATATGTCTGTTGGTGTTAATTGGGGATCTGCGAGGTCCTTGAACATGCGAAATACCTTGGTGGTGCTCCTCGAGAACGTGCGCGCTGTGCGGAGCGTGGTGGATATCGACGGCATGATGAAGGAAGTAGCTTCAAGAAGCTCAAATGCAGTTTTTAGGGGATTATGCAAACAGCGCCTCAACCACAAGGATACTGGAATATGAAATGACTGCCGTTGAGGAGGGAGGACGAGTGCGCAACCAGCTTTCGTTCACGCATGGCGACGACCTCGGGTTGTTCAAGGTGGGTTGCGTCGGCATCTAGACTCGGAACGCGGAACCGAACCGGCGCGGAATGTGGAGGCAAGGCTAAACTCCACACTTCTATGAGTGATGAACGGCGCGAATCCGTTACTTACCCAATCGTTACTCATTCATATTTCCCAAACTCCGACTTGCATGCCATGCATGGGCCAAACGCATAACGAGTGGCAGTCACTCTAGCAATCATTGCGATCCGCATCATAGAAAGAGTAGTACTTGCCGGCGGTAGTAGTGGCACGCCGTCGACGAGTGCTATTCGCAAAATCCTCCATCACCGACTGCATAAAAGGTCGACATGGTTGTTCCAGATATAGCGATCGTCCATGTGCTCCTTTACAAGACTTAATTCATAGCTTGAATGCCGCAGCCTGAAGATTTGCCATGGACCTACTGCAACGGATATAGAACCTCTTAGGCTCTTGTGTAGGATGTGGCTATTGAGGCGCTGCAAAATATGTGAGCGTATCTTTCTGACTCCTACGTCGCGGGGCGCTCGACTCTTAAGCCTCAGTTTGGTAGTCAGACATGTACCCCATATCGCGGCGCCAAAGCTCTTTTCTACATCTTTTATTAAATCTCTTCCAGAAAAGCGAATCAAAACACTTCGTCGTATTCTCCCTTACGTTCGCAGATATCCAAACAAGTCTTCACACATCCACTTCTACAGTAGCAATCTACTCTGTGGACGTCATGAGTACCATCTCCAACATGCACCTCTTCTTCTTGGTCCTGGCAGCGGTCCCATCCTCTTTCTCTGGGGTAATGATCAAGAATGGTGGTGTAGCATCGGTATCAGCAGCAGTGTCGTTAGCCTCACCAGTTTCCTTAGAATCCGCTTCTACACTCCTAGGCTCTGGGTCCACTTCGACGACGACAGTGACGACGATCGTAACCGCATTCTCTAAACCTCAGGCAGCTACGGTATCTCCTACAGCGTCTTCGGTCATGATTTCTCAAAGCCTGATACAATCTAGTTTCAAATCGAGTAATATTATCAATATGTCGTCCGCGTCACCTACATCAAGTCAGACACAATCATCTGGGTCACCCGAAGATATTGGCTCTCAGTACGGCAATGTTACTGTTCGCAACAACTGCCCTGAGCCACTATATTTGTGGTCCATCGGCGCGTGGAAACTTCAAGGATTTCGGAATACCACGGTCGGTTATGGAGCGAAGGAAGAGGAGGTTATGCACACCATTCCTTCAGGCGAAAAGCATACCGAGCAGTATCGCGTCACCTGTCCCCCGGCAAAGAACGGTACAGAGGGTTACTGCTGGGACCACGATAAGCTGCGTGGCCAAGGCGTCGCGATCAAAATATCCAACAATCAAAGTCTTGCCGGGGACATTTCACAATTCGAGTACGCACTCATTCAAAATCCCTTGGACAACACCACATACCATAAGCTCAACTACGATGTCTCGCTCCTTGATTGCGCCAAAGTCGCAACTTATGCAGGTTTTTATGGATTGGACCTGGCCGATTCAAACCATCGAATCATTACCGATGCGAGTTCGTCCGATCAAGATCATACTTTGAAGGTCGAGAAGTGTCCTGGATACAACACTGGACTTGCCTTGACGTTTCCTTCAGATAAGAGCGGAGAAAGATGTAAGCCAATACATTGCGATGGTAAGAAGAAATGCCAGGTCTATTACTTTGATTGGACGAGGAACGGTGAGCCTAGTATGGCCTGTACTGCCGCATATAAGGGCGATATGGTGTTGGACTTGTGTATCGGTAGCAAGAAGGCAGATGGTAAGTAAATGTGTTACATGGGGCTGATCGTATGAACATTGGCTTGATTGCATGTACTGTATAATTCCTCTTTCCCATGTCAATTTTCCGCCAGTCGGGACCTGGCTGTATTTGATTCCAAGATCCTAAAGTGTATTCCTGAAACCATGTCCCCTTTGCGATCAGTGCCTATTAAAAGTACCAAAAATAGAATAATGAAATGTTAGAGACCATCCTCGAAAGCCTTCTTCGCAATTGCCAAAAGATCCTCGATCTGAGCAGAAGTCGTGTTTTCCAATTGAAAGGACTCAGTATCACGGAGAATATCCTGACGTAGACCCGAAACACTGAACTTCTTCTCGCACATGAGTGATAAACGGAGATTCGCTGGTAAGTGTATGTCAACTACCTGTTGGGCCAGAAATTTAGCCATTGGCAGGACAAATTGCGGATACCGTAGGGGAAGTGATTTGTGTACTAGAGAACCCCGAAAAAGCAGGCTATAGATGTTCGTGAACTTGAAATATTCTGCAGCTTTTAGATGCGTGGTCCCTATATATCGGAATCGAACGATGACCGTCATGTCTGGATTCTGACGGCAGATTGTAGAGAGTAGCGAACGGTCGGCGAGAAAATTGAAGATATCAGCCGGTTTATTGACAGACCTCTCGTACTGAACGATCGCCCTTTTCGACGAGAGTAGGCGTAGCGTTCCATATCGTAGGAAGAACATCAGGAAATGGTCCACGCCTGAAACGATGTTTTTGCTGACAGGGCCGTATATCCGTTCAGCAGCGCGTGATTCACCCTTGAAGATTAGGTCGTTGACCTTGAAAATGATACCCCTGGTCTCAACGTAAAGCTGGTGGCAGACGTGTTGAAGTTGATTGGGATTCTCATCTCCAAGTTTTTCGCCCTCATGATTACACACAAAAAACTTATCCGCTAGGTGGTAGTCCGGTGCCGTGATGAGACCGTAGTTGTGAACCAGAGCATGCTCGTAGATCAAATCCCGCAGTTCACGTGGCAATTCCAAAAGGAGACATCGATCTGTCAGTGGGAAGGAAGGATCAGGTCCAGGTGGCGGAGTTTGTGGTCGTGGGAGACTTAGATTGCCTAAGGGTGGCAACATAGTCAGTTGAATGTCTTGATCATAGAGGAGGAGAACAACGACTTAGGCAGTATACGTATTCAACACATATGCCTCGAGTGACTCGCACAGGGTATTCTGTTTCATATAAAACCGAGACTTGTTCACTGTTTTGTCGCATGTCTACGTACGCTGAGGGTTGAGACACTTCATGGCAATATCTGATCTGGTGGTTTGGACATTGGCCAGGTAGTGTCGATGTGAAACGTGCAATCGTATGTACTGATAATTTGTCTCTGAAATGGAGAGTTAGTTGTTATAGTAGAAGCAGGACAAAGAATTAATGTTAAGCAAGGGAAGGATGTGGGGCTAAGGCGGAAGTGAATAACATAACTCAAACAAAGGAGATTTTACAAGGGAGAAGTGTAAAGCACGCGGGAAACAAGAAAGACCGCCATAATAATAGAATGAGACAAGTACTCAACCATAAAATATGGGAGCGAGAAGCCAAGGCGTATAAAAGATAATCAAGCACAAAATGGGTACGTATGCCTACGATTTTTGTTGAATTCCTAGTTGGAAACTCGTCTCATGAACTTGCCTTCTCATTATATAATCTGATTGCCATCGTGGGCCTCCGCGAGAGTGAAACACCTTCTCTATAGGTTGTTGAATACTCTAGCATCTTCTTGAACAGCACGAAGTGTTCAAATTCCATCGTCAAACAACTTCTGCGCAGCTCCCGACTCTTGATAATATCGTAATTTATCTCCCACATCGGATTTAGGAAAGACCTCAAGGATAGAGAAGCGGAGATTTTCAGGCAGCCGGGGGGGTATTTGCGAAGGCTGTGGAGATGTGCAAAAGCTGTTTTGCGAAACGGGGCCTCGTTCTAGGTGTAATGAGCGGCGAGGCTCCACGTAAGACTTCTTGGAGCGCACCAGCCCAAAAGTACCATGTATTTGAATCAACCTGCACGATATTGCGGAATTGAAGGACGACGAGGGTTTTCTGATACTGCTCACAGAAGGTCTTGAAGCCAGCGGCGTACCCTGCCAATTCTTTAAATGTCATAGGCATCAGTGCGGTAGAGATGACGCCTGGATAGCCATGAATAGTAACCCTTTTGAGGTGGACGTAGAATTTCTCGCTGGGAAGCTGGCTGATGAAGAGCCTGAAAGAGTAGGAACTCGGGGTGGCATAGCTCATACCGTGGAGATCGACTTCGCTGTTTAACTTGAAGATGAGGCCGCGTGTGTCGTCACGTAACTGTGCGCATACGAGCTTGAGAATATCGGCACGTGTTTGGGTGAGACAATCATCGTGTTGCCCAAGGATTCGCATGTGCGTACGTGGTTCAAACGCTCTGTTGCAACTAATTTCAACAGCTAGACCTCGGTCGTATGACAACGCGTAGTGGTAGATGATATCGCGAAGCTCCCGTGGTAGAGCTAAAAGCGGGAAATGCCCCGGAGATGAATCAGACGAGTTGGTCCTCATTCTTGCGCTCAATCAAGGCTTTGTTTTGATCTGTTAGTGCTCTGTTTGAGGCTGGCTGGTCGAAGTTGAAAGGGGCTTCCGCGGAGCGATTAAGAGGAGTTCCGACGCACCTACGCCCTAGTTGAGCTATCACTGGTTCTGTGAAAGTAATTTAAGTGCGGAGAGTTTTGTGATTACATTAATTCTTCTAGGATAGGTTGAGACGGTCGCCAACCATGGTTCCAAACCTCATCATCGTTCTCCCATGGCGCGGGGCGACTAGTGTGGTGTATTGAGAGAGTTAAGCCTCGAAATCCTCGCAAGTTAGAGTGATATTCTGAACGACAAAATGAGTTTGGGGGGCGTGATTGTGAGGACTAGTTCAATTGCTGCCTGCAACAATATGTACTCAGCTCTGCTGACCAACCACCTGCACCTTCAGCTGTCTAGTCTCCTGTTTCCACCCCACAAATCATTTCTTTAGGATATGCGTGGAAAGAGCCTAAGATTCTACGAAAAAGAAACACAATATTTTCCTGGCCGAACCCTATTTTTCTTCTCAAACATTGGATTAAGACAACTTGATGAGATTACTTACTATGCTCCTGCATCGCTAATGTACTGCAAATACCTTGAAATACAACACGTTAGTATTATCATAGCTGTCGCATATGCAGTCAATATCTCTATCAGTAGCAATAAACCGTATGGGCGGCACCGCCTTAACTACTATCCTCAAATACCTCGCTAGCTTATGCCATTGTGACCGCAACAACTCGTTGTCATGACGGAAGTGTCCATACCAGGTCTGCAATCCTTTCGTACCTTCTTTACCAGAAATTCAAATGTAATTTTAAACCGCAGATTGTAAAGAGACGGAACCATTCTTCCCGTGAGCGTCTTGCGTAGCTTGAACACCGAGACGCTTGTGCAGCATGCCATGTTATCATCTACAAGGGTGATGTATTTGGCTACGGTTTAGTTGCGACGGCGGCGCGGGTTTCGGATACCAGAATGCCAGCTCGTTGAACTTGAAGCTGAGTGCTCTTGTCTCGGGTGTGTATGTCCCAGGCCTCTGCTAGGAGGCCTTTGCGTCCTGTGGGCATACAACTTCTGTATCTCCCATGGAAGACAGAAGAAGACTCCATGCAAATTGTAGAACCCGGGATCGAGAGCAGGATGTTGGCAGGGGGTACACTATTTGACAGGGCAACGGGTGTGACTGTAGGTAGGATACGTCATGTCGACAGTGTAGAGGCCATAGTGGGCGTAGTTCTCTGAAGGAGTCCCAGGGAAGTGTCTGTTAGAGCTGCATTCCTCCGAGAAGTGATGTAGTTTTGAAGAAATCTGATCAGGCTCAAAGCAGATGCGCATACTGACGGGTAGACACAGTGAGATGAAAGATATACGTTGTTAGTGGGTGGTATGGTTTAGGACACCAATCTCTCAGCTCGAAAAGAACACTGTCATTGTTACTGACTCAAAGTATGTCACTGACTCAAAGTACGAGGCCCTATTGTGGGCGGGTGCAGGTGTGTAGCCCACATTGCAAAGCGCGCCTGGCAGTTCAAGCAGGCAAGAGCGCTATTCTTGGAAGGCGAGAGTTGCGGTTGTCCGAAGTGGAGATGCGTCAAGCTTTAGTAGTTCGCCGCGCCATATACGAGCTCTGCAGCTCGTGATAGATAATAAAGTATGTCCTTCCCCTCTTGGGGAAGGTCTCTGATGCAGGTGTGAACAGTCCTCGAGCGAGCGGGCGATCCGTTTCCCAACAGCGACGAGAAGATCTTGGGCACCAACACATACCAATAGTTCATGATCCACGATCCGGCTTCACTTCTATGCTGTGAGGTCGAGCTGTCGCTTTGAGCGTCTCCAAGCTGCGCTGGATCAGGAGAGATGACGACACCTCAGCCCAACTTCCGCCTCAAAACCTTCTCCGAAGGCTCCACTTCCGACCCCCTCATTCTGAAACTCTAACGAATAAGTCCGTAACGCGTGTCGTCAGGAGCGTGGAGGAGCCAAGAGGAGGCGAATAAGCACAGGAAGAAGGGCCTGATTCCATCAATGGGTGACGTTACCGGAGGACAGCTTACCGGAGGAGGGCAAAGCCTGCGAAACGCAAGATCATCATCAATCAGCATCCAGCCCGGCGTTTCCTACGCGTTTTTGTGTGTGTGTGGGTGTGAGATTCTGTTTCTCAACGCGTTACTCGCGTGCTCACCGGCCGGCCACACACTCAGCCCCCCCCCCCCCCCCCCCCCCCCCCCCCCCCCCCCCCCCCCCCCCCAGCTGTGCATACTTTCCTGACGCACAACAGGCTCGTCGGGCAAAAACCTCTTCCAAAGAAGCAATATATCGAAAGAAAGAAAAAGTAATCTCGACGCAGTAGCTCTGCAGATGGACTCCTCCCCCCCTCTTCTGCCAAGCGCACGCCCTACCCAATTCATCTCTTTTCAACCCTCCTGCTAAGCCTCTTCTGCAACATATTACCTCAGGACGACACGTCTCACGCGTGCGCGCGGGCACATGATGACCGTCTACGCGTCGCACTTGGACCGGCCAGCAACACGCTTCCATGCCGGCTCTCCACAAATTGCATCCCAAGTGGGCCTGCTGGCTGATATGTTTTGGTTGTGAGTGGTTGGGGGCAGAGGTCGGCGGACGAACGTTCGGTCTCGGCGTCCTACGTGCATGTGGCCCCCCCGACTCCACCGCGCGAAACGTCAACTTCGGGGAATGGTCATGTGGGCTGGGCACCCAGCATATCCACTGCTGCACACTTTTTTTTCTTTCTCTTCCGTGTGTTGACCGGTGTGGGCTATACAGTTTGTCATACCGAGGGCCTTGGTGTCCGCGGCCGCCCTATGTATTCACAGAATTCACCTTTTTTCTTCTTTTCAAATACCAATCCTAAATTTGCACTCAGTCTCTGCAATGGCCTGGCAACACAGCTTATCGTGGCTTCAAGCTTGGCCAACCATGGATCATGGCACATCGGCTCAGACATGATGACGCCTGTGCGCAGCACACATTACGAAACACACACGGCACGGCTTTGCGGAACGGAGGCACCGGGGCCTTTTTGGAACAGACTTTCAGCACCTTTTTCTTCTTCTTCTCAACTCTTTCAATTCATTCATAACTAGCTAATCTGCTTCTACCATCACCATACCCATTGTGGGGACTAGCTGATCTGTCAAAGTGTATAGGCCCTTCCGAAGAAACATAGTCGAAGCCCATCGAAGCCGTCAAATCACCCCCCTCCATCGAGACTGGAAACATCCAGAAGCAGACCCCGCCAAAAGACAGGACATTAGGGATTAGTCGTTCACGCTCCAAGAAAGTCGTTGCTGTCGTGTGAAGACTCCAGACCTGCAATCGCAGTACCCTGCCAACCCGTCATAAAGTGGATCATGTCCGTCGTGATAAGGAAAACAGAGGAAATAAGAGCATGGAAAATCAGTGTCCCGCGCCATGCCGCGAGCTGAAAAGGAAACAAATTTGGCCGTGTGCCAGCATGTACAAGAGAGGCAGGCAGCCATGAGCCAGCGACATATCCAAAGCTTGGCTCATGTGGTCAAGCCACTCGAACCCTATTAACCGACTCAAGACTCATCGTCGTCAGCTCGACCGTCTCTATACACTCAGCTGCCATGCCCTCAGATTATGAAGTAAGTCGAAGGCACATGTAACCGTATCGTCATGACCCGTTGTAAGCCCAGAACAAGCGACAAGAAGGATAAGCAAACAAAAAGAACCCTCCAAAGTCGGCCGAGGGTTGATGAAGAATGGAAAGTATGGACAAGACATAGGAGATGCTTTTTCATATGTAGCAGATGATAGGCCAAAGGCCAAATGGGGAATATATGCAGCGACAGCGCTCGAGGCTGTTTGATGGGACTAACGCCGTTGATGCATTTCAGAGGCAAATCGCAATGGTTGCTCGAAAGAGAAGGCAAGCAGCATCTAGGAGCGATGCAAATATGCGGGGTCGCTAGGCATCGCCGCAAGGCGTTGCTCAAACGATGTAGGTGGCTCGAAGCTGTGCGCGGTCGTCGCTCGAGGGAAAGTGTTGCTGGGTCGACCTACGAAAGGTGAACCTAAACGGACAGTGGCTTGTCCTTGGACTTCTGCCGACAGGGCTGGTGAGAGCAGAGCAGGGCTCGGCATGGCCGTGTTGAAATTTGCAAAGGGGTTGAACCCAGATGGGTCGTTTGCAAGAGGCAGGCGCCTGGAACCCTCCATCATGTCACCGAGACTGAAGCCACGGCTCCTGACCCGACGGTGACTTGACTCTGCTGGAGCACCGAACAAGTCATTCACAAAGCTGTCGCCACGGTTTCGCGCCTTGTCCTCAAAGCTATGAAGCGCACGTCGCTTGAATACCCTCGAGATGGGGCGTGGTGCGTGTAGCTGGAACGGAGAGCCAAGGCGTGGCGGCTGTGTCAATGAGGATGTTGGCGCGTGCCATGTTCGCGCGTTGTGCTGACTTGTGCGTGCCTTGTTCCTCTCGGACGAGTCGTTGAAAGGAGATCCGAGTATACCTCCAATGCCCAGGCCCAGTCCGATGTGAAGAGACTGCGACTTTTGATGTGCTGAAGATCGCACACTCGACCATGTCCTCTCAACTGGTCGGGGGGTGATATCCTTCGCTAGTTGCGATAGTGGATTACCCAGTTGCATAGACGCGGCGGTGCTTGTCGCCAACGAAAAATTCATGTCTCGAGTTGAAAAGGCAGCAGCTCCTTGTGAGAAGGACGAAGATAGTGGTGGAGGTTGCAACGAGGATTCTTCCGGTGGTGGGGATGACTGGAATGGCGAGGGCGAGCGACGGAGGAGACGCTGATAATGGGCAGAAAGAGTTGGCTTTTGTCTAGCCAAATCTCGCAGTCGCTTCCGACATTGCTTCTCTGACGGGTATCGCAGGAATGCCTTGCCGAGTCTAGCTACCGGAGTGTTACTGCCGCTCTTTGCAGGCTTGATGGTGTCTGGAGTGCCGGAGCGAGAGGCATACTGGGTGCTGGCTCGAAGTGTGCTCGCACGAGACGGGCGAGGGCCTTTCCAGGTTTTACGAGCCATCCTAGCCACGCGGTGACAAACACCATTGGGCGGCGTGGTGCTTGGAAGAGCTTTGAACGGAGTCACTGTGGGATCCTGCAGATACCTCATGTAAGTCATCCAGAGGTGGTAGTCCATTTCTTCCGTAAAGGTCGCCCTCAACTTCAGCTTTTTGGTAGGACGCGGCTGTTGGTGTGCTGCCAAAGGAGAGGCTGGCCCACTGTAGTCGATGGCCGGTGAGCAATACAGGAATGGATCCGTCATGTCCTCTTCCGGGCTCGTGCAGCTGCCACCCCTCGACATGAAGGACCCGATGCTATCACAAGAGGAGATGGATGAATCCGAAAAGCCAGAGGACGAGGTTGGTCGGCTGGAGGTTTCGCTTTGGTTTGCTTGGTCGATGTCAGCCCAATACTGGGGTCCGTCGTAGTTGCTGATGGTCCTCATTTGGGCGACGGGTGTCTTTGGCGGGGACAGCATACGAGTGTAGCTGAAGCCCGGGGAGAGAAAGGCATCGTCCTGGGGTGGTGCAAACGAGGGCAGTCCTGTCGAAGCTTCTGAGAGCAGCTCTGGTGTTTCGATGGTTGGGATGGGCCTTTGGTCCATGGCGTCTTCCATGTCATCGTGGTTTATGACCAAGGTGGTGCGACGGCGGCGGACCTTGAGGACTTGCCGTGGAGGCGGCGGTGGCTGAAGTTCTTCGGGCTGTGACTCGGGCTCCGGCGTTCGTGGAGCCGGACCGTCGCGGTAGTGGAACATGAAGTTCCTGGGGAGAGTAATGGATAGATTGGTACGTTCGGACTCCATGTTGAGGCTATATGAAAGCAATGTACTGTTCGCGTGTTTCAAGGGTGTTTGTCTCGTTGATCTCTTGGTCCGAGGTCAATCTCAGTGGGTACGCAAGGAGGTCCAAGGGAAGTCAAGCGCGACACAGTGCGTCAAGGCGAAGAGGGCCCAATGAGTTGTGTCGATGGGTCCAGATTATGCAGGGCGATGGGTTTGACAGAATCCGGGAGCTGGCAGGTGTTTGGTACACTGCGAACGCGACTGTGCGGCCGGCACTGAGGTTACACGGGCGATGTGCGAAGGCTGCGCCCTTGGTGGAGCGGTCAAGCAGTCGCAGGGCGTTGGGCGCACTCGGATGGGCTGGTAGTTGTGCTGAGGGAGGATGGTGGATGGGTTGCAGATAGGAAATGGGCGTGAGCAAAAGTGGTTCAGGGCGACGGCGCGTAACTGTGAGTCGTGAACAGCAGCGCGCGACGGTGTGAAGCGCAATTAAAATGCGACTGTACGCGGCGCAAAGGGGGATTGACTGCCCCAGATGCACGCGAAGTGTCGGTAGGCCGTGCTGCGGGAGAGTGTGGGCGATCTGTGGAGGTCGTGGTCGCGGAAAAAGGTCCGGCGGCAGCGCGGGCAAAAGAAGAGCTCAGCAGGCGCGGCCGTCAAGTGTCCATGGAGCCAAACAAAGGGGCAGAGGCGAAGGGCAAGCAAGGAAAGGGTCGTGAGAAGCGGCCGTGTCTCGGTCAGCGCATGGCAATGCGACGGGCCAGGAACGGCGCGAGATTGTCGTGAAGTCGTGGAGGTGAGGGTGGTGATGGTGGTGATGGTGGTGCGGTGAGGTTGGAAATATCGGGGCGGCGAGGGCCAGCAGGACAATCGGCTGACGGCTTGCCGCTAGCGCTGGAGACGACCCGTGGCCGCGCTAGAGCCGAGAGGGGACGAGCAGCGAGCAAGCGCCTCCAGCTCTCCAGTAGTCCAACGCTTCGCCCGCCCGCCCAGCCCAGCACAGTACGTACTGCACCGCATCCACGCGCCCCATAGCAGCTGTTTGCATAGCATTGCATAGCATAGCATAGCATAGCATTGCAATATTCCTGGCTGTGCCTTTGTTTGTGCTCCCAACCAACACGTGAAGCCTTTGCCGTAGCGAACATGACGCGTCGCGAACGCGCTCAACCCCCGTGGCACTAGCCCCCTTATGGCCTAGCGTGGCCCTGCATACTATGCTCCAGTCCACCTGGGCATATGTACCTGTGCATACATATGCCAGCTATTCACGCACAAACACCTGTCACCACTTTTCACCACTCTTCCCGCTGCCAACGCCTGCGAGCCTCGTCGGCTCGCTCCACTCTCTGCTGCAGCTTTTTCACGCGCGAGAACGAGCTGCTGCCAAGTGGTGAAACATGCCAGCGCTGCGCCCGACGCGTCCGGCCAACACCAAAACCCACCTCGATTCGCTCCATGCTCAACCCGTGCTCCACAGCGGGCCGTGCTTTTGTCGCTACTGCACCGCTCTTTCTTCAACAAACAGCACCGCTGCGCGAATCAATCGGCTTCTCTCTTCTCATGCTCGCTTTGCACTTTGTAGTCGTGAAGTCCTGTCCGCCAACCGTTCTGCCCTCATCCACCCATGTCCAACTTCTCTCCTCTATTGCTGTCCTAGTCCAAGTAGTCTATGCTATCCAGTGACGCCGGCCATCTAGCTAGACCCTGCTTCCCGCCCGCTCGAGAGTGCAACTGCAAAGACGTTATGAACATCCCGCGCTTGGCTGCGAAAACGGCCTGGGGGTCAGCTGCAGCTCATCACACACACCAATATCGTGATATTCCTGAACCGACATGTGTGCCACCCAATGCGGACCTGCGAGGGTACAGCTACCCAAGTCTCCATTTCTGATTGGGCCTAATGCGCATTCTCTGCAAATCTTAGCACCACGATAGTCTCGAAGAGGCCTGTAGTACAGCACGAGGCCCAAACGGCCCCCCATGCTGGCCGCATTGGGCGACCCCTTCGCTACTCGCATACAGCTGAGCTCCCTCTTCAGCAGGCGACATGCTCATCAGCCTGCATGCCATCGTCCATCGCGACCCTTTTTTGGGGCTGTCACAAACACAACCAATGCCACGTTCAATGGGGCAATACCAGACGCATCCAGCATGACGCCCATACTTGGCATGAGGAGAAGGGTACCACCGCATAATTTCTAGACATTGGCTCACGAGGTCTGCCGCACGGCAAGTCCGTAGCCGTAGGACAGGGTCGACCTGATTCTTGGATGCTCGTTAAGCATACACATTCCTCGGATCCAAGAGTCAAGCTACGCTATCGATACTGACGCAGACGACTAGAATAGCGCCATATTCGAGCATCGGTCCCCAGCGATCTCTCTGAAAAATACCAGAAGTTAGCGTGCACGTGGATCTTAGTGTACTGATCACACGGTATCAATTTTCTCTTCTCTCGAGTGAGTCAGTGTGCAGGCTCTCCAAACTGTCAAATTGGTATACGCAACAGTAAATCGTTATAAAAAGAAACGTCATGACCCAAACGGCTCGTAGCTAAAATACAGGTTTCTATAATGCACAGTCCTCGCTTTGTATCTCTCAAACCATGATACCAGTTCCCTAAACCCCAAGAGCAGAATTGAACGCATCTGCAGCCTGCTGACCCTGTAGACCAGAAGCCGCAGCCGCAGCCTGATCGCAAGTGTCGACGGCCGCCGCATTGGCACTGCACTTGTTGGAGACTTGAGAGCAGATGAAGTTGGAGATGACGCCAATGTTCAACGCAGAGCCGTGATTGAAAGTAGCCAGGTCAGTAGGCTCGAAAGCGTCCTCTTGGCGGCCATCAGACGGCGCACCAAAGGCGATGGTAGGATCGCAGTCGCCAAAGGCAGCCTGAGCGTTGTCGTCGCCGGCCGCCGTCTCGTCAGCAGCTGCTTGCTTGTCGGCACTGGCCTTGTTGCCAGCAGCTTTGTCGTTACCAGCAGCTTTGTCGTTACCAGCAGCTTTGTCGTTACCAGCAGCTTTGTCGTTACCAGCAGCTTTGTTGCCAGCCTTGTCGCCAGCCTTGTCACCAGCAGCCTTGTTATCATTCGTCTTGTTGTCCGCATTGGCATCAGCTTGGTTGACGTTGGCAACCGCGGCGGCAATCTCATCATCGGAGAGATCATCGTTACGGAGATTCTGAGAGTTGATGCAACCCTCATTGTCGTTCTCCTCGTTGCAGGTATTCCCCGCGGCAGTAGCGTCGTCAAGCTCACCAGGCTGGAAGGTGGAAGCGTCGTTGGCACGGCTCTCGTCACCACCGATCGCGGCAATCTGGCGTGCCAATTCGGCAGCGATATCCTTATTCAATGCTTGCGCGCCCTCGCCAGCAGGGTCTTGGTGCTGTTGAATCGCAGCAATCTCTGGGTTGACAGCCACGATAGACTTGCAGGCAACTGACGCAAGACCGACTTTTCCAGTGTTGCGCTCCAGGGCGCGGAAGATCAGGGCATTGGTCATACCCTCGACATCGTCATTCTCTTTGGCATTAGAGAAGGCCTGGTCAGCGGTAGCTTGCTGGAGGCAGTCTGCAAAGCATTAGTGCCAGTGCATCTTTGTAGAGTTCTTAATAGTTCGTACCAGCATCGGCAATGTTTCCAGCTCCGTTGGCAGCCGCAGCAGCCCCAAGAAGACCAAAGACGGCGTCTTGTATATTGTCCGGGTTGTTTAATTTCAACAGATCATTGGTAGCAAGGACAATGTTCCGATGCGAATGCTCTTGAGGAACCTCACGCTTCTTCAAAAGCGCAGTCGGGCGCGCAACCACGGCGCCAATGAGAGCGAAAGCGAGAACCGAGTGCTTCATCTTGAATAATGGTACGTTTACTTCCGGTTATTTAACAGATAAAGATTGCCAAAGTAAGTAATGCAGTTGAATGGGCCGGCCGATCGATTCTCCAGGAACGATAGAATAGAAGATAGAGAAGTTGAAGAACGAGAAGGACGATGAACGAAAGACTCTTGTAAAGACAGGTTGCTACTAAAAACAAATCTACCCAAGGCAGCGAAAACGCATTGCACTTATATACAGCCGGTCTAGTATGTTGCTATGCTATGGACTCGCACGCAGACCAGGTAGTGAGAACCACTATGCTATGGCTGCAGCGCACGGAGCCATGGTGTTGCATAACAGCTGCCCCTAGACCACGACTGTCAGGCCCGGGCGTCCTACTGCCTCAGCATTGTTGCCTCAACGTCACGGCTGCCATGGTGGACGGTCCTGCTAACTTAGTTAAGGACAGGGGGCTGGAAGCGTATAGCTGTGATTGGTGGGGAAAGCTCAGACGCCCGGAAATGTTGCTGAGACGCTGCCGGAGGGTTGGAGACATCGTCTGCCTCATCGTTGCTGGTAGTATCACCAACCGAAGGTCGTGGGGTATAATGGGTTTCGGCTAAGCCCATACCCGTCATCAACTATGTGCGACAATGGGACAAGTATAGGCGATGAATGGCATATGCAATTTGGGGATTCGATCGACTATCTGTTGTCAAAGAACCTTGCTGGAGGAAGCAAAGTCTCGGGTTCTTCTCCCTTGTTACTTCCCTGGGCTTGTGGAGGCATCCTTACTTCGTCTGAATTACGCTCAAGTTGAAGAACCTTCAGACCCGAGTCTTCACGGCCAAGTCGCAAACATGCAGCTTTACGATCATCTCCACTCTCGGATCGCCACGATACCGATCTATAGCCGCCAGATCTTAAACGCCACATGTACTTGCCTATAACCATAATCGCAATCTTATTACAGCCTTGCCGAATGTCCTTACATCGAGTTACAGCGTCTTTTCATGTCCATGCTGAGACTAGTCTAATATATTAGCCGCACATATACCCGCTTGCTGCCAGACATTACATGTTTCGGATGACCAGTAGAGATCTGCTTCCAGCATTCAGCCACACGATGAACGTCAGGACGCGCTCAAACCCGGTTCGGTTTCACTGCAGTAGGCCCCTAGATTCGCCATCTGCAGGAACAAACTACTCCGAACCACTTCCGCCAGATGTACTTCGCTACTCCCGAGCTCACGGCTGAGCTATCACGCATCACTATAACGCCCGCCGTTATTTGACCAGAACAGCCTCCAAGTCTGCTCATGAGGCTGAAGAAGGCTCGACATCCTTCATTTTAGGACCGCCACCGTCACGCCTTATTGCTGCCGTATGCTCCTCTGCGCTCAGTACACGCTCGACAGGTCACCCATTTACTCGAAACATTCCGCATTGAGCCGGAAAAAGTACGTTGATCGAACCTCTTACAGCATCCAATAATCACGCTCCCCATTCTGGCGCACGCATACATCATGGCCAAGTCGAAGATAAGAATATCCGGGCCTATGAATGCCATTCATGTCGGTGGTGTCAACGTTACAGGCAGCAACGGTTCAAACCTAGATAGCTACTTCACCAGCACCGCACTGGAACCAGACGAGCTGCCATCACATACATTCGTCGCCACTGGCATGACAGAAGTACCGCGAAGATCAGACACTATCGCCAGTGTCATACGGCGACCGAGCGGGTCACTGAAAAGAGGCCTTTCAAGACTAAGAACAAAATCGATCTCGCACCTACCAGATTCACATCATAAACACGAGATTGAGCATAAAGCCGACAACTCAGTCACCCGATCCGATAGCGCAAAAGCTTCGCGGCCACTAAGAATGCAATCGAGTATGTCGCGTTTGCGACAAAAGGTTGGACTGGACCGAGAACTCTACGAAACTCCTGTCCCCAAAGCGATCACTCCAGAGCCAGAAGTCGCGCCTGAGCCGGTACCCAAAGACTACCCACCACTAAGAGTTAGGAGGTCATTAGCCCGACTGACCACAGCATCGTCCATCTACCCAACCGACACTGAGCCCGAGCTTGCCAGGACGAGCCCCATTATCCAGCAACTACAACCGTCCGCGATTCAGCGGCAAGCATCATCCACTCAACAGCATCCGCCCACCATCCAGCGACGCCCCTCGCCACCCACGCAAAGACAGTTGTCGAACACACAAAATCGAAGACAACCGCCCGTACGCCCAAAGCGTGCTGACTCCGGGACTGCGATTGACTTTGACAATGTTCCTGTGGATAAGCGACCTCTCGGCTTCAAGGAAATCCTAGCAGTGCATAGTTTGGCGGACCGAATGGCGCTCTACAAGAAGACGCGAGAGTACTGGGCAACTGCAGATCATGGTCTAACAGAGTGGACTGGACGTGCTGGTGCACCGCGGTTGATCGCTGCACGGGTGTAGGGCGATGTGAGAGTGCTCTCAACATGATTCTCGTATTTCTTTCGTATTTCTCACTTTTTTAGTCATGATTTCGAGCACGATACCCATTATTGCGAGCTTTCTTTTTTTTTGCGGTTTTTGGTTATTGGTGCTGGTGCTGGTCGCCACCCATTCCTTTCTCCCGCCCAGTCATTCTCGAAATAATATCCAATAATATGCGCGATTCAGCGCTGGTCGTAGCTGTAAAGGTACATCTTTTGTAATATGAGTTGTTGGGGACAACAAAAGTGTTGAACTGGGATTGGGACCTCGTAGTCATTTATGAGTTACTTTTGAAATGCCATTCATTCTTCAAGACTGCAACATGCCACGCATAGTGTATGAATACACTTCCTAGCGCACATGCACCCAGAGGGTATGCATTGCAATACAGCTTGGCCCCACTCTCGCCCTTGCCTTACTCTGACGAACGAACGATGCCGTTCGACACATGGTACGACTGAGGGTCCCCTCTCTCCACTCTCTCACATCATCATGCAAGCAGTACTGTGCCACTCGCTCGGTTTACTCCCCTTTCGCTCCCAGACTTCAACATGCCTCGACGTTCTCTCCTCATTTTCACGCCCTGGTCCGCCATGCATAGGACACCTATGATAAACCCACCGTAGCGTAACTTTCGGCTCGAAGCACGGTCCAGTAGCACAGCCCTCTCGACATTCTTCATCTATGCATGGTGCATAGTTGGCGTCATTGATTCTATTAAGCCCTTCTTGTCTGCATCTGATGTAACCGACCTTCCAGACTTTGCACATATTGAGCAGTTGCTAAGATAGCGTTGCGTGGTGACAATGAGTGTAGGCTATGACGATGGTTAAAAGATTTGATAGCGGAGCATACTAAGAACCTAAGAAGAGAAGAGATTTTATATAGACAAGCCCTGTGAAGAGTAGCTGTGTGATCGCGGGTGTCGAAAGTATAGGTACTGTGACGAGCAGACACTGACGAAAGTGCCACGACCTCACGACACATATTCAGTAAATGATAGGCTCTCAAGCAAGAGATTTAGTTTGTGTGTCTTGTAGTACTTGACATACACGTTTATAGTCCATTCACTCGTCATCACCTATCGAGCGGGGGTTTGCCTCAAACTCTGAAGCACTCTATACATCGTGCCCCAAACTGAAACCCCCACCAGCTGACAAAAGCTCCGTCTCATCAGATGCCGTTGTTGTATATGTCTTTATACCAGTCAACCCAGGCCTCCACACCAATCCGTGCTAATTGCGTGCGATGAATCCATTGTCTATGCATGACCCGGAATGCTTCTTCGTCAAATTCTTCGTCCAATGGAGAAATCCTGATATTTATTGGGAAGTCCACGAATGCACAATTCCTAGTCCACCCAAGGTTATTTAGGATGGTGGGAGAAGTAAGAGAGGCGACTTTTTGGACGAAATCTGAGTCCAGCCGAATGAAGAATGCGATCTTGAGAGCGGGATGTGAGTTTAAAAGAAAGTTTGCGTTGAGCCATGGAAGTCGCATTCGCACCGTGAATGTTGGGTTTCGCCTGCAGAGGTCGACAATGGTTTGCCACGGCTTTGAATGAAGGAATGACACGCTGCCGTTTGAGTGTCGGTTCTCTAAAATCGTGACACTCTCGAGGTGGTTGAATAGCGGCGTGGGGAGAACATCAAGGAACTTGGTGAATTGATATGCCCCCCGCTCAAAGAGCAAGTCGGTACCCACGATTATGGTCTTCGTCTCGTTTTTCAGCTGACGGCATACATATTTGAGTTGGTTGACCTCCTGTAGTGTAACAGGACCTCCGATGACTTCCTTGGTGACGAGGGCGAGGTTGATGTCATTGCGACCAACGGGCGGAAGCTTTTTGTCGGTCACAGCGGGTGGATAGAAGCGAAATAACCCAGGGCCGTCGTGAGCATCTTCGCGGCACACCAAATGAGCTGGGTCTGATAGCGCATAGGAGTACACAGCGTTCCTTAGCTCTGCTGGCAGCCGGAGGAAGTGGCAGGCACCATCCGATGAGGGTGTACTCGGATCGTTCGGGACCCTGGAGTCCTCTGCCATATTTTCTCGGACTGGGGCGTTTCGGCTGTAACTGAGAGTCAACGTCGTCGTGAGAGGAGGGGCGCGAAAAAGGTTGTAGGTGTACACGAGAGTTGGTTATGCTGGAGAAGCCACTTAGCGAGCGCCTTTAGTAGGTGAGAGTCAAGCTCATGTTCACGTGAGGGGCCTTTTGGGGGCGTCGATTTTCCAAGATTACGTAGCTGCTAGCTCCATTTGGAAAGTGAAGGTGAATGGCAGTCCGCCGGATAGCAATTTGTTTAACAAACGACAACAATTTACTACTTTAACACCTCATCTCTTTCAGTTATCTCATCACCAAAAACACGCTACTTCTCCTCCCAACAGATTGCGTACTGAGCAATGCAACCACCTGAGTCGTTGATGGACGACCTGCCGTCGTGGACGCGCAAAGGTTGGCCGACTTTTCTCGTATTGATCTTCGGACCGGTCTTGCTCTGGAAACTTTTTCCTTTCTTCCGCCTTATCTCAATGAATCGTTCTACCTCGTCGATCCAGCCGTCTCGCTTCCTTGATCTGCCCGGTGTGATCCGCAACATGAATACGCAGTCACCGAGCCAGACGGGCTCCGGTATGTCAGGAGAAGGGACTGCACAAAGGAGTGTTAGTTATTGACTCGGGTATATGTGTGACCGCCAGCAAACATCGCATCGCGAACCCGTTGCTATGGGTGGGTAAAATACTAAGTGATGAGACTCGTCGGCTTGAGATTGTGTGCAACGACCTTTACTTCAAGACCACCACCGAACACGTCGAAGACCTCGAGCTCTTCGCGGACTTCTTGTCTGAATATTCAGCTCCGCTCTATCCTCGCCTACGAACGATTATTCTGGAGCCTGGGCATAACAAGGAACAGCTTCAATGCCGTTTCCAAACGGTTATTGGTTTCTGTCGTCGGAAATTAGAATACTTCTTTCTGCGAGCGGTAGGATACACCAATCCCCGCATTAGAGAACCACGCTTCTGGGAGGAGCCCGGGTTACCACTTAATCTTCGAATACTATTGAAGCCAATTTTGATGAGGTGGCTCTTAGGAAGTTAATGTTGGGAAGCTCTCCAGAAGTGGTCAGGGTTTTTATCATATTTGGGGGTAATGTGGACTTTTGGGTGTCGCTTGCTCGGGAGATCTATACTAATGGTCTGTGAATCCTACTTTGGCCTGGTATATTTGAAGGGTAGTTGACTTGTCATACATGATGGTGATGGATGCAGAGAGGGTGGTAGGGCTAAAGCGAATAGTTGCTGGGATGGCCGACTTGGACAAGCGCCACAGCAAATTCTGTAATCCATTGAGATGCTGAACACAAACAGTATCTGTCCTGCGTGCTGTTATCTGTCTTCGTGGTGTGTCTGGTGCGGTAGGGTGGTGAGGTACGCGCAACGCACGATTCGTCGTGGAAGGTAGAAGGTAAAATAAAAAAACGATAGGAAGTCCATGTCAAACGCACGCATCTCCTTGGCGGCTGCTTTCGAGGATTGAAGCGGGATCCGATGAGGTATCCGGTCCCACGTCCACTCCGATGCGGTTATAGTATTCAAGGATGATAACACAGCCTGGTTCGTGGAGCTGTGAAGAGCAATAGGTGACTAAATACATGTAAGTAATTAGCGGGGTATGTGTGCCATGTTTGTTTTCAAGAAGATGAAAAGTTTAGTAGTGATGACAGTGGGTGAGGTCGACCAGTGGACAATCCGCGCTTGTACTAGTACAGTGCACAGACGCTGGATAAGCCAGGACAGTAGTTAAGCCACTTTATTAACATTATTATATTTTAGAAATAAGGCTATTAAGCTACTTATAAAAGTAATTATTATAAAAAATTTTAATATATTACTATATAAAGCTTTGCAAAATTTTTATACTATTTAAATTTTTTTAAAATTTTAATTTAGCAGCTGCGCAAAGTAGTTTTAAATAAAAAAATAATAGCGCAAATGCAGCATTAGTATAATTTTTAATACTTATAATATAATATTTTTTTATAAATTTTTATATAGCGCTTTATCCCGCGAAGACAGGACCTAATGTGTTATTAATAGCTTATATTATTAATATTTTACTATATATTGTATACTTTTATTTATAAAATTGCTAAATAATAAACTTTTAATTTTTAATATAATTTTTTATTAAAGCGTGGCTTTTTTAATAGTTTTTAAGCATATATTTAAATATCTAGCATAATATTAGCCTGCTGCTAAGTAACTAACTAATACTAGGCTTTTAAGTAATAATAGCAACGCTAATAATAATAATAATTTTTTTTATAATATTAGCTTTAATTTTTAATTATTTTTTTATTTTTTTTTTTTTTACTTTTACTTTTTTCTTTTGCCTGCGCAAGCTATTATTTATAATATATTTAAATTATTATTTTATTACTTGCTTTTTACTACTTTACTGCTTATATTTATCTATGTACTAATTTAACTATTTTAAAAAGCTATATTTTTTAGTTATTATACTACTAATAATAGCAGGCTTTAAAAAAGTTAATTTAATATTTTGCTAAATTTAAATTACTTTTAAAATTTTTTTTAAGCTATAAAAGCTTAATTTACTAGTCCTTAATAAAAATAAACTAATTAGTAGTAAAATTAAATAACTAAATTATATAGTATTTAATTATAAAAAGCTTTATAAACTATAGCTGCTTTATTATAAGCAGCTTATTATAAATAAACTTAAAAAAGCTTATATTAAAAAAAAAAAAAGTAAATAGCATTTTTTATTAAAAAAAGTTAATTTAAAAGTTTTTATAAGTTTTCTTAAAGTACTAGTAATTATTAAATATTAGTTTAAAATAGTTAAATAATAATAAATTATACTAATTAACTATTACTAGCTTGCTACTTATATAGCTTGCTATAATAGTAATTTATAAGCTTGTATATATAAAGTTTTTTATAAGCATTATATTATTTATAGTTAATATAAATATAAAAATAAAAAAAAACTTAAAAAAATAAAAATAAGTTTTAATTTATAGTATAAGTATATATATATGTGTTTTTCTACTTATACATTTAAATTTTTTTAAAAATTTTTAAAAACTATACTTTTAATTTTTATTTTGTATATAACTATGTTACCTGCAATAATATAATTATATAATAAATAATAACTACTTTATATATAGAAAAGCTATATAAATTTTTTTAAAATTTTACTAAACTTTTGCTTGCTGCAAAATGCTTTTACTAGTTTTAATTTAACCTGCCTAGTATTACTTAAATAATTTAATTACTATTAAAAACTTATAGTTTTATTACTATAATTTTTAGATAATAATATATTAAGTTTTTAATAGTAATTATTAAAAGTTTTTTAATAATTTATTTAGCTAACTTAATATTGTGTAAATTTTACTGCTTTAATACTATATTAAAGTATTAAATATAGCACTTAAATTATAATTTTATACTAATTTTTCTTACTGCGTTGTATAATTTGCTTTAGCATTAACTTTACTTTCTTTTAAAGCAATATAGCGCTTTATAAAGCTTTTTGTTTATTTTTATTTAATATATTGCAAAAATTTTATAAAATTATAGTATTATATTACTATTATTTAAGCGCTTAAGCAGCTGCAAATTTTTTAGCTTTTTTTTTTATACTTTTTTTTAGCAAATTGTTGCAACGCTTTTATTTTTTTTACTATTTTTTTTTATATAATATTGCTGCAGCTTTTAGCTTTTTTATTTTACTTTTAAAAAAAAAAATTTATTTAATTTTATATTATTTAATTATTTCGCAAGCGCGCGCTTTTTAAATTTTTTAAAAATTTTAAAAAATAATACTACTATAGTACTCCTGCTTTTGCTGCAAATTAAGTATTTTTTTTTTTAGTATTAAGCGCCGCCTAAAAACTATTATTTTTATAGTAAAAAAGCTTATTTTAGATTTATAGCAAATATAATAATTTTTTAAAATATTTAGCTTTAATTTTTACTTTATTTATAACTATATTATTTAAAATTTTTTATAATTTATTTTAACTATTTTTATTATTATACTTTCTAATTTTTTTATTTTTATTTTATTTTAAAGTATAATTGAAGGAAGACTAAAAAAACCGCTTAGGCAGCTATTCGATAATAAGACGACAGTACTATATATAATAAAATTTATATATTTATGCTAGTTTACTATATTAAGCTATACTTTAAAAAAAATATACTATAGTATATTATAAGCTATTTATTTGCAGTTTGCAAAAAATAGTTAATTTAATAAAAAATATGCAATATACTTAGTTTATAAAAAAATATTATTATTTATATAAAACTTTTAAAAAAATATTCTTTTTTAGTAAAGAAGAAAATACTATAAGCAAAAATAGCACTATATAATATATCTAATAGCTTTTAAAAATAAAAATTTCTAATGCTATAAAGAGCAGAAAGCGAAAAAGTAAAAAGTAAAAAAGTAAAAAGCAAAAAAGTAAAAAGTAAAAAAAAAAAGTAAAATATAAAATATAAAAGCAAAAAATTATAAAAATTTTATAAAAATTTTATAATAGCAATTTAGTAGTAGCAATTTTTTAGTATATAGTATATAAAATATTATAGTTTTAAAGTACTAATTTTTAATAAAATCTTACAACGCTTTTTTAATAGCAATAATTATTTAATGCAATAGTTAATAGTATTTAATACAAAAGTAATTAAAAATAAAGCCTATTTTTATGCTATAGCCTACTAAAAATTAGTTTATTATATACTTACTAATTATATATTGCTAACTATTGCGTAAATGCTATATATCTGCTTTTAATTATTAATAAAATAAATTTTAATTACTTAAATGCTACAACTATAAAGCGCAAAAAAAAAATTAATATTAATAATAATTAGTAAAAGCTAAATTTGCTAAAAGTACTAAAGCTTTTTTAATTTTATATTAAAAATTTATATATTTAAAGTACGTAGTTATTATAGTTATATAATAATATATTTAAATTACTAAATTATTATAAAGC